AAATTAAGAAAAGTATACTTTATAATTAACTATTATTTAAAAAAAATAAAAAACTATATATTTTATTTATTTTAATTATTAATAAAATAATAAATTAATAGCTTTTAAATAATAATTTATAAACTTTCTTATTACTCCTTTCTTTTAATTAATATAATTATTTAACTTAAAAGCAATAAGTTACTAGCTTTTATTACTTTAAACTTATATGCATTGCTATACCTATTTATTTATAACTAAACTTTCTTCCTATCTTTCTTTCTTTCTTCTTCTTCTTACCTTTATATTATTATTAATTAAAGGTTAAAAGTTAGCTGCTACTTAGTTATTTTAATAAAAAGTATACTTTTAATATATTAATTTTTTCCCTTATTTAATTCTTATTTAAGAATAAGTAATAATTATTTATAAAAGCTACTTAAAGCTATAAATAAACGTTAAATACTTCTTTTCCTTATTTTTAACCTTCTTTACTTTAATTACCTATATAATAATCCTTAAAGATATAAGGCTTTTCTTATTATTATACTTCCCCTTTTTATTATTTAAAATTTTATTACTTCTTTTTACTTTACCTTTTATTTTCTTTACCTTCTTTCCTTATAATTAAAAGTTAAAATATTTTTTAATTAAAAAGGGAAAATAAAAAAATAATCTTAATTACCCTTATATTATAAGGTACTTTAAAACCTTAATATTTTAATTTTAATAATTAAACTTATTACTTTAAGAGAAAATAATTTTATATTAATAATTATATAACTTCCTTATTTTAATAACTTTAAAAACCTACTTAGCAAAGCATTGTAATTTTTAAATATTATAAATATATAAAATTAATAAAACTTTATTTAAAAAGTAAGTGCTAACTTTTTTAAAGATTCTTTTAAAATAAGAATTATTATAAATAAAGTTTACTTAAATAATATTTAGTAAACTTAAACCCTTAATTATTTATTATTCTTTAATATAAAATAAATAGCATTTAATAATAAGCTTATAAAGATAATATAAAAATACTTTTTAAATATTAATTTTTATTTTAAGCTAAGAAAATTAACTAAATTAATAAATTTAATAAAATAATATTAAGCCTTTTTTACTTTTAATTTCTTTAATATAAAAAAAATACTTTATAAATATAAAAAGTTAAGAACTTAATATATTATAACTCTTATAATTTAATAATTTCTTAACTTTTAAAATATTATATTTTTACTTAAAAAGTTTTTACATTATAATTAATCTTTACTTATAAAATATTAATAATATAAATTAATAAAGGATTATAAATTTATTATTATATTTATTTATATATTTAATTATTAAATAATAGCAATTTTTAATAAAATTAATAATTATTGCTTATTATAAAATAATTTTATATTAAAAGATAAAAATAATAAAATAAATAAAAATATTAAAGCATTTATTTATAAATATTTAATAATTACCTTAAAAAATAAAATATAAGATTTTAATAAAAAGTTTATATTTAAATTAAAATAAATTAATAAAATATTTTATAAATAATATATTATTAAATTTATTAAAAACTACTTTAAAGAAAATTAAGGAAAGAATAATTAAAAAATATAAAATTAAGCTAAGGCTGCTTTAATTAAAATTATATACCTTAAAATGCTTAAAGTTATTATTAATATTACTATTTAAATATTTATTATTTAATTAAAGTTTAATAAAATTAATAAAGCTATTTAAATATTTATATTAATTTTCTTTATTAAAATTAATAATATAAAAGTAATTAAAATAAGAAATAAACTTTTATTATAAAGAGAAATTATTTAATAGCATTTATTTAAATTATAATATATTAAGATTATTATTAATTAAAAGAAAAATATAAGGGAAATAATACCTTTAATATAAATTAATTTAATAACTTAATTTTAAATATTTAATATATAATAAAGTATAAACTTTTATATAATTTAAAATTAATTAAGCATAACTTTAATTAAATAAGCTTTTAACTTAAGTATTATATTATAAAATATTTTAAAATTAATAAGAAATGCTTATCTTAATATATATAAAGATTTTTTTTATTTACTTTTTTTAATAATAAATATAAATAAAATTTAAAATATATTAATTAATTTTAAATAATTAAAGTAATAATAAAATTTAAAATAATAATAAAGTTTACTTAAAAATAATTTAATAAGCTTATTAATAAGTTAATTAAATAATAAAATATAAGGTATAAAATTTAAAAATAAAAGCTTTATAAAAAATAAAAGTAAAATTAATAAAGCTAATATATTATGCTTAATATAATAGTTAAAAAGAAAAATAAGTTTGCTTTTTATTTTATAAAAATATTTAAATCTTTAATAATTATATTTATATTAATTATTAAAGCAAACTTTAATAATTAAGAAAATATAATTAATAAATATATTACTAAGTAAGTTTTAAGAATATTTAAAGCTTTTATAAAGAAGTAAAAGCTATAATAAGATAAGTAAGTAAGGAATTAAAGATAATAATAATAATTTAAATTATAATAAGGTAAATTTTAAAGCTTAAAGGCTTAATTAAAGATAATAAGGTTTTATTTTTAATAATTTTTATAATACTTATTATAAAATATTTAAAAAAGGATATATTAATAAGTATAAAGAAATATAGGAAAAAATAATATTATATTAAATTTTAGCTAGCTATAAAAAGCTAGCTTTTTTACTTTTTTAAATACTTTTTTAAAGAAATTAACTCTTTTCTTTTCTTATATATTTAGTGCTTTAATTAAGCTTTTCTTATTTTTAAGAATTTTTAAAATACTTACCTTTTCCCTTCTTTAACTTCCTTTTATTTTTATCTTCCTTTTTTATTATATTAAAGCTCTTCCTTAAGTTGCCCTTAAGAGGATTTAATAAAACTTATCCCCCATTGTTTAGGTAGCTTGTTTTTAATATTCCTTAAAATAAAGAGTAATATTAATTTAAGTTAATAGCTATTATTTAGGTTTATGCATTTCTTTTTTACTTTAATATTAATTTTAAATTATAGTTTTAATGTTAAAAATAAGTAATTTAATTAAATTTAAGCTGGGAATTATAAATATAGGCATGGTTTAGCTTTATATATTGCTAAAAAGTATTAAATAGTTTTATATAAAGGTTATTTATAAAGGTTAAAAAGGTATAATTAAGTTAATAATATTTAAAAGGGGAAGGTTATAATTTAAATAATAGCGTTAATATGGATTTATAAACTTAATCTTAGCATAAAGTATATATATAATTAAACATTTAGCTATAAGCTTAAAGGGTGGTATAAATAATATTATTTTATAGTAATGAGTTATATGCAGCGCTATATAAGGCTATATAATTATGAAAAGGGGTATAGGAGGGGAAAATGGAATTATATGGAGTTAATTAATAAAAAAACTTTTAAGTTTAAAAAGTAATGAATAAATATAAGGAGATATATAATTGCATATTGCATAATTAGCTTAGATTCCAGGTGTTTAAATATATTTAAGGGTATATGCCTATAAAGAGAATTTAGGGGTACAAGGGGTTTTTGGAAAGTCAGCCCTATCGCGCACCATACGTTATAATCACTTGTACAAAAATCGACACAAGCGTGGTATAGAACACGCCATCACGTGCGACCGCGACATCGGCAACGGTCCCGTGCAGCAACGGTTGTTTGTCGGGTATATCCGTTGCAGGGAATGAGACTGCACATCCATCCTTGACCCACCCGAGGACGTCGTGCGACCTCCTACCCGACGACCGCCGCGGGCATGTGTCCGTGTGCGGACTTGCAGCCGAGTCGCTGTCAGCTATCAAGGCATGGCACATACTGACAAATAAGTTAGGAGAGATGGGAGGAAAACACAGAGAACAGGACGGTGGCCAGTGAAGAGATGAGTCCTTGTTTTGACGCTGTGGGATTTCCAAGATTCGGCACACCTGCTCTGTTTACCTAGGTAGTTACTGTAAATGCAACGATTAGAGCCTTATCAACCTCAAGCCCAAGAGCTTTGAGAGATTTCAGTCAGAGTAGGATGATCATCCAACAGACATGCTTCTCATGTTCATACATACATTTAATTTGTTTCAAAAGAGTCATTAGGCCACACGTTCCTGAAATCTAGAAAGTCAGTCTCACACGATCCAGTTCAACACATTGAGAAAAACGCACCGGACAATAGGAAAACATCCACCACAGAGAAAATATTGGCGAAATTCCTGGGGAGGGGGGCACGAAATATCCAACCAACACATCCGTTCTTCTAACCATGATAGGCTATTCCCTAACTGTCCCTGCCGACCGACTAAGTATAAAGCCCTCTCGCTCCCGGTTCGTAGACGCGCTCCTCGCTGTGGACCCAGCCCGCAACATATATATATCTCTATAGATATTTATCAAGGACCCGGAATCCCTCGCTTCCGTTCAACAGCACCCAACACGCTTCAAAGCTGTAGGTGTCAAGTCCATGGTCGAATGCGACCAACACCGCCGGCTGGAAACCCCTCACTCAGACTTTGGTCTCTTCTTTCATGTATCAGTCTCCCATCCATTCTCACCTCCTCCCTCATATTCACCAAATCAACTAAGGAAGCAACCGAGTGATGAGCAACACTCTCGATATGAATGTATGTACGTATCCATGACATTGAAATCCTATCCTGAACTCCAATGGTTTGACAACAAGGCACAATCATGAATCCACCACCTAAATATAAAGCGGCTGGCTGGAGCAGGTCGTCAGGGGGAAAAGGGAGATCATCGTAGCGGTAAGGAAATGAACTCCTGCCCGATATTAGGAAAAGAAGAAAACGGGGACATTGGCGAAACTCCTGTGGTATCATCGGTCGACGCCCCTTACTCCTCGGTTTTTACAAATCATCCACCCCAACAGTCCCTTTCCCCTTCCGCTATTTTCTGGGGGTTCCCATGTACAGCGGGGCGTCTTCGAAATCACCTTCGATCTAACTTCATCATCATCAATGTCATCATGAGTCGCCGATGCGATCCTTGGTCTTCTTTGTCGCCTTGGCCGTGCCAATATGGGTGTTGTGCACCTGTGTTTAGTTAGCATCGTTGGCAAACCCCAAGAAGAACGGGATCGACTTACCTTGGTAGCAAATCTCAAGCTGGTCAGCGTCTCCTTGAGGTGTGCCTCCAGAGGCGACACCATCACGAACATGAGAGTCTTGGAGTTGCCGCCCAGTGAGTTTTTCAGCAGGTACGTTAGCTGAGAGTTGCGGTAGGGGATGTGGCCGTTGCCCTTGCCCAGCGCCTCGATCACATCGCCGAGGCACGTCAAACTCTTGTTGATGTTCTGAGTCTCCTTCATGCGGTCGCCCTCGGCGCCCGAATGCTTGAGCCGCTCCGACCCGGCCAGGTCCACGAGGTTGAGCGTGCCCTCGCACCGCTCGTGCGTCGCCGAGTTCTCGCCGGTCAACTTGAGGATGAACACCGAGTGCGAACGGGACGACCGCTCGTTGGCCTTGGTGGCCGCGACAGAGCGGTTGTTCTGAGCGTGCTTGAGCATCTGCTCCACAGTGTCCTCCGAGTCGAGCGTCACGCTCTTGCAGTTGACCACGGTCGTGGTCTTGCGAGCCTCGTCGTGGCGGATCTCGGGTCTCCTCTTGCCTTCAGCCTCCTTCGCCGGAGTCAGCAGGTCGTGCAGCTCCTCATTGTACACCTCGACGAAGTTACCCTCCATGGTGTACGTCCAAGACTTCTCTTTCAACTTGTTCACCGTGTCGTAGATCATCTTCGTGGCTCGAGGTATCATACCATCAGCTGAGGACATAGTGTATGTCTTGCCTGAGCCAGTTTGACCGTAACAGAAGATGCACACATTGTAGCCATCCAGGGCGCTTTGTACCAACTGTGCGATCTCGTCAAAGACCTCTTCGTTGTGTATCTGAGGAGTAAAAACGCGGTCGAACTCGAATGGGTAAGTCTTGCTGCTGGTCTTGCCGAGGGCATTCCTCTCCTCCGGTCCTTTGACGTAGATTTGAGCCGATGTCTTGTCGTCGGGGAACTCCAGTTCTGCTGCGGTGCCCTCGGAGTCTTCAAGAACCGGCCTGACCCTGCACATAACTCGGATGTTGCCTTTCAATTCCTGGTACTTGTTGAAGAGGGCTCGTCGTTCCGTCTCCTCCTTGATGAGCTTCTGCCGCGCCTCGTCGGCAGCAACCAAAGCTTCTTGCATCCTCGCCTCCATCTCAGCAAATGAGTCTGATTGTTGCTTGCTATCCGATTCCAAGAAGTGGACTTGAGCTTGCAGCGATCGGACGGTGCCTTCGAGGGATGTGTTGGTGCCGATCAAGTCATCGATCTGTTTCTGCAGGTGGGTCTTTTGGACTCGTTCACGGTCGAGGTCTGCGTTCAAGACGTCCATCTCTGCTCGAGTGCTTTGAATTTCGCGATCCTTGTTATGGAGGGCAAGGTTGAGGCCATCTTGTTCAGAGCCAAGTTTCGATCTCAACTCCTCAACCTCGCGGGTGGCCTGTAGTTTCTCGTCCTCCAACTCAGCCCGGTAGTGCCTCTTCAATGCGTCTAGCTCTTCCTGGTGCTGCCTGCTCAGGCGGTCGGTCTGGTCTTCCAGAGTTCTTCGAAGCTGGTCCAGTTCACTACGCTGCTCCCGGGCCTTGTCCTCGAGCTCGTACTTGTACGACCTCCGTTCTTGTTCCAGTTCGAGTGTTAGCGATTGGAGCTGCTGTCTCATGCCATCAAGTTCGCCTTGCAAACCCGCGTTCTTCTCGTCTAATCGATTTCGTTCGCGCTCGAGGTCGTTCGCTGTGAAGTATCAGTATACACGACCAACACATTTCTGTGCTTCCGTCAGACGCCTACCTCTCGTTTTTGCCATTTCGATCACCTCTTCCATGGCCTTCTTGTCGGTCAGGGAGACGTTCATGACCTCTTTCATGGCTTTGAACTGGGCCTCCACTTCCACGAGACGCTCGTCCATGTCCCAAGCTGTGAATGTAGTCAGATTAGAATCCCTAGTTAAGAACGGCCGCGCCTTTGAAGGAGATTTAGAAGGCGACTCTGGGCACTTCCTAGTAGAAGCGTGTAGAGTGTCCTCGAACTTGTCCAGCATATCCAGAGCGTGTTGCGCATCTCGAGGAGGAGTCTTGGGCGGCGCCATTATGCTGGCCCTAGAATCCTCCGGGCGGGTGACTGGCGTTGCTGTGCCGTCTTCTCTGCGCGACTGAGCCGGCCTGAGGATGACGTTTTCCAGTAGAATGTCTGATTGACGCAAGGAACTCGGACTGGGGGGACAGTTCTCTTTGGTCGAAATCGCTTGATCCCGGGTGAGAAGAATACCGTTTGAACGCTCGTCGTTGAGACTCAATTTGCCCATCATGGTGCTGATGGAGAAATCTCTTCCTGGCGCTGAGGCTCGCGGCCCCATGCATTGAACTGAGGCAGCCTTTCTGAGTCTTCTTTCTGGCAAAGCATTGGGAGCGGACTGGGTAGAGGATCGAAAAGAAATGGGCAGCATCGTACAATTCTGCTTTCCGGTTGGTTGCTCATCCTCCTCCACTGCATGGGTGGTCATGGAGGTCTGAGGTCGGATGCGGCTTGCGTTGGGACGCTGTCTCGTGTCTGTCGAGCGATGGAACGACATGGAAGTCTGAGAGCGTCCGATCATGGAGCCAGGACGACTCGCGTTCGGGCCGACACTCTGAGCGAAGCTGTTCGGGGGGAGTCGGGAAGACAAGGATTTGGAAGATTGGTGGCGTGTGAGAGGCATCGCGGTCGAAGGTGGCTTGATCTGTTGAAGGCAGAGTTAGTCGCCGTATCAAGACAAGGTTTGATGCCCAGTAGGCCTTCGCAAACGTCGAAGACAGACTTCAGCCTCGTAACGCAGCTCGATGATCCCGCAGAACCCGTTCAGGTCATATTGTTCTACGATGCAGAAGTCGTTGAGCTCGGTAGACCCGTCTTCGATCGGGTGCGCTTCTTCAAGCCGTGCGTGGCGCGACGAAGACGTCGCGGCACGAAGCAGCTGCTTGGGCAACGGAGGAAACCTCATCTTGGCGAGGAATGGTGATATTCTGCCGGGACACAGATTGGATAGGGACAAGTTGCGCGTAGGAGATGCAAATGAACAGGCGCAGGTCGGGCCTCGGATATAGGCAAATGTGATCCGGGTCGACCACGCGCTCAAAGAAACGTGCGGTCAGAGATCAAGACATGTTGCAGAACTTACCCCAGACTGTGAAGCGAGCGAGACACCTTTGTTGGCGGTCCTTGGAGCGGGAGTAGCGGTAAGGGAGGTCTTGCTGCCAGGAAATTCGCCGGCCCTCTCCATCAGAGTCTTTCGTGCTTTCGGGTCAGGTAGTGTTTGCGAGACTGTTATCGGGTCAGCGATGAGCAGTATGGTCATTGCTCGTTCGAGGGCGTACCACTGTTAGACTGTGGCCGCTTGATGCCGGACTGCGGGAGCATCGAGGGCTGAGCCCTGACGTTGTTCTGCGATTCGGACATCTCGTTGAGGGTCGGCGGTCGAACGTTTGGCGCGGGCAGTCTACTCCCCGGAGGGCGCAGCTGGGAGGCGCGCATCTGCTGGTGGGACGACGGTGAGATTAGCTAGATGCGACGAGGCATGGGATCGCAATTGGGTGGCTACATACGGCGCTTTCTGTTCTCTCTCCATGGTGTAGTGGGTAATGATGCGCTGGCGGGGGAGGACGATATGGAACAGGAAGATGGAAGCGAGGAGCGATGCCCCGTTCAGCGGAGAAGTTGAGGCAGGCAGGATGAGCAACTTGTATCCGTCCGTGGGCGGGGAGGGCGGCGTGCAGGGTCTAGAAAGGGGCTCTCGAGGTCATGGAGCATCTAAGTGGTGCTGGGTAGAGCAAGTTGAGCCGGGTTTGAGGTGGAGTTGTTGGTTGGCTGACAGACTCGTGGGCGCCCGGTCAGGATTTCTGACGTGCACTTTGCAATTATTTACGCGGGATTTGGCGGTTGCGAGGAGCAACGAGGGACGTGCAGATGAGGATTGGGGTCGATTGGCTGCATGCGACCCGCCCCTGCACATGGCGGGCAGGTGGGGGAGCTTGGCTGCTCGCCATGCACCTCGTCTCCCCGTCTACTCTAGGTTTGTGTACAGACGGTGGACAAAAGTTCCACCACAGTCGAAATGCTTATAATTACTAAAAAGTTTTATCAGCATGTGTTACCGACCTTACGTTTTTTGGTGTTTAGGGGGGCTACATCACATAATTTTCTCACGGATGAATCAGACCATGTCAATTCAGTCATTGACAAGAACCGTAGAGTTTGAGTACGTGCTTATCCCTGATGTGGCTGCTGCCTGAGGATCAGATCAAAACAGTGATGACTCATTCAATCAAGGGGGTTCTGCAGAAGAAAAGAGGAAAGGAAGTTATCTACACTGCACTGAGAGCAAAATGATGGGTGCAAAAGGGATGCTTGCTCCGAGGTTAACCCCGTCTCTCAGCACACCCAATCATGCCTGTCACACTGACACAAAAGCTGTTTTGCACCACAGACATCATACCTAAGTATTTTTGCTTGCAAACTTTGCAACAATGTGCACATTTTGTTTCTTAATCCACAAGTTCCATTGAGAAGCTCTTCAATGTCACTGAGCCACCCAAAGACTGCGTGGCGTAGTTGAAGGCTGCAAAGCGATAGCCAACAAAGTATGACCAAGTATTGACCAAGAGATAAGGCTCGCCCAACTGTGTCCAATTAGTCCCATCTGCACTGTAGCTGAAAACAGCCGGGCGCAAAGGGGCAGCCTCTAGTGCAGGTGCGATAGCTGCTGTGATCTTCTCGACGCGGTGGCCCAGTTCCAGTCAGCCAATTCCAGGCCGTTGACGTACACCAGCATGACTGCGTCTCCGCTCTTGTGGACGCCAATATAGGCAGAGCGGTCCCGGAACATGGCTGCGCCAGCACAGTCGCCGTTGGTCATCTGGCTAATGTTGAATTCGAAGATGGCTTCTGATCTTGGCCCGAGCACCCGGCGTGTGAGCGTGTTTTTCGCATCGTAGACGTCATATGTGACGGTCGCGGTCTTGAGGGTGATCCCGCCTTCCCCGGCCAGACTCCAGCTAGAGGTGTCGGGGTTGTGGTTCCATTCCCATTCGTCACTCAGCGTCGTGAATGTGTCCAAGCCAACCGGTGGTTGGACTGTCTGGGTAGTCGCAACTGGGATAGGGTATTCTGTCGCCCAGCCGCCTGAGCTGTTTGTCACAATGTATGGCCACCCCTCCGAGTCCCACTCGACAGGAGCCATGACAGGAATGCGGCCTCCAGGGAAGGCGTCAATGAATGCGACATAGTGCCAGTCCCCGGCCTGAGTCTCCACCATGCCTCCCTGATGCGGCCATCCAGCTTGAGCAAGCGGGGCGTCGAGGAAGTCATAGAAGACATGTTGCTCATATGGACCCCAGGGGCTTGTGGAACGGTATGCCCATTCCCCGGTCGCAACCTTGGTGGGTATGATCCAGTAATAGCCGTTGATCTTGTACATGTGGCTTCCTTCGATGTAGACGTCCCCGCCTGAGACGACTTCCTGGTTGCTGGCTTCGCTCAAGCCGTCGCTTGATAGTTGTGCCACTGAGACGTTGGTGTTGCCGTAAACAACATACATAGAGTCGTCATCGTCAACCAGGAGCCCGCGATCGTAATAACACCTGTCGATGACGCCTGCTATCTGCCAATTCCAGGAGGAAACCTCGCCATTGTTGGCTGCCGCGTTGCTTCCAGAAGAAGTGTAGATGTAGGTCTTGGAAAATTCAATGCATCCAATCCAGTAGAAGGTATCAGTAGACTTACGGTAGCGCACCGTACTGGCCCATATACCCTTCACATAAGCGCGGTCTGAAGTGCCAAGGTTGTATGTGTCCCCAAACTCAAGCGTTGGCACGCTGTGGCTGACTGGAGTCCAGTTGGCCAAATCATAAGACTTGTAAAGTGGCACACCGGGTGAAAAGGTAACGGTAGAACTCGAGTAGTAGAAGACGTCGCCGATGCGGAAAATGTCGGCATCTGGCATGTCCTCCCATCGAATTGGGTTGGTGAATGTCGAGCTTTGACGTTGGCCCACAATGTGCGGCGCCGGCGAGGCACAGAAAAGAGTGCAGCAAAGACCGCTAAGGCCTGGACAGTATTGATAAGATGCATGATTTCCTGATGCTTATGGAGTAATGTTCGCAGGACCCAGAGCCCAGGGCACATGAAAGGAATTATATATTTCAAGTTGTAATTTCTATCCTTTTGATATCAACTCTAAACATCAGTGTTTCGTCAGAGACGACTGTCTGTACAATGAGTGCAGAGTCGTTAAGCAATGCACGCGTGCCAATCAAAGGCTACTCGGATAACCGGCCAAACTATTGTCTTGCGCCTTGCTACCCACAGAGAGGCAGTTGACCTGTCTGTGGTGCCCACGACTATTCTCCATTCAGTCCCATCGCCAAACCCACATGTCCGATGCGTACCAATCAAAGGCTCTACGGATAGCCGCCCGTACTATACACTGTTTCTAGTGATGTGTGCACCAATTCTTTTGTATTGAGTGGGCGGCCAGAAAGAGCTGGGTAGGCGGACGGAAGAAGCTGGGTAGGCTGACATAAGCCTAATTGTCTTTCAGGGTTCATTGCAGAGCCACTCTGCAGCGGGAGTTGCCTGACTTGTTTGACTGTGATCTTGTTTAAGCACCCCATTGCGGAAAGTTCGTGGAAGGTGGGTGTCCAAATGGTGCGACTTGGGTTAGAAGAATTCCAGAGTGGCTGGACTGGGAGTGCTGTTATTGGCGGTTCAGATTCGGCAACTGGGCGATCTCTTCGTCTCGACTCACCAATGTTATAGCGAGAAGGTTGGGACTGACTCCATGGGGATAGACTTTGGAGATCAAGAATCGTTAGGATGCCTTGGCATTGTTTCTGCCCACCGTACAAGCACTGCGACAAGTTTGTCAGTGCAGTATGTTGATCGCGATGTTATTTGTCTAGGTATGACACTCACTGGTCGCTTGTAAAGCTCCGTAGCCAACTGGTGCGGTTGGAAGAAAGGAAAAAGAAGAAATCGGATATTTGCACCCGCAAAAACGGAGGGTACACCCGTACATCGCCAGATGTAATGATTTCTTTTATATATATCTTGTAATTATAAATGCAAAGCTAATATTTTCTTTAAACCTCTGAAATTGTATAGATTTGTATAGAGGGTTAAAGTAGAAGTGTTTGGAGTTTGTGTGGGAAATTAGCGCCGAAATGGTGGTCCGCCATGGTAATGCTCATTACAAAGATGAAGGGAGGGAAGAGCACCCGAGAGGACACATTTTGTTTTGTCTCTGTTGCACAATTCTCAGTAAGAAAACGATCTGTCAAATTGGTAACCTTCACATGCACGAGACACGCCAATGAGCTGATCATCAACACGACAACAGGGCAGTCAACATGCAGGATATGAGTGGTACCGACAGAGTGTCACGGCAACAAATAGACTTCGGCTTGCTCCTTGCAGCCCGAACCCGAACCCTTCCCGTTGCGCCTAGATTGCCTAGGTACCTAGGCACCTTCTCTGCCCCTCCTCATTCTGCACGTGGCCACTTTTTTCACATGCCAGCAGCCACCTAGTCTCACTCAGCAAGCTCCCTACCTCCCTCCCTCACCCACCAGTCAGCACAGCTCCAGCTCTGCTCTGCTCGGCAAGGCTCGACCTGCTCACAATAAAATGGTCTGATAGTCAGTCATGACGATCCCTTCCTTACTGTTGATCCGACTGAGCTTTTGATACTTCGTTGCAACCGTCCTGTCGTCTTGTGTACCCCTTGCGCTCCCATGCGCTCTTTGTCTGACATGAAGTGAGCTGCATCATCGTCATCTGCTCTTGGAAACAAAGTCTACACATATCTTTGATCCCTCCCTTCCTGGACATCCCAGCCCGGCACAGCGCATCCAGTCGCAACTGTTTTCTCCATCGCCAGCCATGGAGAAGTTCTCGCAATTCCGTGACAGAGGTATGCCCCATCTCCTCCTATCCATCAACAATAACAACATCAACACCAACGGTAACTGACTGCTCGTAACCCCCAGGCTCCGGCATCTCCCCCTTCATCCCGCACAGCTCGCCCTCCAGCACCCCGGCCAAGCTGCTGCACCTCACCCTCTTCGTCTTCCGCCTGCCGTTCCTCCTCTCCTACGTGGCCTTCTACTTCCTGCTGGCCCAGCACATCCCCTTCCTGCCCCAGGCCCTCAACAAGCTGCTGGTCTGGGCCCTCCTCGCCATCCCCCAGATCTGGTGGGGCGACCTCCAGCTCGACGGCGTCAAGCGCGGCTCCCTCTCGCAGCAGCCCCCGGGCCGCATGCCCTCCGCCCCGCCAGCCTCCCTCATCGCAGCCAGCTTCACCAGCCCCGTCGACGCCGTCTACCTCGCCGCCGTCTTCGACCCCATCTTCACGATCAGCTACCCGCGCAGCCGCAAGGTCTCCAAGGTCGGCCTCTGGGGCGCCATCTGGCACGCCCTGAGCCCCCAACAGCTGCGCACCGGCCCTCCGTCTGCCGGCGACAACACCCCCAGTAGCGGCCTGACCACGATCGACGCCATCCTCGCCGAGAACCCGGGCCGCGTCGTCGCCGTCTTCCCCGAGTGCGCCACCACCAACGGCCAGGGCATCCTCCCCTTCAGCCCGAGCCTGCTCACCGCGCCCGCGGAGGCCAAGATCTTCCCCGTAAGCATCCGCTACGCCTCGCCCGCCATCACCACCCCCGTCCCGGGCGCCTGGGCCAGCTTCCTGTGGCGCCTGCTCAGCCGGCCCACCCACGTCATGCGCATCCGCATCGCCGAGGCCGTCTACAACACCTCGGGCGCCGTCAACGGTGTCGGCGAGGCGTCGGGCGTGGACGTGCCGGCCCGTTCGGAGGCTAGCAGGGCCGGCGCCGGCGGCGACGAACCCACGAAGATCACGGCCGAGGAGCGGCGTGTGCTGGACCGGGTCGCGGAGAACCTCGCGAGGCTCGGGCGGAACAAGAGGGTCGGCCTCACGATCGAGGACAAGGCCAAGTTTGTCGAGGCCTGGAAAAGGAAATAAGCTGAGTGTCAAAGCTGGAGGTAACACGTCTTAATGGCTTGGTGGGTACGGTACTAGGAGGGCACTTGGCCGAGGAGTGCGAAGGTGGTAATTTCCGAAAAATGCATCGCTGAGGTGTTTTGGGTCTATACGACGGTTCTGTTTTTCTTAGATATCTCCCCGCGAGTCGAGTATCCTTCGTCGGTTCTTTGGTTTTATTACCCTCCACGGAGATCCAAAAATATCTGTGTTGGTTTGTTCGGTTCAGCAGAATCAATAATCACGAGTAAATGAGCCAGTCGAATTCACACGCCGTGACATCAGTAGGCTCAGGGAACAGAGCGATAGTGTTAAGAAAGAGCGCTTTCGCATAGCGCCCCCAGTTTTGAACGCCAGGAATTATCAAGGTATCTACAGTACACACATCCAACATGACCCTCACTCGCACGGACGCCACCCACACGCCCCGGCACCTCATGACAGCTTCAGCAGCTTGTCGTCCGTGACGCAGCCCTGGCTGGCGTCGCTGACCAGCGTGGCGTACTTGGCCAGCGTGCCGCGGAGCACGCGGTTCTGGGGCCTGACCCACGCCTTGCGGCGGGCCTGGAGCTCCTCGTCGGCGACCTCGAGGTCGATGACGCGCTTGTCGGCGTCGATGACGATGCGGTCGCCGTCCCTGGCGAGCGCGATGGGCCCGCCCTCCATGGCCTCGGGCACGACGTGGCCGATGATGAAGCCGTGGCTGCCGCCCGAGAAGCGGCCGTCGGTCAGCAGGGCGACGTCCTGGCCCAGCCCCGCGCCCATGATGGCCGAGCTGGGCTTGAGCATCTCGGGCATGCCGGGCCCGCCCTTGGGGCCCTCGTACCGGATGATCACCACCGTCTTCTCGCCCTTCTTGATCTCGCCCCGCTCCAGGGACTGGATGAAGTCGTCCTCCTTGTCGTACACGCGCGCCTTGCCCTCGAACCGCAGGCCCTCCTTGCCGGTGATCTTGGCCACCGAGCCGCCCGGCGCCAGAGAGCCGCGCAGGATCTGGATGTGCCCGTTGGGCTTGATTGGGTTGCTCAGCGGGCGGATGATGGCCTGGTCCGAGGGGAAGTCCTTGAACGCCTCGAGGTTCTGCTTCATTGTCTTGCCGGTCACGGTGACGCCCGACCCATCAATGACACCCTCCTTCAAGAGGAACTTGAGGAGCGCTGGAATTCCACCAGCGTTATACAGGTCCTCGAAGACGTACTTGCCCGAGGGCTTCAGGTCAGCCAGGAGGGGCGTGCGGTCGGAAACAGTCTGGAAGTCGTCGATGGTCAGCTTGACACCGACGGCATCAGCAATGGGGATAAGGTGAAGCACGGCGTTGGTGCTGCCACCGAGGATGCTGATCAGGACCATGGCGTTCTCAAAGGATTGTCTCGTCAGTATGTCACTAGGCCGGATGTCCTCCTTGAGCAGGTTCCTGATAGCCGGGCCAACAGCCTCACACTCTGCCTTCTTGGCGTCGCTGACGGCGGGGAAACTGCTGCTTCCGGGCAGGGTCATGCCCATGGTCTCGATGGCACTGGCCATGGTGTTGGCGGTGTACATGCCACCGCACGCACCAGCGCCGGGGCAGGCATTCCGGATGATGTCGAACCGCTCCGCCTCGTTGATCTCGCCAGTGATGTACTGCCCGTAGGCCTGGAAGGCCGACACGATGTCGAGGTCCTTGCCCTTGGAGCAGCCGGGCTTGATGGACCCTCCGTAAACCATGATGCTGGGTCGGTTGACACGGCCCATGGCCATCAGGACACCAGGCATGTTCTTGTCACATCCTGGCAGGGACACGTTGGCGTCGTACCACTGGCCGTTCATGACCGTCTCGATACTGTCGGCGATGATCTCACGACTCTGCAGGGAGTAACGCATACCGGTGGTGCCCATACTGATGCCGTCTGACACGCCAATGGTGTTAAAGCGGTAGGGCACGAGGCCGGCCTTTGCCACGGACTCCCTGCAGAGGTTCGACAGGTCCATCAGGTGCATGTTGCACGGGTTGCCCTCGTACCACACGGACGAGATGCCAACCTGGGCCTTGTTCATGTCCTCCTCGCTGAGCCCGGTCGCGTAGAGCATGGCCTGGGAGGCGCCCTGCGACTTGGGCTGTGTGATGTTGGCCGAGACCTTGTTGAGCTTGTCGTCGGCATAGCGGGCTGGGGTCGTGGAGAGGAGGCGGCTGCATCGAGAGGCAATTGTCAGCAACGGAGATCCAATGTTTACATGATGAGTCAATTGGAGCTGGACGGTATAGCACGTACGCTTGGCCATTGGAGGCCAGATAGCGGCCTGCTGCCAGGGCTCGTGGGGCCCTGGCCCGGAGGAGTGAGGGCAGCGACATGGCGCTAACTCAGTCACTGTATGGACGGACGCACGAGTGACAAGAGAAAACCGGACAAAGTGAACGAGGCGTCGAGGCAGAAGAACCGAAAAGTCGTATTTCTATCTGCGCCTTGCCATGCGGGATTGGAGGCGGGGGGCGGGCTGGTCGGGGATGACTCGAAGGCCACGAGCACAATTGAGCCGACGCTGAGACGAAATCCAATTCTTGCCCTCACCTCGAGATCACAGGGACAATCACAGGGACACACCTGCAAAAAAGGCGGCAGTAATAATTTCTGGGGAGCTCAGCGACATCGGCCCCGGATTCCCACCCGCGCCCCTGCAGCCCCACACCAGCTGTAATCATGCCCCCTCTCATTGGTTGCTGGCTTTGTGTTGCATCAAGCGGCTCTGGAGCTGGCCAGGGGGCGACACACTTGGCTTTGCAACGACATTTAACTTGGAAAAGCTCCAACGTACAATTGATTTTCACCTGGATCCATGTACTTGCTGGAACTCATGTCCATGAAAATGAGTTCTCGACTGCGGACTCATGTCAGAGTTCCTGACTCTGTCTTGGACGCAGCTGGATTCATACACTCACGCCTGCTCAAATCTAAGCTCTCGTTCTCTGGAGTTGACCCACGCTGGCGTCCACTACCCACATCTCATGACGAGCTGATCCGACTGTTAACATTGGCGTCCAGATCTCTCCCTAATATATCGTACCAAGCTAGATAATTAGGCATAGAGTACCAATCTGTACACTTGTCTTGGTCTTGCACTGTGTTGGTTAGGAGGGGGTTGGGTCTTGGTATCTGCCTCGCTCGTCAACATTGCTCGGCGAGTGTCGAGGATCTATCTTTTCTTACAATCAATCATGTGCAAACTCAGGTTCATCCTGGTCTTTCATTGCATGTGAAAAAGTCTATCTCGGTAGCCCTCAAATCATGCTCCAAAATTCAATCAGAGGAGAAAGAGTAATTTTCCTATTCCCCCTAACAGGCAGAGGACCCTGACCCCAGTGCCGCTAGTTCGCGTCGACGGCAATGTCTTCTGACCCGATCTCACTCAATCCACCTCAGAATGCTACTGATCCGCCCCGTCCACAAAAGCCTGCAACGTCGTAACGACTTCGTCTACTGTCAGCTTGCTGACAAGATCGTCATCGGTCTGGGCCCAGGCAGTAAGCCCTGACAGACAGGCCTCAAGGTCATCTGCATGCTCCGGCGCAGCCAGCTCCAGGAATCCCTTCAGATCGACGACCTCGAGCTCGCCCGGGTCGATCGTGGAGCGCCTGAGAGGTACAGGGCGGGCCTTGGAGCGCACCAATGCCACTCGGAATCGAGCTGAGCCCGGCACCTGGCGGAGCGTCTGGGGGTCCATGGCGGCCGTGTGGACCATGACCGCAGTCCAACCCTTGGGGTGAATGTCCCGGATCGAACCGGTCGGCCGTTTCTTAGGGTACGAGTAATACTCCGATCTGGCGCAGAACAAGGCCTCTGATGGTATGGGGCTCACTTCAATCGAAAATGTGAAGGTTTTGAGGGTAGAAGGGGCGCAGGCAAAATTCAGAGGAACGTCGAGCTGTCCATTCCCGTTTCCGGCTTGGCGGGGCTCCTTGGACCTGCCCTTGACGACGTTGAGGAGACCGGTGACAAAGCGGACTGGCGTGAGAAGACCGTCGCACAGGAAGAAGCCCGACAACCAGGGCCCATTTTCCCGACTGCCCTGGATCCCCTTGAACTCCGTCGGGCCGTGATAAAGTAGCTGCATTACGGGAAAAGTCTTCCAGTAGCCGGTTCCAGGGAGGGCGGCTTTCCAATTGGTCTCGTTCGTTCGTCGGAGACTTCGGGAGAAGGCAGAGCCCAGCACAAGCCTCTGGCTTACCAGAGGTTGGTTGGAACCATTTGTAAGAACCTCCACCATCTCGGACGGGTCCTCAGTCCGACGATCTGGGCGAGTAAGCAAATATAAGCTGTCAAGTTTGACGTGTTCCACGATAGCAGCCGCGGTTGGGCAGGCTTCGAGGAATGAACCGATGCCAGAGAGGTTGGCTGTCTTCAGGTGTCTCAGAGCCTTGCTGTTCGCGAATGCCACAAGATCGTCTTCTGCTAGCTGGCTTAGGAAAGGGGTGAAATCGAAATGCTTCTCGCCCGCAAACGCCTTCTTGAGGATCTCGGCTGCTGCAGAAGACTTGGAAAGCGCATCAGTGTGCTCGATAAGATGGTGCTGGAAGTCGCTTGTGAAGTTGCGGATATATTCCATGGGCTCATCCAGTAGTGTCAGGTCCGGGGGTGCGTCGCTTGATAGTAACTCCTGGAACAGCTTGTTCTGCGAAAGGGACCGAAGTGATTGCACTGATGCCTTGTTTGATACTGCAAGGGGAAGCCCGTCATTGGTGTCGCCTGCTCCTGGGGTGGTGGGCCATGCACCGTCCGGCCAACAGTCTAAGCAGGTCCTGTTAGCATTTAATACTTAAACTTCAAGCATTCCCATGCCTAGGTGATGCCAGTTGATAACAATCTGAGTGTGGCCATGTGTCTGGCTGGGAACTGGCAGTCGGAGAAAGAAAGCAGTTCCAAGTGTACTGACCTGCAAGGGCAGACAACTCAACAAGAGCGTAGTTCTCAAGGCCGTCAACCGCCATTTTGTTTCTGAGAACAATTTCATCACCGTCATCGTGGTAGGCCCTCATGTAGGTCCATCCATCCAAAGGTGTATGCAATGGCACCTCTTGCTCCGAATCTATGCCACAGAAGGCCACGAAGCAGTAGCGGACGTTGGAAAGGTCGGTTATATCTAGGATCATGATACCTGCAGCCTCATGTAAGCTTACTGAAATGCCGTGAATTAGAAGGATGATATTACTGTTGGTGCTGGGGCGGTGGTTTTGGTTGGATCTCATTTCAAAACGTCCCTCTTCCACTGCATAACAACTTCCAAGATCTGGGTTGCATGAAGCGCCCGCAATCAAGCAAGTCGTGATGAATGGGAAAGGACATGGGGCCTGTCCCACAGCAGAACCATTGTATCTGACCAATCTTTCAATCTCAGTCTCAGATGCAGCCCCATAAAATTCGGCAGCAAACTTGAGCTCTTGCTGAATAGAGTATCGATTCGCCTGATCAGAGAAAATGCGCAGGAGGCGGTAGCAGGTAGACAGGGCTGAGACGCCCTCGAGCCCTTGTGATCAAGTCAGTGATATCCCAGAAGAGTAATGATTAGCAGCAAGTTAGAGGAGTTCTCACATGGATGATTTGCGGCAGCAAGGGAGCGGTAATGCTGACCCTTGAGTTTTGCAATGATGAAGAGTTGGTGAGCCTGGCGCTGTCGTACCATTGTGGATATGCTGTAGTGAGCTGAGAAAGGCAACCAACAGCTACTTTGCGGCTACCCAAGATAGAGAGAGAAAGGAATACGGCAAGTAGCCGACAATCTAGCCTTTAAATACTCATCAGACTGTTCAGTGACTGGTGGTCAAGTGAATGTATCCATAGTATCGCTGTGTGTGACTGAAGAATTCTGTGAACTTTGCAAATCAAGTTACAAGTTATGGATTCACATCAACCAAACAACTTCTGAGACAATGTATCTGCTGCTACAACCCCACTTCAGTCGTGAGAGTTGCCAGCAACTAAGCCCGAAGTCTCCTCCCAGGTTATTTACTTGATGACACGGCCTTCACGGAGAACAGTGATGATACCAGTGAATAGAACAGTCACCTGGGTTCTGTGATATGGTGTGGCAGGAAAGACTGGGTCTGGCAAATAGGGGATTGTTTGTCTTCGAAGTTGGCGTATGGCTCAGTTCCGAGTGCAGAAGGGGCCCCAGGGCAACTTTTTTAAAGACGTGTGGCCCAGTGACTGGCCCATATTCACAGGAAACCCCAGTGAATGCCATATAGGCTGTCCATTCACTTCTTTTATCAACAACTATGTTCAACACACAGGAGGCTTGCACTCAACATTCAAATGTGACTCAGCGCTACCTGGAGAAATATATCTAGACACCAATGGCCCGTCACATTCATGGATTAAAGGGATTGGTATGGGACTTCAGATATATTTAATACACCCGTATCGACCTTATCAGAAAGGGAATACCTGCAACTTAGCTTCCTATTTCCATTTGCCTCTTGTCTCTGAGGTCCAACTCCTTCACTTCTTCAACTCCGCTCATTCCAAGTGCTTGACTTCCTTGCTGAGATTCTGCTTAAAATCAACATGGTACTTGAGCTTACGTGGCATAAATCCATGCTTTTGTTTCAAGCATGAAGAACAGTTGTGCGCTGGAGCGTCTCGTATGATGGGATGAAGTCGATGATTGAAGACCAACAGGGCAGGGACGGACTGAATTTCAATTTGATTGTCAATAATGCTGAAAAGTTCACTGCACAGAGTTTGGTAACTGTAGCCTTCTTAAACATCAAGTGAAAGATAATGAGGATAAGAAAATTGGCAACAATTAGCCGGAATATCGTTCCGGCCTGAGAAGATGTTATTCCATGGGAAAAGGTAGTATTGGTCTGACTCAAGCCACAATTGTTATATTCTTTGCGCTGCTCTATCCGAAAGGGGCCAAGTGCTTCCTGATTACACCAGCCCGTCAGCCCAGCCAAGGCACACGGAGGAACCATCCCGCCGATACTCGATCCTTCTTCGGCGTTAACGATAACAGAGCTCGGGCCTTGCTGCAGTTACTGTTTGTACCACACTGTGTCGGAAACATTCACAGCCTCACACAAGTGTATGCGCGTGCACTGTCAGCTAGATATACCGAGTGCCGCAATTCAACGCACATACACCAAGCATGGATTTGTCAGAGGCCCTTAGACCCTCGGCTTTGCAGGGTCAAGAGCGCCCGATGCCGTATATGACTCTTGCCGAGTGTCGTAAAGACTGAGCAGGATTGCTGTTTATTGCCCTGGCCAACATTCATGCCTCTTGATGCGAGAGACAAGACAATCTGATCCTCATGCTGCGACGATATAAGATGGGCACATGCCCTCGAAGTAATGCCGGGACAATACACACATGCAACCATCCAACAACCATCCAACATCAACGACTATTACACTTATAATCTCTCATAATGTCTACGAAAAGGTACGAACACCATGGTGAGGCCGAAGTGTCACGGCTGGCTCAGCCTCTGTCATTCGGGCAGTCTCTCAAGTCTGCTCCCAACCGCCTTTTGAAGAGCTCAATGGCCGAGGGTTTGTCGACCTGGGATGCCACCAACTTGCAAGCTCGCGGTATTCCTACAGACGAATATATTGAGCTTTATCGGCGGTAAGAAGCTCGAATACTTGTCCTCTACACTCAGACCAGGCTGACACGATTGAAGATGGGGCGAAGGCGGCTGGGGGATCATTCAGACAGGCAACATCATGATTGATTGCAAGCACATGAGTGCTGCTGGCGATGCGGCTATCCCATGCGACTCTCCACTGGAGGGAGAGCGCTTCGAGAGCTTCCGGGCCGTAGCTGCGGCTGCGAAAGCCCACGGGGCCTTGGTGATAGGACAAGTAAATCATCCCGGACGGCAGATCCCATCCAAAATGATCAACGAATCCATCTCTGCTTCAGCTGCTCAGCTCGGTGAGTCCGCAGCTCCACACCTGGCCAGACAGCGCAAACGCTCATGGTTCGAATTTCCCTTACAGAGCCGACCGCCGGCATGACATTCCCGCCCACCCGAGCAGCCACCACAGACGAGATCGCCCGCGTGGTCGACGCCTTCGCCCACGCAGCCGAGTTCCTCGAGGCAGCCGGCTTCGATGGCATTGAAGTTCACTCTGCGCACGGCTACCTGCTTGCACAATTCCTCAGCCCGACCACCAACAAACGCACCGACGCCTACGGCAGCAGCAGCATCGCGAACAGGATGCGCATCGTGAGCGAGGTGTGCGCAGCGGTGCGCGCGCGCACGCGGCCCGGGTTCTTACTCGCCGTCAAGCTCAACTCGGTCGAGTTCCAGGCCGGGGGGCTGTCGACGAACGATGCGGCCGAGCTGGCGTCCGCGCTGCAGCAGGACGCCGGCGTCGACTACCTGGAGCTGAGCGGCGGCACGTACGAGGACTTTGGGCTCGGGCGCAAGAAGGAGACCACACAGGCCCGCGAGGCCTTCTTCCTCGAGTTTGCCGAGCGCGTCGTGCCCGCCCTGGGACCCGCTGACGGGCGCAGGACAAAGGTCTTCATCACCGGCGGGCTGAGGTCCGCGGGCGCCATGGCCGCGGCTCTGGACGTCGTCGACGGTGTCGGCATCGCGAGGCCTGCCGTGCAGGAACCTGCGCTTGCGCGGGACCTGTTGTCTGGGCGTGCCAAGGGTGCCATCAAGGCGCTGCCTCCCTTTGAGGAAGACTTCGCGATGTCTGGGCTTGGTGCGTGGTCACAGATGCGGGCGATCGGCAAGGAATTTGAGCCGTTTGACCTGAGTGATGCCGAGGTGGTAGGGCATTTTCTGAAAGATGCTGGGGCCTGGTTTGCCGAAGTGGCCCAGAATGGGGATGACTTGACCAAGTTTGGGTATCCTGATTACACTGGGGAGCTGCGACCCCATTTGGCAAACTGACGCCCTGTAATGTGGTAGTCATTGTGTATGAAGGAAATTTTCAATTATTCAAGCTTCCATGTCTCTTAGAATGGTCTCAAGGTTTGTGCTCCTTGCATCTCATTAGTATGACAGGAATTGGAAAGGATACATGACTTCAGCTTCTTGTGAATGCCCGCTTTGCTCTCACAGACCAACAGCGAGGAGCTTCCGTCTGTCCTCCCAGGTTCAAGAGCTTAGCGAACGTGAGCTTAGCGCCCTTGGCGCTGCAGTTGGCCTGGACGCAGCGTGCCCACGTGCTGCAGTCCCCACTGCCAGAGACACCCAGCCTGCTGCGCCCACAAAAAGCAGTCCAAACCGGCAGTCGTGAATCCTCCGGGACTTGATCAATAACATGGCAAAGGTCTCGCTCGGCGCTCATCGACCGTGTCTACTTGAATCCGCGGGTTCAGATGCTAAAGAATATTGCGGGAGTTCCCGGATCTGATCGAGGCCTTCTACACGAATGTATGATTAATTGCTCGGATCAGGCCTACGGCGGGACGTGGCTTTGTTGGCCGTTTTCTATGGGATACCTAGGCAAGTCACCTTGCCGCCTTGGCTTTATTTAGAATTTACCTTTGCGGACTGTCTGTCCACTATTTGGACGTCCTCATAAACTGTCTACGTACGGATATTGTGCTTGAGTCTGATCGAACTGTTACCTGTTGGGCACATAATGTTTGCACGCCTTCCTAGGTAACCCGATGTGCATTCTTGGATCGCTTCGCCCCAAACAACGACCAGAGCAACAGGTGAAAAATTAAGATTGACCCATTGCAGACCCCACAAATATACTACCAGGACCCAGGACCAATTCGATGATAGGATGAAAACCCACCCAACACGCGCGGACGAGAATGATGCGTACCATTCAGAGCCATTGTGGTGGACCAGCAGGCCTGTCGGTGGGTATGCTGTGCCGCAGAGATGCCTCAAGAGAGCCTTTTCTCAGTGTGCGCCAGCACCTTTTTACACAGTAGGTTCCTGGCAGTTGGAAGCAGCGTTCCTTTTCTCTCTTTTTCCTGACCAGACGATGTCTTATTGAGCATTCTGAAACAATGAGCAAGACTTGAGAATTTCGCCTCTCCTAATTCCTTCTCGTGACAGTTCAAAATGAAACTTCTTAACAGACTGGCAGTCCTTACTACTCTTCGGTTACTGGTTCGCCCGGCATTCTCCAGGAATATCAGCGAGGTCGATTCGCCCGCATGCGCTGTAGGTTAATGAGCCAGTTTTACATTTGATGTATCTTATTCTGATGTAGGAAACTAGATCAACTGTTACCAAAGTTTATGCGACGTGTCAACGATGGTGAATGAGCATCGCGGATGCGGGTGTGGGGACACAAGCTGGGAAAACATAACGCGATGCTTTGACGAGACTTGTCTTCTCGCCACAGAATTCTTCAGTATGTGCACGCCACACCTTCTGAAACTGGCTCAATGGCCTTGATGACGGACATTGACTGAGCGTCTACTTGCAGCGAGCCAACGATTCTTGTGGGACGACTGTGGCTTCGAGCGCCCTATCGACACTTTCGATTCCGAAAAGACAATTTCAGCCATTATAATATTCGTGGTGCAGACTCTGTTTTTCGTTCCAAGGATTACAGTACGGCTTATAGGCTTGAGCCAATGGGGCCGGGACGATACCTCTTGTGTGGCAGCCTATGTCAGTAACACCATTCTCCACTGAGTGTACCTGGTCTGACAAGAAGAAACAGGTCCTCCTGGTCGTTTACTTCGTTCTCTCCATAATAAGTAGCTCAGCACCTATCCCGAACTTGGGATGCCAGCCACATGCTAACAGGTGTGCAGTGGGGCACTATGGCTACTATCCGCACTATTGGGATTTGGATTTCTGGAAAGCACGCATATGGCTAAAGTTGAATATTTCTCAGGGTCTCCTGTATGCCATAGCACTTGGAACCTCCAAGGCGTCCATCATATTCCTTTACCAGCGCATCTTCGACACGACTAAAACGCTTAGATGGGTCTTCTGGGGGACGCATGTCTTCAACATATTGTTGGCGTTGTCGTACTTCTTTGCCTCCATCTTTGTCTGGAGGCCTTTTAAGTGCCACTTCATGGTAGACATCGAGGAGGGCTGTGTCTCGAACGACGTGTGGGATGGTTCCGGTGCTAACGCAGCTGTCAATGCCGCGTTGGACATCTGGCTGATCATTATCCCTGCGTTTGCGATATGGAGGCTGCAGATGAAGGTCTCACAGAAACTGAGTCTTATTGCGGTATTCGCTACTGGATTCCTGTAAGTGTGTCCCTTTTGCCCATGAGGAGAGTCGCCTGTCCTGACAATTGGTGGTAGCACATTCTTGACAGCACTATTTCGCTTTATCATTTGGCGCATTCAAACTCGGCTCCTAGACCCAGGTAGGTCACAGTATCCCATCTGAAGTCCTTCGAGAGGAATACTGGTGATTTGAGTATCTAATTTGCCCTCAGATCTCGATGAGTATACCTATCAGTACATAATATGGGCTACAAACTACGCATTTGAGGCGGAGATAACATGCTGTTTCGTTATCGGCTGTCTCCCGGCCTGTAGGCAGCTCCTTAGGGAAAAGATTTCCCCTTTTGTCAGGGAAAAGAAGACTTCCATTTACTCACGGCTCAAGACTCGGAGTAAAGAGCAAGTGAAGCAGAACACAGGAAGCACTCAACAGAGTCCTGGGGAGAGCACACATGACTGTGTTGATTTGGAGGATCGCTGGGAGGTGGACTCGTATTTGGATACAACTGGCCCGGAGTACGCTTGGATGCATACAGAAGACCACCAGAACATGCAATCTGGTGGAAGAAGCCCTGACGAGAATGTTCCTGGTTTTCAATCTGTGCGGCAACCTTGATTATTTCTTCAGAAGGCATATTCCCCAACATTAACGCACATCAAGAATTGCATCAATATAGCGTTTCTGAAGGTGGGATATCTGAAGTGGGAGGGGGCATTTGGTGTGTATGTCAGGGAGGGAGCTGAGGTTTGATGTTGACTTGAGAAATCGTCGAATTTACCTACCGATCCATCTGTAGGCTGCAAGCTACTCATTTCAGGCAAAGATAAGGCACCTCGTTTGTGAAAAGCTTTTCACTTTCAGTAGGTTCTCAAAAGCTCCCATTTATCCCGTATCTCGCGCCTCCGAAACTGACCAAGAGCTCAAGGAATAACTAGACGCAGGATATTTCACCAGTTCATGGCGTAACTTCAATGCCAATTGAAAGATTTGAAATGGGGATACTAGCAATAACCAATAATAGTATTTTTACCTCTCGCTAAACACATCGAGAGTCACTTGCTCAGACTTTGTGAATCCATAAATCAGACGTGGATATACCTGAACATTATTCCATCCCCCTAGTCTCGAACCTCAGCCCAACTCGATAGCTCCTCATCCATGACAAGCTTCTCCATGCACCCTTTCTCGAGCCCCAAATAAATCTCCACTCCCTCATCTGCACCCGCATTAAGCCGCGTAGGATACAAGAAACCATACCCGTCAAACACAGGCGTAGCCCACCTAAGCGCCCCCAGCGGGCCGAAGCCGAAATCCCACCTCTCATACGCCCGTAGAACCCGCCAGCTCGTCACGAGCGCGTCCAGACCCATGACAACGTCAACGTCCATGGCGACATCCGCACCCCGCGGGACCGACGCGATCCAGCTAATGGCCCGCTGGACCAGGGTCCAGGCGCGGAACTTGTCGACCGTCTCGCGCACGCACACCGCGACGGCGCGGAAGGTGTCATGGCGCACAAGCTCATTGAGTGGCATGACGGCCTTGGAGAACATGACCACGTTGCCCGGGTACGCGGCGGGCACCCCTCCCGTGATCGAGGCCCGGACGTCGAGTGAGTTCTCCAGCGCCACGGGCCGGGAGTCCGTGGAGGGGTCGGCGATGTTGTGCATCGCGAGACGAGAGCGAGTCACTGCGCGCCACATGAGTGCCGTGATGCAGTCGTTTGTCGAGACCCACGCGTCTCCGGGGGCCGGCGGCGCGGCGGATGCTTTGAGGGCTGCGAGCTTGCTGGCTGGGATGTGCCAGATGTGCTGGGCCATTGCTGAGGGCGGAATGTCTGACGTTGGAGGGGCGTTTGGTGCGTATTTAAGAGAAGGGACCGGTTGCTTGGTCTTGTCGAAAGTGTCTGGTATGGCTGAGTTCAGGCGAGGGATGTTGAGGTCAGACGGATTGAAGCGTGGACGTGGTGTGCCGTTTCTCAGCGAGCGGGTGTGAGCGGCCCAGTGGGACATCACGGCATCCAAGCCTTTCGCATCGATCAGGAGGTGATGGAATACCGCACCGATTACCAGGCCGCCCTTGAGAATGTTGAACTGCACGAGCATCGCGGGATTGCCCTCTCCTGCATTATTCGTGGGACTTGGCTCGAAGTCTGGTGGGAGCATGCGAGCGTCGAGTTCCGAAACAGGGAAGTGACGCTCCGCCAGCTGGTCATGAGATGGGAATTCTCCTCCGGTATGGTCCTCGATGTGCACGGTGAATCTTGCATGAGATGGTCCGCGCTTCACAAAGGACGTTCCAGCGTCGGTCTCGAAAAGCGATCCTGCCAGAAAGCGGTAATCCGCCAGTAGCCTCTTGAGCCCCGAACAGAGGTCGGTTATCACAGACTCAATGTCGAGACCATCATCGATTCGGTATGTGCAGGTGATTGGGATGTACATCTTCGGCATAATGCAGTCGAGGAGGCTGACGTTGAAGACCTCTTCTGCCGGTTCGGTTTCCAAATCTACGACATCGAAAGTACGTGTTCCGGTAAGATTAGAACTAGGAGTTGGGATATCATCAGAATCGATGGGAATTATATCTACAAGTGCTTCTTTTGCAACATCAATAGGCTCGGCATAAGATGCCTGCAGTAGGGAGATCTCTGCAGGGGCCACTGTGTGTGCCATGATTAGTGATTTTGTTTTAGAAGACAAGAATAGGTGAGAAAGTTTGGTGCCCTGATCTCAAAGGACAAGGTGCGAGAGATGCTGGAATATATGTATTTTTGCTTATCGGCCTACAACATGTTGGTTGTGTATTGTTCCAATCGTGAGCACAGAAATCCACATGGGTGGACCAGGTGCATACAATTGCTGGGGGAAGATTGGCTAAATGGAGTATTGAAATCTACAGAGCGAAATCCAACTGGTCCCGTTCTAGCAATCCCAGAAATCAAGGTAGGAGTGTAAGTGGATAGGTGGATACCTCGCCGCTCCTCTGCCTCCTTTCTCCCCTGAAATGCGTGATGGGGATGCTGTATTCCAATCCACACGCAGTCTAAGCGATCCCTTTACAGTTTTGCTCTTCGGAGGTCATCCCCGAAGAGGAAAATGTATATGATGCATCCATATTATGGTCGTCATGTCGTGTAAACGATATGAAATCTCCTTCAAACCTTGCTCAAGGCATGGGCAGCCAGCTGGGTTAAATGAAGACATCTTTGTGTAATTATGTGTGAAAGACACGAGGTTCGGGCTTGGGTATCATGCTAAGGGCTTAATCAAGTCTGGCTAAGTATGATTAGCTCCCTCTTTACCCATGAAACATTCTCTTATACAATGAATAGTTGAATGTAGATCTAGCCTACATTCATGATGACCTTCGCGTACATTGTGTAGCTAGAGGTACACCTGTTGCGGGGGTCTTAAGTTTCCAGGTCACTGGACAACTGGAGCTACAGGTCCGTTTGGACGGAAAGGATATATAATTTGATGCGACTATGGCTCATACTATCTCTTCACAATCTGCAGCCCGTGAGCCAGTAAAAGAAACCCCCGTGAAGTCGTGTGTCCAGGGAAGTGGCTCGAACTACTGGGTTTTATATTCTACTCACTGGCTGATTTCTGAGTGAGATATTCATACGCCAATACCTTGACAAGCGGCCATTTCTGTGGCCGGAATGAGTAACATAATGTTGTGCGCATCCAAGTCTAGGCCATCTGCAGCTTCATCTAGAGACATCCGTGCTGGATGCCAGTGTGACAGTATTCGGGGAACGAGTTCGCTGGCCGGAACCGTGACATAAGTTGTGGCTGAGCTTACGTGGCACTTGCTGCTCTGTCCACCACTTATCCACATCTGGCTGACGCTGACTTGCTGACGGCCAGCGCGGATCCTGGCCTCGGCGAGACTTCGCCGGACTTTGAGGCTTTGTGTGCTGCCTTTGAAGGCGCACTTTCCACCGAAGAGGCGCTCAACTATGAGGGCGACGGCGAGTTCCGCTACTTCGGCCCCACCAGTGGACAGCTGCATTTCATGTCCGACTTTTCGCCGGACCAGAGCCAAGACACTCCTCCGCTGCAATCACAAGCGATTTCTGCCGACTCTGTCGCCGCCAACCCTCGCGCCGAGATGAACCGGCGGACACTCGCAGAGGACGACAGTGGGTTGATGGTCTCGGAAGAGTTGAAGTCCGAGCTCGTAAACTTGTACTTCACATGGCAGAACCCATGGCTGCTCGTCGTTGATGAAGACCTCTATCGGAGTAATTTGAAGACGACGGGCCGTTACTGGAGTCCTCTCCTTGAAAACTGCATCCTCGCCATCGGATCTCGTTTCATAGACAACCCCGATGTACGTACTGATCCGGACGATACGAACAGTGCTGGTCGATTCTTCTTTGACCGGGCCGAGGTCTATCTGTCCTACGAGCTGAAGTTTCCGAGCATTACTACCATACAATCACTGTTTCTGCTGAGCCAGCTGAGTGTGGTGAGTCCACTCCAATGCACACACACCTGAAAGCATACAGTGCTAACTCGCTGTGTGAAGTCTACAGGGGCCGACGCAACTTCCTGGCTACGCCAGGGAATGGCAAAGCAGCTCGCCCTTGATCTGGGGATCAATCTTGATGCCCAAAGGGTGTCTGGTTCAAATTCAATATCGGCTGAGGAGGTCGAGCTGAGACGACTGCTTTACTGGTCCATGCACTGCGACGACAAGCTGGCTGCTGCTTACACAGGACGCGTCTGCACACTGCTAGGACTTGTTGCGTGGCCAACCGTTCCCGACCTTGAAGTCACCTCACTTGGCCCATCAGCACACGCGCGAAGTCCGCGAACGTTGATGTTGCTGCTGCATGCTCTTATTCGGCTCTCTCACATGCTGGAAGACATCATGGTGTCTTTGTAAGTGAACCTAACTAGTAGGACGCGACTTCCCTGAAATCTTTAGCTGACATCCTGGCCTGTCACCATTTATAGATATATGCCAAAGCCGAGGTGCTAGGTGAGCCTGCGATCAGCCTTTCTCGACTCATGCTACCTCAAACTAAAGACTTGGATATATGATCTGCCACCTGAGCTCCGTCTGGACCGCTTGGACCAGCCTTGCATCAAAGTGGGAGGTTCTATAGGTATCGATAAATTAGTAATGTTCAAATTGAGCACCGCAAAGAGCAAGTTGCTGCAGGTGGCAGGATATTGCCGCACCATACCGCCTTCTGCATTCAGAGACGACGCGTCTTTCAGCTTTAGCCGAGGAGCTTTGGGCTCACGTAAGCTGTCGGACCCATAATAACACGGCCTACGCCCAGACAACGGGAACTGCTTCACTCTCGTCATCAATCTGCAAGCCATCAATCCACCCATACCGTCGTCCATTCACCGTCATGTTGGCTAGGACAGACGTATCTCGGGACCGCGGGTGACCGCTTAGAATTTCGAAGCCGAGGCTGCCATGTACAGGTCCTTCTCAAAAGCTCCTTGTTTTCCAGAGTTTCGATGAGTGTGCCAGATGCTGCTGGCAAAGATGGGGATGCCGCAGGCCCCGAGACTCCTGATGTGAACAACACGCTATGCTGGCGGCTGCTCACGATTTCCTTGTTGAGGCTCAACGCCGCATCGCGTCACATCTCGTCTATTTTCCGACGCCGCCGCCGACCACATGTCGGCCATGTGTATCCCCTCACGCGTCACATGCTCGTCAAGACTGGGAGCGACGTCCGGCTGGCCGAAGCGGCGACGATGAAATTCATCGCCGAGAACACCAACATACCCGTACCCAAAGTCCTCAGCGCGTTTATGCGCAAGGGAGTAGCTTACATCGTCATGGAAAGGATCCAGGGCCAAGAAATGGCCAAACTCTGGCACCGCCTATCCGATCAGACCAGGGCGAGCCTGCTGGACCAATTGCGACAGATAGTGGACGAACTTCGGGCACTCCAGCCACCAACCAAATTCGCTGTTGGGAGCTGCATCGGTGGGTCGCTGCAAGACTTCCGACAGAGTCGTGCGCCGCCTCCGGTGCGATTTGGGCCCTTCAGGACCATTCAGGATTTCCACAGCTGGCTCAGGGACGGCCTGAAGAAGGGACAAGCTGAGAACATGGAGCAGGCGGATCTGGAGGATATGAACGAGATGATTACGAGGCAGGAGGGTCCTTGGCCTCCGCCCGTATTCACGCACGGAGACTTGAATCCTTCGAACATCCTCGTCCGCGACGGCAAGATAGTCGGCATCATTGACTGGGAGATGGCAGGATGGTATCCTCACTATTGGGAATATACGTCACTCAAGATCGCGAGCGACTCTGTCAACCCAGCCTGGGATGATAATGTTGAAAAGTTCCTCAGCCCCTTACCGGACGAGTTGAAGATGGAGAAAGTACGGTTCCGTTGGTGGGGAAACATCTGCTGAAATTCAAATTTCACAGTCTATACAAACATGAGGTCCACCCCGACATCTACCTTCATTCGGAAATCTGTACTTCAGAGGTAGCTCTCCTTCCCCGTCAATAGGTCCAACAGTGGCTTCGGCGCCATCGCATCCGTGCCCTCGCCGTACCGATTCCTCTGTACCTGCCGGGCAACGAACGCCTTGGTCTTCTCGATGATCCCGTTCGGGCCCTCGATATCGTCCAGCACGTTGGTACCGACAGCCCCGCCGTCAGCCCTGACGGCCTTCAAAGCAGCAATCACCCAAACTCGGCAGGTCCACTTCGGCTCCCTGCCACTTGCCCTGCCGTCCCAGTCCGGCGGGTCGACAGGAACGCTTTCGAGTATGCTGATCAGGCGCTCCTCGTCCACGACCTTGGCGATCGTGACGCGCGCCAGCAGCTGGGCGGTGACGCGGACGTCTTGGAGGGGGTGCGGTTCGTACCTCCAGCGGGGTGCGACGGGGTAGTTCTTGACGTGGTATCGGTCTCCCGTTACGGGGCCGCTCTCTTTCTTTGGTCCGACTAAAAGAGCCCAATGGTATCTGCACGGTAGTGTCATTACTTCAAGCTCGACATTATGGAAGGATTGTTGGAGCCGAGAGCACGGCTCGACCGGGCTTTCGCATACTTACGTTCCACGACCCTGGCCACTCGGGTAGACGGCGATATAAAGTCTTTTCTTGTTTCTGGTCATCTTGAAGAATCACGGTAAATGGCGATAATTTGGAGACCAAAACCAACCTCAGAGTTTAGGTACAGCAAAAATTGCTGGACGACTTATATATCCCCTTGACAACTCCATTTGTGATACTCTTTGCATCTTCTCCGGTCACTCAGAAGAATTATTTCTGTATTCTGTTTCCAAATCAACAGTTCCCATATGCGACCACAAGGTCCATTCGAAACAGCCTTTGGCGGATTTGGGGGCCGCGCCTGAGGTGCCTATCTATTCCTGGTGTCTCTACAACCAACCCCAAGGCACAGCCTACTTTGGGGAGCGCGCGTCAGCTTACCATCTCCGCCGCTGAATGTAATCTGGTCGTACCCTAAGCCGCAAAAGTCGTCGCATCCGGCACACCATCATTTGAGAGGACCTGTCTCGACCAGTCTGAGGATATTCAGCTTGACGAGTTAGTTTCAAATTGGTTGGTATCGGCTCCCAGGTCAGGGAGCTGGTTGCATAGTGCTAAAGTAAGTGGAATATCACAGGTCCAGAACGGCGGCAGGTACGTCCCCGACTATGCAGCACTTGTCTTAGTCGTCCGTCTATAATGACCGGTGCATAAGACGCCTTTTGTAAACTACCGAGCGATGCAATAATTTAGGGAACTGTAGCACATGGATTCGCGACTGTCAACTTGTCCTCAGGCTAGTAATTTTGTTTCTCTGAAAGCATAGCAGCGTGACTAAATTTGTGTCGAGCCCTGCCAAATCTTCCACTCCATATTCGCAAACCAGCCACTCAATCTTGGTCCAAGGAGCAAGAAGTTCGTCCGAGCTCCCCGCTCTGGCGTTATAGCCTTGAGTCTCGCACGAAATTGACTAGTTCGATCGCGGGGACTCGGTAAGGTTTCCGTTTCTCACTAATTCGTGTCAGTGATTCAAATGTGTTCGCTACCCGAAGCAGTCGCCCGTCGTCGAAACGCTGAGCATAGAGGTAAACAGAGAACCTGCGTCAGTTAGGCGCCAAGAACTATAGGCTACTCAAGACACGAGACTCACGGAACATTTGGCCCGATGACGACTTGACCAGTTCGCTCATCGGTCACTACTTCGGTTTCTGGTGGATAGAATCCCATGGGGACGCTCATGGCTGGTGAGCCCGCCATGGCGGCAAAGCCTTGGACCGCGAGGGAACCTGCCGGTGCGAGGAGCACGTGGCAGTCACTCGTCTCCAGAGCCCCTTTAATGCCACCCTGAGATGCGAAATATTCTTGTCTTGCCCGCATCTTGGTGTAGATTGGAGAATGGACTGATGTATGGTCCGCCCGCTGCATTATTTCGACATTCCATTCCGGGAAACGCTCAGATGGATCGTGCTTGATCGTCTCAATTAATTGGCCCAGCGTCTTGATGTTTCTCGGGTTGACTGCAAGGTTGGACAGGAATTCCTCCAGGCTAAATTTGAACTCCGTGTCCAGGACAACTGATTTCTCGGCATCCGAGAGGCTCTCATATTCCTCGAGCCCCGGGATGGCTACAGGATCGATGATGATGGCACCTGTGCTGCGAAGCCGGCTGAGACCATCGTTGAAAGCCTCAAGCTTGTGTCTGTCCACCGTGTCGTCCGGTTTTCGAAGAACTCCGATACGCAACTCTGCTGTGTGAGGGCGATCTAGGTCTTTGGCATAGTCAAACATCGGCTCTGCTATGATGGAGAGGATATGCGCCACATCCTTGACCGTTTTTGCCAGTGGACCGACTGTATCTTGCGTTTCTGAGACGGGAATTATTCCTTCAGAATTCACAATGTCTCTGGTGGGCTTCAAGCCCACAACGCAACTTCTCTCTGCAGGCCCCACAATGCTCGAGATCGTCTAACATCAATCAGTAACATGTCAAGTTCTCCCTGTTCAGGACGTACCTCTGTGCCAAGGCTTGCAAATGCTGTTCCGAGACCTACCGAAATGGCAGATCCAGAGCTGCTTCCGAATGCTTTCATGTTTGGGTAGAAAATCCCGGTCGTCTGCCCTCCACGATGGCTCCACGCTGTTGTACCATTGGCGGATCGAAAGCCCGCGAACTCTGTCATGTTGGCTTTGCCCAGGATGATCACGCCCGCTTTGCGAAGTCTCTGCACGATTGGGGCTTCGAAGGACGATCGGATGCCGAGAAGTACGGTCGAGCCGCAAGTGCTCTCAGTGTTGTCGTGGGTCATGATGTTGTCTTTTAAAATGATCGGAATCCCGTGGAGCACGCTGCAAAGTCCGCCAATTCGTTTAGATCGAGGGTCCAGTAATGGGGTTTAGAGGGTGACTTGCCTTCTGGGACCGCTCGCACGTCTCTCTTCATCAAGAGCGTGTGCAATCATCTCCGAATCAGGGTCCCATTGAATCACAGCATGGAATGTGTCATCCACCTCGCTGGACCTAGCCTTGTAGGCACGGACCAATTCAACGGACGTGAACTGACCAGCGTCCAATTCATGGGCGAGCTCTTCAAGTGTACTATTTGAACAGCGTTGGGATCGCCTCGGAACCTGGCCCCCGTGAGTCGGGCTGAAATGTAACTTCAAGCAGAATATTTACCTGGGGAGGTACAGGCTAGTGACTTACGCCTCTTGATCCATCGTCCGAGCAGGAACTGAACAGCGGCCAACAGAGACCCCAACATGACCACAGTCAGAAAAGTAGGACGCATTAAGGACGAGACCCAAGCGGAGTCAACCGACAGAAGCTGACACAAAACGCGATGAGACGCGGTGTTGGGCGTTCGGATCTTCTGCCACAAGCGTGGTCTCAGGCCGCAAGAGGACGGGTTGAGTGGACGGAGGCAAGGAGGAGGATGGAGCAGTGAGGCTTGATGTTCCCAAGATTTGTCGAGCCAAAAGACGTAGTCGGGCGACTCACAATTCCATTGCCCTACGAGCAAGTACACAGATGGCCTTATGGACAATACTACGTGTGTATCGCATGTGCACAAGAAGCCAAGTCACGCTGCAGCCCTTGGAAAGGTTCGAGTTACTCAGCACAAGAGACTCACCGACGGTAACTAGATCGAGGCACCACGCAGGTGCCAGTCTAGTGCGGTAATCCGATAAGTTGTAATCATATCCCATTCAAAGTGTTTCTGCGGAGGCCCATGAGGTAGTGACCGTGCCGTAGGTCGACTCAAGTGCTCTGATCGGCCAGGATCTGTAGAAATTGGCACCTAGATCATGCCCACCAACTTTGTGTGCTTTAAAGTTTCCAACCCTTTTGCAGGTTCAATTTGACGTCGTCACTATTCCACGCCTCAAGCACTGAACGTGGTCCTTGCGCGCAGGACATGTCCAAAATAGTACAACACCCCCATCCCAACCACACACACCGCACAGAGCGCCCCCATCAGCGTCATCCCGTACGCCACGCCTAATCCCTCGTACAAGGGACGTGATCACAGCACGCCGCAGAACGCAACCATGGCCTTCGCAAACCCGTTCCCGCTGAACAGCGACGACGCGAACTGAGGGTACCCGAGCGCGTGATGTACACGAAGATACACTGCAGAATTAGGATCGTGCCGCCCGTGACGAGGCCCACGCCGATCGTGGGGACCATGAAGTGGATCGACGGGCGGGACGTCCACGCGAAGAGGAAGAGGCCGACGGGGATGAGAAGGGAGGCTACCAGGGCTGGGAGCAGGCGGTCCTCGGGCGTCATGGTCTTGCCAGATCGGAGGCTTTTGTTGATGACGAAGTGAATACAGAGCGTGTAAGGTATTCCTGCGATTGTTATGGAGATGACGACTGTAAGGAACATGAGCCCGATTTGACCATGGTTCATGTCGTAGACGTTGCCGTATACGAGTGGAAAGAACTCGAAGAAGGAGTAGAATATGGCGTAAAGGAGACCCATATAGAGGCCTGTGAAGAGGATGGAAGGGTCTAGGGCATTGATCTTTCACGGAACAATAAGTGAGGCGTACAAGCGGCTACCGAGGGAGGAGTCGGGCGCCCTTATCTCCGATTCAGAGCGATACGTTGCCTGGCCCGTCAAGGCACGTATCCGTCGCGCTCTGTGGTATAGTATTGTAGCCAGTGAAGATCCTGGGAGGAAGAGCCGCCATGTATTAGTGAACATCTCATGATGAGGTGATAGAGTGGGATGTTCGAGGTTGGCATACAAATAGAAGTAAACCCGGCGCGTTAACAATGGGGATCAGCCATAGAGTCCATCTCCAGCCCATGACAGGAGTGGTGAAACCAGCGATGATGGTCCCAAGAGATGGTCCAGCCAGCGATGAGATGGCCCACGTGAACAGAGAGTACGGTCTGTTGTACAGGTCGGCAATGTCGGTCAAGGAGGCACCGCCAGTGCTCAATATGGGCGATCCAAATAGGCCCTGCAAGGAGCGGAGGAAGAGGAGTCCTCCTATGTTCTTTGCCAAGGCGGTCGGGATCGAGATTATTATGAACAGTGTCATTCCCAGGACGTATGGTATGTTGCGTCCAATCGATGAAATCTCGGATAGAGGCGACCAGAACATAGGCCCGATACCATAGCCGATGATGAAGAACCCCACCCCTGACGCCGCAACGAGCGTCGAGACATCAAACTTTTCCTTGATCTGGGTCTGCGACACAGTGTAAGTAGTTGCCGCCATGTACACGGTCATGGAGCAGTAGTTGATGGTCAGGTAGACCATGAACTTCTTCCACCCAGGCCAGTTGACAGGATTGGCCGGATCATCAGAGCCGTACCAGTCCACGACCGTAACCGCTTGGCCCTCTTCTTCTCTGGGAACCTTTTCCAAGTCCGCAGTCACGCCAATTGCTGTATCTCTTTCTGCTCCGGAATTGTCATTCTCGGGGTTGATTGGCCTCAGAGCACTGCTCCGCGATGACTCGGTGGCTTAAGCTGTGACCTCGAGATCATATGGGACTTGTCCAGAGTATCCGAACTTTCGCCATCTGTGCGAAGTCTGCTGTATATCCAATTCGCTCCGTTCATCCGCGAAACTGAGGTACTTGCGGCCTCCCAGACGTCGTACAACATATCCGGCCGGGGTGTCCGAGAGTGGTGTGCACATGGCGCCTGGGTAAGGGAACGTTAAAAAACAAATGCTGAAGTACAGAGCTGCAGATAGAAAGACGTGAAATTTTGTATTCAAGGCGATGGGTCGCCCTTTATTCTTTCCCGGCCGACGCAGAAAGTAAAGTCGCTGTGAAAATTCGTTGACTCTCGGGGGTTGACTCGGGGGGGCAAGATTAAAAGAACAGCAATTCGCACTCCAGCGAATGCGCAGGAATTTCTACACATACGTCTCGAACAAGATCTATTGGCCCACTCGAGAAAGTCCCACTTGCATCTGAATTAATCAACTTTGCGGTCTTGGAGGTTGGGGTTTAGGCAAGGAAGCGGAATACATATGCCGCCGGTGCTGCCCTAGGTGGGTTGGACAGGGCGCGGAAGATATTTGCCGCAGCCTGCAGGACTCCACAACCAGAGCAATTTTTCTATCTACACCAACCATTTACAAAACTTCTTTCAAGTCATACAGACCACTCCGTAAATGGAGAAAATAACGACTATACAGAAACTGAAACTTGATGCGAATACGCCGGAGGAAGGGGTTAAAAGAGTACCAAAGCGCTAAGCGCAGCATGCGGCCAAGAGCCTGAGGTACCTGAAGGAAACAGGTAGACGAACAGTTAAGTAGATAGAGCAGAGAGAAATGTCGTCTGGCTCATCAGTGTTTTGACAATTTAGAGTTACATTATGACAAGTTGCACGTGCAGCATTATCGTTTGGGACTGTTTGGATCCAAAGTTACAAAATTTTGAGATAGTGTATCGAGACGTATGACGAGTTTTGAGACTCAGAACGTGTGATAAGTAACCCAAATATGGTCAATATTGGTCTTTCTGAATAACCTTGAAATCCTATAGTTACTGTACCAGAGGTTTACGCCCCCTTGGAGCCTTGAGGGTCATAAGCCTGCACCTCGATCTCCACCCTCATCACATCACCGCCGCCAAGCCTGACAACCCCAACACAAGTCCAGAGGGACTTGTGGTTGGGCATCCACTTGTCAAAGTTGCGGACCATGGCGGCCAGCGCGGTCTCATCCAGAGGGATGTGATAGGAATTGACCCTGAACACCTGCTCCCAGCCCTTTCCGCCGGCCTCCTTGAGGATGTGGTCGATGTTGGCAAAGGCCTGGTCGATCTGGTCCTCGATGTTTTCGTGGATCACGCCGGTCTCGTAGACCCAGCCGCCTGGGAGCGATATTATGTTAGCCCGTTCTTGCCCGCTTGCTTGTCATGTCGGAGACAAGGACTGGACGTACCCTGGCCTGAGATGTGGAGGACGTCGCCGACGCGGACGACCTGATTGTACTTGTAGTTCTTCAGGTTGTCCTGGCCATGGCCAGCTGGGGTTGTGTACGTCAGATCTGACATGATGAAGAGCTGTGAGCGGGGTGCGTTTGGTTGCTAGGAGCCGTTGGGTGCAGGTAGTATGTGGTTGAGATTGTGTTATGGAGCAAAAGGTGATGATTGAGAAATGTGAGGTATGCCGTCTCGATCCAGGCTGGTCTGATCAAGTAAGAAAGGTGCCAAGGGTAAGACGGGTTGTCGGCCTTTAATGACTTTCCAGACGGGATGACGTTGGGCGCGGAACATAAATTCCTCTGGCCCCGCGGTTGCTGGTGTGTTAGTGGGGTCCCGCAGCAAGCAGGTGCACATTGTAAGTTTGACCATCGGTGCACATGAAATCCACACTACCAGCCAAAGGGAGCGTCAATTGAGAAGGACCAAGACGAAAAGCAAAGGGCAGACGTCAACTGAGGGTTTCCATAGTGGACGGAGTAAAGGGAGACAAACAGCAACACCAAGAGCCGGTGACACACACTGGCTTTTGTCTTTCAGCGAGGCAGAGCCAAACGAACTTAGTCATCAATCACATAAACCCAGACTCTAGCTTCGGTATTACTGCCATTAGCCGGTCTGTGTCTCAGACCAGTAGCCTGCTATAAATAGAATCTAAATAAAGTGCTTGCAGATTGAAGCTGAAGTCTTTCCTAGAAGCTATTATTCCAGATGTCTCACGTCATTAAACCTAACATGAAGGATATACTTAGAGCAGGTGGGGATTTCTTGGGGATGCGGCTCTAGATACGCATTACCTATTTAGTGAAAGACGAAGCGCCAGACTAAATTCAGTCTCCACTGCCAATGCCCCGATCTGAGGATGTGTAAGCCATCAAATGTACGTCATACTTTTGGCGCGACATATGCTTTAAAACGCAGTTTCTTTTGGTCGATTGTCTGTCTGGTGGATGTACATGATGTCCATGCACGCCCAACCCGCCGTGAGAAAACATTTATTCAACCCTGCTTACTGGCCATACAATGAGCTCCGCTATAGTGCAACGTGTTCAGGATGGCGAACAGCCCAAACTGATCCGCGAATCGTAACCAGTGCGTCAGCCTGGCCCGCACCAACTCCTTGTCAAGACGTCCCACATTGGACAGAACCCAACTGACGGTAAGAAGGTATAATTCATGGAGTGGCATCTTCAGTGCTGAAAATTTCAAATAGTCCAGTCGTTTGACTCGAATGCGTTCGGCGATGGCGCAGTGCTGGGCTGCGACTTCGTCGGCACCGTAGAGACGTTGGGCAAGGACGTCTCGAGGGCCAGACAAGGCGACACCATCGCTGGACTAATCTGGGGCGGTAAGGATTCCGTCTGACACGCGTCTGTGCGCAAACATCATCAAAAGCTGACCGACATCAGGTGAGCTGAAGGGTCTCGGGGCGTTCAGCGAGCATGCCCTTGCAGACGAGAAAATCAGTTTCAAGGTGCCGAAATCCGTCCCTGTGGCCGAAGCTGCCACCGTGCCGTTGGCATCTGCAACAGCGTGGCTCGCTCTGTTCTCCAAGGACTGTTTGAGTATCCGGAGGTCTCACGGCGAGGACGTGTCCGTTCTCGTCTGGGGCGGCAGCTGTACGTATGACACCCAAGGGTACTTGCTGCGCTGTTCTAATACTTGTCTTCTACAGCTAGCGTCGGTCAGTACGCCATCCAATTAGCTGCGATGTACAACTTCAAGGTTATTACCACGTGCAGTGAGCGCAATTTCGACCTGGTTAAGTCGCTCGGGGCACACCACGCCTTCGACTATCGCAATCCCGATGTGGTGAAGCAGATCCGAGAAGTTGTTCCAGACTTGGAATACGTCTTTGATACCATCGGAGGTTCCGATTCATCCAGGCTGGCCTCGAATGCCCTCAAGGAGACTGGTGGTAGGCTTTGCACAGTCAGGCCCGGTAAAGCCAACACGGAATCAGTCAGCAAGCAGACAACGGTCACAGACGTGCTTATTTGGACTGCATTCCTCAAGGACCACAGATATGGAGACTTTTTCTGGCCGGTATGTGCTTCTCTTGGGCTTTAGCTCATCTCATGTTCTATACGCTAGATCTAACACTCAAATGCTCACCTAATCTCCAGGCAAACCATGATGATCATGAATTAGCCTCGATACTCTTTGACAAGTTGCCCGAGTGGCTCGAGACTGGCAAGATAAAGCCAAACGGTGTAAAGGTCTTGAAAGGGCTGGACACTGTTCCTGAAGTTTTGCAGGAGTACAGGGATGGCAAGATCTCCGCTTACAAGATTGTGTATGAGATTTGAGAGATCTGAAGTAGTGTAGCTTGCATACTTAGGTAGCACAGAGATAAAGCCTCACACTCTCATTCAAGAACTCTCCACAACAAATGACGCCCGCGCTGCCCTTGTTTCTCATGGCCTGTTGCCCCCAACTTGAATATGTAGTCATCAAAGTGGGAGCTTAATATGACAAGGTTTTGTTATTTTTACATTGAATACAATTAGTGGATCAACTCACAACAATGGTAACCTACCTTACCAGATATACTTTTTCTTATTTCAACATCTTGTCACATGTCATGGACAATTACAAGATCTGTTTAGCTGGCACGCAATTCCTCATGTAGGCCATTCAATGGGAAGGAAAACCTAGTTGGTCATATACATGATGCTCGGAATCGTGACACTATCCCTAGAGCTTTACCTTCATGGATTCGTCCACTCCTTGGTAATCTGTTATTTGTACCTTCACAACACGCTCCCTCGAGCCCGCGGAGCCAGACACAAGCTCCATCGCCTTGATTGCCTCCTCCAGACAGAACTCATGACTCACCAGTTGTGTCAACTTCTCCGGGTCGATCAGCGCCCCTTCGAGGGCCTGTATGGCCGCTGGCCAAGTCCCAGTGTAGTGTTTGATGAACCGCAGCTGAATCTCAGCAAGTGAGAGGTGCATGAACGGAATGTTGTTGATCAGCGGCCTGGATGAGACCCCGACAATGTTGATTCTTCCACCCCGGCGCACTATGTACGCAGCCGTTGCGATGGAGGACTCGATCCCGGTACACTCGAGCACGAGAGCGGGCATGTCATGCTCCGTTGGCAGCCCATTGCTGCCGGCGAACAACGACCGTATCCCCACGGCGTTGCCCTGCGCGGTGCCCTGCGCGTTGACAAGGTAAGTCCGGCAGTGCGGCTCGAACTCCTTTGCGAATTCAAGCCTCGAAGCGTCGACATCGGTGATGACAACCGGATGCGCTCCGGAGGCACGAGCTACAGCCATGACCAGCAGACCGATCGGCCCAGCCCCGAAAACCGCGACCGGGGTGCCAACGTCAATGGGTGTGGTTCTCAGGGCGTGAAGGGCGACCGAGAGAGGCTCGATGGAAGCAGCGTTCCGGAATGAGATGGTGTCGGGAAGTTTGTGCACATAACGGGCGGAGTGCACTTTGTAGCGCTGAATCGTTCCGTGGTATGGATACATGCCGCAGAATGCCACGTCGCTGCAGAGGTTGTAACGGCCTTCGATACACAGGAAGCATTGGCCGCAGGGTACACCAGGCTTAATGGCAACTCGATCACCTAGGCCACTTGGTTAGTTTGGTGGCATGTTCGAATCATATGAAATTTGAAATTCAACTTGTGCTCACCAACAGAAAGTCCTGTGACTCCAGGACCGAGTTGCGGAATTTCGCCGGCAGCGTCATGGCCCAATATGCAATCACCCTGGACGACGAGGTCTCCAATCAAATGTTTGATCCACAAATACCCGTTGCTCGTACATGTAGCAGAACCTCGCCAGGGCCTGGCCGGAACACTGGCGTATCCTCAAGCTTGAGCTGGTGATCTGAGGTCACGACCAAAGATGGATTCATCATCCCTCCGCTAGGGCTTTTCGTGCCAGCTATCTCGATGGGTTGATCCATTTTCCACCATGTGCTGAAATATCTCCTCTCTGTTGTGCTGTGCTCCAAAATGGCGGGCGGTAGAGAATCTAGAGAGGGCGTGGTATTTGCTACTCAAATGGCGGCAGGAGTGGCCCGACGTGCGGTGTACTTGTTTTCATTCTCCTAACATTTCTGAGCTTAGAGGAAAAGGCTCACGGGTTGCTCAATTACAAGTCCGTCCATCCATAGGCATGTCATTGCTCCTAGGGGAGGCGAGATACGACCACAGTTATGACTTACCTTTTTAAGAAGTAGGGACAAGGCAAGCCCTTATTCATGCGCTCAAGGCTGCGGAATCCCAGGTACCACATGGTCGAATAGAGCAACTGGATGCGCCGGCTCTTGCCCCAAGCTCAAAAGAAGAGGCTCGGCTAGTCACCACCCACTTATGGGTCCACCCCATTATTAGCAAGCAATGGAGCGGCCGCAGTCAGAGCCTGCCCATATATTCAATAACATGCTGTGTTATAATTTGATGACACTCTCTGGGAAGTTCGTGTCTCGGAACAATATGTTGCCATTTTGACCTTCTACTATTATTGTTGACGCTGGTAGCAAAGTCTGAGAGTCTAGGCTGCGCTCTGGTACTGCTCTGCTCGAGTAGCAAATGAGTCGTCATTACCGCTTCCATGCGGGCACTTTCCGATCGAGGATAACAGTTCTCATTCTCTTGCACTAGGTGAGCATGAAATATCCGGTGCGTAAGATATGAGAATTTACGCGGTAAAGAACTCCACCTGATAACTTCTTCACACAAACGTCCGAATTGCTGTCGCATCAGAACTTTTTCAAAGTCTGCCATGTCTGACATTTCTATGGTTGAAAGATTTGGTTTGTAAAGGTACGCACCTCTCACACCACCGTTTGAAAGCCCTGCGTTCCCGATTCTTGCGCAAGATGTCTTCCGCCATAGGTGACATCATCTTTTGAGATCCATATTTCTCGCCTATTGATTACGAAAGAAAGTTTGCTTGATACCCCCAACCGGCTCCGAATATTTTCGCTGTAGGTAGAAGTTGGTGAGGCGGCATGGTTGTCATAACTCCACAGCCATGGGCACTTGCAGAGTGTGTGTCAATGGTGTGTTACACTCGTGGACTCCGTAAGCTCCTGAATACAACTCTGACGCTTTCGTGCACCTTCCTCATCCCGTGTTGATTACATTTAATCAATGTCAGAACAAGGGTTAAAGAGATGTCTCAGTGGAAACTCAAACATCACATAGATATCGCAGTCGTAAGCCAATTCGGCCCACAGAGACCAACCAAGGTGGATGGGCCCGCTTACTGGCTCACGAGGGTGCGATGTGATCTCATCGGGATTGACAACCTAGTCGACCACGCGAGCATCCGCGTTTGCCGGAGGCACCAGGATTCCTTCCAGGGCGTTGGGGGCGGCAGGGCGGGAGACTCAGGGCACTCTTGATCCTGATGATGTCTGTTGATCCTCCTGATGTCACTGAAAACATGACAACGAACCTCGACGGGGAGGATCACAGGCAGGTTGGATCTTGCGCTCAAGATACGTGCCGGCTGATTGGGCTGTCGACGTTGTGCGGTGACAGCCAGGCCGCGAATACCTCATTTCTTAGCTCCCTCGGATAGACAGGCTGGCTGGCAGATAGACAAGACCGTGTCTCAAGAGGTCTCGGAGGCAGAGACTGATGAGGCACGTCTGACCTGCAGGGGCAGAGGGGTTGATGTGATGCAATCCTGCCCATCCCATGCACGTCAAAAAGAAGCAAGTTGCCCCTCAATCCTTCGATTCTGCGGACCCCTGAGGTGAGCTGTTCGGCGCTGCACGACTTAGCCTCAGAATGACACTTGCTCCAAGCATCCACACAGAGAAGATCATAAGAAATTGAAGAGGGGGAATGCAGGCGTGCCGCCTTTTGTCTTAGACCGTAGATTCAGGGTGCCGTGGAAGATGAGATCTGTACGACATTTCCTCGTGGGCGAACCGGCGGGATGGCGCCAGGTGGGCCAATCACATGCGTGACAGGAATGGGGAAGTACCATTGTGCTGGGATGCACGACGCCAAGACGATGAACGGTACTTTTGTAGGTTCAGCTCTGGCCCCCATCGGGCATAGCGCCCCTTCCCTGTGCCGTCCCCCGTCCTCGACGACGAGCTATCGACCCGCCCAAGCAAATCCGTATCCGCTCCCGCTCCTACCTACCATGTACCCATGTCTGCGCCAATGCCCACCACCCCCCAATCCTCCCAAGATGACATCGAGCCCCGTCTGCTGTGCCGCTCTCCGGCATCGCGATAGACTTGTCAACTGCCATTTGCCTTCCATCATGATCAGGGGCCGATCAATACCCTGAGAAGCAGGAATTACACGATCGTACAGACGCACACAGACACACCAGACCGGACGAGCATAACACCGAGGACGACCGCGCCGTTGGGTGACACGAGCTGAAAAAGGAGGCAATCTGACAAATACACGGCTGTGCTTTGTGGTTGCCTGCGCGTATGCAGAGGGGCGATATACTGGCTACGACCGCACATCACAGCACATGAAGCCACGAGAAAATGGCGACGAAATCACGCCCTCATCACCAGTTTCCCCCAGGCATCATGGCCCCGACGCCGACGCAGACATATTACCCAAACGGTAGGGAGCAGGATGAAGTCTACGAGGAGGTCGTGCAGCAGATCAACCCATATTATGCGTCCATGAACTTTGCCATACCAGCGCCCGACCTGCCCGCCGCACATTCGCACTTCCAAGCCGCGCAATGGCAATGCCAGCCCGACAACATGATGTGGATGGAGGCTCTGCAGCCATGGCCGACCAACGGCATGCTCAACGCAACTGAGCCCGTGTATTCCGACTGGCAAGCGAATGCGACGCCGACTTGGGATTTCCAGGGCCATAACGCCTTCGCCAGCCTGCAAAATGCCCAAACATTTCCCATACAATCGCCCTCTCCCGCTCGAGTCGACAACTCTTTTGCTCCACCGCCGCAGCAATTCCAGCAGCAATATCCTGCGAACAACACTTGGGCTACCGGCTGGGTCGAGGAGATCTCTCCAGCTGCGCCAGTTAACGAGGTCATGCCATCGGTAGAAGCCATGCCCGACGTGACAATCCACGCGCCGACCCCGATACATGCTCCGGTTCCAATTCCCGCCCAAGCCGCTCCTCCTCGGCGGCAGCGGGCGCCTACGCCCACGATAGAATTCCCCGAATATGCCACCCCTGTCGACGGAGTCCCAGTCCCGGTCCAGCCATTACCGGTACCAGTTCGCGTCGAGAAGCGCCGAAGGGCACCAACCCCCACGATAGAGTTCGAGGAATACGCGACGCCCTTCTTTGATACCACTCCGGTCCCACAGGCTGCGATAGCACCACCTCCTCCCGGCTCGCCTGCCGCCTCGCGACCTGCGCCTGTGCGCCGAGACTCTCCGGTTAAAGCGCGGCGTGGATCCCAGACCGTCTTCAAGACCCAGTCAGCCAACTCGAAACGAGGCCACTATGCGTCCGACGTGTGGGAGAGACACAAGCCCGTTATTCAGAAGTTGTATATTGAGGAGGGAAAACCGCTGAGGGAAGTCATCAGGACCATGGAGACGGAACACAAGTTCCCGGCAACGTAAGCTCCCGCACCGTCTTCTCAGCAAATGACATTTCTAAACATAAGCAGCCAGAGGATGTACAAAGCCCGGTTCAAGCAGTGGGGCTTCGTGAAGAACAACACCGAGAAGGTGGTCTCGCAGATCCTCAAGACGAAGTTCCAGCGCGACGCGGCCGGCAAGCTGTCCCAGTTCACCCGCAACGGCAAGGACGTCAACCTGCAGAACTACCTCCAGCGCAAGGGCATGACCGAGTACGACCTGGTCGACTTCTCCACGGGCGTGGCCGAGGATTCGCTCGTGCACGTGCGGTGCCGCACGCCGCCGCTCGACCTCCCCGAGGACCTGCGCCTGCCGGACCGCCTGCGCTTCCAGGACTCGCTGGTCATGAGCTTCAAGCGGGCCTTCCTCCTGTGGCGGCAGGAGGAGCAGGAGAGCGCCTTCGGCCTGCAGGCGACGGTGTTCACCTGGCGCGTCACCGACTTCCCCCACCTGTCGAGCCTGATCGAGTCGGCGCGGCTGATCCGCAACGGCGAGGGCGCCCAGGGCGTCGCGGCGCTGAACCAGGCCTTCTGGTCGATGAACTCGTACTTCGGCTCCATGGACGCCACCTCGTCCTTCTACTTCTTCTTCCACCGCCAGAGCAGGTGCTGGCAGGACGACTCGCGGATCGCGCTGGCCGTGTGGAAGTTCCTCGCCGCGTACGCGAGCGCGCGGAACCACAACAACCACCCGCTGTTCCACACTTTCAAGTTGATGTACGAGGTCGTGCAGAAAGAGGGGGTCCCCGGCCTGAGGGAGCTGCTGCAGGAGAGCTCGAGCACGGTGGCGGACGAGCTGGAGAAGTCGTTCGGGAGGGACCACTGGCTCAAGGACCTGATCTGGCACCGGTGCTTCCCTGAGAAGTCCAAGCTGAGGCATTTGCAGCTGATTAGGGACCTGAGGGATCATGGGCCTACCAGGAAGATTGTGAGGAGGCTGTATTGAGGCTGTCTGCGGTCAGATTTTGGACGGCCTCACGGGGTCATGTCATTGTTCATATCAGCGTTTCTTTACAGCGGATGTTTGCTAAGGACAAGCCAGCCATCGTTACCATTTATCAGCCATATAATCAATACCCACATCTATAAAGATGGACATATCCGTTGCGATCAGCACTGCCACGATGCTCAATACTTCCTTCACCCACCTCCGTGATCGATTCTCCGCGGCCAAGACAGATTGTTCACGCCACGCACCCCACCGTGAGAAAGGATGCTTCGCCATATCACGCTCGAGCATGCCCCTGATGCTCCTCACAGCAATGACAATGGAACCCACATCCCTCGCTTCCGGCGTCTTGATGCCGATCCTCACCCATCTGTTAGATGCCGCCCGCTGCGGTTGCGGTCTGTGGCGCGCTGAGAGATTGCTTGGATATCAGCTTCGCGGATGGGGGCGTGAAGGTTTGCGGGCTGATGGACGTTCGTGTGTGACCAGTGCGAAGGGTTGGGCTTCCTCGGTCTACATGACTGTTGCCCGCTGGCATTGGTGATCTCTGCGATGTGGTTTGGGTCGAAGCCTCAACGATGCGTCCATGGAAAAACTTCGGGGATCTTGGTTCTCGACACTTTGTAGTGGTAGTTTTTGGGACTTGCTCAGCCACTTGGTAAATATCATATGATTGACATGGGCAGGCGTGGGAGTAGTTTCATCCAGGTCAGCGTCACGTAAATTTTGGAGTGGCTGCACCCACCATTCAGCATAACCGCTAAGCATTGATGCCATGGGATAGAGCGGCCGTCTACCTCCGTACTTGGGTAGTTTGCTACGGGTAGGAAAGGAAACTATTTCATGAAACAATCTGCTTATAATCGTGTTGGGACGGCTTTGCTTTGCGTCATGTACTCCACTGCCTGACCTCCAACACCAGGTCATCTCCCTCTATTTGCTTACTGATACCTAGACTTGGCTTCTTCAAATCGATCCTTGGCACAGTCTTGCCTTCGGTTCCATCGATCGCCTTTTGACCCAGGGCCACCACCTTGAGCTTGTATCTCCACAGAGCCCAAGCTACAAAGGCTAATACTTCAAAACGACCTATGGTCTTTCCGCTGCAGTGAGTGATGCCCTGTCCAAATGGACGGTAATACTCATGTCTTTCAATGTCCTTGTTCTGAACGAAGCGGTATGGGTTGACAGTCTGAGCATCCTCGCCAAAAGCCTCAGGAGCAAGGAGAAGTTGGCGTTGGGGCAAAATTATCTTGGTCCCTTTGGGGATGGTCTTCCCAGCGATGCACGCTTCGCGTGTTGTCTCGCGCATCGAAGAGCCCGTGTTGTAGAAGCGAAGGATCTCGTTAAATACCGAGTTGAGCACCGGGCACGATCGAAACAAACCATCCCGCATCATCTCGGAATAATTGCTCTTGGTTCGGCTGACAGCCTCCATGATGGGCACGATCTCCTTGCGGACGTCCGCTACAAGGGCGGCATCCTGCAGGATGTGAACCATGACCCAGAAGGTCGTCATTTGCACATTGGAATTAAGACTGGAGGGGCGAACTGGTAAGTTAAAAGTCAAGCGCACAGCTCAATACATGTGAGAACGGGAAACTCACCCCCACAGAATCATCATCAAGATTCGTGCACAAGTCTCACTGTCAAGGCCGGCGTGCCTCATTTCTTGCTCCAATTCGGATACGTAAGCCACATTCTCGGATTTTCTCTCCGGAGGTCCATCCAGGTAGCCCATTATAACCTTGACCAGCTTCTCTCGTGGCACCGTCGCCGGTTTGGCCATGAAACTCGGGTACGAGTACGTGGACATCCAGGAATTGATATCCCACTGATCGTATATTAGGCGGTAGTCAGGCTCCAACTCGCTTAGATATGGTCCAAAGAACGTATCCGTCTGGGATCCAATGGCTACATCGCGGCACCAGGAGTGTAAGCCGATGACTTTAACGGTCCTGTCCGCCGCCTGGCTGGTCATGTCTGTGGAAGCGATCGCATCCCACCGCATATTAAGCTCCAGGTTCACCGCGGCCTTCACCAACAGGTCTCTGGAGGGTCCAGGTGAAAGCAATTGCTTGTGGAGTAGCTCTTGGCCAGTGTGTACAAGCACCTTTTGCTTGGGGTTCGGATGCAGTGAAACGAAACCATCACAAGGTTTGCGCCAAAGAATAGCTAAGGCAGCATCTGAAACGTTACCCACTCGCGAATAGAGAAGATCGATGAATGTATCGAAACTGTAAACTTCGTTGTCTTTGAATATCTGGGCTTTGTGCTCTGGTTGTGTCACAACAATGAGCTGCTGGCCCAGCACGTACAGGGAGTAAGGTCCTCCACTGTGGCCAAAGTAGGCACTGTGTGATAGTAAGTCCATGATCCGCGAGCATAGACATGAGGTTGCTTACGAGGCTTGTTTGTATAGTTCCATGGTGTTTTTGAACATTGGAATCGCGTGTCCTGCGCCTGTGTCAGAACAAATCAAGTTCAATCTTTTTCTACCATCTGCATACCAAGCACTAGTCAAAGTCAGTGGTGCATACAGCGCATTATCTGGACTTTATCGCATCGACTTACATGGGACATTGTAAGGGAGCATAGCGACCTCACTATTGAAGAGTCGCGGCCTGACACCAAACGTCCATATTTTCCAAATCACCCACCACAAGAGTAATAGCGTCATGTACGCCGCGATTAGCTCCTTCGACGTAAACTGTGATATGGCTCCTGTAGACATAATGGGCTTAGATGTTCTTCGCTGAGAATTATACCTGGTGCGGTGTTTGTGGCTCTGCAAGATCTTTGTGATTCTGAAATAGGTTACACTGCTGTACAGAGATCACGACTCAAGGTTCTGACAAACTCCGAGGCTAGCGCCAGCCGAAGATCGATTGCCCAGGGAAAACAATGCCTATATGAGCACCATATTAAAGATAGTATTTTGGTTATTGCATAAATCCCAAATGTTTTCGATAATTTCAATTCCACGAAATCTCACCAGCCTAGTCACCACTCATGGTTTGTGTACCCAACCAGGACTGCCTGATACCGTGCAGCAGCAGTGTTCCGTACCACCTCCTTCTTCTGTCAATTTGAGAATCAAACAGCCCGCGAGGATTGCATGGGGGCATTGGGGGCCCTTCTCCTTTCTTTAGCGAGATAAGACATACGATGATGCAACACATTCAGACTCAGGTCTTCGCCATCGATGTCGCCCACATTGTGTTTCACGGCATATACGACCCCCAAGTATCACAAATCCCACCACGGGACGGTGGCAAACTTTTGTAATAACAATAGGGGCTAGATGAGGGCCGCTCACAAGTGAGTGTGCCGAAGATTTCTTGGGTTCGGCCTCGATTTCCACCCAGCACGTACCTACCAGTGTTCTTAGACGCAAACTCGGCCCGATGTAGCGTACAGCCTGCATCGACGGCCTGCATCGACAGCCTGCATCAACAGCCTGCATCGACAGCCTGCATCAACAGCCTGCATCAACAGCCTGCATCAACAGCCTGCATCGACAGCCTGCACCTAGTCTTTGCACAAACGCCCCCCGACCTCACATGCGCATCATTTTCCCTCTCTGCTTGGTGGGCGAAATTTGTTCAACGTCGGCAGTGAGCTTGCCGAGTTGGTCTCGAAACAGCGTCGCGTAGGTCGTGGCAGTGCGGATGCAAATGTACACATCAGCCCCAACAAGCAGAGTAAACATCCCAATTCCCCGGCTCACTGGTGGGATTCAACTTTACAAATGGTTGTGACTTAATGCAAACGTGAGGACTCCACGGCTCTCCTAATCTTCACATACTGAAATCACTGAAGTGCAGGCGGATAAGCTGTACTTGTATCTCGTCACGAGAGTATTCTATATAGAATTACCATTACTGAAATCATTTCAAGTGTCCACAAAGTAGGCACATTCAGGGGTGCACACGTGGTTCCTGCGCCGGATCCTGAAGGGCACGGGTCCAGCCGGCGTGCTCACGCCAAGCCCAAAGCGCCGATGTCCAAACTTCAGCGCCTTTTCATCAGCCAGTATCTCAATTTCAAAATCTTTGACGAGGATAGCGGTCGAAAACAGCATCACACGTTTGGCGAAAATCCGGCCGGGGCAGGCTTGGTGGCCACCTGGTAGTTGAGATTAATTCAATGGCTTCGTCAGATTGGGTTCTCCCTGTCACTTACCCCCATAAGGAATCCATGCACCCTGGAGCCCGTCACTTGAGAAATAAACACCATCCTGATCCACATCTGTCTTGTTGACCACCTTCTGTCTTGCAGGGCCGCTCGACGGGTCCATGGGATCGACAAGGAACCTCTCAGCACAGAATTCGTCAAGTGGTCGCTTTCCGCCCAGATTATCCCACACTCGGTAATCTGTGTGTGCGAGGTGCGTGTTCACTATGATCAGACTGTTCTTGGGGATTGTCACACCATTGATGTGTAGATCATGGTACGGTGCGCTCCGCGGAATGTGGATCTGGACGCCAAAACGTAAGGTCTCTGCGTAAGTGGCGAGCAGAAGAGGGACAGATTCCAGCTCCTTTGTGCTTGGCAGTTGGGACAGTTTGGAAAGACTATCCTGTATGGACCTGAGAAGTGACTGAGACTGGAAGACATGGATGGCCATGCTCATCGATGAAGGAACGAGGTTTGTGACGGATCTGCCACATGATTAGCCTCAACAGTCGAATAATACTTGCTGGCACTAAGAAAATAAAATAGAAGGTGGGATGTATTGGTTGGCGGGATTGCCTTCACGTACGTCCAGATGAAGGAGAGATTGGTGGAGGCCACCGATGCTTCGTCCTGGCCAGTCGCGTTCAGAAGAATCTCGTATCTTTGTCTCATCATCTTAGTTCCCCACATTGGGTCAAAGTGTGAATTATCTTCAGGACTTGGATGGTTGGGCGAAGACGTCGCATTTGCTTGCCATGATTTGACAGCAGCAATGAGGCGGTCTCTGACGCGATACCCGTTTGATCTCCAGAGACGTGGAAGTCCTTGTGCCATACTCAAGACTTCTGCGTCGTATTCCCATAACTTAGAAACGAAATCTGGCTGTTGACGAAGTAGCTCATCCCCGAACAGAGTACGGATCAAGGCTGTACCGTGGTGGTGTTGGAAAAACTCCATCATGTCGGGCATATATGCCCAGTCATGCCCAATGTCCATTTCTTTAAAAGACTCCTGTAGGTTATCTCGGAATCGACCGGTAGCTGGGTCAAGGCCATGTTTTAACAGTCCGCCAACGAGGTTCTCGTGCGTCTGATAGCTTATGCGGTCTCGAAGTCCAGGTGTGCTGCCTGGGATAGGTTCGTGTCTCGTCCCTGATGTATCTGCAAGGTAGGCATCCGCTGCTGCTTGCTTCATTCCGAAGCACTGCTTGAGAATGTGGCTCCAAGAACGGGTGACTGTGACATTTTGGTTGCGGAATAGTTCGGCAACAAACTCAGGGCCTTGCACAAGATAGGCTGTCTCTCGAAATAGCGAAATGGAGAGAGTGGAAGCATATGGAAACTGTTTGCTAAGTGGGCTTTGAGTACAGCACAAAACATAGTCTGGGCTTGGTGACCTTACATAGAAGCCTGCAGAAAATTGAATCCATCAAAGATGAAGGGAACTGTGCTCTTCAGAAAGGGAAGGGTATAAGGGATACCGCGAGGGTCTGCCAAGGGTTTCAACTTGTGGAAAGCAATGGTGCAGAGAACCATGATTGCAATACCAGTGATAATTTTGTATGTCAGCTCGGGTTCCTGGGATGTCCCGAGGACATGAACTGAGGCAGTCATGATTTCGTGGGTTGAGGATGCGCTAAGCCAGAAGACAACCAGTATGGATGAAAGGATGGCTTGTGGAAGGAATTATCATCTTTCCAAGGAGAGATGAAGAGATCAAGAGACAATTCATCGCATCTTCGTGTGATGTTTCTACTTCCCTGTGGTCATTAGTGGGATCTTGTAGCCTTACTACTCAATTTTCGGTCCGGTGGCGGCCAACGAACGCTGCCGCCAGTGAGACCTTCAGCTGCCAAATCTTGGACAATCTAGAATCCCACGACAGGGCCCCAAGTCCCAATTTCCAGCACCGGTGGTGTGTGCCTCTGCATGGCAGCCTGCTGGAGGGAAAAAACCAATGCAAAGGTATTCATGTTTTCACATGACAAACCCAACACCCAGATGACTTCTATTTATGGAAACAATAAAGCACAGCCATCATTTCCGCTAGGATTTGACTGTTGCTGCGAATTTGGTCATGATCGCAATGTACTAGTTGTTCATCAGGCTCAGCCAATATGCACTGCGGTACTACGTAGTAGGATGTGCATGCAGTAAGGAAAGACTGTTTGAGTCACTCAATAGATGGCCTACATTCCTGATCATCGCTTTTATCGTCTTTGTAATCATATCTGGCCGGAGAGTCACACAGACGCAGAGATACAGGTTGAAAAGGCTGTTTGAATGCAGTGCTTCCACGTTATGCGGCGTGTGTCGTAACGAAGCCCCTGTTGGATACGTGGCAATTGGTATAGGAGCACCCCGGCGTTGAAAAAGGGCTTCAGAATCCAGATCACACCACAACATGATGTCAACTTATTGCTTAGGCTGCCTCCATCTGAACTCTGCCCCTACGAGCCGCCATGTAGGCGAGGCTCTGATCCAGTCTGTACGTGGATCCCACCCTTGTCACATGTCTGTTCTTGAGGTGGCACTGCAGACTGTATATTAAATTGAGACACCGCATGAGGTGTGCTGCTTATGCAATGATGCTTGGGTAGGCAGTACAGCCTATTGGAGTAACATAATATCTCTTTCAGCTGCCTGGGTATGACCATTGCCACAGTCCTCTCGCTTAGCTGCGCCTCTGCCTTGAACTTGACCGAGGTTGTAGCGACTTGACCTGATGTCTTTGTACTTCCCATATGGAAACCAATCTGGGAGATGCCTTATCTAACTTTTTGCCACCACTGACCACAATGACATTAGTAATGGTGCAGCCTAACGCTTGTTCTCCAAGTACACGTCCTGCGAGTGCACGTTCTGCGAGTGGATCCTTCGCCCCCTTCGCTCCGTCTGTGATAGGTATTTTGGTCTTGAGGTTGATCATCGTGGTGACAGCTGTTGATATAGCCTCGTTCCAGCTGCCTTGTGGTCAATTTTCCTGTGAAATAATATCTTGCAATCGTCAACTGACTTGGAAAAGCAATCGCTCTCAGCCAACGCTCTGGAGCATGACCATTCTTGCTGCTACTCACAGCTTCTTCTTAGGCCAAATTCTTTTGTGATTGAAATCAGGATGGCGGACGATCAACCCGCTCTCCCTGCCGTTCAACGAGTAAGCCAAACGGCTTTCCTCGTAGGTAATCACCCAGCAACTCCGCCCGCGTTCATGCCAGCTGACCTCCTTAGGCCGTCGCGTGGACTGCCACCTGCGTGTCCTTTCTACTCGTCATCTTCCGTTTGGTGATCCGTATCAAATCCTTCAAAAAACTTTTCTCCGACGACTTCCTGGTCATTGCAGCGTGGCTGTTCCTTCTGACGTCTTCCATCCTATGGCAAATCAAGAGTGACATGCTATTCTGGATGTACGACATCCAGACCGGAAAGCGCCCGCCGTCACCTGATTTCCTCCAAGAATATGCCAGCTACATGCCTGTGGTGGTCGCTTGGAACACTCTTTTCTACTCATGCCTGTGGGCAGTCAAGTTTTCATTCCTTATGTTCTTCCGCCGTCTGGGAACCCGCGCCACAGGCGATAGGATCTGGTGGTGGACGGTTTTTGTTGCCGCCGCGATTGGCTGGGTTGCGTGTATCGCGGATATTGATTTCGGTTGTACTACCAAAGATCTCACATATATAATGAGTAAGTTATGGCCATCACATGCTCTCCTCCGAGCTCAACTACTGACCAATGATTGTAGCACAATGCGGCCTCGCTTCACACGTATTATTTGATGACCGCACATTCTACGCCAACATGGTCGTCGATATTTTCACTGATCTGCTGATTTTGTCTATTCCTTTTCGACTCCTCTGGAACGTCAGAATTCCGCTTAAGAAGAAGTTGATCCTCCTAGGAGTGTTCTCTTTTACCATCTTCATCATCCTGACCGCCATCATTCGCGTGGGATTGGTAAAAGGAACCAGCGGCGCAGTTCAAGTGTCCAGCATGGACTGGCTTTACCTCTGGTCCAATGTTGAGTCTGGTGTGGGTAAGTTACTTCACTGTCTTAGTGAATGGGGCTCTGATACTAATGCCACGGGACACACATGCTAGCCATCGTGGTTGCTTGCCTCGCATCCTTTCGCCAACTATTCGTTCACAACAAGCAGGGCGGATCTGGCAATAGTGGCCAGTCTCCTTTTCGGAAGATTCTATCATATCTTGGATTCGATCGACTTCGATCCACCACTCGCCTCGATGGCACCCCGCGCAGCAGAAATGGCGGTCCGGAGCACAGGGGCAGTCATGGTTCACTCGACCACGAAGTGCCGCTGAATGCAGTGCGTATCCGGCATAGTTTCGACATCATTCGTGATCAGCCCACAGGTGGAAAGTCAAACCAGACATCTTTGGAGCCCAGAGGGCACGAGTTCGTTTGATGAAGTGTGAATAGGTTGAAGGAAACGCGGTCGTCTCCTAGAGCTTTCTTTCTTTCAATGGTTTTTATCCCACACCCCACACCCCCGGGGAAACCCTCAACCGTCCCTCACGTTATTGCTGTGCTCTATAGCCTGGAAATCAAGTTCTCTGCTTCCTCTGTCGTCTTATAATGTGCCTTCAGTCGTTGCATTAGTTGAGAAGCCATATAGGACTGGCAGAGAGGAGGTCTGGTCGCTCTCCTTATTCTTGAGATGAAAAGTAAAATTGAATATACCTGAGTTCAATGAGCCATTACTTGCCTGACGTTGTCACCCCTAGGCACATCGTTGTAGATCTTGCTGTGCCATTTGCTGCTCAATCATCACCGAGGCCAATTTTTCATCCCTCACTCGAGCGTTTGAGTGAAAGCTGGGATTGAAACTCAATTCAGTGCATGCGTGTCAAAAGCGATCTTATTGTGTTGCCTACGTCCCATAAGACTTGTATCAAACTAAATGTGTGACACTTAACAGTGTTTCTCATCAAGTTGATCCACTGAATATATTCGACTTAACGTCATCATCCAAACTATTCTATTCAGCAAGCAACATTTCTACTTTCCATCCAACTTGACTCCCATGTCTTCAAGAGCAACGCCAGCGTTAGCAGTTGAGCCTTCCATATTGTCGACCCCGCTCGCCTCCTTCCTCTCCTGAGAAACTTTGAGGGCATTGAGCCATTCCATGCCCAGCGTGAATGGTATCGCTACACCCACTACAGCTGTGCCCAATATCATCGTTCTTGCAACAGCAGTGTTCCAGATGTCTTGCAGAATGGCCAGATCCTCAGCTGAGGTAACAAGTGCAGGGAGATTTGCTGCACCAAGAGTAACCACCATCTCGGGCGAAACCGAAGGTAGGTGCTCCGGTACAAGTTGAAGTAATGTAGTGATAATCAGAGTGTGACCGATTGAAATAAATATTGCACCGCCGAGCTGATAGAACAATACGGCAATTGCATTGCCAACAGGAACATCATCGTCTGATAGAACTACAGCGACAGCGGTGTATGGCAGCTGCATCGCCATCCCAGACCCTAAGCCAGAGACAACGAAAGAAGCTGCCCAGTAGAGAGTAGTACTGTGAGGATGAATCTGTGTGAGCATAGCCTGCCCGGCCGTACAGATCAACTCGCCCACGACCATATAAGGCACGTAGTAGCCGAAGCGCTTGACAATAGCGCCAACGATGATGAGGGAAATAAGCTGAGGAAGAAGCAGTGGTATGAAATCGACACCTGTCGACACTGGACTGATACTTTTGACACCTTGGAACCAGAAAGGGAGGAAAAACACGTTCTGGGGCTGTCAGCTGCTTAGCAGAACAAAATAGGTGGTGACATGAACTTACGACGTATGTTCCTGCTCCCAGGCAGAACAGCACCATTGAGCTGGTCCATATTGACCGTTTCTTGAAGATACGTAGAGGTATTAGGGCAGAGTCGCCTCTCCTCCATTGCAGATAAATGAAGAGGGCCCCAATCAGCCCTGCACCAACGAGGCAGCCAATGACGTCCGCTGAGGCCCATGACTTCGACTGGCCGCCCCAGTGCAGCGAGAGCATCAAGCAGCAAGTCGCACCAATGAAGACAATACTACCTAGCGGGTCCATACTGTGAAGCTTCCTCATCAATGGAAGTGCTCGGTCGTCGCTTTCCTTGCCCTTGATCTTCAAGAAGATCGAGAGACCTGCGAGAACGACAGCTCCAATGGGAAGGTTTCTAGAGAGCAGACTTAGAACCTATGCCTATTTTGATGGCGTGGAAGTGACATACATCCAGAAGCACCACCTCCAAGTACTGTTTTGGGTGAAGACTCCACCCAGCACTGGCCCAACTGTGACTGCAATGACGAAGACACTGATCACGATGCCCATGTATAGCGGTCGTTTCTCGAGAGGTACGACTTGGCTTATGATGCTCAAAGCACCCTGGAGGACACCAGCGGCTCCAAAGCCAGCGATGGCTCGCCCAGCAATGAACATGTTCGAGCTCGCCGCCGCGGCGCAAAGTATAGAGCCGACTGTAACCATTAGCCTTGATTGCATGTGTAGGAGACATGGCACATACCTTCGAAGACGAATATGGACGTTCTGTAGATGATATCCGTGCGAAAGTAGGTATACAAAGAGCCATAAATGGGTTGAAAAGCCGTAATGGTAAGTAAATAAGCCGTTCCATACCAGGCGACATCCTGAAGAGCCTCGAAGTCGGACGATATCTTGGGCAAGGCGACGTTGATAATATTCGTATCAAGTGCGATCAGAAACGATCCGAAGAAGAGGCAGGCTATCACGATGTAAAGTCTCCATCCTGCCAGGTGGCTTGTCGTGTCCGGCTCTGGTAGCTTGGTGGCAGGCTCTAATGCCATGACGTCTGGTCAGATTGCTTGTGGAGGCGGCGATTCCCGTGGGTTGGATCTGTTCCTGCTTTCAAACTCGAATAAGGAAGGCAGAAAAGTGCAGATGCGTCTTGTGACTGGGAGTACGAGCGCGATTTGGCCGAAAGACCAACATCAAGGGAACGCCGATTTCTGGACTGACGGGTGGGCAGTTGATGGGTACCCGAGTTTTGGCAGCCTGCTGAAAATTATCAATCAGGTACGATGCCGCGAGAGCCTGACCCGGCTGTTCATTCGCGCTCAATATGCTGTGCGACTTAACTGTTGATATTGGGTTCTGCGTGAGTCATCACCCGTCTTGCCCTTAGAAGTATTAACCAAGTCGCGTTGTACAAATATCACATCTGTTACCGTTGTCCTTTGTGCTTCAGTAGCAGACCATTTCCTTGGCACGGGAAGAAGTCTCCGTTCATGCAACCCATCATGTAACATACCATGGGGTTCCGCACACCGGGGTACGGTTAGCACAGATAATGAATATGGCCCCTGGGTTACGTTGGGCTTTTGTGAGACAGTAGGGGTCCAGTACCGATCATTTCAGCAAACCTAAGATCTCGATGCTTAGTGGTGGGGTCTAAGGTTGCAGCTGAGACGGTGCGCGCGCGTCGACCTCTCGATTTGTGAAGGTCGGTGTCACGCATTGAAGTACTTCCAATTAACCCTGAAAGGGGGAGAGTGCAGGAGTTTGCGTGTGTAGATCTACGTATTCATGTTCGAGACACTGCCTCAGGACTCTTCAGTCCCAAGGCTGCGCCACTCCAGGCGCTGTGTTTAGATCTAGACATTCATCGCAAAGAGACTGGAGATATGAGGTGATAAATTCGATGCTCAGATCATTTTGAACTGGCTTCTAGACTCCCTGACTGTCGCTGCTATTACCTTAAGCCTGTTCTGCACCTCTGAATCAAGTCAATATGCCATCCACAGAAGCCGTCATTCCCAAGCCGGTGACACAGCTCCTTGCTCGGCTCTCCGAGAACACAACCAGATACCTCGAATACTTCTCTGAGAGGTCTTTGCCAGAACCATCATTCGAAGATGGAGATGGTCTCTCTCCCGACCAAGAGCTCCCAGGAGCTATCCAAGCTGCCAGGAACGTTGCTCTTGAGGCCACCGGTGAACTACATCGACTGCTGCTTGGGCCGATAGGCCTGGTAATGAGCTGCCCCGGAGATCACTATCTCATGCTTGGTATCCAGTATGCGTACAGATACAACCTTGCGCAACATGTGCCACTCGAAGGGACGGCGACATTCGACGAGCTTGCAGCAGCAACAGGGGCAAACGTCAAGGACGTGACGCGGTTCACTCGCCTACTCACCGGTTGGCACGTCTTTCATGAGATGCCCATCGGATGCATCGCCCACACGGCCGCTTCGAAACAACTCCTTAGTAACCCAAAGCTGCAATCATGGATCACCAGCATCGCCCAGGAGTTCTGGCCTTCCCTGGCACGAACCGTAGATGCGACCCAGCAGTGGCCAGACAGCGAGGAGCCAAATGAAAGCGGTTACTCTCTGGGCCATCATACGGATGACAACCCATTCGACGTTATCAAGCGTGACCCAGCGAGGCATCAGAGATATATGGACGTGCAAACTTTCTCACACCAGCATTCCAGCTTTAGCGTCAATCACCTCCTGGACGGCTACGACTTCAGTAATGTTCACACATTAGTTGACGTGGGCGGTGGACAGGGAGAGGTGTCCCTGTGCCTAGCAAAAGAGTACCCGAACATGGAGATAATCGTCCAAGATCAGCCAGAAGTTATTGAAGGCCTAGAGAACCGTATTCCAGCCGAGCTCAAGCATCGCATCCGTGGCATGAAGCACAATTTCTTCCACCCACAACTCGTCAAACACGCTGACATATACCTTTTGCGCTGGATCTTTCACTGCTGGAGCGATCTGTACTGTGTCAAGATTCTGCAGTCACTGGTCCCAGGTTTGAAGAACGGTGCCAAAGTGGTTGCCAATGACATCTGCATCCCGCAACCGGGAAGCTTGGGGATTGCGGCCGATCGAGAACTGAGGCAACTCGACATTTCATTGAAAGCATTCAACAATGCCAGGGAGCGCGATGCCAATGCGTGGGAAATGCTGTTTTCTGCAGCTGATTCGAGGTTCAAATTTCTGGGTATCAAGCTCCCGCAAGGTGCGAGTATGGCAATCATCCAGGCGGAATGGACAGGTGAAGACCAGCAACAGCAATGCAAAGGAAATCTCGGTGACGAGGGTCTATAAATTTCCGAAGTCTCCGACCAATCTCATTTTCATAGGCGATGTATCTCCAAGTGAAGCTAGTTGTGACACCCCGTCTTGTAAGGGTTCGACCGACAATCAGGCCTCTTTACAAACCAGCGTGACCTGGTCTGCATCCCTAAGCCTGACCAGCATTTCCAGGTCGACATCATTGAGACATCTATGTACCCTCCTGCGTAATTTCTCAACGCTTTCCGTTGGTCTACCTTTGGGGAGAACACGATGTCCCTTGAATAGACTCGCTAAGACAGCGACCTCCTCGACCTCGGCGAACTTCTTCCCGGGGCAGATTTGCGGTCCCTCTCCCCACGGAAAGAATATGTGCTTGCTTGGCTCGGAAAACTCTTCGCTGGCAATCTGGGTGAGGGAAGGCGATCCTGCTGGGGCTGGGTTGGAGATCCAGCGCGCGGGCTTCCAGACTTCCGCATCAGGCCAGTATTGAGGATGCATCTGCATGGCGCGTAGGTTGACGGTCAAGTTGGTTCCCTGAGGTATCACAAGGGTTCGGTCGCCGCTCTTGAGCATCTGCGTGCCGTTGGAAGTGATTGACGGGAGGGCCGGTACAGGCGGGTACATGCGCAGCACCTCGTACACGACGGCCCGGCAGCGCTTGAGCTGCGGGAACAGCTGCCTGTAGTCCCATGCATCGGAAGACGTGTCCTGGGTGACAGATGTGATTTCTTCTGCGAGCCAGTCCTGCACATCTGGATTGGCTGCCAGGAGAAGCATAGCAAAGGCCAACGTGTTGGCCGTGGTATCATGGCCGGCGAAGTTGATAACAAACAGGTTTCCGAAGACTTCATCCACGGATAGTCCCTTCTTTCGACCTGCGACGTCCGATGTGTCGGCGGATTCAACGTTGTGCACATCAGCGGCGCGTACAAAAGATGTTATAATCCCGCCTGAACCGGGGGTGCCTTGGCTAAGGGCTTTGGTCTCTTCGTCGAGCATCTTCTCCATGTGTTGTTTGAAAGTAATCCCCGCATTGCCAATCCTAGCCCATGTTCCCGGCACCAGTCGCAGATAACGAGCTGGAATCAACATGAGGAGAATGATGTTGTCAAGAACCGTCTGAAGGGAGTCACGGTAGCTTCCTGTCTCGTCGGTCGAGGGCTCGGCCGAGCCACGGAACTCGTATTGCTTCCGGAACCCCACAGCTGCCAGAACGTTGAGGGAAAGCATTCGGGTATCTTTCTGGTAGCTGCCAATCCCAGTGGAGGCCACCCGAGTCCACGAGTGGAGCATGCTCTCGGCTTGACGTTGGGCCTCATCCCAGACAAGCTTCATGATGGACTCGTTGAAGGGTGTAGCCATGACTTTGCGGTGGCGAGGCCAATCGTCCCAACTCGCAGTCGAGATGCATGGGCCGTAAATTTCCAGGAGTTCTGTTGCTAGTCAGCCGAGTACATCATTGCTCGCATTGGCCATACGTACTCAGCTCTCGAGAAGGGCGTTGGAAGTGGCCGCGTCGTGTTACGATGTCTTGGATGGTGTCAGGATCTGCGAAGTGCAGGTTGATGGCCACGGGCGACACGAGAGCCCAAACCGGTCCCAATTGCACATGAGGCTCTGCTTTCTCGGCGACATACCATCCTCGACGAGAGAGGCGCACGAAACGAGGGTAGTAAGACCAATCAAACGGGAGCCGGTCCAGAATCCTCCACACATGCGGTTGGAGGAGAACCCATAGGACGTTGTTTGAATCGATGGGAAGTCGTACCACAGGCACACCGAAGTCACGAGCCTTGCGCACGTTGGCCTCCAAGCACGCAATGCTCCAAATCATGTAGGTCAAGAGAGACCCCAATAGCAGTTGGCCGATCATACCTTGTAGGTTGCTTGCTGCTGTGGAATGCTGGTTGACAGGTTGCTGGCTTACTGAGCTTGTGATCAAGCTGTAGCAATAAGGTTGTGATGGAGTGAGCGTTCAGGTTGTTGAGTTGGCGGGTCACGAGGCCAAGTCAGTGTGAGGGTGAACAAACGAGATGTGAGAACATGAATGGAGACCAGATCGAGGCTGTGGAAGAGGAAGGTAGAGAACGGAGAATCAGCTCTGAACCAGCTTGGCTACATGTAGAAATGGTGTGGTGTCAAGGTACGCTAACGTTGACCGTGTGTGGTACAAACCGCACTTCCACTGTCTCAGCCTTTCACATGTTTAGTGCATGTTCTGGTGTGGTGGGTGACACATCAACGGCTAACTCATATAACCTTATGTGATATCTCTATTTCTATTAGACTCACACCCCATGCCCTGCCTTGTGAAACACGAGAAACAAAAGGACCTACAACAGTACCACGTGACACCACAGCCTAGATTTAAAGGTGTTTATGGCTTTCAAGGGGTTCATGGCTCGTTGTTTGCATATCACTGCAGTGTCCTTGCAATTAGCAAGGAACCTCTTCTTGTACCCAGAATTGCGATTCACCAACAGCCTGAAACACTGCTGTACAGGACTGTACCAGTGAATCATCGTTGTTTGTCGCAGAGAGAAAAACCCAAGCTTCAAGATGCTGGACTCAACACTTGTTGCTATTGTCGTTTGCGTGGCTGCTTCTATGGTGTGCCATTTCCTCAATGCACGCAAAGAAACCAAGGAACCACTACCTATTCCTTCAAGGACTCCACTTGTGGGCCATGTCATTGGCATGATCCTACATGGCTCGAATTATTACAAGCAAATCAGGTTCATAACACCTAGAAGTGAGCGTCTCAATTCAAAACTAACGGCGTTCTAGCAATAAATTCGACTTGCCAATATACAGTCTCCATGTGCCTCGAGGCAAGATCTACGTCGTCAATTCTCCCAACTTGATCTCGGCTATTGACCGTCGCCCCAAGACAATCTCGTTCGCCCCCTACGTCGTCCAGTTCGCAAAAAGGATCCTGAATCCAAGCCAACATGCTCTGGATGCTCTAGAAGAAGATCTACTCGAGTTGAAGGGCCCAGTGGGACTCCGACCGGAGACGATGAAGGTCATGCATGAGGCGCTTGCTCCCGGGGATCAACTCCGGACGACCACCAAGGTGATGCTCAAGGCACTAGTCGACATCATTGCCTCAAACAAAGCCGTCAACCAAGGGAACTGTATTAAGCTTTTCGCATGGACACGTAAGATTGTGACTAGGGCCAGTACCGACGCCATTTATGGCATCGAGAAGAATCCGTTCCAAGATGCGGACGTGTGTGATGGGTTCTGGTACGTCGATAATTTGCAAACAAAGAATTTGATGAGATGAGGGGCTGATTGGATTTTCAGGGCGATTGACGACGACTTCGTCCTCCTAGGCCTCAACCTTATCCCGAACATCATTGCACCCAAAGGCAGCCGCGGGCGGGACCTTTTTTTCAAAGCCATGCACAAATACTATGCTGCAGATGGACACAAGACTGCATCCGCACTGATCAAGTTGCGTGACGAGGTTAACGAGAAATATGGTCTATCCGAGATGGATACAGAGCGGTTCAACTTGAGCGTGTGTTATGGTCTCCTCGTCAACACCGTCCCCGCCACATCATGGGTCATATACTACGTCTACTCCGATCTGCCTCTCCTAACAAAGATACGCAAGCATGTCGACTTGCTCGTACATCATAGCAATAGCGGGCTTGTAACCGTCAACATCCCAGAGGTCATCGCAGGCTGTCGGCTTCTCCATTCCCTTCTACAAGAAGTTCTCCGCGTGCACAGCACCAATGCCGCTGGCCGTGTGGTACTACAGGACACATTGATCAACGACAGATACCTGTTGAAGAAGGATGCTTTACTCTTTATCCCTTCCGCAAATATACACCGCAGCGAGTCAGCATGGGGCCCAACAGCCTCTACCTTCGACCCCGAGCGGTTCCTCGATCTTGGGACCGCTAAGAACACGCACAAGGTCCCCGGATACGCATACCGGGCATTTGGTAGGGGCGCCAGCATTTGCCCTGGTAGGCATTTTGCAACGTACGAGATCTTGACCGTCTTGATCATCACTGTGCTGAGGTTCGACATCCTTCCTGTGCGGGGCCGTTGGGAGATGCCCAAGACCAAAAGCCACATCACGACAAGCATTATGACCCCGTTTGAGGATATAGATGTCCGAGTCAAGCACAGAGAGGACATGAAGGGGGTGGAGTGGGCGTTTGTCTGGGAGGCGGATCCAAGTGAGGACGCAGGACTAGCCACGGCAGAGTTTAGTGTCAAGTCTCCGTAAGTATCGACAGACTATCCGGCTGCGTTACGCGGGCTGCTACGGCTTGGACCGGTCTAAGGTCTAAATGTATCAATGGTCGGTCAAGGCGGCCGGAAGCCCAGGATCAACAATGGTATGATAATGTGCTCCACAACTATTGCTCTTGGACTGAAATGACGCCGATTATGCATCGAGCGAGCGTTGGCTGTGAGGGTGCCAAATCTCTACATGATGTCTTGAGTTAGCCAGTGTGATCTTTGTTTCCCTTGTGTGGGACCATCTATTTCCGTTTCCGTCCGTATTTTTAGTCAATTTCACCGCAAGTCATATCATCCATCAAGGTCTGATGGGACTTTTACATGTGTATCGCGCCGACAAGCTGTGAGCACGTTTTCGTAAATGACCATTACCCTCAGGCGGAGGAGGCAAGCTCACATTCCTAACATCTTCACAAACACCACTTTTCCAATCATGCTGTCACGCCAAACAAGTCAGTAACTCACACCGGCAAATGCGTATCACTCGACCGGAAGGAGGACTAAGTACTCCCGCCCTCGCAATACTCCATGAAGTCCTTGAGCGCCGACCACTCAGCCAGCCGTGTCGCCGTGTGCGCGTCCTCCTGGCCGCAGATGCTGGATCACAGCACCGAGCAGGAGAGCAGCAAGGCCAGGATGCCGAAGATTTTGACGGCGGGGTCGAGGCGCTGGTCCCATATGCGCTTGCGGCAGCGGGTGCAGACTCTTGAGGGTGGTGGTAGTGGCGGCGGCGGCAGCATGGTTGGATGGCCGGGAGGAGTGACCGTAGGCTCTGTTGCGCTGCAAGCTGTGTTGTCCGGGTGTGTACCTCGTGACCGGTGAGAACTGCTCCAACTTGGACCGGAGCTTCAACCAATCTGCGTGGTCTTGATGGTGTCAGGCCATGCAGTTGGAATGTTTCAGTGTAAAGCCACGAAAGATGCGTGTTCGAAGATATCGTTACGATGCGTCAATGCATCGATGAGTGAAGTCTATTTTATCTGGGACCCTCCGTAAGTGAGGCTGTGTATATCGAGCACCGAAGTGGAATTAGCTCGATAGTGCATTCCTTACAGCCCACAACCGTCGTGATACCACTGGAGTCCCATAGCGCAGGCACCATGGATGGCATTTGCACCAATTACCTCGCCGTAACGAAACCCTGTCCTACTCATCCTCTCCAGCTACTCGCCTCACACACTCGACCTCCAATAGCGGCTGGCTCAGCTGGGGGCAATGTCCCACCTCGTACTCGTGAACGTCGACCGGGCTCCCGCTCTCCTTCTCAACAAGATCGATGAACCCCCGCTGAACCTCGGGAGAATTGACACGATCCAGCTTCGTAAGCATGTAAGAGCACGGGATGTGCTTGTACCCAGCATAGGTCAGGGGAGTCACAGTGGACTTCACAGACTGCGCGACCGGAGAAGAGACGGAGACGTACTTCAGGGCCTCCTCTCGAGGCATGTCCGAGAGGAGCCAGTCTGTGAAGATATCCGGGTTGCGGTTGTAAGCCCAGAGGCCCTCTACAGACGCAGCCAGCGATGACGGGGAGAATAGCCACGCAGTCCACGACAGAGGGATCAATCCCCCTACTGCAAGAGAGATCGACGTCCATAGAGACGGCCTACCATGGGCAGCCTCGATAGAGGGCAGCGGCATGTCAGTCCGTAGGATGCCAGCCATTGAGGAGCCCACCGGCGCAATCGCAGCCCCGACATAAAGGAGCCGCACGATTCCACCTGGCTTGGAGGCGCGCAGCCGCTCAGTCCGGCTTAGGCCCTCGCAGGCCTGTGTTCCTGGGAGGCCGCCGTAGGAATGCATGACCATGACGACGTCCTTGCCCTCATCGGCTAAAGTCTCCACCAGCCGATGAATGTTGTCTGCATCGTCGTACATACCGGGAGTCGGGTCTATCGGAAAGTCGGGTGAGGAGGGATGGTGGACGACGTGGACTTCATAGCCGACATCTCGTAGCGGGTCCGAGACCAGGTCATAATCAGAAGGACGGCTGAATGCACCGGGCACGAAGACGATGACAGGTTTAGGAGAAGCCATGATTGATAAAAACTGAGGTGGCAATCGTATGGATCAGTTTGACAGGCGGACAGACCAGACTTAAGTTGAGGCCTGCCGCCTCCAAAAGGATCATGCATATCACGCCACAGTGGGCTTGGCGGGTGAGAGAAGGAAGCAAAACCCCTCGCGTGGATGGTGCCATTGCCATTGCTGTGCTGAGCTGTTGGTCAAACCATGAAATCGCAGCGTAAGCACCAGCACTGCAGGCCCCCACAAGTGCCTTGAAGGACAAAGCGTGTTGCCTCGAGTTCGCCTCAACAGCCGTTGTCCTTGACCTTCGGCCTCAAAGATCGTCAGCTTCGAAATGATCTTCATCCCGATCGCAACGGAAATCTGCCGTGACGAGCTTTCGCTGCCGGGCATGCCCTCTGTCGGATAGCCGCAACTAAGGAATACTCATCACAGCTTGCTGTAATCAGCCACGTAGCCTTGGAGGCTCCAGAGCCTCATGCTTGTGACGCCGCTTCGTTGGCTTCTCAACAAGAAGAGCGATCCATCTTTAAACACGGAGGACTCAGACCTGAGCCGAGCGACATTCGCCGGGCCGAGGAGTTTTGGCAAGTTGTAGACAGGACGTGTGGTAGTTGGGTCGCCGTCAATATCGAGGGTTGCGTACTGTTCGGGATCGATCTCTGCCTTCTCCGCCGTCTCTGTCTCCGCCGTCTCTGTCTCTCCAGCGGACTCCTGGTCGCCCTGTTCGGAATCTAACGCCTTTCCCTCTCCCAGCCAGAGAAACGCGCTGCGATGGACGTATGTTGCGGCGTACTTGGCGTCAGTGACTCTGATGATGTACTTCCTGCCGTTCTCCTCGCAAAGCGTGGACAGGTAGAGGAGGTCATCCATGATCTGGCGGCGTCTCTGGTCGAGGATGACCCAGTACATGTCCGGACGCCAATTGGCTGCCTTGGCCTGGGGCGGGACTCCGGGGTTGGTGGCAAGCCTTTTATGGCCGCCGTAGTACCTTCTGCCAACCGTGCCGAAGTTCTCTATCAAGTCCTGGCGCGCAAGCAGATGGCTCGGGTACCGATATTTGGTCTGCTTCTCGGCAGTGCCGGACGAGTCACTAGCAGCGGTAGCAGTGGCCTCTTCGCCAGCTTCTTCCTTAGTAGCTGCTGATGGAGGGTCGTCAGCCTCTTCAGTCTCATCAGGCTTCCCCTTTGCCGGCTTGCGCGGTGTGTCCAGCCCCTCAGGAATCCACCAGACTTGATTTGTCTCTGGATGCCTGACCAGACCAAAGCTCTGCAGCATGGCCTTGGGCAACTGAACCCGGGTGACACCGCAGAGTCGGACAGGCGTGGCCAGCAATTGGGCTGCGGGTGGTCAGTAGCATGGCCAGCAACCAAAGCGCGCCAAGAAAGAAAGAAAGAAGACGAGGACACCCGGATATTCATTTCCAAAACGTAACGTACCGTAGGTGTTTTGGCGCAGCTGGCGCTGAAAGCGGTTGTGAGCATTTTTGTCTGGGGGAGCCTTCGTCTTTTTACGTTGTCGGGCTTCTCGCCATGTCGAGTCCACAAGGGGTGAGATGGGAAGGTCTCCTGCCGCCGTGTGTATGGTCTTGTCGACAAGATTCACCTCGGACCAGGACCACTGGTCAAAGCCCAGGTCATCTTGCACCCGCTCCAGCCTTGACCCACGTAATGTCTTGGGTGGCTTGGTGGATGCCTTTTTCGGTGCCTGCCTCGGCGTCTTTTTCTTCGAAGACACCGGCTCCCCGTTGACGGCTGCACCGTTGGTGGAATAAAAATGTGCTGCTGGACGACCCAAGTTGAATCCCGCCAGGCTAAGACTGCGTTGCAGCCTTGTGCAGCTCGTCATTGCTCAGGATTGGAGCAGAAGCCCAATGTTGAAGGTGTACCTGCGGACTCAGAGAGCGCCCAGCTGGTGTTTGGATGTCAGATGAGATGCCCAAGATAGAATTGTTCGTTCGGGGTACACGCGCCAGGGATCAGGATCGGTGCCGGACGCGGATACGTAGGGAAAGTGGAGTGCAGTGGATCCGCGGTGGGCTGGGCCTAGTCGCTGCGCCCGCCGCGGCTCCGACTCGACGTCACCTCCACATTCTGCCGTCGAGCTCGTCAACAACACCCCCTTCTCAGCGACGACATTCCCCTCCACGCCGTGGTCCAGCGCTCTGAAACGGCACAATCACGGGGATGAACACCCAACGGGCAGCATGGCGTCTCCTCAGGGGCATCGCACCCACGACGGCGCGGAGGCGTAACTTCTCCCAGATGCCCTGCCGCATGGGCCCGACATCCTCGATTCCCATGCCATATATCACAGAAGTCACAGTACGCCCTGAGCATGCCCCAGCCAGCCTTGCAGCACCCTATGGCATCCGCTGATTGATATAGTCTGGTGGCTGGAGGACATGTGCGTCACATTTCTCGCGATCCTCGCCGCCGCGCCGCTGGCAGGACGATCTTACTGATACGTGGACTTGAACCAGCCGACATCTTCTCCAAGCTACTTCAGGTACGCAGTCAATTCCATGCCCTTGCTGAATACCTGCTCTCTGTTGAAGACTTGAGGTCGAGCGTGCTCAACTGACAATTCTCACTCCCTCCCAGGAACGAATCGTCTGCCTCAACGGCCCCATAGACGACACCGTCTCCGCCGCCATCGTGGCCCAGCTGCTGTGGCTCGAGTCCGACGCCCCCGAGAAGCCCATCACAATGTACATCAACTCGCCCGGCGGCGAGATCAGCTCCGGGCTGGCCATCTACGACACCATGTCCTACATCCAGTCGCCCGTGTCGACCGTCGGCGTCGGCGCCGCCGCCTCCATGGCCGCCATCCTGCTGCTGGGCGGCGAGGCCGGCAAGCGCTACGCCCTGCCGCACAGCTCCGTCATGGTGCACCAGCCCCTGGGCGGCACCAAGGGCCAGGCCTCCGACATCGTCATCTACGCCACCCAGATCCAGAGGATCCGCACCCAGGTCAACGACATCGTGCGGCGGCACCTCAACCAGTCGTTTGGGTTCGACAAGTATGACGCCCAGACGGTGAACGACATGATGGAGAGGGATAGGTACTTGATGGCGCACGAGGCCAAGGAGATGGGCATTGTGGATGAGATATTGCTCAAGCGGCCTGCCAAGGGGGAGAAGAAGGACGACAAGTGAACGGTATGGTGTTCGAGGTGGCTGGAGGCTGGGGGCTACAAGGAAAAGGATATTGATAATGATCGTTGCCTCTGGGTGATGTACATGTGGATGTGTTGCCGAGCACGAGCCAACCCTCGAGAGCATGTACCAGGCAGAGGGACGCCCGAAGCTAGCTGCGTCTTCGCAGATAGATACGCTCCCATTCACTCATCGCCCAAATTCATCCGATCTCTTTGCCACTCAGGCAACTAGCCCCGCCCTCATATACGGGCCGAAGCCACACCGGTCAATACCGGCCCTCCTGCCAGTCCCGTTCAGGTCAAATGGTCTAATTGCCAGGGCGATGGTTCCCGTGCAGGAGATACTACTAGCCGCGGGATAAACTCAGAGCTCGCAGATTCGAGCCTCCCTGGTAGTATACCGCGGAATTGACAGATAAAAGTACGCGATGAGAGACGTAGGCGCTGGTCGCCGAACTCTTTTGCCACCTTTGCCATCTCCCCGCTTTTTTGTGTTCTAAAGTGTCAGCAGTTCTTAAAAGGCCATAGACTGCTGCACCTTCCGTTATTTGAACACAAAAAAGCCTTTCATGTGTTCCCGGCAACAAACGGCCCTCCATGTCTGTTCATCAGAAAGCCGCCAACACCCATCCAACGTCGGCCAACCCACCCTGCCCTTGGCCGGTTTTAAATTCAAGATGAGATCTCAACATTGGCCAAGGTAATCTATCTGTCTAGTATTTGTGAAGCTCGTCCATGTCTTTGAATGCTAAATTTATCCACCTCTGTTTTGCTGCTGGACGAATTCGGACTGCAGATTGGTCCTCGTGGGCTTTAGTCTCGCAACCTCTTGATTGAATTTGTGTCAAACGCCATTTGCTCCGCAAGTCCTGGCAAACTTTCAGGCCGCTTCAGCCACACACGGTGTATGATCAAAGTGGTGGAAAAGCGGGTATGCTTAGTATTGACAATTCAAGAGCGCATCTCACTTGGCCTACAGCATTTCCTACAGTGCCTGTCCTGTGTAGCACTGTATTCTTTACAGCATCGGTCAAGAAATTGACCTTAGTCACAATATTGGTCACAATTGTTTTTCCACTCATGAATACCAAGGCTGACTCAAATAAGTATCCAGTAATAGGACGTCATGCGCCATAAGTGCTTACTGAAGTCTCATCTTACTCGCATAACGTGCATGCCTCTGAGCCTTTTGGGAAGGAAATACCTAAGCCTTGTATGGGCATCTCGGGGGTATTACCACAAGTGATGTAGGATATTCCGAATTGGGGACGACATCAACGAGCGGGCCGGTCGCGGAGTGCAAGGAGCCATGATTATCATTGCCAAAATTGCTTATTGCCGAGTCCGCGCACACCCATCAAATAGATACGACCGTGACCCTTACTCGCCGTGACCCGTGTGCGCAAGACTATGCAACGAGCCCGGGCGTTTTCTCACGGCGCAGGATCATCTGGCTCTCCCACATCTGCCATCCAGACCACATCTATGCAGCTTCATTTTTGCTCAACACCGGCGACGGCTGACAACCAAGGCGGCCGGTTCTCCACAAACAGCTCAATCAGGGGCTTCGCGTCCTCCAGAGCGTCGCCGTCCAACGTGCCGACCTTGATAATCTTGTTTGTGCCATAAGTCTCCGTCTCGCGCCAGATAGTCGTGCCACAGTCCCCACAGAAGAATGACGTGACCGTCTTGCCGCTCTTGGCCGTCGTCTTGAACTCCTTGGGCTTGCCTTTGGTCAACGAGAAGCCGTCGCCGGCAACGATCATGTTGGTGGAAAACACGGAGCCGGTAGTCTTTCGGCAATCAAGACAAAAGCAAAGGGACTAAAGTGGTTTAGCTGTTGCGTAATATCAGGTAGGTGAATCTGCTGCGGGTACCAACCTTGCCCGAGACCTCGCCAGTGGTCCTGATGCGGACCGCCCCGCACACGCAACCGCCTTCGACCATAGTGCAAGATTTTATAGGATTTCCGTTGGTGTTGGCGGTGAAAAAAAGGCCTGAGATGCGTGACGCGATGGGTTACGCGATGGGCAAAATAGAACAATGAGATTCGACCCCTAGACAAACTTGAAGATATTTATACCATCACTCCGGCCCCCTCATTACGGATTCCGCCTCGGAGATGTTGGATCAATGGATGAGTTACGCCCTTGGCACATTTCTAAGGTCCCCTTATTCCCGACTGCGCGCGCCCAAGTCATTTTTCTGCGTGATGTGAAAGCAGGTACGGGCTGATTCGCATCGGTGGCGCGAGCCAATGAGAGCGGCGGGGGCGCCGCTGACCTCAGCGTCTCTAGGTCAATTTACGGCGAATGCTTTGTCAAGGCGCGCCCTTGGGACGGATCAAGTCCACATGTGGGGCCCTGTCAGAGAGCTGATCGAGCACATATAGCTATATACAGAAACCACAATGTGGCCAGGTGATATTCATCACAGTGAGGTGGTTATTCCCGATTTTGTTGGCTCCGAGTGGTAGTGGTGCACAAATTGGTTTCGGGCTCTCAGCCGCAGGTGCCGTAGGAGCGGGCGGCGAAGAAGCCGAAGATAATGGTTCTCTAACCGATTTTCTCTTTGATGTAATCGTTGTATTCATCTATCTAGCTTGGCCATATTTAAACGTCTTCGCTACTCCGATTCACAATTGATAATTTCGTTATGTGATCCCTGTGCCAGTCACCTCCATAAATGCCGTGTGTAAATAGACAGAACCACTCCATCTTAAGAATGACGGGATATGTTGCATGTCGTTATTGGAAGCTCATTCATGCAACTCAGAAAGTCGCATGAGTTTGCGTAGTGCCTCGATCAAGTGCAAAATCTTCCCCGTCATGGAACCTCTTCTGCTTGCTCCACCAGGCCTCCACACTCCTCGAACAACTTCTAGTTGCTCCACCTGGCGTTCATACTCCTCGAACAACCCCTGCTTCCTCTCCTCGGCCGTCGCCCTTCTCTTCGAATTTTCAACTGTCTTCAGCAAAGACCTGAAGTGCTTGTCCAAATCATCTGAGTGGCCAGACTTAGCCCAAAACCACGCTTCTCCATCATCCGCTTCTCCGGTATTACTAGAACGCGAGAGGAGCATCAAATTATTTCAGGGGTCACGATACATGCCACTCACGATTTGCGCGAACATTTGCTATACCTGTCAAAACTTTTATGTACACCCTATGGGATGCTTCGTTGACATCGTTGGAAGTTCAAACCATCGAGTAACAGTGTATCATGATAGTCTCATGAGCGTGTAACGTCCCCGGCCCCGTTTCTAATTACCCCCTGATCCCAATCACCTTGGCACCTACACACTCCCTTATTATTACCCTTAATTGCCCACCACCACAATGCACAATCCTTCTTTCGTTAATATTTTTAATTCTTTAAAGGCATCGCTTTCTTTTAATACTTTTTTCACCTTTATTTAAGCCTTATGGATAGCCTTAATATTAATAAAAGCTATATTTAAATTAATTTAAACCCTTTTTCTTATAATTCTTTAATTAATTTTAATTTAAGCTTTAAGCTATTAATTTTTTTATAAGGTTATTATTAATTAAGTTTCTTTCTTATTATATATTTTAAAAAGCTTTTTAAAAAGTATTTATAATATAAGGCTTAAGTATTTATTATAATATTAATAAATAATTAATTAATATACCTTTTATAATTACTTAAAAGTCTTAAAAATAAGCTTTAGCTATTAAAAAAAACCTTTAATATAAAAAATTACTTAATAAAGCTCTTTATATTATTAAATTTTAATAATTTATGTTAAATTTAGCGATTTTTAAGGATATAATAACTTTTAAATACCTTATGCTTAAATATTAACTAAAGACCTATTACCCTTTACTTTAATTAAATATTTAACTTTATAAATACCTCCTTTTATACCTTATAATAATAATAAAGAAACCTTTTCTTTATTATAATTATTAATAAATTATATTACTTAAGTTAATAAAAATGCTTTTTAAAGGCGTTTTTTAAAGGTAAGAAAATTATTATATTAAAGGGCTAAAGCATATACAATATATATATAAGTAAAAAGACTATATATATATAATTTAAATAGCATTTTTATATAAAGTTAATAATTATATATATATATAATGCTTATTAATTATAAGTAAATATTATTTAAAAAGATTGCTAAAGATAATATTAAAAATAAAGATTTTCCTTAGCTATTTAATAGCTATTCTTTCCTTTATTCACCCTTTTTTAATAGCTATAAATTGCTAGCTAAAATAATCCTTAAGAGCAATTAAAAATTACTATTATTATATACTCCCTTCCTTAAAAATAATAAAAGGTTTAAGGACTTTGCTTAAGGCATTAATATACTTTATAAAGGAAGTTTATACTTAAGAATTAAAGTCTTTTTAAAAAAGAGAACTATTTTTTAAATAATTAAAAGTAAGGGCATTCTTTAAGCAACCCTTTATTAACCCTTCCTTATTAGCATTTTATTAATAGGTTAATTAAATAAACTTAATAATAAGTAGTTAAAGGAGGTTAAATTAAAAGGTAATATTCTTTTTAATTATTAATTAAAAATAAATAGCCTTTATATATTAATTCTTTTAGCTTTAAAGAATAGGGTAATAAAAAAGAAAGGCTCTTAATTAATTCCTTTTAAGAAAAGGGTAGTTTTTATTTAAAAAGGCTAATTAAGCTTTTAAAGCCTTTATTTTAAATTGCATTAATGCTAACCCTAAGCTATTTTAATTAATTATAAATAAAGCTAATAAAGCCTTTTAATAATTAAAAAGAAGCCTTTAAGAATTAATAGTAATATAATAGCTTTAAATATTATTAACGCAATTATATAATATAATAAAGAGGATATGCTAAATCTTAATAGCTTGCTAAATTAATATTCCATCCCTAATAGCAATAAGGGCGTTAATAATATTATCTTTAAAATACAGCTTTATAATAAGAAGGTTAATGTTTAAAAGAAATTTAATAATTAAAAAAAAATTCCTTATAAAGATATTAAGAAGTGTTTATATAGTGGGTATAAACGCATTTATGCACATACGCGGGTATGGGGCGATTAGGATTAGGGGGTAATTGGAAACGGGGCCGGGGATGTTAGAAGACGAGGCATATGATACGTTTTCAAGTCGTCATAATATGGTCTTGTAGCAATGTTAAGGGATTGATCTGAAGTACGCGGGCGATACTCATTTGTCACATGCAGGCCAGACTTCTCAACCACTTGCTCCAGAATTATGAACTGACTACTAGTACGGGATACTCTGTGTAGTGTGGAAGCTCTAGATCTTCTCAAGCATTCAGGCTGTTATTGTTGAAGACATTTTGTGAAAGTTCACAGAATTTCCTCTCAATTACAAGACAAAGACGATAAAGATATGTCAAGGTCTTTGAGCCGATGACCGGAAAATGTTCAAATGTTGGACACACTCATGCTTCAAAATATTTTCAAGTGGCAGTGACGATTAAGGTTTAAACTCCAATTTTTTTAATCAAGTAATAGGAAGAACTGACAGGGGATTCGGGTCACGCCAATCGTGTTCCACTTCCCTGCTAACTCTCCACTTCAGACGAATGCATTCCTCGGTCTGATAACTGACTGGATGGTCGATGCCGGAATGCCCATGGATTTGCAACTCCAGCTTCTCCACTAACTCGCTCAATCCAGCTTCATTGGAATCAAATAAAAGCGATCTGATGATGTGCCCATCCCCACTAGACCCATTCCTTACACGCGGCGGCCGCAGCCCTTGTCGTTCCAGAGACTACAGCCAAAGCCGAAATCGTCAAGGTTCTCAAGACCTCCTTCGAGGTTTTCCTTCTCTTCATCTTCCAGCTGCTTGATAAGCTCGCTGATATCACAGATGAGGCCTCTTGCAGTTGGGAGATCTATGGGCTTATCGAAGTACGTCCGCCGCAGTTCTTGTGGAACGGTTTGACAGACTCTCAGTTGCTTGATCAGCTCATCTATATCAACAACACGGATTTTGGTTTGAGATGTAGGATACAGGAGAGACGGCTAGACACTTACATTCAGGCATGGAGTATTCGGTATCATCAATGACATCGAGGGCCGTAGCTTGCTGGAAGAAGGCCAGTCCTAGGACACAGGCGTAAAGGTTGAATCGCATTTTGGCGGTTGGTAGAGGACGTGGACTTTTTAAAATAGGTTTCCTTGGTGTTCAAGATTTCCGGATGTTCGAAATTTTGATGTTTGAAATTTGAGTGCTGGCAGTTTTGTATGTCTGGTGGAAGTTGAGAAGGAAATGTTTTCTTCTTGGGGAAGGTCTGCATACTTATACAGTATAATTTTGCCCAACGCTACTAATGGGTTATGGTGAAAAACTGAGCTTAGTCTGAACTGCATCGAGCTATTCGGTCCATAGAGGTCATGTGGTCAAATTGGAGCAAAATGAACAGCACAGAATAAGTAATAGCTTTACTTAGTGTCCCTAGACAGCCGCAGTTGGAAGATCACAGTGGAAATGGAGAGAACTGTTTCGACCATGGCCGCCTCATTCCAGACTGTAATCTCGTTAAGTTGAGTACCACTTCAAGGTTGTTATTCAACTTAATTTGCGGTTCACCAACGCATGTAAAGCATGGCAGGCACCTAGTACTCAGTAGGACGTCTAGCCTGGTGCTATGTTTCTGCTAACTGGTACTTTGTACCTGGCGCCCCCGAGCGTTGAGATTGCCATACTTCGTCAAACATGGATGACTCGGAGGGCTTTGGCAGCTAAATAGCCTCGTGATTCTTTGGAAGAAAATCTGCGTTCAACGAAATGCCATCAATGTGCGGTCTTGAAAAAACAATGAGTTCAGGCATCCGAGACACCACGGATAATATTGAGTCCCTTACACATAGCTCCGAGAATCCTGTCGCGAAGCTGCTCATCCATTATGACCTTTCCCGTGTAGCGTCGACTTTTTGCCAGTTTCGCACATTCACATGTTCATTGAGGAGATGTTTGGCGTCTTATAATATCAATGTCCAGTGTCTGACATATCAGGGAGATGGATTTTGGAAATCATATAATCATTCTTATACAAGTGGTGGGAAACAAGGGACATGCTCAAGATGTCTTTAACGAGATCACGAGTGGAAATTTGCACAACGCTCGAGTCTTTGCAATCCAGCAGTCATAGCAATTGAACACAACTCCTTAGGAGTCTTTTTAGGTGGATCTAAATAACTTGGTATCAAAAAGGCCCATTGCTGTTGCTGATGAACTCAGAATCCATTGCATACCTACTTCAAGAACTCCACCTCAGCTCCCACACCACCTAGGTATCCATCTGGAATCATGCCACTTCGAGAAGACATCCTGGGTGATAAAACGCATTTGTTGGCTCTCGATTTTATGCTGATTGATCATTACACTTGCACGGCTTTCCCACTGATTGACAGATTTCTTATACAATTGCGGACAACTTACACCACAGCTACATCTGGTCAGAGCACATACACCCAGGCCTGATTCACACACTCATACCCAACACCTACTCACTCAGCACCTATAAGTACGTGTACCTACTCACGCACACACCCCCTCCCGCACAGCCGTTTCCCACTAAAAAGCCCCATTTCAGCCTATTAATAAATAAATCTATAAAAATACAATATATAAAATAAATACATCCAGATTGCACCTTCCTCCAGAATCTTTGTACAGCCGGGAGCATCTTGTGATCACCCCGGACAACGCTCTCCGGATGCACAGACACCGTCAGGACACTGAAGCGTATGGTAGTTCCTTCCCTGTTGACGTAACTGAAGGCCGGGCACTTCCGGGCATTTCTGGGCAAGGCCAGCCTGGAGAATTCAGATCAAGGCTCCGTAACGCCTGCTTGACGAGGATTCATGAGCCAGGAAGGGCGGTCGGCCATGGAAACGCATCGAAGCTTGACGTACGCCACGCGGGATGATGGCGTACCGAGGCACTCACACACTGTGAACACTCACATCAAACCGGGCCACTTCCTGATTGACGCGACAGAGATGGCACCCAAGGTCTCCATGTACCTCCAATTGGAAAAGAATCTGAAAAAACACAAACAGTATTTCGCGTGCGTTGGGATTTGATACGCCCTTCCCTTCCACCTATCAAGTGGCCGGTGGGTGCGCAGGCACTAATTAGGTCGCTTTGGCTTTGTCTGCAAAGCAACCATTTTTCTCTCAAGAAGAGGCATTGTAGCCGTTCTTCATGCTCACAGCAGCCACGGACTTGTCCGCGAGCCTATTAGACTTCTTCCGAGCGCTTGATGACGGTCGAAACACAGTCGTTGCAGGTCAATGTCACGTTCTACGGCTCTTTGAAAGTCTGAGATTGGAGAAGCCCGAATCCGACAGCCCTGTAGAGCTACATGACTCTGCTTCCTCCAAGTGAACTCGATCGGATCTACGGCATCATGCAGGTGTTCCGATGCTATCTCGGCGCGTCCAGCCCCCACGCACGGCCGGGCTGGAAATCGCTCTTACTCATCTGGGAGAGCAGTCTGGTCAGGCCGTCGTTGACTTTGAGCAAGGCGGCAGGCGACGTGCGGGACGAACGGCAAGCACCCCCTATTACGACGGGGCCCATCCCTCGGAGGCCCCGTACCTTCCATTTCCACGTAATCTCACTACCTGTGGCTTGGAGATCATGATCCAGAGATATGCAATTCCGCCGCACCATTGCACTTGGCCCACGAAGTGACCCAATCCAATAGAATGTTCAGTGGGTTGGGAATTTGTCACAGCAATACTCTCAGCACTTGACCAGGGAGTGCTTCATGCAGTAGACTTGAATGGCGAATGACCAACAATTGAAGACTCCAAAGTTTGGCCTGCTTTCTGCGTCTTGAACATGTTGCACATGAAGTGTGTGGCACGCTCTGATTGGACTACGCAGATCGTGGAATAAATAATGTTAAGATCAGTTCATTTGAATTTATTATAACGTTGATGCAATGACTAACTTAGAGGACCTAGTATGCAAGCTGAAAGTAGGTGGCAGCAGTGTAGACCGCAAGATTGAATGTCTTCATTGCCTCGGGGACAGTCGGAAAAGGGTGCGTAGTACTTGGGTCGAGCATCAGCCTTCTTCTACTAACTATTACGACCCGCCGACTCGCTCATCCTCCCAGGCCAGATAATCCGGCGCGACTTGGGTTCCGGAACACTGGACAAGCGAGGGCTGGGAGCCCGTGGGTCCTGAGATTGCTAGGTTGAAGTAGCCTGGTCCGAGGCGATTGGCGTAGTAGAGACGAATCGGAAGGTATTTCTCTGTTTCCGATACAGTGATTGAGTAGGTCGTCACCTTGTTGTAATCGGACTCGAATAATTTGCGAAGCTGGCTGTTGCCGGGATAGAAGCTTCCAGAGACGGCGTTGTTGCCAATCCAGACATACAAATTATCATCTTGCTCGTTGATGATGTTGAAGGTGTAGGTGCCGGCGCCGGGGAACTCTAAAAATCCGCGTTCTTGGACCGAATAGCACGTGTTGAAGGGGTCTGTCCCGCTAGGGGTGGTGTATCCGAAAATGCTGATCGGCTTGCCTCCGCCTTGATAAGGAACACCCTGGGGAGGATAGTCGTTCCATTGAGTTAGCTGCGTCCTGCCTGTACCCTGCGGAACCTTTTCTTGGATCATAAGTCCGAGGTTCAACGTGTTCGGATCCTCGGAAAAGTAGTTGTCTAAAAGCTCCTCACACTCAGGCCCGCCCATAGGGTAAAGGTAAACGCCGAACTCGAGCCCTGGTGTACACACCGGTGTAGGAGTGGCGGATGGGGTGCTTGAAGTCGAACTTGAGCTCGACGAGCTGCTTGTACTGCTGCTGCTTGTAGTGGTGCTGCTTTCCCTGACCCGTTCCTGTTCCCAAGGCAGCCAGAATGGCGCATCCTGGTCCTTGGAGCAGGTGCTAAACTCAGGCGTCGATCCGGAACTCTCTGTAACCGATAACTGGAATTGGCCGCCGCCCTGAAGGTTGCTATAGAATAGGCGGATCGGAATATAACCGGTCCCGACTTTTTCAGAGTTGAAAGTGTATCTTAACTGCGAGTTGAAGTGGGTACCGAACGATTGGCGGATAACAGTATTGCTGGGGTCGAATCCTCCTGACAACGCCGCATCCCCGAGCCAGACGTAAATCAAGTCGTCAAGGTAATTAGCAAGTTCGAATGTGTACTCGCTGTCGTCGGAGACCACAATGTATCCACGATGGTCAATCACGAAGCAACTGCTGGAACCGGGAGGTATAACAGTCTCGTAGAATGGAGAATTATACGTAAACTCGAAAGTAGTCCGCGTTACACCCACGGCCTGTGGAACCCTGCCTTGGATAATGTTTGCGAGGTTTACATTGAGTGGGTCGCCGCCAAGAACTGGTCGTGCAATTTCGCCATAATCTCCTGACCCTTCTCTGCAGAAGTAGATAGCATATTCAACCCCTTGTTTGCACACGGGCGTGGGTGTAGCAGTAGGGCTTGACGAAGTGCTGCTTGAGCTTGACGAACTGCTGCTTGTGGTCTCCTCAGCCGTCGAGGACGAGCTTGAGGAGCTGGTGCTTGTGGTCTCTTCAGCTGTAGACGAGCTCGATGAGCTTGTGCTTGTGGTCTCCTCGGCCGTCGAGGAGCTGGTGCTTGTGGTCTCCTCGGCCGTCGAGGAGCTTGTACTTGTGGTCTCTTCAGCTGTAGACGAGCTCGATGAGCTTGTGCTTGTGGTCTCCTCGGCCGTCGAGGAGCTTGTGCTTGTGGTCTCTTCGGCCGTCGAGGAGCTTGTGCTTGTGGTCTCTTCGGCCGTCGAGGAGCTTGTGCTTGTGGTCTCCTCGGCCGTCGAGGAGCTTGTGCTTGTGGTCTCTTCGGCCGTCGAGGAGCTTGTGCTTGTGGTCTCCTCGGCCGTCGAGGAGCTTGTGCTTGTGGTCTCCTCGGCCGTCGAGGAGCTTGTGCTTGTGGTCTCCTCGGCCGTCGAGGAGCTTGTGCTTGTGGTCTCCTCGGCCGTCGAGGAGCTTGTGCTTGTGGCCTCCTCGGCCGTCGAGGAGCTTGTGCTTGTGGCCTCTTCAGCTGTAGATGAGCTTTCCGACGTGCTGCTTTCAGAAGTGCTGCTTTCAGGAGTACTGGTTTCAGAAGTGCTGCTTTCGCTTGTCGTGGATTCGTCAAGGGTGGTGGAGAAACTTGTGGTCTGCTTAGCGGTGCTTGAGCCAGTACTTGACTCAACTTCGAACGAGCTACCAGACGGGCTTGTCGTTTCTTGAGCGGTGCTCAAGGGTGTAGTGGATTCAGTTTCTGACGAAAGGCTCGACTGTGTTGTCTCTTGTCCTTCTGATGTTGACGTAGACGATGCAACGCTTGTTTCTACCTCAGAGGTGCTCATGGGACTCGTCGTCGATCCGGCCTCTGAAGTAGCACTTGAGCTGGTCTGCTCGCTTGATGATGTTGACTCGGAGGATGACTGCGATTGAATGCTGAATACGCTAGTCGTTGAAGGCCCGGCAGATGATTGCGCCTCCGAGCTGGTTGCGCTGTTGCCACTTATTGTCCCTGTGGAACCTGTGGTCGTCGCCACACCAGAAGGTGTTGGCTCAGAGCGTGAACTTGTTTCCGTGCCAGAAGGATTTGATCCAGAAGTGCTGCCACTCATCTCCGGTTCTGTAAATGCTGTTGATTCCGGAGAGGTAGATGTGGAAGAATTAAAGAATCTGGGCCTGGTGCTCGTGGTCATGAACGAATCAGCTGACGACGATTCAGAGGTAGCACCCCTTGCTGATACTGTGGGGCTATTGTCGGACAGCGTCGATATTGCTAAGCTGCTTTCAGAGGTAATAGGGGTCGTTGGTGGCGCCTCGGAGGAAGCTATAGAGTTCTCTGAAGACACCACAAAAGATCTAGAGGCAGAAATTGAGGAGCTTAGAGACGACGATTTCACGTCTTCAGTAGATGTGAGAGGTCTTTCGGAAGTTATTTGACCCGTAAATGTGGGTGGCAATGAAGTTGTACCGGCTGAAAAGCCATCTGTCGTGCGAACAGAAGAAGCAGCGGTTACCTGGGTAGTCGCAGCACTTGGTAAATCCGCACCGACAATCTGTCCATTCTGGCACAGCGAGGCTATATTGACGATTAGCATGTCAAACCCAAAGAAATTGGGAGGACAGTCCTTACCTTCGAAGCCGATCAGTATTACTGGCTGACAGTTGATAGGGCTCGAAGTGAACGTGATGTATACATCTCCGGCATCATCTTGACAGAAGTCTGCCCGTCCACCAGGAATGGAAGAGTTCGAGAATTGCAGGATACGCCCGTCGACAGTGAAGGTGGTAGATATAGCGCCAGCAGATAGGAATCCCGTACCACGAAGCTGTTTAAAATTGTCACCAGGAGAGTAATGGATGGGTGTGCCGGTATCCGAAAGCTGTCCCGAGGCCAAAGTGTAAACTGTCGCGCCATCGCAGCGTTGTTGGGGCCCGGGTGCGTCGTTGTTCAGGAAACCTTGAATTGCCCTGGTCTCCAGATATCGTTTTCGAGCTCCTCCGGGAGCAGAAATGAAAAAGATTATCTCTTGAATGATCGGGACACTAGGAGTGGGTAATGAGCTGACGGTGGTGGATGCCCCAGCGCCGGAGGTGGTGGTGAGACCTGGCGTACTCGGAATCAAGGGCGTCCCAGACAGCGAAGATGGCGACAGGCTCAAGGTTCCCCTTCCAGTCCCACTTTCCGCAGAAAGAGGCAAGGGCCCAGGCGACAGTGAAATCGCCGGAGGCGGACTCGGTGGCAAGGTCGGCGCAGGGACAAGAATATCTGACAGATAAGTGAAGCACCAACTCGCAGGTCCGTATTCAGCATTTTCGGCCAACCGCATGCCAACGGCCGCCCCAACCCAAGAAATTGCGGTTGCATAGTATCGTGGCTTCATGGCTGAACATGCAAGAACGGGTGGCGGCCGAATAACCGTTTCTGACCCGGGCCAGTTGCAGTGTTGAACGTGGTAAATGTACCAAAAAGAAAGGTGGTGGCTTCAAGCCTCGTCCCAACAAGAATTAGCGCTCCGCCACCATCAAGGCGGTCGTCTTGTGTAAACACAGCAAGACGCTTCGTGGCATTCCATGCGAAGTGGGTGTACGAAGATTGATTCCAGTGGTCTCCAGGGCATCACCCGAAATTCCCGAGCACCCTGATCATCTGACACTTCTGGGTGGAATAAACCGAAACCTTTTGAAGAGCATGTATTCGCACAAGACCTGATGTAGTTAGCAGCATGGACGTTAAATATATCCCTTCGTCTTGGCGAGTACCTGAACCCGTGGAGCGCATTATTGGCCAATCAGCTCTCTTCGTAAACAGCAGCTGTTCCACCTTTACATTCCGTTCCTTTCGAGTTGGAGTTGTGACTCAATTGTGGCAGAAGTTGAGATGCCGATCGTGATGCCGATCAATTCTGACGTTAACGCCAACCAACAATAGGCGACAAAGATCAAGTATGGCAACTGATTGTTCACTATCTCTTCAACTACACGTATAGTTCAGAACCAATCCTAAGGCCCAGATCACGGTTTCCAAAACGCCGTAGTGTTCTAAACTGCACTGCGCCGCTATACTTAATTTAGAATTAATTTTTAAGCACAGGTAGCATTTTATCTTTAAATGCAGCTTAAGAAGTGCCTTAAAACCCATTGCAATTTTCATTCACGCCATAACTCATTTTAATAATAATTTATATTATTTTTCCTCTTTAAAACGCTGAAATTTTTTAAAAAAAACGCCATAATTTAAAATGCTTAATTAGCAGTATGTTATATAATATTGGCTAGTATTTTAACTTTTTAAGGCTTTAAAGTAGGTCCTTCCCCATAAGTGACTTCTCGGTAAGCTTCGGCAGCGCCTTAGCACGGAAGTTACTTTGTAGGGGTGCTTCACAATACTGGCTCAGAACCGTGATCTGGCCCTAAGCACCAGACAACTCAAGGATTCATTCAGTTGAACCTTGACCGAGGTGGGAGATTCAAGGTCCAGGTCGGGAGAACTTGGATATGCTGGACGAAAGGTCTGCATCTGTATCATGACTTCTAGCAACGTGCAATCAAGAACAAGTCTTTCAGCTCAATTTCGCTCCATCGCAACCTCTATCTTCTTGAATGAATTGGATACTAGGAAAGGCCCCTTCTCATCGCTGTCACATACATTAACTATTATAGTGGCACAGTCATGTGCAAAAAAATTCTAAAATGTCATTGTAGAGCCCCTTTGGGTTGCTTACTCTGCGCGGCTACCAATAGGAGTTTATCCCACAGGAGAGTATTCCACAGGCAGTCATCCTATAATAAATTTAGTTTTAAATTGGGTAGTGCCTTATGTATGTGACCTGATTGAACTTCAGGGTGTTGCCTATTTACTCCGCTAGAATTATGAAATTTCAATTGAATGTCAAAATATGAGTGCATTGCGTGACCCAGTCAGAAAACCCCCTCCCCCCTGATAGGAACGTTACGTGATGGCAGCCTTGTTTATAGTCCTTATTTAAACGAAGCAGACTATAAGAAGCTGGCGGTGCATAGATACTCTACCACCTGTTCGGAGTTAAAGGGTTGGGCATGGCAATAGCGCAGGTTGGAGGTAAACATGGGTTGCGATTGAAAGGCATAGGGGCGAATCAATCCAGGCCTCTTTGGATCATGCAAACCACTTCACTGGGGTGGGACAGAGAACATAGGCAACTCAGGCGAACCAGGCGAGCCAGGCGAACCAGGCAAACCAGGCGAGCCAGGCGAACCACATAAGCCTCATTCACCCGCTCCACAAGCATCGCTGGCCAAATTTCGGTCATCATCCCCTCTTTGATCACAGGTTGCCGCATTTGTTCAGCAAAGCTCAGATTGTGGTCAACGCGTCATGGCAAGAGCAGATGACGATATAGTGGACGACTCTTTCAACATTTTAGACTACATCAATTTACCCGATACCCCACCTGAACAGCTGCCCGACGAGGACGACTTCGCTCAACTTCAACCAAGCCCGGTTGCCCACCATGTTCCGGACTTATCAGCTCTCTACGCATCTCGAGATTACCAGCAGGGCGAGGATGATACATCAGCGCTGACGACGGCATGTCTTCATCAACAGCTAACAGGACCCTCCGAGGCAGAAACTACAGGAAGATCAAGAAGACTTGACGGCACCTCAACAGAGTCAACACAACCCGCGGGACCGCCTGCTACCAGATGTCAACCTCCACAGGGTACTAGTAAGCACCGGCCACTAGCTCCCGCGGCTCCTGGCGTTACTTTACGAGGTCTGAGCTCGAAAAGATATGCGAGGTTTGTCAACACTGGGCCAGATGCCAAAGGGCAAGTTCCTCGAGTCGTCGGCAAGCGAGGACGGCTAGACAAGCAGCAGCTCCAATCATTCCGCAAGACCCGAGTGGTCGGAGGCTGCATACAGTGCAGATACCTCAAGGCCAAGGCAAGTCCCTTCAATCCCAGGATGTCCAAGCATAACTCTGACATTCTGTCCAGTGTGGGCCGGAGGCTCATTGTACCCGGTGTCGCAAGAAAGCGCTTCCACAGAGTCTCTGCTGCCGAGACAAGGTGAAAGACCTCAAGACATACTCCGAGAAAGGTATGGATCTCTGTAAACTAGTTATGCCCACGTCTTTCCGGTACTAAGAGTTACCAGGCCTTGCAGAAGTCTTTTTAGACAGGTACTCTGGATGCATTTCCTATTGGAAGCCGGAGACGCAGCGGAAAGTCAAAATATGGCATGGCTTCGGCGAGCCTCTTCAACTCACGGTCGAGGAGTATGAGCCTAAGGTGCCGGTGATTGACCTTTTCTGGAAAAGCCCCACCGGCTGGCAGAACCTCAGCCACACTCGGTATGGACTCAAAAGGATGGGTGGCATGAGTCTCGCAGCCCTCGACGCGTACGTTTACAACCTGATACCTCTCGTCATCGATCGACTGGCACTCTCTGAAACACCAGGATCTCCGTTCTTCCGCCGCGCCATGGCTGCGGCCTTCACCTTCCAAAATAATTGCAAGAACGCAAAGATTGCCGGATTGCTCCGGAACTGCCTCCAATTGTGGGCTCATGCTTTTCTCCAGTACCATGGTCTGTGGCATGTGGCGCCCGAAGGGAAAGATAACGACGGTTTCCAGGACAAGTTGGGGATGACCCAATTAGTGCTGCACTCCCACGACGTCAAGACACTCACGCCGTTTCATGGCACTATCCCACTGCCGCGACTTTTGCACCAGCAAATTCACACCTGCGCCGAAAACAGTATGAAATTGCTGGATGGCTTCATCGTTGAAGGCCTGGATTCCGCCTTTGAGGATTTTCGCTCGACGACCGAAGGTGAGGAACCCGACGAGACAGCATTAGGTCTCTACTTAGCTACTTTCGTGTACTTGTCCGTTCTAGAGGAGGTCGCGTGGGATGCAGGAAGATGGGAGGCTTTACTAGAAGTAAGCGCTCGGAATCTGATTGCCATGAGATTGAACGCGTTGGCCAATCTTGCTGGTCCGTAGCGCCCGACTGATCGTCTACAGGCATTTGCTTGGCCACTTGAGAGGAAACCAGACTACAATCGAAGCTACAGTGCCCACGCCGCACGAGTAGTCAGCGCTCATCTCCACGCGGCGTTTCGTAACCGGAGCATCTGGCAAATCTTGGGCGCGGCCGAGCCGCCTACTCAAGGAAACCGCTTGACCAAGTCACCAACTCTCAATGTCAGAGGAGAGCGTCATTCGTTAGATTACCTGCAACTCAACGGTAAGCGGTCAATGAGAATTGCGGTTTCTATTTTGCTAACACAGCATTAGGTGAGGATCTTGGATCAAAGCGCACAGCTACTTTTGACAATGAAGATATCGCTAGTCTCGAACTTCACTACAGCGCTTTGATTCTCGAGCCAACGAAACAGGAGTCAAAATGAAATCGCGTTCCTTATTTCTCTATGACCTCGAATGTCGCGGGTGGAAACACGATTCCGATGAGGCAAGCTGTTCGTTCCATCAGGTCGGTCAGCCATGACAGACAGACACAAGCCAATAGATGCATGCTGATATCCAGTGGTCTAAGTTGTGCATCAAGATCCTGTAGGCACCGCTCGATTTAGCATCCCAGCACAACCAACACTAGGCACGTGGTGAGGGGTTGTTTACCTGTACCAATGCAGCGAACATACGCGCTGCTAGTTTCAAACTGATGAATACAGCAGCGAAGACGAGAGAGATTCTTGGCGTTAAGCCGAAGAACTGCAAACTAAATTGGAAAAGGTGTCAGTGCGGTTGGTTCGACGTGGATTAGGGGCTGTTTCCCGTACAGATACACCGATTCAGGCATGAAAGCTCCCAGAATGCTCAACGCCAGCTGCACCTTGCCCCAGAGGATGCCGCTGGTCCAGACTCCTTGATACCATCTACGTCTCTGGCGGAAAAAGTCAGACACGGACAACGGAGATTGTTCTCGGCAGATCGCAGCGATCCATCCACAACAAAACCCCGCCTCTGCTGCCTTCACGTTGTTAGCTTACTGTTCCACGACGCTGTCTTATTGCAATTTCTTTGGGGCATTCCATAGACTTACCCTCCACGAGAAGTCGTAATCTTCTGTCAAGCAGTCCGTGTCCCATCCCACTTCGTTCTCCACAGCTCCGCTGAGTAGCAGGAAGCTACCTCGTAGGCCCCAATAAGGACGGTGGACAACAAAGCTCTGGAAGAACAGTTTTCCCATGTCATCCACAATCCGTGTCAAGTCGGCTACCGTCAGAAGCCAGTTTGCCCAAAAGCCGGAGGAGTTGTAAAAGACAAAACCTTGGCCAATGTCGAAGTTCGTCTCATGAGCGATGAAGTTGGTGCATGCCTCTAATACGCTGGCGTCGATCATGGTCTCCTCGTCAAGGTGAAGTATCCAGTCATCCGGTTGGAGATTGGCCGCGATTCGAAAGTACTCCAAGGCGCGAGCCTTGTAACGGGCGCGCGGTCTCGTGAAGGACGCAGGAACACTCACGACGCGCGGGCCCAGGTGGTCCAGCTCACACGCATAAGGCTCATCTGTCAGCAACACGACCTCTGCCTGGGCCAAGTAGTTACTGGCCATTGCTCTTTCGGCAGTGCGACGAGTGCTGCCCAGGTTGTTCCCTTTCGTGACAACGACGATATACAGCTTACAGAAACGCCTCTGTAGCGGATTTGACGATTGCTTCCGGCGGTGCCGCGGAAGGAGAATATATCCCAGGAGAGTGTTCAGCATCGGGATCTGTGTGATGATCATTGCAACTGAAGTGCTGTTAGTTGCGTCAGTCATCTCGAGAGGATGAGCGGAATCACCAAGGATGAGTCCATCCATCAAGTAACAAGAGCCAGGTCTCGACTCCGGGAAGAATTCGCCGAGCAACGGAGACGTGGAGAGGATTAAAATAACTGTACAGTCAATAAGTCAAGGTCCGTAGCATTGGAAAGATGCGTTCTCACGGTAAAGTTGTACAAGGCTCATGACCACCATGATAGGTCTCACGGACGAGATGATCGGAAGACTGTCCATCTTGAGATTAGTCTTGCTTGCTCGGAATTGGTAGTTTCAGCTGCGTTTCCTGACACAATTGGCTTGAAGAAAGAAGGAAGGAAGGAAGGGAGGAAGAGAGGAAGGAGGTGGACTGCCGATATTTAATGCAACGGACGGGGACAATTCACTCCATCTGCTCCCGCCTGACGACTTGTGGATCCACTTGAACGTATCGTCCGTTGGCTGCCCTGATTTGGGCGCCAGGGCATAGTCTCACAGAGCCCTGGGGAACAATCAGGCAGCCAACGAAAGAGCAACTTCAACACACCGTGTCCCAAGTCTGGCTAGTCTCCCGCTGCTGTGAAATGCCTTGGGCTGCAAATGACAGGGGTATTCGCTGAGAGAATTCTCGACCACTCAGATTATCCAGATCATATTACCGTGACCCCCTTTCGGAATGGACCCTTTTCTCCAGATGTTGTAAGATTGGTGAAACGATCCATCGCGGCGCATCAGCTTTAAGGTGCAATCAGGCTGTGTGATATGCAAGAAGCTGCTTGGCCGGAACTTCGTGGGCCAGAGCTACGCCGACTGCTCAGTTCTGTCTGATGATTTCGAAGCGTGCCGAACAACTAAAACCACCGAGAGCCTTATATAAAGCGGCCATGCTGCCACAAGGTCTCGGAGAAGAACGACGACGCCTGCTACTTTGAGTTTACGACTCTTGCCTTCACGCTACTTACTTCGTCTTACAGGACAAACTTTCAGCAACTGATTAGACCGAATCATGCCTGGCAGAGATATCCCCGTGCACATGGCGACAGTCAAGCCGACCCTCAGTCATACGGCAAACTCGCTGAGCCGAACCCTCAGCCGCAATGACCCAGGCACCCAAGGTATCTAAGAATGCATCCTTCCATTTGCACGGAACCCTCTGCCACTTTTCGAGAACTAAAGTGCTCACACTCACGTCTAGTCATGCTTAAGCAGTATCTTGGAGAGGTTGCCAGGGACAAGTTGCCCATGACCGAATACCTCCACGCCACTCAAGATGATACCGGGAAGACCGGCCGTGGAGGGAGAGCACTTTCGAAGGTAAGAGCCACTTCTCGTCAAACGTAACATCTCGTTACTGACGATAAAAAGATCTGAGAAACGACGGAGCAGGCGTTCCTGATGTCATCGAAGTTGGCAGGCATAGAAATGGAGTGGGGGCGGGTCAGCTTGTAAGTGGCGAAACAGAGAAGACAAGACAAGCAATCAAAGACGTGTTTTATGGACACCTTGATTTCAACTTGGTGATTTCAACTTGATTCCCTCGGCGGCCACTTTGCCTCGCAGGTATCCGCAATTGTCGCTGGCGTCGTTCCGTATCTCCTCTACCTATGTTGATATTGCCTGCTACCGGTAGTGGTGCTGCTGGTCGGTGTTTCTTTCCGTGTCATTGCGGAGACTGTCGTGACTCTTCTCAAGGTCCACAATTCGAGTGAAAAAGCCAGAGTAGTTTCCCGAGACGTGTCACCCGTCGCATAGCAAGCCACTCGCGGCTTGAGCTTCGAGCCAGTCTCTATGCGCGGCATACATCATCAATGTGAAGCACTGCCCCTCGGCTGAGGCATCCTGCGGCTCAGGATCTTTTGTGTCCATCATATTGACCACGGGCGAGGCTTTGCCAGTCTCCGAGTCGACATGTTGCATGACCGCAACGCGGCTGCTTTCAGTCCATGCCATGTGATCCTCGCTCAGCTCGCTGGGAAACAGCGTCGCAACACGGTACATGACAGCTGTCAAGGCGGCCGTGCCAGCAACCTCGCCGAACCAAACCACCTCCCGATCTCCAATGTAATTGCGAACTAGATTGGCAGAATCCCTCGGATGGAGTAGGACTCCATCCAACAGCCTCTTCAGGGGCTGAAGGAGTCGATCTATCATGTGTCGGCCGTGACCTCCGTTCACCAAAGTTGCAAGCACGCGCGTCATCCCCAGAGCAGCCCAGCCATTTCCAGTGCTCCAGAATCCGCCGTCTTTGAAGTGTTCCCCGTTAATGTGCCGCCAGAGTCCCTGGACCGGGTCCTGAAGGAGTTCCGCATAGAGTTGACACTGTTTGACAGCAGTCTCGATTGTGGTCAGGTCAAGTTTTGCCATTCCGTAGTAGGCAAGGAACGGTGGTACCATGTAAACACTGTCAGACCAGGTCTCCGCTCGGCGTACTTTATGACTGATTGCCCCATTCCCCATTCGCGGAGTGTTCTCGACTAGTGTCGCAAACTGCCTCTCTGCCGCTGCCATGTAGGGTGGGTCGACTTGCCCGAGAAGCACAGCAACGACGCCGAGAGAGGCAGGATCTGCCGCGGAATCTTCAAGACGCCATGGTCAGTGAGAAGCACTTCGACCATGAAGATTGAAATACATCTGGGTGAGTGATTACCCTCATCGCCGGTCAAATTTGGCTGGTCAAGTTTGATATGTCGTTTCCCAAATGTTAGACCTCGATTGGTGTCTGTATCGTCAACAACGGGGGCTCTGCTGTGGGGGAACGACCGGGCGCTGAAGACGGAAATGTCGGGGGAGAAGACCTCGAGCAGAGATTGTGCAAGTGTACCATACTCCCAACTATGTGTCGCCAGCTTCTCGGCTTGTTTCGCGATATTGTGTATCAACTCAGGAGTATCGAGTTGCATGTTAAATGGCTGACAAGTACAATACACACTATCCAGGTTGGTTCTTATGTTCGTGAAGCCGTGCGACCACCCTTTATTGGTATTTAAGTATGCCTCCGAGACATTTAGCACAAAGTCAGACTGACATCGCTTCACTCCGTCTCGGTCAGAGACAGTGGTGACACCCCGTTGGTCATGCAGTTGACATGTTATGTGCGGGGTTTGCAGCATCAACAATATGAATTCGTCTGCTGGTTGGCCTACGGTAGCTTTCCGTCCCGGAGGGGGGGGGGGACGTGGAACGTTGTCCACAATCCGTCAGCACGTCTTTCTCAACCCATCGGCCGATGTCTGAAATCCAAGAGTGTGACAGGTCTAGGCCTTTACTGCGTGTGACTACCTACCTGAATGGTTATTCCTGCACGAGTGCTCCGGGATCTGCTTTCGGAGGAAAGCTCCAATACGCTTCATTGCTGATTGGCTTGCCCTGCAAATAGATGATGCATGTTGTCGCCTGGTTGTCGCCTGGTTGTCGCCTGGTTGTCGCTTCAATGTTGCCTTCTTTCAGTTCCACCTTTGACCGTGTCGACCATCTCCATTCTGTCAGGAAGAGGTTGCATGCCTGTGCTCCCACCTGTAGACGGTATGTACGGTTTCCTGCCCAGTCCTCTGCCGGTTCATTGCATAAGTAAGTCAGTCAATCCATGGGTCAAGCGGACTTTGATCATCAACATCAGTACGGATCGCTGCGCCGGTATTGACACAGATCAATGACACGCACGGGTTTCTGGTATGTCTACCATCATACGTTTCTACTCAAAAGCGATGAAACCAATTTAATCAAGCATTGGCATAGCGTATCGAGCTTCTCAGACTACAGCCCCGCCCCCCCCCCCCCCCCCCCCGATCGCCATGTCTTTTGTGGCTTCATTCCCAGAGGTCTTCAGGAGTGATGGACTCACAATTCTATTGTAAGCAGAGGCGATTCATCTTCCCCGTCCATCTGGTGTATCGATTCTCTACTCAGTAAAGCTCGCGTAAACTTAGTAATGTTGCATATCTGAAGGTTGTACCGTTTCCTCACCGGCCTGCTATGCATCATTTGCTATTACATCTTCCCTCACATTAACCGCCGAGGTGCACTACATCATCCCTTGTATCAGAGCGAAGATGATGTGACAATCGTCTGTGCCACCCTCGGAAAAGATCGCCACGGCCTCAGAGCGTCAATCCAGTCTTGGCTCGTCAACAAACCCAGCAGGATATTTGTCGTGGCTGATCCGGGCTCTTTTGAGTCAATCTCGGAGGGACTGTCACGCATTGACTCCAGCTGCATTAAAACTCTTCGTGCAGGAGTAGCCAATAAGAGGGAACAGCTTGTGGCGGGCTTTCGAGCTTGCCAAACAAGGGTTGTCGTGGTTGCCGATGATGACACCCAATGGTCCCCCACGGTGCTGCGAACCCTACTCCAGCCCTTTGTGGGGAACGACCGACTGGGCGCCGTGTTTCCGGAAGTCAAAATGCAGCCAGCCGGGGAGCGTCTCAACTTCTGGGAACTACTGGCGGTGGTTCGTCTGTTTGGCAATTGCGTCGACATCAGGACGTCCGTCCTCCTCGACGGTGGCATATTCTGTGCTAGTGGCACGACAGCAGCCTACAAGTCGTCTATTGTGCAAGACCCGACGTTCCAGTCCTACTTCCTTACTGAAACGTTTTTGGGATCGAAAGTGCATGCTGGTGACGACCAGTCCATCAGCTTCTGGCTTTGTCAGCAGGGGTGGGATGTCGGCTTGGTTCAAGATGGTGGCCCCTCCGGCTGTCATGTACTGTCTACCCCTCGTCCTACCTGGCGTCATCTGCCACAGATATTGAGGTGGTCCAGAAGTGATTGGATAGCCTATATAAAGGATCTAGTGCTGGACCGAACGATTTGGCGGTAAGCACTGCCCAAAGGCCCACGTGCTCAGCGGGTGGCTGAATTTTGACGCAGGCGGTATCCCTACACAGCCCAATACGAGTTCATGTGGTGCGTCGAGACATTCACGCCTGTTTGGGAAGCAATCTGCATTGCTGGAGTGGAAAGGTAAGGTTTTCAGACTGCCATTCTACAATTTTGCCTCAATCCTGATTTGTTACGTTCCCAGTCCTCGACGGAAGCTACTGCTTCTCGTCATCATCGCAGCCAGTCGACTTGTCCGCTACATTCCCGATGTCATCCACGACTGGAAAAGAATGGCTCTCTTGCCCATGATCACGATATACCTCTATATTTTGGAGCTGGTGAAGATCCACGCCTTGCTGACCTTGTCCGTTGTAAGCCAGCTCCGTCTTCTACAAAGGTAGACATGTGTTCGAGTCTCCTCGTACTACGTTCATGACTTGCTCTTCATTTCCCAACTAACGAATCGTAGACTGACTGGATATAAAGTCGTCTCACGCAAGAGGCTGAGCGTTGAATTATACCAATCCGGCACCTTCTGCGTAGCATTCTTTTCACTCTGCATGCGAGACAAAGTCCAGGGCCACTGCTGTCACAGTCGCGAGGCCACAGCTCGACATTATCATTGCATACATTATCAATACACTTTGTCCCTGGTCTGATTCCAAACTTTGACTTCATATCACGCTCATCCATCATTGAGAACAGCCAGCTCATGAGCTTGCCAGACCTTTTTGCGCGCATCTTCATCCCCGACTTGACAAATAGCGTCAAGCACGCCATACTCGACGCCACCAAAGAAAGAGACCGCGCCCCAGCCAGTACTAGTACTCCTTGATTCATGCCCCAGATTTACGCCCACATGTAAAACAGTCTGGACGCCAAGTTTTTTTGAGCGCGTCCGTTCACAATAATGATTGGCATCTCTGCAGCATTGGCAGCCGTGACGGCTGTAGCGAAGAGGGGTAGCTGCTCAATACCGTTGGTGACGGGTGCTTCCTCGTTGTGCAGCCGGTTGCGAACCGCGCCGCAAGCATGGCCCACAAGAAGTGTGGCGTGCTATGACTGGACTGCGCATTTGCTGAGCCCTTTACATCTGCTTTGGCTACTCTGCTTGTGCATTCTCTTAGCAGATGTCATGTCTTCTTTTCTATAAATCTCTACCACAATCAGGGCCCGGTGCCTGCATCCCCAACTTCGTTCCTGCAGGCTGTAACCACAAATCTTTCTCTCCGCCAGAGAACATTAGAATTGTTTAAATCGTCATAACGTCGGGTTAAGCATCATATTTGAAAGGTTTCCTGTCTCCTTCACATTTTGTCTATCCATTGCTCTCCATGGTTTTCTGCCCGTCTCTGCGACGACACACCACTCGCCTCACTTTGACTAAGCCTCGGTCGTTACAAACCCTCCGTCTAACGCCGCCACCCAAAAAGGTCACGAATCTCTTGTTGATGATCAATATTGCGGTAGCTTTGAAGAGGGTGAAGAATTCGGCCTCATTCCTGTAGGGTCTCCGGATCCTGAGCCTCTCTACTCTTCGGCTGCAACTCCTCGGCCTGTCAAGCGTCCCAACCACCCTATTTCGCAACCGGCGATGACTTCTCCACGACAACACCTAGAGAAAGATTCTGCCATCCCAGCGTCACAGGCTTTTAGTGGTGTGCTTTCCGAGAGAGATACGCCCCCGAAAGACTGAATGTCAGACTAGAAAGCTAGAAAGAGAAACACACCAGGACTTGAGTGGTGGCCCCCAAAACATCGCGTGGATTCTTCTGCTCTCTGCACGGAATGTCGAGCGATTGATTTCACGGCAGCTGTCTGCCACCCTCCGGCTTGCGACGAGTCTTATGTTCAAGTCTACGAACGGGACGCCGGAGCTTACCACCAGACGGTCAAAGACAGGTGGGGCACCGATTGGCCCGTCAACGATCCAAATTGTCCGTTTTGTCGGTATCTGATTCGTGTTCGCATTCCCTGGAAGCCCTGGTTGAACACCAAATACTGCATCATTTTTCACAAGCCACAAACTCGGAAGAGCTTGTTGTCTCGATGTGAGCAGATACTTCCGGGCTGTCTTTCCGAGGTTTTTACAACTGTGCGTTATCCGAAACTTGCCCGGTCTTCACTGGATGCTAGTCCTCAAATAATTTGCCATGTCGACAAGCCTGTCAGAAGGCCGGGCACTGCACAAATAGTTTCCCCGGTTTTCAGTGTCCCCCTCGCCAAGGCCTGGCTTGACGCCTGCAATCGAAACCATCCAGAATGTACCATCGAGAAGGACGCGCAGATGCCGAAGACAAGATTGATCGATTGCGTCACCCGGAGGCTTGTCTCAGCAGGCGATGATGCTATTCCAAACCCTCGCTTTGTTGCGCTGAGCTACGTTTGGGGACCGAACGTCGGGACCACGACCCTTACGGAAAACCTTCCATCAAAATTGCCCCTGACCATCCGCGATGCAATGACGGTTACCAAGGATCTAGGTTTCCAGTACTTGTGGGTAGATCAATACTGCATCGACCAGTCCGACAATGTGGACAAGGACATGCAGATTCGCCATATGGACCTCATTACCATCATCGCTGCCGCTGGATACGATTGCGATTACGGCCTTCCGGGGGTCTCGGACTGCTCCAGAGATGTACTGGATCCCTTTATTCTCGATGAAGCTCTTACCTTTGGCATTTTTCCCAAAATCGATCCCTTCACGAACCACTGGGAAAGAGGAAGCTGGCATACCCGCGGGTGGACATTTCAGGAGGCTCATCTCTCAAGGAGGCGGTTGGTCTTCTCAAATACTGCGACGCATTTCGAATGCATGCGGCACGGAGAGTGTCAGACAGAGATGTGCGGAGGCGTTGAATGCGCGAATAGCGATGCTATCAAAGAGCACAACTTCGTCGAATCCATGCCCGAACGCCGACGTCGGAAGAGGGGCCTAGGATTGGTCAACATTGAGCCCATCGTAGGTGGTACTACACTTTCGAGACCGGCCAAGCCGATCCCCCAGTTTACAGCGTCGCTGGTATTCCTTTCGTTGTGCATGGCCACGGCGAAGACAACTTGACCGAGGCCAGCTTCGCCCACGGGCTCGCGTGGCAGTCGTCAGTTGGTGGCGTTTTTGTCGACGCGAATGGGCTCGCGTGGTCGTCGTCAGTTCGTGTCGGTTTTGCCGACGGGAATTTCCCGTCCTGGAGTTGGGGCGATGTCAGGGTGTGGAGTGTGTTTTGGAAAGAAGAGCATGATGTGCATGTGGATAACGCATTTTCGCAACTGGTAGCCAACACCATCTACCATCCACGCGGCGTACACATCGAGTTCAATACCAATGGGAGAAAGGAGTTGATCGGGCTCGCTGAGTTTGGAGAAGCGTGTCAGTACTCGACGCCACTTAGTCGGAGGAATCCAACAGCCTTGTGTTTCAGGGCCCGTATCCTCTCTTCGCATGTCACCTCGAGAATGCCGAACGAGAGGAAGGCGAAGGCTTCTTGGGACTTTCGTGGATATCGCCATTGTGGTGGTCTTGATGCTGAATTCGAAGAAGTTGTGAATCTGGTCGTCAACAACACAGGCCACCCCAGTGACGAGCAGAGTGAAAAGAATGGCGATGCAGGCCGGATGGACAACTCTCAACCGCACTGCTTGATCGAGATAGATGAAAAGTTCCTCTATGAGAAAATTGTATCCGGAAGATGCAATTTCATGCTTCTGCGCTGCAATAGCATCGCGGCGAAGGTGCTGGTGGTCGAACGGCAGGATGAGCCATTTGAGCCCCAGAGAACCGCACGGCGAATTGGCATCCTGCATTTCTCGACGCAGAGGCCACATGGAGATAACCACTTGGGTGAGTTTCTCAGTTGCTTCTCCAACGAGACTGACATAAGATTGATATGAATTACGATGGGGAACCCATGTTGTACATGACTACAAAACAACTATGAAATTCACACCTCCCAGCTTGAACAAAGCCACGAACACAAGAAGTTTGATCGCGAAACTAACTAGCAATAAGATTGTATAGTATTGAATAAGAAAAAGGTGTAATGACAACCCAGAAAGTGTAGTTTTGCGTACCAGACTTTATGCCCAAAGCAAGAGGACCACGTCCATTAGCCTTCCTCACAGCTCTGCTCTAATCGAACAGTGCAAACCTGAATACATTGGCCAGGGCAATATAAATTCAAAGCAAGACAACATCTTTCAGTCAAAGATCTAGGAAGGGGGCCTCGCCCGAAGATGTCTAATAGTCCACCAGATATGACAATACGAGTTTTCTTGAACATTGACCCCGTGTTGATTTTCACGACGTCAGGTGTAAACCGCTCGGCGCCAACACGGAGGCAAGACAGTTTCAGCCCTAGCCCCGGCAGTGCACCGCCCCGAGACAGCTTGTGGCCCCCCCAAAGCCGACCGCCAAGTCACGCATGAGTGCGGCAGCAGGTGTTCCCGGCGCGTCGGAGCCTTTCGTTAGTGGCCCCTCTGTGTTAGTCAAGACTTTCACGCCTTGGTATAAATGCCCGCGACGTCCTGATCGCTGCCGCCAATTTCTCAGGGGACGCTGACCCGTGCTGGGCGCCCTCGTTTTGGACCGGTCGATCAAGGGCGAAGACATCTTGTCGTTCTTGTGCGTCTTGGGCTTTTCGGGGTTTCTTTGAGGGTCGCCGGGTGTGAGACACAGGTGATATAAAGGAGCTGGGACGGACTCGTGGTTTTCATCGGATAAGTGCTAAGCTCTATCATTCGCTTTGAGAGCGACACGCAGAAAAGCGACTTTTCGATTCCGGCGCGCTTAAATATTTCGAAATACCCCTTTTATTTTAACTTCTTACCGTCGTTTCCGTGAATCATGATGAACCCAACTGTCTCTTCACTCATTCTGCTGGCGCTGGGCGCTTGTGCCTCGCCTGTCGCTGTACGGCAAACAACCACCGAGCCCATTCAACTCGGGGGAGGTAGCAACTCTGCCATCCAGATCACCATTTCTCAAATCGACCTTGGCGCCGCTGCGCCCGCAGCACCGGGAGCTGCTCCCATAGCTGCGCCCCCGCAGAGGCCCCGGCGGCTGCTCCGGAAGCTCCCCCAGCTGCAGCACCGCCTGCGGCGGCGGCCGGCGACGCCAACGGGCTGTTTTCATTCTCGTCGACCATGCTTACCAACGCTACCCCCGAGCAAGTAGTCGACGGGACGACACCCACAGGTGGCCTTGCCGGCGTCAGGAACCTTTAATTTCGGCCTTGACTCGGCCACCGACACAATCTGCTACAACATCACTCTGAACAACTTCCAGGGAGATTTCGCCTCGCCCGCGACGACAGCAACGCATATCCACGAGGCGGCGGCGGGCCAGTCCGGCCCACCGAGGATAGCATTCCCCAATCCTGTCGCTGTCGGGGACCCTGCTGCCGGGGTTATGAACAGCGCCGGCTGCATAAGGGGGCCTTTCACTACCGGCGTTGCGATGGAGGGCGCAGATACGGGAGCGGGATTTACCGTGGCCCAGATCGAGGCGAACCCGGCCGGGTTCTTCGCGGATACCCACTCGAGTCTGGCTATGCCTGGCGCGGTACGAGGCCAGTTGGCGTGAGGGGTCAGCCACGGCCTTCTGGAGCCCATCAAGGCTTTTTGGAATCATGCAGAATAGACTTAACACTACTTATAATATCAAACTAAACATTCAGCCACTACCGCGTACTCCTCCGCTGCTGCCACTTATTCCCAGATCCCTCACACCAGGACACCCATTGTTCCGCTGCAATACTTGTCTTCTCAGAACACGCCATTTTTTGGGTCTCTAAGGGACAGGGCTAGGGTGGCGGCTCTGATGGTGCCCCATAGAGCGTTAAATTTGGTAATAACACGCGGTGAGGCTTTCGCGGCGGTCTTGGTCTGGAACGAGAATAGTTTGTGGGCAGTGACCGCTATAACTTGGGTGAAGGGGAGGAGGAGACAGCCAATCGACCCAATCCCGGCAGACAAGACTCCGTCGCCCCCATCACGCACTCTAGTTCTTCATCGTCCAGCTTTGGAAGATGCTGACCAGCCTTCGCCACCTCCGACAGCAACAACAAGTAGTCGAGAATATCGCCATCACCATTATATTAAAAACTTTTTTAACTCTTAAAGATATTATACATATATTAATGTTGAGATTTTAAAGAGCCTCCGTCTGTGCTTAGGATAATTAAGCAGAATACTCACGTTGACACCAGGGTCCTTGGTAGAGGCATAGGCAGGAATCGAGTAGAGAGAGTCCGAGGATGCCGAAGCGTTTCCCTGCAAACTGTAACTACATAGGAGTAGGACGAGAGTTGGCTCTTCGTCAACCGTGAGTATCATGTTGAACTCTACTGTTCGCCGAACGACAAGCAGCCTATAATATCTGTCTGACCTGCCTCGTTGTCTCTTGGAAGCGAGAATCTTGAAGTCTAATACGTTGCGAGGCGCGGGTATCGTCTTCTAAGCCAGGGCTGCCTCGGTGGAGGAGATAACTTTGTTTGCATATGTGGCATCGTTGTCAATTAAGTTAAAGCTCTTTGTGAGAATTACAACAAATCGTGATAGTTCAGCAAGAATATCTCGCGGTCATTTGTACGCAGAGCTGATGAGACTAAAGTGACAGAAATGACCTCAGCTGGGATGGCTGTGACATGTTAGACAATGTTGGCTAGTGTCACACTGGACATGATTAAGAGCCAAATCACATGGATCATCTGACGTTTTATCCAGCTAGGCAAGCCAGACATAGGACACTGGCGAATGGACTATGGGATACGACAGCGATATGCCTATTCGGGTGTATCGAGGTTGGACCGGCTCGGCTGGGAGCGATGGGACCTGTGATCTTGCTCCTGCAACACTCTTCTGGCTGCCGGCAAGTCGTCTCTTAATGATTGTCCCAGAGGCAATGTATACTACGTGTTTCAAGATCTTCCAGTCCTGACTTCTTGAAATCGCACACTCACGCCCACAACCTCCTGTCCCGAAATGCCAGTCGGATCTTGTGGCATCGTCTCCGCCAAATTTCCGAGATCCACCATTTGACTGCGCAAGCGAGTTTTACCGCCGACGTGAGTCCCTCAGCCCAGACATGCATGTGGGTGGATTCGTGTGAAACTATCCCTGAAGTGCGTGTTGTGATTTGCAGAATAGACTCACAAGAGAGACTAGAACGGAGATCTTTCAACGTCTCAACTGATACACATGGGAAGGGAATAAAAGAACGATTTTCAGGATTTTGCCGACATGTTGTCGGCCATACTTGTTGAATTGTACAAGACATATACCGGAGCTACTATGCATACCTGCATAGATAGCTTCTTGGAAGTGGGTGGGGAGCAAGGCGTGCCGCTTCTGAGTCGATATGTGGACTTCTTGAATACGCGTACTTTCTAACGACCAAAGTTTTTTTCGTCGCCTCATATATAAAGTCCGTTTTCATTTGACCCCAACTGCTGGATCGTTTCGATCCCGAGGTGTCTGGGATCAGCTCACTCTTCACCCAGTTCTGGGCGCGAATGATAATGGCGCAGTGGCTGTGGAAAGTATACAGATATGGATCCCCGAATAGCCATTTCAATACCCGTAACTCATCACTGCTATGAATATTGATGGTACCGCCGTTGGCGGCCGAAAATCTTATTCACAAGTGCAAACTTCAGCGCAACCGGCAGATCGATATTCACCACTCAGCTCATACATGTTTCTCCAATCCAGCTGAGGCTGACATGCATTGTTTCACCCTGTTGCAAGGCATGCGCATGAGTTGGGCAGGAATGCTTTGACATGTGTCAAGGTTACACTCAGGGTTGTATCTCGAACTTTTCGAATCACTGTGGCAAGGCACTGTAACCTGCGGTAGTTTTCAAAGAAACATATGTGCCTCCTGAGCCGTACCCCAATCGTTTCCCGTTAACTGCCGGTATACCCAGACTCATCCCACAGTCTCTGAGCACGCTTTCATCTAGAGGTCCTTGCCTAGCGACCGTGCCCGGGTGAAGAAGACTGCAATGTACCGAATCTACCGTATGGGCCTGATATTAAGTAGGTACATATGACGCAAATACACTGTACAGTTGCAACTTAGAACTGCAACACCGCGGCCGCCAGCCAAGAGCATGAAAGTAGTTTGATTATCCCCCGCTCCAGCAGCAACGCCTGGGCGGGCGGGTTGTGATATCTCTTCCCCATTCCCACCCACACTGGCAGGCCATGACTGACTAACTGACAGATTGATTAAGTTGATTTGACAAGCCGTCAGTCATGTCATATTCATGCACGACATCATCCCCGTCATCACATCACCAGCCCCACCTACATACCACCGACTCCCATCTGCCGTCGCCCCCGTTGGACCCAACACGGGGCGTAGGTCGAGCTGTGGCTGTACAAACTGTGTGATGGCTGAAACGAGCCAGGTGACCTCATATGTCATCCCGTCCCTTCCCGCGGCAACGACACGATACGAGACAGCCAATCCGCTCCCAGAATCCATGAGCCGCGCGAGGTCGTCTCCCCCCCCCCCCCCCCTTCGGAGAATTTTGCACTTCCCCACTGAACATCCTGCGAGTCATTCTGCGCCGGCCCGCCCCAGGGAGCAAGCCCTGGTCGGGTGGTGACCTGTTTCTTGCTCGGGGTCCGGGGCCTGCGTTCTGTTTGTTTGTCCAATGGCCTCCAGTTGTAGGGTTCGTCCAATGTGGAAGGAAGGCGGAAGGACGGGGAGGCGGCTGGGCCGTGCTCGACGCGGTATCCGCGCCCGGTCAGGGAAAAAATAGCCCATTGGAGGATCTCGTGCTTGTTCGCTCAGCAAGTTTGCCTTTTTGGCTTCGGGCTCCAGCGAGTATTCTCCGAAGCTCATGGTTGTCACGACCGTCCCTGGCAGGAGTACGTATCCTGTGCTTCCGGACGTGCGTGGGCCGTCACAGAGGCACAGATGTGGGCGCACAGAGCAATCAACTCACCCACCACCAGAGGCTTGTTGGGCTGGACCGGGCAGGACCGAAAACCCGGAACGTTTGTCCCCTCGTGCGTTGGCTTCTCGCAATCGCAACAGGATGTATGGGCACGGACAGCGAACACATGTACAGGGCGACCTGGAAAAGATTATCCATGTCGCTACAACGCCCCACAAAGAACGCAACAATCTCCAACCAATCACAGCTTATCATTTATTCTTTCCTTAACTAAACCTATATTATTATAACATATTTAAAACATAATGCTATAAATAAGCTTTTTTTTTCTCTTTTATTTTTACCTTAAAAAGCTGGTATTGTTTTTGTGGTAACGCAGACAAGAAAGGAGAGTCAAGGGACCCTTCGCCAACGCCACGGAAGTCACGAATTAGGCTTCTTTGTCAGGTTTCCCTGTACATGCCTTGGGTGACTTGGCAGGGCGGCCCAAAGCGCAGGACGACCCTAAGCGCAGGACGACCCTTCCTTCCCACTCAATACTCGGTAATTTCAGTTAGTCGGGGGCAAACTCTAAAGCGTGAGGTGACCAAGCAGGTGGGACAGGAAGTGAATCACGAGGGTTTCGAGAATAATGTTTATTTTTCTGTCGCCTCTCTCCCCCTTTGCCACTGCCACAGCTGCACTGCAGCATCTGCTTGCAGCTGAATCTCTACGGAGTGAGTACCGTTTCCTTGTTTTCGAAAATCTCGTACTCGTTCCCAGTATCTCCACCACACGCGCCCCATCTCCCGTCACTCCAGCTCTATCCTTGTTCCCGTTTCGTGAGTTTGTTGTTTTCTGGTGGTGGTTTGTGTGTGTGCGCGTGTGTGCATGTTTGTGACGGTTGTGTATGTAACAGTGTGTGGTGTGTCTTCCCAGTTATCTCCCAAGAATTGCATCGGTACGAGGGGGGCGACGAAATAACAGAGGGTATCAGAGCGCAACGAACCCCACATCCCGCCAAACAAGTGCCCATCTTTGGTGAACATTCATCCTGACCTTGGCTTGTATGACCTGGCCTCCTCGAAGGTAGTGTGGGATCATCCGATTCGGTTTCCTGGCTGCATGTGACGTACCGCAGACAACTCTGTGTGGGCCGGGAGCCGTGCCAGTGAGGGGAAATCGGGCCACCCGTGGGAGCGTCGTGGTGGCAGCTTTCATGAGGGCTGGTTGTGTCCCAGTTTGGAGTGCCTTGGAGTGTCCAGCTGTTTACAAGGTACAAGTCGCTGGTTGGAGATGCAATGCCAGATAGAAATGTAGTCGAAGCCAAACACAAAATCGCCCATAACATGCAGCTGTAAACAAAAAGAAAACGCAGTTCGTTCCCAAAACCGTGACTCCCACGCACAGAGAAAAGAAAAAGGAAATCAGAAAGACACAGGACCGAGCTTGAGCCCTAGGCAGGAGTCTGATCGGTTGATTGTGTGCTCCTGGAAAGATGGCAGTAGTAAAATTAAAAAGGCTACAAAGGGAATCGCTTTCCGGGTGTGACGGCCTGTGGTCGGCTGAGGTGGTATAGACAATCTTTGCGGTGTCGAAAAGGTAAAAGGAAATCGTTATATCGTCATTGACTGAGCAGTCGCGGTGCTCTATATGGGTCTGATATCAGAAGACGGCGGTGTGTTGTGAGATCGCGAAGCTGCGGATGAGTGGGTTCTCGGTGTCGAGGTCGGTGATACGCCGGAAGTGAAGGCGCCCGGTTCGACAGGGTGGAATCGGTTTGCTGTCGGCCCCGACCCTGACCAATATCCAAGCTAAAATGCCTTGGCTGCAAGCGAATATGCATCACATCACAATACAGCAGCCGCAGCCTCCCTTCTCCTTCTTGCCCGTCTGCTCCGGCTCTTTCTCCGGAATATCCGGCACCCTCGTAATCTGCATTGGTTCCGGAGACTCCACGGGCCGCGATGGTTGTTTCGGGCTTGATAATGGACTCGCAGGCGGCTTGTCCTGGATCTTGGGCATGGTGGAGTAAGAGCTAGACCGACCAGGTGATGCAGGGCTCTTCGGGATGTCTGGCGATTTCAAGGGCCAATCGTCAGCCGGCTTCTCCACCTCCTGCTTCACAATCTCGTCAGAAGAAGATGATGGTATGTTCTCCCGAGGCACCAGGAAGCCCTCGCCCGTAAGCGGCCTGAAGTCCTTGTCGTAAATGCTCCCGAACTTGCCCTCCTGCTCCCACTTCTCCTGCTGCAGTCGCCTGGCCACGGTGGGGAGGAGCTGTTGGTCTGGCGGTAGGCGAGGGTCAGGCTTGTAGGCAGACACCAGCCATGGCGGGTCGCCCTCCATCGGCTTGGAGCCCATGGACAGCTCACGCTCCCCAGACCTAGTGGAGGGTCGTGCGTTGCTGTTGGCCGCCCCGTTCTTGGGCTTCGGTTTCACCTTGCCACGCGCTTCGGGTGGTATCGACTTAGAAGGTGCTGAGCCCTTTCGGGGCCCGGTGGGTGTCTGCTTCTTGGGAGACAGGTCCGTGGTCGCGGCGCGCTTGGCCGGGTGGGCCTTGAAGGTCGGAGACGGCTCGAGGTTCTTCAAGGTGGTACTATTCGACCTTGAGCGAGCCTTGGGCATCTCTATCCGCTTCTCAAGCTCCTCAGGGCTGTTCTCCCTCTTCATCAATTTGTCCCGTTCTAGGTGCGTTGTTGGGATCGGCAGCGGGCTCTTCTTGGGTACAGGTATGCGAGAACCTCCGGCGGGCTTAGAAGGCGCATCTCCTTCAGCCTCAGCCTCCTCGATCGGTCTTGAAGCCCAGCCGTTTATTGCCTCAGACGTATCAGGCGTCTTGGGCTCCATAGCATGCGACGAGTTTTTCCTAGATCTCGACGAATTGTCCTGCATGGGCTTCCTCGCACTGCTCTGGCTCCTGTCCCTCCGAGGTCTGCTCCGAGATCGAGATTGGGGCAGGGTGATGCCGGCAGCCTGCAATTCCTGGCTCTCGATCTTGGCGAGCAGGTCCCTGTGGATCCATTTCGAGTCCTCGTCCGACAGGTCCAGATGATCCTTGCTCCTCGTCTGCGTACGACCGCTGCGTTGGTAGTCATCGTCGAAGGGTACGTCGACTACATTGTCGGGCCTATCGTCGGAGTCGTCCTCATCGTCGTTGCTGTGGGATCGCGAGACCGCACCAGCACCACCTGGTCCGTTCACCTGATCTCCACCACTCGAGGCCTTCGATGACGTGTCCAAATCCAAGGCCGAACCGTTCTCGTCTCTTGTGAGGTGATGTGACCTGTAGATTCCGTTTGTGGTATCGGTCTTGAGGGTGGTTTTCTCGTGGTAGGGACGGTTCTGGGTGCATCGGTGAACCAGGTCAGCGTGTGAACCCCTCACCGACACATGATGTGCTGATCTCGGGACGCCACCGGGAGGGGGCAGCAAACTCACCTCGTGTTTGGCCGACGTGAAGTCCCAGGAGAAGCCGTTTCCATCGCCATGAGAACTGCTCGGAGGGGTCAAAGTGGTAGCCGTCTGGACGGCGGACAAAGCGGACATGTTTTCGCGGTAGCCCTTTGGGGGCTGCACGTGGAAATTAGGCAGGGCGCGGCGGTAGGGGGTTGGAATGGCCCGTCAGGTTGGTTCCTCGTGCCGCTGAGACAATCGAGACTGGACCCTCGTGCCGCCAGAGGGCCAGCAAAGTGACAAGGCGCAGACTTCAATTGACGCAGCGGCAGTGGTGTCGGGATGGTCGAATGAGGGCGGTCGAGGGGTTCGTCAGATGGGAAAACCGGACTGCAGTGTCGAAGCTTCAGTCCAGCGGCAGCACAGCAGCAGTAGCAGCAGCAGGGTGTGAAGATCGGAACGGCAGGGTGGTGGTGGGCAGGGTGAAAGTGGTCGGTACTGCCGATATTATTGCAGGCGCTGGGCCAATCAATCTGTTGCTGGGCCCGCACCGAGGAGCCAGACTCGCATCGGCTGGTGCTCTGGAGCCTGTGCCCAGGTGAGGAGGGAGCGGCGAGAGGCAGGCGGGCGGAGAGCGGTCGGCTTTCCCCGCGGCTAGGCTCTGTCTGTCTGCATGTACAGCGCAGCGCATCCGCTGTCGAGCTGGCGGGATGGGGGGTTGTGAGAAGTGACAGGAGCAACAAGAAGAAGGAACAGAAAGAAAAAAAGGCGGCTGCGACCACAAATGGGCAGACAAGGTGAGACGAGGTGTGGGTGGCAGTGGGAGGGAGATTGATTCAAGTGGGCGATTGATCCGGATCTCGTTGAATTGCGACTGTAACCGTGCCCCCCAAACCTGCACGCCCAACTGCGAATTGAGCCCAGCGACCCGTGACAGTGGCCGTGTGGCCGTGACCTTTGACCGAGTGCTCTGTCTCTGCTCCGCTCTGCTCTGCTCTGCTGATCGGACCGGATCGGTTGGCTGCTGGGGCTGGCCTGAGGCTGATTGTTTCGAGAATCGAGACCACAGACAAGAGATAAGACAAGAGACAGGAGACACCAGGGGTGCTGCCCACAAAGAAAGAAACGAACGTCAGTCAGTCAGTCAGTCGATCTGTCTCAATTGCCTGTCTGGCGTGCCAAGACGAGAGAAAGAGAGGAGAACGAAAGGGCCGTCCCTCTGCGTCTTGCTCTGATCCGGGTTTGATCTGGGAGAAGTTCAGGCTGTGCCTGTGATCTGTGCTCCCCGGGCTCTGCGCTGTGTCCAACGGCAGTTAAGAGGAGAGCTGGTGATGATGAATTGGAACCCTGTCTTCCTCTTGGCCGTCCTGTGCTGGGTTCTGGGTTCTGGCTGCTCACGCATTGATTCCTGAGATGAATCCGGCCGCCGACGATTTCTGCCAGAGATTGGCCTGTGGGAACAGGGACGGGCAAAAAGTGCCTGCGCCCGGACCACACAGCAGCACACGCTGCACAGCCAAAAGCAACCAACAGCCTGGACAGGACAAACTTCTGCTCCGTGCAGTACCAAAATGTGCAAGCCCGTTCCAAACGTTTCCAACTGCGGCCCTGGAACGACGGTTGCAACCTAATTTTTGGCGTGCATCTTGTCTGGGTCTCTGGTAGTGACACTTGCCCAGGCGAAAATGACGGCATCCACCCCCAAAAGTCCAAGCAGCCGGGACCGCATGAAAGGTGCGCTGTCTCTTTCATTTGACGTCTGCTGTAGAACATTAGGTAACGCATGGTCGGTATTTCCCGCCCGTTGTACCGGGTCGGGCTCGCGATAGCCTCACCAAAGCCACCACATCTCGACAGCATAACCTGCCATCTCGCTTTGCACCTCCCAAAACGAGTCCCCGCTGGCTCATCAAGCGCAAGGATTCGCCAACGGCGCCCCAACCTGGGAAAGGGTTGCATCCTGTCCGTCTTCCCCGGGCCTTCCAGAAAAAAAAGGGGGGGCACCCCTGAACAGGGTGGTCCGTGTCCGTCAGCTGGTGCCAAAGGGGGGGGAAAACAAAAAAAGAAAGGCAGTACCAGACTTCTCGACAGGGCCGCCGGTATTCGACGTGGACGTGCCTGGACGCGATAAGATCGTCCTGATATAAGGCAGACTGACTGCAGCCAGACGGGTGATATACAGGACATACATTGTATATCAAACACCCAAGGCTGCAGGTCCCGCGCACGCTCTGGTGCGCCAATCTGGATTGCGTGCACATGTACAGGCACCCGTGGGGGGCGAATGTAGGGGCCGAAACAAATTATCCACCAGGCGGCTCTCTTGCCTGCGCAGATAGACTTTCACGGACCCTGCGGCGGGTAGGTTCCTGTGCGAAATCATCACACTGCCGACGTCTCATCATCTTGGTGTATATGCCTCACGGGTGCATCCATTCCTGCTGCTCTGCACGCCGCTATGAACTACGCACACACCAGCACAAACACTGTCAGTACAGTACACACGGCTTGCCGGTCGCCTAGATGCTACCTGCCGGGCTTCCCGGAGTCGCAACCGATCCCCCACCAGTCCGCAATCTTCCGGTCCTGATGGCTCGTCGAGAGTTTGTGTGAAGTTGGCCCTCGCAGGATACGGTAACATATCCAACTACGACCTTGGCGGCCCGACTGGCAACTAGAGGTGTGGTCGACATCGAGCCTCTTCTTCAAAGCCCCCCGTAGGCTTGTCCATTTCCCGCGGGCGGTCCATGCCCACTGCCACCCACACTTCAGGGACCTAATCGGCTGGAAGAGAGGATACATACACAACACCACCACCGCCAACCACCAAGGCGGGGGTGGGGGAGGGGCTCAAACCGGTGGCAGCCGCAGCACCGGGTCCGGGAACGGCCTCTCCCCCATCATGTCCGCCGACGAGGTCGGGTGCAGCACCAGCTCTCTCGTGGCGAGCTCCGAGTGAATGAAGCCCTCGGGCCCGCCCATGAAGTCGGCCATCTTGACCTCGTCGAAGACGAGCGGCTCCTGCCGTGTCCTCAGCAGCGCCACCTCCCTCCACACCCTCTTCACCCCAGCCGCCATCCGGAAATCCCACGTGCTCGTCCAGCTGACCACCCCCGTGTTCTCCACCACCAGGAACCGGAACACACCCGCGTCCCAACGGGTGGCGTTGTACAGCTCCATCGCCTGCAGCGCCGGCATGTCCCTCGCCGCGAGGCCCGCCGACCGCAGGAGGCCGTTGACCTCGTCCGGGAACGCCACCTCGGCGATCATGCGGGACGTCAGCGTCAGCCAGCGGAGGTGCTCCCACCGCGGCAGGGCCGGTGGGTTCGGGACGCCGGGCTTGAGGCACGCCCATGGCTGGAAGAAGTCCTTGGCGTCCACCGCGAACGAGGCGCTGAGCTCCTGGAGGTGCGTGCTGAGGCGCCGCAGCCCGTGTGCCAGGAAGGGGAACCGAATCCGCGTGTCCCACATATCGTTCTGGTCGAAGGCGCCGAAGTGCTCGAAAATGCTAATGCGTTTGAGAGTGGTTGGCCAGAAGGGTATTTGGCCGGCGAGTTCTGCGTGCGGTAGGTGTTAGCGGACGGTTCAGGTAGGATTTGATTGCGACTCTTCGTAGTGGCGTCTTAGTGGGCACGTAGACATGCTTACCGCTGTCGACATCTTCCTGAGCAGGCTGGTCTACCTGCTGCCACGGCTCGAAGCGCACCTCTTTCAGACGAGGTAATGACCTCAGGACTGGTATGAGCGAAGTGGCCGAGACGTTGCGGAAATTCCGCCGGAGTATAGAAAAGCTGGTCACCACTTCGACCATGTGCAAGCCGTGAATGCCCTGAGGGTCAGGTATCACCAGGAGCATGAAATCCAGCAGTGAATCAAAGTATCTTGAGTTCCCGTCCGCGTCAAGACCTGCCTCGCCGAATAGATTCCTCTTGTCACTGTATCCAAGAATCGGTGTCAGCTTTGCAGGCGTGGAATATGTTCGAAGTAGCCAGAGCAGGGCACGAGAGCGAGCTCACCTTGGAGAGAAGGCGCTGAGCTCGAGGCTGATGCCGCGGCCATTTCTCGAAGACCAGAATTCCGGTGTATTCCACGGATCGAGCAGCTTGAAGAGGTCGTAGAGAGCCATGGAGTACTTGAAGTTATTCTCCTCCTGGTCCTGTTCATTCTCCGGGACCTGTCTCGACCTGCGCGAGTACTCAGGCAGCTCAACCCGGAGCCATAAGTGTCTGAGCAGGGCCCTTCGGCGGCCGGTCACGTATTCTTCGAGCTGCGGCAGGTCGGTCTGCTTCACTGCGAGGGTCCCAAAGGTGGCCTTCTCGATCTCGGCTTGCCACGACTTGCAGACGACGGCGTACTCGGCCATGAGGTGCGACTTTGCCTCATCCTCGGCGAGTATCTGCAGGATCTTATGGGAGAGCTCGTAGGGGAGGCGTTCCCAGGACGAATTGGGGTTGGTATCCTCATCCGTCTGTGAGTCTTCTACTCTTGAGGCGCTCCGTGCTCGAGCGGGCTCCTCGGGCATGCCCTCCTCAGAGATCACATCCTCCAAGTCGTCCTCGCCCGAAACTTCCTCGTCTGGGACACCCATTTCGACGTCGTCATCAACATCCTCCCAGTCATCGCGATCACCCATCTTGAGGCCAGTGTGTTCTGAAGAATCTCTGTTCGGCCTAGTAGATATCCAATGATAGATAGACCTGATGTGGGTGGACCAAGACGGCTGACCAAACCCCGTGCTAGACCCTTGCGGTACTTGGACTGTTAGCTTGCAAGCTCGTTTGACAACCGCTTGGAAATGGTATCATAGTAAGAGAAACAGGGTGTCGACCAGCTGAATCCCATGTTGGTCCAGCTGAGTAATCTTTGCGGGCCGGCGGTGGTGAGTCCGAGTCGGCTGGTCAGGCCCGGTTGAAGAAATTTTGAGCCAAGATCTCACATGCCCTCTCACTGTTGACGACGAGCGTTTCTGCGCCTCGGGGACATGATGCCCTCGCTAATATGATTTGCAGGAGGTATAACTGAAATGGTACGTACCTTCGTGGAACTACAGCCTTGTTGGTGTGACTATGAGTGATGCTTCGCGTTGGTTGGGGGTGGGCAGGTGCAAGGGTTGGCGTTCTACTACCTGCGGCCTCCGTCATTCCACAGTACACAGCACCCGCTGCAGCCTTCTCAATGGACCGTGCGCCCATTGACTCACACAGTCCACGTTATCTACTCAACTTCAACGTCTGCTGCCGACGACATGACCACCCCTTTCCTCGCTCGTCAATGATCAATCAGGAACATTTTTCCCCTTGAATTTTTCCTTTTTCCTACGAAGAATCCAATCTCCTAGTGCTTGAGCACAACTTTGATCACGTTTATCTGCGCTCTCCGTGACACGCCTCCCGCCCAGCAAGCGCTTACTCAACCATCTCCTACAGCCCTCAACTGGCAGCTCTCCTCCGACCTCAATCTCTCAACCTCTGACTCACACTTTGGCCTCATGACACGATTTTGGAAACACCTCATCACCGGCTACTGCGAATGCCAGAGAAGTTATGTGGTGAAATCCTAGCAGTTTTGTGCACTATGTGGCAGAGTTCAGCGCCCACAGTTACCAGCGCCATCGTTCCCAGCCGCCATGGCGTCAACTCCGCAAGGCGAGGCGCAGAGGCAGCCTCGGTATCGAAGGACTCGATTTGTGTGTGTCTCAGACACCCACAACCAGACGGTCAAGCTACCCAAGGGTGATGTCCTCATCCACGCTGGGGATCTGACAAACCAGGGCAGCTTCTCCGAGGTATGTCGTCGTTGTTCCTGGATTTGCGCACAGTCGCTCTCGCCATGCTGACAGAATCACGCCGTGGCTCAGCTTTCGAAAACTGTACAATGGTTGGAGAAGGCGGATTTCGAGGCCAAGATTGTCATTGCTGGGAATCACGACGTCACTCTCGACAAGGCCTTTTACGCCGAGTATGGCTCGTACTTCCACAACCAGTCGCCTCAGTCACCAGATTCTTGCCTAGACCTGCTTACCTCGAGCCCGTCGATCACCTACTTGGACCACAGCTCTGCCACCGTCGTTCTGGATAAGAACCCTTCCCTGAGAACCTCCTTCACTGTGTTTGGGTCACCGTACAGCCCGAAGGATGGCATGTGGGCGTTTGGATACGACCGGGCCAACGCAGAGTCTTCGACCCCAATTAACTCCAAACCTTCAGATGAGGCTCCCTCCCTATCTTTGCCAAAGTCTGGGGATCTGTGGTCTTCCATCCCTTTGGACACCGACATCGTCGTCACGCACACCCCACCATACACCCACTGCGACGAAGCCATCTCCAAAAGACGCGCCCTGGGCTGCGACGACCTGCGCCGAGCTCTGTGGCGGGTTCGACCAAAGCTCGCGGTGTGCGGCCACGTTCATGAAGGCCGCGGGGCAGAGCGCGTCAGGTGGGACATCCAGGGTGCGTCCGGGGCGCCGTACACAGAGCTGGGAGTCGAGCGGTGGGAAGACCCAGGTGCCGGGCCCACAAGCAACAAGATGTCGCTGGTTGATCTAACCTCACGTGGAGGGAGACGCCCACTGGACAACGACGGCTCAATCGTGGGGCAGGGGCGGTGTCCCGAGAGCCAAGGCCAGGGCGGCGCCTGTGAGCAATTCGATGATGCGACAGCTACGGCCCTCCCAGGCTTCGGCACACGCGGCGTCGGCGGGAACCCAGACTTGTCGGTGAGGTGCGACAGGGAGGCCTTGTGTGGCCGTATGGGCCGGAGGGAAACGTGTGTCATCAACTGTGCGATCGCGGCGACGAATTGGCCTCATAGCGGGGGCAAGAGGTTCAATAAGCCCATCGTCGTTGACCTAGACTTGCCGACTCTGGAGACGGACTGACAGGGCAGGTAGGCCGAGGTAGTCAGTAGAAATCTTTCTAGGTGGTGCTCTTCATATCTAGTTCAATTCCTGTCGTGCGAGCTCCTTACATTCATAGCAGGTAGGTTTGCTGAGGGTTTGTGATGTTTCCATCGTTCTGCTGGCATATGTACCGAAGACGAGACTCGGAGGGATAAGAAGCGTAGAACTCACGTACATGGGGCAGGAGGAGGGGGCCGAACCATGCTCGTCGCCTTCCAGCTTGACCAGCTCGAGCTGATCAGTCTGAGGTGCGGCCACCCTGGATCAAATGCTGGCTGTCATTCACTCGTGGCCAGGCCCCCAGGGAGCCAGCCCCCCCCCCCCGGGTCTCTCCCATATAGCCACCCGATTTCATCCCATTTCGACTTGGGGTGAGGATGGTCTAGTTGAGGTGCGGGCTGACTTGTATCTTGTAAAAGGTACTTTCACGAGTCACCTGCCATTGCCGTGGGCTAGACAGGAGTTCGATCCCTCTTTGTCGCTCAGCAAAACTCTTAAATGTCTCCGTGTTTCCGGTGGGGATGGCTTTGCGGGTTGATCGACACTGCGTTTTCGAACCTCGTAAAGTTGATTTACTCCCATGTGCTTGATCTCAGTCTGACTGGGAACGCACATGGCATGGAAAATCCACCAAAGAGTTTTCTACCCTCGCTCCGGCGGGGGGTCTTTTTGTCAAATCCACCAAGGTCCGTGGCGTATTAGCTATTATTCAATGTCCTCGTTGCTTCGCTTGCCTGCCAATCGTCCTCTTGCTGGTTTGTGATCCTCGAGACTGGATCAGCGAAGATGTCCTGCTTATCGTTTGTTGACCTCTCGCCTTGTACTACAACCTTTTGGCGGTTGGTGATGCTGCTGCTCCTTCTCATGGGTGCTCACTCGCTGGCGGTACTGCAACTTTTCAGGCGCAACACCGCCAGTTGGAGTGGATTGTATCTTCTCTAATATCCCCGATCGCTGGTCAGAACGTTGTTGTCGCTACCAAGCGTGACAGGGTCGACTGGGCCAGCTGAGCAGTTGCGGGACCAAGTTGCTCATTGGGCACGCTGACAGCGGGGAGAACAACCTCAGAACAGCTACCGAGAGATAATGAGTACATAGGACATCGCGAGGAGATTCTAAACGCCGCAACTCCCAGATGAGCACCAAGGGGAGCAGAGCAGGCTCAGCCTCCAGCCCCAATTCGACCTTCGTGAAACAACGGTCGCTGTTCCCAGAGCCAGTCCTACCCGCAGACACCGACCAGACGATGTGGAAGAAGTGGTGATGCCAATTTGAGCACACTTGAACGTCCAAGAGGGGCGATGAGGGGCATTCACTTTTGGTCCAGTCATCGGTTGACCAGCCCATCTCACCCACCACCATGTTTTCTTCCACATAGTCAACCGAGTTCGTCTGATTTCGACTTGGAGAGGCCGAACGGTCTAGTTGAGGTGCAGGCGCGTTTCATTTCTTGAAAAACACACGCCTTGCCATTGCCGTGGGCTAGGCCACAAGATCGACTCCCCAAAAGTCGGTGCGGCAGCCCGCGAGCCTTTGTGCCACGGGTAACCACTACTCATGGCTGTGACTCGGTGCGGTAATGTCGGCTTGGATCGACCAAATACACACTGAGGCCCCAGGACTCAGATGGTTCACCTTGGAGTTTTTTACCCTCACTTCGGCGGAGGGTCTTTTTGCTGATTCTCCCCAGGTCCCTTTAACTACAATGACTCTTCTTCTCTAGAGCATAGTAAGTTCTTTTCTTTTCTTTTAACCCTAGCCGATTCTGGTCGATGAGAACACAGCTCGAATGGCAATCTGTCACGTTTTCCCCCCTGCTGGAAGGGGTGTTGGCCTATGTGTTTGGTTAGTGCTCTTCCATATGCGCATCTTCAACTTCTTTTCCGCTCTAGTGCTATTGACTGGCTTCACAGTATGGCTGGCTGTAGGAACGGTAGTTTTAGAGCGATAAGTTGTTTCTCTACTAATATCTCTAACACAACTTATATTTTCAACGCACGGTATTTCTATAAGACTATGTCATTTGTTCAAGTCATATTTGATTTCAAAATACCTTCAGATTTGTTCAACTTAATAAATCAGAAATTGTAACTAGACCTTATGAAGAGAAATGTTGGAATGGCTACATGTATTTGAACATTCAACTTTATTGTCCACAAAAGAGATTCTGCCGACTTGCTTGGTCTTTGAGAGCGTGCAAAGGAAAATGATCCAAATCCACTCATCAAATCTCCATATGTCCACTCAGGACCACAACAAGAAGGCCTAATTGGGCATGAGTGAAGAGATGTACACCAGATTAGAGATGAACAGCTTCAAACAACCTCCACAGCAAGCCACATGGCAATTGTTGCTAGAGTATCGCCAACGAAGTAACTGAGAAATTTTATGCCCAGGGCGTTCAGAAAGTTTACTGCCTGTCGGAGCAAACGGGCCGCAGAAAATTCAGCCTGTTGTTTGTATCCAAGGTAAGGTGGCCCATACGCGGGGCACAGCCGGTCCTTACAGACGTTTTGTCCAAGTTCTTCGAGATAATCGGCGTACGATGAGCACAGCCTGGTAGTAGCCACCATGGTCCGGAAGCACATGGACAAGAAAGCATTCATGATGCTCGAGAAAAACTCCTCAAGCGGGGCTGGGAGCCCCCATGTGTACAGGACCACACAGACCACGGCGATCAGAACCAACTTACGGAAAGCCATGTTGAGAGTGAGGTCTTGAATTCGGTCAAGTCTCTGATTTTCAGTCGTGGATGATTGCGGGCCTCGATGCAAATGCTAGGCGGAATGATCTAGATTTCGATGCAGCCTTGGTTGTTGTCTAGACGTTCCGAATGATTTGGCTTGGACCACCGGACACTCTCGCAAAGGTGAATTGTGCTGTTGATGTCTGAATGATTGCTGCACCACAAGAAATTTAGTACGCTCCATATCCACTTTTATATCCGGAGAGTGTGCTCAAAACTCGCGGCGGGCTCCAGTCTATCTAGGTATGCAGCATGAAGTCTGGCTACCATGACTAATGTCGAGAGCAGCTCGACAAAGAGACCACCCTTTGTTTGCATTTTGGCCTTAGTCGCACGAAATAGTAGCGTATGTGTATTGTTAGTTTGAGAGGGCCAGCTCTTTGTTCTATCAGAACAATAGGTATTGACGATGAACTGGCATAGGCCTGATTGGCAAGGGTCCAAAGGAGTCTTCGAAAGGCCTTCCTACGGCTTTCTCAAGGGACTCCCAACGGAAACGGAAAAAATAATTTCAATTTAGAGATTCAACCGGTACATATTTGGGATCATTGTCAGATGATCGGTGGCTTTGTTGAGTTGATATGCTCATTAAGCTTGAGCATTAACATTTGAAAAGCCACAAGACAGAAGAAAGAGTACCTTATCAGAATCAAGATGTCACTTAGCATGAGGATACATTGGAATCAGACGAGCGACTTCATATTGGAGAGACAGGTACCAACTGCTGGGCAACTGCTGCTTAATCATGACTTCATTTCCGTGCACTTAAGGCAAGTGCCTACATAGTTCCACCGAACTCAGGGGGACCAGATTAGAGATATCAAATGCTCATTTAGTAACATCTGTGACAGTCTTGTTTCAGCATTGCTCGCCGTTTTGGGTTATCCTTACATGAGCTTTAGTTTCCTCAGAGGACGACGCTGACACGTTCAGCAAGGTGATGCAAGAATAAACACATCCTTTCTGGGATGAATGATGCTGTTCTTGTGGAATCTTGTCCTGAACGAAGTGCTTGTTTGCCAGTGTCCACGGCCCTCGCTCTTTGAGCAAGGGCTCGGATATGCTAGCGGAAAATTAGCAATGGTCCGAAGACGATCACGAAACATCCATGTTTTGTCGATCGCATGCCACATTCAGTGAAAGATCGTCATGCTCAGGCCTGGATTGGGAATAGAGATGTTGCTTAGGTCAGAAAATAGGCAGTGTAGCATCGGCCAAAGGCCTTCCCTACACATGCTTAAGGCTCATACCGTGTCTGCTTACAATCCATGATGCTGCTGTCCGAGCCGGCACTGGGGAAGCGTTGTAGCAGGATTACACGCTGCCCCGAGCACTGAAGTCGGCTTGTGGGTCTGACCAGTGCCGTAGCCAACCAGCTTACATGGTTGTGTTCTTATTTCTAAGCTTGATGACGGATTTGCGGTCGTCGGCTTGCCAATTGTCAAGACCGACATCCGAAGTCTCCTCAAGGTGGCATGTCAGACTACGTCTCGGACTCATGTTAGCCTATGGATTCTGAAGCCTTCTCATTGCTACATGTCTCAATGAATCCTATACCAGGCATCCATTTTCCGCCTTGTCGATCTCTGCTCTGCCATCATTAGTCTGCACCACTTGGGCATTTGACGGATCAGCTAGCACAACTTCGTACTCAGGTATCTCAATGACTCGGTTTCATTGCTAGCGGCCATGGTCTTTTCCCTCCTTGAGCCTGCACTTCAGTATGGAATGCCAGTCGTTGCGTTCATTATTCGAGGTGGAGGGGAGGGGGAGGTTGTACAGGTGGGTGAGTATACAGCCACCTCTGTCGAATTTGTCTGTTTTTAGAGAAACGCTGACACCTTAGATTTAGTTCAGAAAATTCGCATTGACCTAGTCATACTCATATCATACTATTCTTCATCAAGATGCCATTTTACTACGCTCCGAGGTTGTTCCGATAATTAAATTGGTCGAAAACTACAAGTGTAGTTGACTTTCTTCTCTAGAGCTCGGGGTGATGAGAGTTCCGAGCAGTTGTGTTGTCATGGTGAAGTGGGTCAAAGGATCTAGGTCAAACTTTATTTTGTACGCTTTTTTATACTGTCGAGGAGTTTGCAGCACCCAGTATTGTGATACCTTTGGCCACTGACATACGACAACTGTCCGTCTCCATATGAGTGGATATAGTATAGGAAGGCCACCGACATCCGAGCAGTCCAAGGCTATAATCCGAGGAGGATCACTTTCCTTGTGTCTATGTTGCCATTGGCTTACACAACGAAGGATCGTGGCCGAATACGCGTGTAACATCGAGTTCAGCTATGAAGATCGTACCAGAAGGCCCAAGGCTTGCTGCCGTCTGAGGACAAAATGACGATCAGTAATCGTTTAGGCGCGCCGCTTCAAAAGTCTCATCACACCGCTATGACCAATTTCATGCGGGCATGCATCCTCCCACACAGTTGAAGTCTTCAAGTGCCGTCTCATCGACTGGAAAAGACTCTGTAGATCACATCAATCCTTCGAGGCAACAGCAGCACTCGGACTTCGTCCCCGATGGCCCATCGATGCAGTGCTCATGAGACAACCCACAAGGCTGTGCCATTCACATCATTTAGTGATACTGGGCAATTTCAACCATTTGGCTGTATGATCCAGGAATGCATATATAAGAGCCCGCTCAGTCCCCCTTCGCTTGGCTCGATCTTCAGACAACTCACTCTCAAGCTCACTCTACCAAGCACTATCACCAATCAATCCCTCGTCTTCAAGACCAAATTCTCAGACTCTGCCAAAATGCAGTTCTCAGCCGCTACCCTCGCCTTCTTCGTCAACCTCGCCCTGTCCGTGGCCGTCCCCGAAGCTGCGCCTGTCGGCATGGTCCAGAAGCTCGACGCCCGAGATGTTTCCGAGAATCTGATCTTCGGACGGTCATTCCCATGTGCCTCTAACAACCCAACCACCTGCTGTGCTGTAAGTCATATTTGGGCTCTCGAGCCCCATCACCAATTACTCCCTCCCCCCCGTAGTACTTTATCTACCTTGGGGCCGTAAATGAACGCATAGAGGGAAATTTACTAACCCACCTGTGGATAGTGCCGTGGCGGATTCGGAACCTGTATCAACGGCGTATGCAGCTGCAACGGAGGTGACTGCTAAATACAATCTGGGGTGACTTGAGTTAGTCCCAACAGCCTTCACCCGCTGGAGAAAGCAGGGAGGATTGAGGGTATTGAACGAATTTCTTCCAGTCACTCTTTGAAACGAGCTATAGCATGAGTTACGGGCCAATGAAAAACAAAATTTTGACGTCAAATGCTGTGCGATCACTCTGAGCACAACGGTGTGTAGCATTCTAGGAACACCACAAACCAAGTTTTCTTCTCTCGGTGAACATGCAAGCATGCTGAAAAATGTATGAGCATTGCTTATTGAGCTTCGCCTTGGACAGGCTAATTGGACCGGAGTCTAAGACAGCTGGTAGAAGACTGCTTAGGCAGCATACAAGGGGGAAAATCCCTGAACTGGATTTTGGTGTAGCGATTGTCAGTACGGAAACTTTAGGGACTACAAGGCTTATGAAAGAGAATACTACACCTAACCGAAACCTCGTCTTCCAGATTTTAAAAGCAAGTACCGGGGCAATCTATCATCACCATACAACAATCCGGCAGGACCAAGGCACTGTGTGACATATTTTAACTCGTAATTGGCATTCAGGAAAGCGTGCAAGTTGGTGTCGATGTTTTATGGGTTTTCTCTCTCAGACTCCGAGGGAACATGCCAACCTTACAGTACTCGGAGCAAGGAGCAGCGAGCCAACATTAATCGATAAAATATACGAGCGGACATCGAGTCTTGAAGACTATCTAGATGACCATTCCAGTTATCAATTGCTACTTGTTTGAGGACCTCTGTTGGTAGGTCTCTCGTACGTACGATAATTGTATGGGAAGCAATCGTGTATTAGTATTATTCTGTTTAAGTTCTGAAAGGCTATGTACCTTGGAGGGAATAACTAAAGTAGCCTTTAAATGCAAAGGTTATACTTATTAATACTTATAGTTTTTCTCTTCTTTTAATAAATATATATAATCTTTATTATAATTAATGATCTTTATTTTAATTAGCCCTAAAATTATAATTCATTATATATTAAGTATATATAATCTTTATTATAATTAATGATCTTTATTTTAATTAGCCCTAAAATTATAATCCATTATATATTAAGTATATATAATCTTTATTATAAAAAAGTATTATTAAAAAGGCTTAAAATTATAATTTATAAGTTTTAAAGTAAGTTTTAATAATTTTTATTATTATATTATTTTTTAAACTTATAATTATTATTATTATATTATCTTTTAAATATTATACTTATTATTTTTAATATTTAACTTTTAGGGTTGCTTTTTTGTAAAGATTATTAACTTTTATATAATAGCCTTAGTTTTAAATCTCTTCTTTATAAAGGAAGTTAATGCTTATAAAGTTAATGCTAAATTCTTTAGCTTATATTTATTTTTATTATATATTTTTATAATATAAATATTATTATTTTTATCCTTATTCTTATTATTAAAATGCATTTAATATTACTTTAAATTAATTTCTTTTAATTACTTTTTATCTTTTTAAAATTAAGTATTATAAGCAGCTTAATTATTTATTATTTCCTTTTCTTACTTTTTATTATTTTTTTTAATCTTCTTAATAATTATCTTTTATTTAAATTGCTTAAGTAATGGCATATATTTCTTAATAAATCCCTTTATATATAAGCTTTATATATGCTTATTAATAGTTTAATGTAAAAAGTTTTAAAGTTAAGTTAGCATAGCAATTTAATCCTTTAATAATTAAATCCTTTTAATTTAATATATATAAAAAACACTTAAGATTAAAATTTTTATTAAATTATTTATTATAAAGATTATAATAATTTAGCATTTAAAATAATAATTACTTTAATAATTTTTATTATTAAAGATACTATATAATTTTGCATTAAAAGTTTTAATGCTTTTAATATAAATATATAGCTTTTTAACTATATTATTAAAAAATATTTACTTATCTTAATATTAAAAGTTATTAATAATTTAAATAATAGTTATTATAATAGCATTATTTAGGAAAAGTATTTTAGCTTAAGCTATAGTTATAGCCTTTAGCTTATTAATTTTAATAATTCCTTAAAAGTTTATTTTAATAAATAGCTTGCTTTTTTTAATACTTAATATAAAAGTAAAGTTAAAGGTAATCTTTATAATCTTTATTAAAATCTTATTAGCTTAGTTTTAATTATCTTTATTATTAATAATAATTAAATTATTATTAATATTAAGTAAATAAGAATCATTATTATTAATATCCTTATTAATATTTATTAAATAAATAAGTAAATAAAAGTTATTATTATTAATATTCTTATTAATATTTATTAAATAAGCGTTATTAATAATAACTTTGCTATAGGAATTAATAAGATTAATAAGCTTATCTTTATTTTTATTAATTAAGGTAATTTTAGCCCTTTTTATAGCTTTAATAATAATTTTAATTTTTATTTTATTACTTAATAGAAATATAATTATAATATTTATTTTATTAGTTAAGGTTATAATTAAAATATTTATCTTATTAATTAAGATTATAATTGCAAAGCTTATTTTATTAATTAAGGTTATAATTGTAATATTTATAGAGGAATCTTGATTTTAATTAAAAATTGCGGTAGGGCTACCTTTAATGCTAGTTATATTAATAGTAGCTATGGTAATAATTATATTAGGTATGTTTTTAACATAAAAAGTAAATATAATATTTATTAAATAATTTTGCTTATTATTATTATCCTTATAAGGCATATTAATAAAAGTATTAAACAACTTTTATAAGTTATTATTAATATTCTTTATTATAATAAAAAGAAAAAAGATTTTATAGGAATTTAATAATTAAAATAAATATTTATAATATAAAACTTTATAATTATTATATAATAATTATTAATTTATTCTTTAATTATAAAAAAAGTTAATAAATTATAAATAAATTTAATAAAAGTTAATTTTAATATTATTGCTAATAAATAGCAGTAAAAGATAATAATAATAATAAAATTAATATTAAAATAATAATTATTAATAATATTAATAATTATAAGATTATCCTTATATATAATAAGGTATTAAAAAGATTTTAATTAAAGTATAAAAGGTTAAAGTTTATATTAAAAATTTAAGTTTAAGAAGTATAAGGTTTTATAATTAATAGTAATAAGGTTAAAAGAAAAAGGTATTAATGGTAAGTTGCTCCTTTTTTAATAAAAAGGGGCTACTTTAAGTTTCTTAATTAACTTATTTATTTATATACAAAGCTTATTATTATTAATAAGCTTTTATAATGCAGTATTTAAAGTTAATTTTATTATTATATTAATAGGGTTATTTTTCCTATTTATTTACCTTATTTTAGCAATCTTTCTTATTTTATATAACTTTTATAATAATATAATATTAATTATAAAGTGCTTTTTCTTTATTATTTTTAACTTTATAAGGTATTTATATAGGCTATATAAGTTTATATAAATAATTAAAGATATATTTAATAATAAGAGTTATCTTATAGCCATTTTAATTATTATAGCTAAAGAGATTTTAATATTTACTTTATTTATTATATTATAAATTTTGCTTATTAACATGCTTTAAGTAATATATTTATACTTTATTAATAATTAATAAAGAATATTACTTATTATTATAAATTTTTTAATTTCTTTATAAGTTTTATTTATAAGGATAATAATATATTTAAGTTAAGATATTAAGTTTTGGTTATTTATAAATAATTTATTTATAAATATAAAAAGTTTTACTATTTTAAAATTAAGGAATATATATTTAATTCTTTGCATAATATTATTTATTTATTATAATAGTTATATATTTAAGCTCTTATAATCTCTTACCTTTAAGTTTTATATTTATATAGCTATTAAAAGATTATATAAAGCTTTTAATTAATAAATTAAAGCTATATATACTTCTTAAGCTCTTTATTTAAGGTATTTTTAAAAAGCATCTTTAATTATTACATTAATAATTATAAGTTTATTAGCTTATTCGTTTTAATAAGTAGTGATTAAGTTAATAATATTTATAGTTATATAAGCTTTGTTATAATTTATTAAGTTTTTAAGCATTAACTTTTATTTTAATTTTCTTTATAATTTCATAGCTTTTATTTTAATTTTCTCTTTATCTTAAAATTTTAATATAAATAAAATTAATATATTATTTATTTATATATTTATTATTTTAAAGAGTTATATAGGCTTTATAATTATTAAATAAAGATTATATATAAAATAATTTATCTTAAGCTTTTATTAATAATGTTTTTAATATATATTAAATTAATAAATATTAGATTTTATTATATTATATAAGGATTAAATAATATAAATAATTATGCTTAAAGAGTATTTATTCTTTAATTCCTTTAATAATTTTATAAAGATTATTTTATATAATTTTAACTTTACTTAAAGGTAAGCTTAAATAATATCTTAAAGTATAAAAATTATACCTTTTTCTTAAATTAATAATAAAATAAGTATAAGAATTATTTATTAGCTTATTCTTTAAATAATTAAGCTTTATATTAAGATTAATCTTTTTTTATTATTATTATAATTTTAAATAATAAATTAAAATTTCTTATAAAATTTTATAATTTTACTTTTTACTTTTTATATTATATAAGATTTAAAGAAATAATATTTATTATATTGCTTTATTAATTATTTCTTAATTTAAAAAATATCTTTAGCAATAAGGTTATTAATTTTTATTTTATTAAATTCTTTAAATAATAAGCTTAATATTATAATAACTTTATTTTATTTTAATTTAATTATTAAATTATAGTTTTTATTTTCTTTTTTTAAGATATATAATATAATAATATAGTTTTTTATTTTTAATAATAATAATTGCATAATAAGTTATATTTAAGGTTTTATAACTAAGTTTTTTACTTATAAGGATTGCATTTCCTTATTATTATTTTAATAATATAATTAAATAACCATTAACCTAAACATTGCAGCTTTATTTAATATATTTAAAGTTATATTATAGTTATTTATAGCAATAACTTTATATAAACCTTTTTATTCCTTTCTTTCTTTTTATATATAAACTTTATATTATAGCGAATATTTTGTATTAAAAATAGGTTTAATTTTAATATTTAATATATTTTGCATTTATTATTTAGCTATAGTTTTTTATAATATCTTTATAATTTTTAAAATAGCTTTTGCTTATTTTTATATTAATAGTAATAATAGTAACTTATATAATATTTATAAGTAGGTATTGAAAATTAAAAGCATAGGGATTAATTTATTTAGTTTAGCAATATTATTAATAGCTTTTATAGCTATTTATAGGATAGCATTATTATTTATATTATTATATAATTTAATATATAAGATTTTATATACTTATTTAAGGGCTTAATAATATCTTTTAACTTTTTTAATAAATTAATATGCCTTTATGGAAATTTATTTATATTTAATTTTTATTATTTATGCCTTTAAATAAAATTTTAAGAATGTAAAGTTTATTTTTACATTATATTTAATAATATTTAATAATCCTTAATATATATTAATTTAAAATATTTATAATGTTTATTATGTAATCTTTATAAATATAGATTTTAAGAATTTCGCTTCTTAAAAAGCCATAACTTAATTTATAATATAAAGGATTAAGCATTTGCTTAAATATATTATATTAATTAAGATTTTATAGTTAAATTTATAATTATTATATAATATAAACTTAAAACACTTAAGCATAAGTTTATTTATTTAATAATAATAATATATATTTTTAATCTTTATTATTATTTATTTATTAATATTTAAATTACTAGCTTTTTTAAGCATTTAATATAATTAATTTATTAATGGATATTTAAAGTAATAATGGAGTTTCCTTATTTTTATCTTTAAGAGGAAATATATAATATTAATAATTTAATTTAAAAAAAACCATAAGTAACCTTATTTTCTAAGTATTAGTATAATAATTGCATTATTAAAGGAAATCATTTTATTTATAATATTATTATAATATACTTAAAGCTTATCTATATTTATTAAGTAAAGCAAGAATAAGGTTTATGCTTAAATAATATGGAAGTTAATATAACTAATTAAGATAAAAACTTTTATTATATTAAATAAATTAATAATTATTTTATTATTAAATTTAACTTTAGCTTTTCCTATGGCAATTATATTAATTTAATACTTTAAGTCTTTTTATTATAATATAAGAAATTACTTATATTTAGCTATAAATATTAATAATACTCTTATATTTAGCAAAATTTTTTAAAAATAAGTTTAATTATATTTATTCTTTAAGATAAATTAATTAGTTATAATAATCGTTTTTATTTAAAAAATATTATCTTTTATAATTTAATATATAAACGCTTTATTAATTAAAAAATTAATATTTACATAATAAATTTTCTTATTAAGTCCTATCTTTATAATATAAGTATTGCTATTACAACTATTATCTTAATTCTATTTATCTTTATATTTATAAAATTTATTTTTATTATTTATTTTATATTCTTTAAATTTACTTAAAAAAATATTAAAATTATTATTATAACTTTTATATTTATATTATATTAAATAGCTTCTTTTTATTAAATATTGCTTATTAATTAAATATTTAATTAATTAGCATTCCTCCTTCTTATAAATATAATATCTTTTTTTTAAAATTATTTTCCTTCTTTTTTATAAGCATTATTACTTTAAGCTTTATAGCTAATATTATAAGATTTTAACTACTTAAAGCTTAAATAGCTTAAGTTTAATTAATTAAATTTTTAATTTCCTTAAAATGCTTAAAATTATAATTATTATTTTTCTTTTAGCTTTTAATCATTATATTTATAATTAATATAATATTAATTTAAAACTTTATTTATAATATAAATTATAATTATATAATTAAGCTATGTTTTTATTATAAATTTTAAGTTTAAAAATAACTCTTTATATAATTAAGCTAACTTAAAAAGAGTTATTTTTAACTTAAAAACTTTTTTATAAGCTTTAATTATTATTATTCTTAAGTTATTTTTTTTAATATAATCTTAACTTAATGCCTATTAATAAAGTTATAATTTATTAAGTATTAAATATAAAACCTTATATAAGTCTTTATTTAAGTTTTATACTTTTATTTTTATAAATATTATTATTATTTAATTTATATAATAATATTAATAATTAAGGTTTATATTAAAATGCATTTTAATTTTAAGGTATGTTATTATAAATATATTAATTTAATTTATAAAATAAAGGTAATAAGCCTTAGCTTAATTTTTAAGCATTTAAGGAAAAATTATATAGAATTAACTTAATTAAATTTTAATATAATAATAAATATTAAAAAATATCTTTATTTTATTATTTAATAAATTATATAAATCCTTAATATATTTATAAAAGTTATTAAAGGTTTTTATAAATTATATTAACTTTATTAAATTTAAATATTTATTAAAAATATATTATAAAGAAAGAGTTTTATATAAATTATACTTTTTATTTAATAAAGGCATTTTTAAGGTAGCTTAAGGTTATATTAAGTATAATATATATTTTTAATATAAGCTTTATTTTTATCTTTTTATTAATAATAATAAACTTTATTAGCTATATTAATTTTTAATAAATTATATTATTAAATTTAGGTTTTATAATTATATACTTAAAGCTAATAATAATAATAAATATTATCTTAGGGATTATTCCCTTAATAATTATTATTATTTAAAGCTTGCTTATAACTTTTATAAGGATTATGCTTATAATTATTATTTTTAAAGTTGCATATAATATTTATTTATGCTTAATTTTAAGGTTAATAAGGTATTATAAAGTTTATTATTAATTTATTTTAATCTTTCCTTAGCTTAAGCTATAGTAATTAATTATAATATTATAAATTAATTATTATATCTTATATAAATGCTTTGCATTTAAAAGAAAACTTTTAGGTATTATTAATAAGGATTTAGTAATACTTTAAATATTACTTATGTTTATATTATATAATTCTTATAATAAGTAATAAAAAGGTTATTATTATAAAGGTTTTATTATATATAGCTTGTTAAAATACTTATTAAATAGGTAATTAAGTGTTTTATTAATGCTCCTTATATAAAGGCTATAAATTATAATTTTAAGTTAATATATTTATAATAAGCTAAGTTAATTAAAGTTTAAGTAAATATTTTATTAATTATATATTTTTTAATAAAAGCTAATAACTTTTTAGCATTATTAATTATACTTATAAATTTTTATAATAAATATTATAAAAAGTAAAATTAATAAAATAAAGAAATATTAATAAAATAAATAATATTTAAAAGTAAGTTAATAATAATAATTTAATAATAAGTAAATTATAATTATTAAAAAGAAAAAGTTTTTAATTCCTTTAAGCCTTAAAAGTTAAGGCTTTTTTTTATTATTAAGTCCTTTTATATTAATTAAAAGTATAATGCATAATTTATGCTTATTTATAATATAATATTGCATTAACTTTAATAATTATAATAATTATAAATTTTATTTATTTAATAATTATAATAATTATAAGCTTTATTTATTTAATAAAATAAAGCTTTATTAAGTTTTATTAAGTTTTAAAAAGGATTTAAAAATAGGTTTATTTTTAATAAAGTTTTATATATAATAAATGCATATTTTTTAAATAATAATAAATATATATATAGATATTATAGGAAATATTACTTAATTTATTTAATTTTTATAATATCTGCTTAAAAAGTTTAATAATATAAGGAGGCTTAAAGAAGTAGTTATTATTATATAATGCTTATTAATAAGAAGGATATGATTTTTAAGTTAAGGAAATTCTTATAAAGTTGCCTCTTTTACCTTATTAATTTATAATACTTATAATTATTAATTAATATTAATAGGTCTTTTATATATATAATAATTATATGGGAAGCAATTATGTATTAATATTGTTCTGTTTAAGTTCTGAGAGGTTACGTGCCCCGGAGGGGATAACTAAAGTAGCCTCTAAGTGCGAGGGTCGTACTTGCCAACAACCTCTGCTTCTTGGAGGCCATGAGCAGCGTTGCGAATCCATGCCTAAGGTCACGTCCACCCTGGAGGATGTTTCGCCACCACTGAAGACATAATGATATCAACGCTAGAATGGCATAAGTGGCATTTTTGTTTGTAATTGTGATGTGTATGTGTGGTGACTGGCTCTCTCCTCCGCTCAGCCTTGTAGACCACTGTTAATTCTCAGGTTTCCGACATCCGGAGGGCGGTGCTGAGCCAGGAATGCAGTTTGACCTGTCATATTATCCTATGATACATTTCAGACGTCTCGTCACGAACACCTTGTTTGAGGTAGAAACAAGATGGGATACTTGTCACAGTTCTGGGTGTTAAAGAGCCAAATGTGATGCTACTTATGACGGTGGCACAAGGATGGACAGGATCAGCCAAAGTAGCCAGAGAATACACAGACGCTGCCCTTAGAAGGCGTATCTCACAGTACCTAGTAGCTGATGAAAATGTGACGAAGTATCCCCAATAACCACCGGCCAAGGAACAGCCGGCGTGCTCCTAGGACGGAGTGATCACCCACGTCCACTCTGGCCCCAAGCGCCTGGGCCGATACCCTCATTCACACTGTTGCATTTCAAAAAATTTCAGGCAATGGCAAGCTATCCAACGTCAATGTCGTCAACAACTAGGGGTCAACTTGCAGAAGTGGTCTTAGGGTGACCTGCGCAGAAAGCACTGAATGTGGGCGGCGGCGGACTCAACAATATCGCCAGCTTAAGACAGACTCGGCCCGAAGGGTTTCCATCTTAATACGCTGATATGGCATACCGTAACCAACAAGACGGGGACTGCCTGATGTGAGTTCCTTGGGCATGCCATCACGTATATTCACAACCAGCACAATAAGCATATGATGGGTCACGGCTGAATGGTCTCCCATCCATTCGCACGGACATGATCTCACACCAGGCGACGACCTGACGCCAGGTAGTCGACCTCGGTCCTCTTTGAAACCACCGGCTCCAAGGAGACAGGCTAACGTCTCGCCAGCAGCCCACCGGTCTTGGGCGCCCAAGTCTCTGAAAAGGCATGGACGGGTCAGACAGTCGTGGGCCCTCGTAGAACAGCCGCAGAAGAAACACCTCAGCTCTCCCAATCACGAACACACGCGAGCTCCACCGAGAACGTCGTGTACTGCGGCTAATACACGCAGCCAGATCCCAAGATCGAGGGAAGTATCCACCCATCCACACCCATCATCGAAATCCACCCATACTACACCATCTCAGGCCTCTTGTCCCGATTTAAACCAAGATAGATCAGAACTTCCCCTCCCCGACCTAAAACAAAAAACCGCTCAAAACGCTCAAGCGCAGCCACGCCGTCCCACGCCGCTCGCCCTATTCTAGACAGCCCGACCTGGTGCTAAGCAGGGCCGTTGTGCGCCATCCCGGGCCGTGCGAACAAGCGAAAAGACGGCGAGAGATACAAAGAAACATCAGGTGATCTGCAAAAATTAAGATGACAGTTTGCATTAGAACAGGCACGCACAGGGGCGGCGGGCCAGCAAGCAAAAGCCACGTTCAGATCATGTGCGGCTCGCGTGCTGGCCGCTCGTGCCTTGGCCTACCTACACTGGCCCAAGCAGCCTACGCAGCCCAAACAGCAGGGCCCTGCCGAGATCGCCGAGGCGCTGTCTACATCGTCGACATCATTGTCGGGTAGGGCCCTTGTCTACTGTGCCTATGTGTTCGGTCTTAGTCTACCTAGTGTAGACTATGTCTTCGGGTAAATGTTTGGACGACGACGACGGGCGGGTGGGGCCTAGAACAGGCCATGAAAAGCGGGCCGCCGGGAGTTCAGTTGACAACCGCCCTTCCGCTCCATCCCCCTTTGGCCAGGCCAGGCCAGGTTCACGGCCGTCCGTCAGATCAGCCATCACCAGACTTCGTTGATGGGATGACCTGGGTCAGGCCACTGATACTGGGCAACATACTCCCTCCCGCTGGTGGCCCGAACCACCCTCCCCCTTTTCCCGAAGGTCGAGTGTCTACTGCATGTAACCCAGAGTCCTGCCAATTGTACAGGCTTGAGGACTCGGACACCGTCGGCCAAGCTTTCGAGAACTAGGGCGAGCCGGCTCCCCCCAACCGCGAGAGTATCTCATGTGCTCCTCTGCCCCGGGTAAGCAAGCGGGCGCGATGCAACATTTTCCCTGAGAGCCGCAGCAAGCACCAGCACTAAAGTGCAGAACCAGCTAGAAGCCGGAGAGCGCTTGCAGAGCTTGTTGTGACCAATGAAGGGCCGGTCTTGGGCCAGTTGGGTCAGACTGGAACGCACTGCATGCAGGTGGTGAGAGGGATGTGTGTCCATCCCACAGGCACTCCTGGTTTGCGCCATTTACCACATAGTCAATTGTTGCAGTCCCCCACGTTTGGGACGAGGCAGATGGCCCACACCCAGCTGGGCAGACGGGGCTGTGAGTAAAGGGTGAGACTCCTTCTGGATCTTGGATCTGTAAATCGGATCCTCGTCAGGGCAACAGATGGGGTCCGTTGCCGATCCGCCGGCACGCCCCCAAAGCTGGCCTCTGCCTCGGCTCACTCGCGTCCTGACGTAGGGCTGCAGAAGCAACGGAACACAGATCGACCGACTTACGGAACACCCTCACCGCTTGCGAGAACAGGCAAAACAGGGCGAATGCCGTACACAGTAGAAGCTCTTTCTGGTAGTGAACGTCGGCAACATTCACCGCTCTCGCAAATGTCTTACATGTCGTGAGAGGCGCCGTTGATAGGCCTGGCGAGACTCACTAGGGCGTCGTGCTACCAGCACTCGCCGTGATATGTAAGGCCCCTGCAATATCAAGCCGAGGGGTTTTGAGTGCTTACACCCTGCGAAGAAACAGTCGCGAACAAAGTGGCTACAGCTCGTCGACAAGACTAAGCAAAACATGCGAAGTCCACGTGTCATGCGTCCGCGGTCTCGGGACAAAATGCCGCACCTCACTCATCAGATTTGTCGTACCAGGTTGATAGAGACAAGTTTCGAATGCCATCATCTGACGAGACGTGAGAATCTTGTGCTGAGAAAGCCAGGGGTGACAAGGTGCCTCTTGGTAACAGAGATATGCCGGAGGGTTGCCCTTGGACTGTTAGCGTCCTGCTGTCTGACGGTACCAGGTCCACCGATGGATGGATTGAAGGAGGGGTACGATCTCAGTTGGCGGGGGAGGAGGGGCAGAGGAGCAGCCGGCCACTTCGTCGTCGCGAGATTCCATCCCCCCTGGACCGTGCAGATTCTCAGGCAACCAGACGGCCAGCTCAGCTGCCTCTGCAACTCTGGATGCATCAGGGATGCCGTTCGTTCCTGTCTTCTCCAGGGGCTGAAGTAGCTTTGACGGACGGAGCAGAACGAGAACAGATTCGACCATCGGCAGGTTGCTGCACTGCGCACAGGAAGTCGGTGCGGATGATTCGCTCTAGGACAGCGGATCGATGATCAGAGAAGAGCTATCAACCCTGACTGGCGCAAGCTCCCACCCACTGCTGCCACTTGGCAGGTGACTAGAACAGATCGACTCATGGCCGACCCCAGAAAAGGCGAATGAGAGTCCACAACAAGGTTAGTCTCGTCCGGTTGATCAACCGGCAGCGCGTGGAAGACACGGGAAGCACTGGATTCGTGGGCAGGTTACCCCAGCCGAAGAAGTGGAAAAAAGCAATCGCCCCAGACAGATGGACGTCTCGTGCCCCTCCATTGGATTCCCGGTCACGATTCTCAGGCGTCGGAATTGGCGCTCAAACCGCCGGCCTTTCCCGTTGAAACATCGCTCAAATGCAACGAGCCAACGACAATGTAGCAGCTCTACCCGGTATATAGCTCAGTTGAGGGCTGTCATCCAGTCTTCGTGAATGCACGATACGGGCAAAGGGGCAATTCTCGTTCCCCAATGTAAATCGAGCCAAGTCGGTTGCTTAGAATGCTCGAGACCCTTGGCGTGTGAATACTCTGTGTATTGAGCAGTAACTAGGGGCGCCGATAGGAGCCTCATCACATCCCAGGGGTGCGGGGCAGAAAAGGCACGCAAGCCCTCCCTGCGAAAGACAGTGGTGGATGGCTGACTTGGAAATGGGCTGGTGTGCTTGCTCAGTCATCATGCCGTGAGACGGCCGGCAAAGTACCTGCGTTGCTATGGTCGTCACGAGAGGCCGCAGATGATCGGGAGCCGTGTGGTGTAACCGACGAACAAGAGGACGAGACAGTGGTGCTGCTGCAGCTGCATGCAGGCTTGGTATGGTGGCCGAGCCCATACCCTCCACCCCGATCCCTCGTGAGGGTGTGATTAATGCCATAGTTTGTGCAGAGGGCAAGAGGCAGAATGCAAGGCCAAAGCACTCCATAAGTGACAAACCTGCATCTGCCTCTGCGTGAATGGCTGGGGCTTGGCCAATGTAGCAGTAGGCCGTGTTGACTCGCTGATGCGCGCCGTGGAAGAGCGAGACGTCGGCGGCCCAGCGCCCACGGGCATTGGGTGTCTGCTGCATACTCTGGCTAACTCTGCCCACGATGTGAGCCAAGTCGCTCGTGGGTGATACGAAGAGTCTTCCGACTGGTGCACCTTGCAAGGTCCATCTCGGTTCCAGAGTCTGCAACACGGGATACCTCCGGGCCATATGTGTTCGAGATGCACAAATGCAGAGAGAAGCATATTCCCAGGGATAGAGCAGGCAGGAAGGGCAACCCACCAGCTGGACTGGACCGGACTGCTGGAAGGTCATGCCTGTCTGCCAGTCTTGCTGGTCGCATTCATTCATCCGATGTCGTGTTTCGCTGGCTTTGACTTTGTCAGGCTCGTCAGGCTCAGGCTCAGGCTCAGGCTCTGGTTCTGAAAGCTGCAGCCCTCAGCCAATCCGTTGGTCTGCCGGCGGCAGGTCCCAGGAAGGAGGGTATAGGAGCAGGGAAGGATCGACGGGAACGGGCAATCTGGGGTACAACGGAGACACCCACAATTAGCGGAGATCACCACCGTCTCGATGTACCTGCTGCTAGCAGCCAGCATCTGGTCCAACAGCCAAGCTCAGGCGTGTCGAGTCGAGTCGGTTTGTGAGCTTGGCCCTGTTCCCTCTCAACGTTGGACAGGACATGGAACCTGAGCATTAACGTGAATGTGAACATGGGAAAGAGGAAAGAAGCGCCATCAGCCATCGCATCGGAATGAGGAAGGAAGGGAAGACCTGGGCAATCTGCTTGAAGAATTCGATCCCCAGAACTGCTGCCAATTCCTCCTGTTCACAATCTCCCGTCTTCATTCCACAAACAGACAAGAAAGAGAGAGAGAAAGAGACTCGCACCCCTCTCTGCCGCCTTGTTTGCCTCTTGCAGACCAGCAATTCGCTGACGAGATTGTCAACACGTGGGCTGCATTTTCTGGACGCGACCATATGCAACTTCACACATTGGCAGGCCCGTTATCGCGTCCATCGTCCCCGTACTGACGAATGCCCTTTGTTTTGCCCGGCTTTCCCCTCCTCTGCGACTGCCCAGAACGAGGCCGATCTGCTTGCTGCTGCTGATTGTTGGCCCACCGGGATCCGGATCTGCTCGCATTTTGGCCTTCCTCCCAGTGTCAGCTTCGTCATATCACGCCAACTGCTGACCTCTGGGCTTGGTGCCTGATGATTCGGCAAGGAGCTCACCAGTGCAAGTCCCGTCCTGCTTGCTTCGCCCGGATCTGTCTCAAGCCTAGTCTCTGCCCTTAATTTGGATTAATTGTTCATTACTAAGGAGCAATCAAGGTGTTGTTGTTGTTGACTGCATTGGTATTGGCATTGGCATTCTCATTCTTCCAAGAAATCACCCGAGACCCAAATCATTTTGGTCAGCCCACAGGCAGGCTGGCAGGCTCCCATCTGACTTGCCAGGCAAGACAGACAGACCAGACGGGCAGTGCAAGCCGTCTGGATTCGATACCGAGTCTGCTGGGCTCCCAGCTGCGGAAGACGAGCCAGACCGCCGACACGGACTGACGGATTACGAAGCTCCTCCGTCGTCCCTATTTTTTCCTCTTACACACCGCCAGACCGCACTGCGGATTACCTCACCCGCGCACTTCACCCGACACCTGCTGTCTTTATGAGACTTGCCCAGGGTCTTGGACGTTACAGGCAGTCAGTTGCTGTGCCATCCGAGCCTCTGTTTATGTTACCCACTTTCACCGTGCTCGTTTCCTCTTTACATCCCTCCCCGTCAGCCTGTCTCCCCCGGCCGGCCACTCCTGGATCCTGGCTGCTCTCCCGTGCCTCGAGCCTCGGCCTTTGGTCTACACAGTAACTTCGACTTTAACCCCTCAAAGCAAAAAAAGCAACCTGTACTGCCATATTGCCCGCATTGCCAGGGCCTGATCAGCGACCGAACTGCCTGAGAGACCATCCAGCCCTCCTATCCCATCTGTCGCCTCTGCTTCGGCTGGCAAGAGCTGAGGTAATATCGCCACCGCCGCCGGCGCCATCAGCCACCAGAATCTTCATCCACCAGCCAATCCAAGGGACCGCTGCGTGGACGAGTCGGACATCGCCATAACTGGACGCACCAACCCAGGACGACCGGGGATCACTGGGCCGTACATTGGATGTTTTTGCCCCAAATCCAGGGGATCACTACCGGGGAGCCCTTCTTCTGAGCGAATTCGCCGTTCTGGACTCTTCTTTTCACACTGAATGAACCCGCTTTACCAGGTCCTACGAATCGTCAGACTTCCGACCGTCTTCGACCTCCAATTCCGCTTTGACGGACCATCAAACAACTCAATTTTGAATCCGCCACCAGGGACTTAATGGTTGTGTGAAGGGCTCATCTCTTCTGCAGCAGACTGACTTGACTTGTCTACTGCTGCTTGAACCTGCCTGCAACACTCTCAATCTACTGCCAGGATCTACTTGGAACTCCTTCCCCAGCCACAGATCAGCCTTGGACGGACCACGCAGGCGGTGGATTACCACACAACCAAACAGGCCTGCAGGTTGGAGTGGCCAGCTTCTCCGTATATTCCACCAGTCTTCATTGCTTGTTTAATTCACCGATTAGGAACCCCTTGCCTGGACTTTCGCGGCCGCAGGACTGTTGCAGGACCTTCCGTCTCTTGAGGAACCCGATAGAACAAGACAGGGGCATTTGGCTTACTGCTGCAGCTTTGGCCTTGCTCTTACTCTTGGTCTAGCTCTCTAACCACAGTTCGTCGCGGACAGCACGTCATCAATCCTCCTCAAGGAATTCTGGTAACCGAAAGAGGACCGCTCCAGCCTCCAAAGGAGTCTGGATTCTGGATCTACGCCGCACGCTGTGTGATTCTTGGGACAGAGCTTTGACCGGACGCCATCGCCGCTCCCGCTCTTGATCTCGTTGGGTGTTCCCTGGCTGCCCACTAACACCGACCACCCCTTGGCTCAACACTGATTGGATCCCGTCGTCTCCCACCCTCCCGCTAAAAGGATCGCGCCTTGACTCTCTCTCCAGACAGGCCGTTGGGATCCACTCTTTTCAGGGCCAAATCGGTCGCCCAGGGTGTGTCGTCAAATCCAGCTTGACCAGCTTGACTGGCCTGAGTGACCGCCCCCTGCCGCCCACCACCGATCATCCGCTATCTCAACCCCTGCCTTACCCCGACTCTTCGCACCTCGCTTCTGTCCGCGCCTTGTTGACACTATCCGACGTTTCCCCAGCTGCCCAGCTGGCCCGGCCCTTCCTTCTTTTGACCAGCCCTCCTTGACCTCGGAAGGGTGATCTCATCTGGCCCTTCGTCCCTCCCAACTCACCCAACCTACCATCCAAACTTGCTTACACTTCCTACTGTGCGCAGCGCCGCACCGCCTTGACCACATCGGCCAGACCTGAGAAGCCTTAGGGGGCCGTTCAGCTTCTGGCTTCCCCATCCTTCTTTCGCCCCCGTAACAGGCCTTTTATTGCGCATTCTCCTTTAATATCTTTTTTGCGCAATTCCAGCTTTTGTTCGGCCTCGCTGCTCACCGTCCTGGCCGTCTGGAATCTCCTCTCATCGTATGCGCGCTTAACTCGGCTAAGCGTCATTGTCACACGATCCCGATCCCTTGGCCGCTCCCTTTCCAGCTAAACCACGTGTCAGCCATTTCTTTACCGACTACCTGGACCAGGACGGCCTACCCAACTAATACAAGTGGTGCAGCTCCCCCTCGTTGGGCACCACGTTACTGCCTCCCCCGGGCTTTCCACCGGATATCCAGACATCTCTTCGGCTGCTGTCTGTTGACAGTTGCCCTCCTGCACCTACCACGGCTAGCCTTTGTCTGCCCCCATTCCACCCAACATGAACGCACCTTTACCGCCGGATCCATATCGAGCCCTTGGTGTCGAGTCGTCCGCAGATGCCGGTGTCATCAAGACAGCGTATCGGAAGCTAGTGCTGAAATGCCACCCCGATAAATTTCCAGACCCCACACTCAAGGCCCAGAAACAAGAAGAGTTCCAGAGAGTGCAGCAGGCTTACGAGATCCTCGGTGACGAGGACAGGAGGCGCGACTATGACCTCGAGCTCAAAGCCAAGAAGCTGAAGGAAGAGCTGGCTAAAAGGGGCGGTGCTGCCACCACGAATACATCAGCACATGGCCGCTACGTCAATGTCAACATTCGCACCGCAGAACCACCGGCCGGATGGTCCCCGTCGAAACACTCGACATCAAAATCGAGCCCCTACAAGCCTTACTCAAAGGAATTTTCGCAGTCATGGGAGAGCGAGATCCCATCGCGGTCCAGAGTCTACCACGACGAGGAACGCCGTGCCCGTCGAACCGCGAGCTATGAGAAGCCTAAGCGTGAGGATTCTAGGGAGCGCAGGAGGCGGGAGGAAGATCGGGAACGGGAGAAGCGAAGAGAGAGAGAGCAGGAAGACGCACGGAAAGAGGTCAAACGACAACAGAAACTGACGAAAGAAAGGGAGGCAGCTAGGGAGCGAGAACGGGAGCGCAAAGACCGGAAGATACGTGAAGAACGAGAGGCGGCAAAGTTGAAGGAAGCCAAGAAGATGCGCGAGAGGGAGCGCGAGAGGGACCGTGACGCGCGACGGAAGCAGGAACTCGAGGACAAGGCACGAGCCAAGTCGAAACCTTATCTTGAGCACTCAGGCTACAGCGAGGACGAGGACGATGTCCGGAGAAGTCGAGCCAAGAAGTCGTCCTCGCCGAAAAAGCAGTCAGACAGCCCGAGTCGAGAAAACCCGACCACCAAGCAACGAGACCGATCAAATCCTCGCGAGAGTGCACCAGCCGAAGATTTGAAGTACCGCGAGACGATGGCTTTTGCTGCTTCGTACATGCAGAAGATACGGAGCAAGGCCAGCAAGACCTCGCCGAGACACACTGCAGAGGTGCCTACATACTCTTCCGCCTATCCAGACCCCAACCAAAAATTTGCACCGAAGCGGCGCGCGTCCGGCGAGGGGAAGCATGCCAACGATGAGCCTGTCATTGTGTTGACGTGCCCGATCCAGACAAGGCTCACCCCGAGGTAGTCTCACCGTCAACCACACAACAAGCCCCGCCGCGGTTGCAGAAGTCACATACCATGCCTCCTGGCTACGTGCCTCAAGCTCAGACCGCGGCCTCTGTGCCCCATCGGGTCCCCCTGAACCGAGCGTTTACTATGCAACCGGAGCATGAGTACAGCAGGCCAGTTGAAAAGCACAGGTCGGCGAGGAGACGGAGGTCTTTCGACGAAGAGGATGACTACTATCCGGTACCACCCATCGAGACAACATACCATGTCAGTAGTAGAGACAGGGGCATACCCAGGATCATCAACGCCAAGTACAAGGACCCGTACGCGGCTGTGCCAGGAGTGTCGTTTCCAAAAGTCAAAACGGCTCCGGCATACGCGCCTGAGCATGTGGCAACCTCAAGACGCTACGACGAGGACGACGTGGTGACCTCAGAATACAGCCACATGCAGCCGTCTTATGATTACAGGACAGCGGCAGTTCGCTAACCGCTGGATGTCGGCACGACCTCTGCTGCAGCATTTGATCTGAGCTCGCAGTCAAGTGTTGCAGGTCCTGCGGCACAGGAGCCACTCATAAGGTGCATTGAAGTGTTCCGTCTGAGCTGTATATCGTGGTGAGAAGGGACAAGTTGGTTCTCATGCAGACTTTCCTACCATATATGGGCCGTCTTTGATTGTTTTTTCGGCGTTCATACTAGGTCACCCAGGGCGGGATCTTGGCCTTTTCCTATTCTGTCATCATTCGATTTTATTTGGCGTTCAGGCTCATTCTCTTCTCGGGGCTTTACTCACTGGACATGAACGAAAGGTTTCATGAAGATGACAGGCAGTAACGAACCACGTGTGTTAACGACAATCATTTTTTGGGATAACGGGGGAGCTTGGCTAGGCTGGCCTGGCTTCGAAGTGGGAGTGGGTGTGTTGTGGCAGCGCATGGAGTCCCCGAGGATGGAGATGACCAGACGAATCGTTACAGATCGAGAACGACCATCGATTTATGGTCTGCCAAAAGTGTGACGCGCCCGTTGAGTGGGACTACTGTCAGCGCCTCTCAGATCCAAGACGCTTTCACAGGCGTCTCAGGCTGTAGGCGCAGACACAAACAGGCAGCCCCGAAAAGGGCCGCCCGAGCACTCCGGCGTCACACCTACGGCCCCGTCAACTCTCCTGGCGATCTATGCAGCTCGTCAACACCACCCGCCCCTGCACGCAAAGTCAAGGCCAGCTCAGCCCAAGTCTTCGGGGCAGCGACATGGGGGCACATGCTCACTACTGCTACTACCACCACCACCAACTACATGCATAGCTACAGGGAAAGCGGGATGACGATAGTCGTCGGTTCGACACATATTACATGACACCACTATACATACACCAGCCATTCATTTATTTGGGATGGGGAAGAACACACAAACACACGACACACGCCACACAGGCGCCATCAGTGGAAGAATGGAGTAACGTTTACAAGGAAGGGAGTATTTAGGACACCGGGATCACTGCCCCCGACAGACATGTCGAAGATGGGATGGACATTCATCACGATAGCATAGCTCGTTGATTTTCTTTTTCTTGGTTCCGTTTTCTCTGTTTCGCGTTTCCTCCCTAGTCTTCTATCTAGACAATGATGATCACGAATCGAAAGAGAAATCTTTCAAGACTTAGCATGAACAAGATTCTGTGCCTGATGCTTCGGTCCGTGAAGAACCATGTCGCCCTCGCCTCACTGATGGTGGCGGAGAGTAGTAGGACTGACTACCCGAACGCGCCCTGCCACGGCCCAGTCTCACATCGATCCGGGCAGAAAGAAGCAAGCATCGAATCACGAAAGGTGTGAGGCCAATGTGCCAACCCGAGCAAGCGCTTGCGCACAACTCACGTCAGAAACTCGGGCGCATCGTGCGGGAAACATGTTTGTCTCTATGCTACTACGTACGCCAAACCAGTGCTTGAACGGACAGCACAGCGCGTCCCGTCGGCTTTCCAAGCCATGCAACCCGCTATACAAGGCACACACTCAGCCCTACGCCGCCCTTGTGTGTGTTTGCCTGGATTTTCCAATGCTACCAACCTTAAATGCAAGGGATGGACGTCTAGAAACATGGAAACGAACGAGTTAAGTACAAATACAACAGGGGCTCGCATGCCTCTCAAATGCGAGAAGACCCAAAAAGGGAAAAAAGGATTATGGTAACACTGGGGTTGGGTATCTGGTCTAATGATGCTCTCGCCTCTTTCTCTAAATCAAAATATATCGGTCGTCCTCCTTTGTGGGGGGAAGACGTGCTTCTGGGGGGGGGGGGGGGGGCTCCTCAGAGGAGCACGTAGAGGGAGCAGATCTGTTGGATATTCCATGGTCAGCAGTGCACAATAGAACAAAAGCCGAGTGCCAAAAATTAGGCAATGATGTGGGAAGGGGGGGAGAAGTGGAAGGGTTGTCCTCACCAGACTCAGCCCCATGATCATGGAGGACCAGAAGGCGACGTTGTTGAGCGTCTTCTTGCCGCGGACGAGCTTGGTGCGCTGCAGCATGACGATGGGGAGCTGCAGCATCTGGCAGACGAAGCCGTAGCCGCGCAGCTTCTTTGTGATGCAGGCCATGACGATCTCGTGGCCGACGGCGGAGATGAGGAAGGTGATGACGGTGGCGTAGGCGCGGCCGATGTGCGGCCTCGAGGCGCTGTAGACGTGGCGGCGCAGGAAGCTGTATACCGGTATGTTCCACTCGCGGCTGAACTCCATCCAGTCGGTGCTGTTCCACCAGTCGCTGTAGAAGTGCCGGTCGGCGAAGCGGGTGATCTCGGCGAAGGCGCCCAGCACGTACTCGAAGATGACGAGGAAGACGAGCAGGAAGGTCAGCATGAAGGGGAACAGCATCCAGGACGTCGTCTCGGCCAGGATGAGGAGCGACTCGAGGGCCCCCGGGGCCGGGTCCGAGCCGTGCAGACGCGCCGAGGACTCCTGCAGCGTCGGGAGAATGAACTCCTCCGAGATGACGGTCAGCAGGAAGATGCACCCGAACACGGCGGTGATCTTGGCGATCAGGTTCTTCCAGTCGATGCTGTCGAACCGCGGGTACTCGATCTCGTAGCACAGCGTCGGGCAGAAGAGGAAGTCGACGTAGTTGGACCAGGTCAGGTTCGCCGGGTACGTGACGTTGCCCATGGGGCTCGTCAGCTCCCTGGCGAGGTCCTCCCGCAGCTGCGCGAGCTCCTCCTCCTCCTCCTGGCTGTCTGTGTGCTCGGGGTGCTTGCTGTGTATGGGGCTCGAGACGGTGCCGCCCGGGTTCTCGGCGGTCGGGTACAGGTAGGCGGGCTCGCGGGAGGCCGTCTTGGGGTTGTCGAGGTCGTGCAGGCGCTTCTCGGTCTCGCTGAGGTGGCCGTTGTAGAAACCGTACGAGTGCATCTTCATGAGGATGACCATGGTGTGCAGGATCAGGAACACCTGCGACGTCCACGGCCACTCCAGCACGAACGGCACCGCGACCCAGAACGCCATCCACCCGACCTGGTATACGCTCTGAATGGCCATGCCTCCTTTTGCCCAGGTCATGGCGCTCCCGGCCTTCTGTTTCCTGACGTACATCTGCAGCGGGTACACGAGCGAGGCGCTGGCCACCATGGCGAAGTCGACCAGGCCCAGGTGCCACCACTTGATTGTAAAGAGGGTCCAGATCTGGACGCGGAAGGGCCAGCCCGTCTCCTTGAGGTTGCGCAGCATGGACGTGATGCCCATGATGAACAGGCCGACCCAGAAGAGGTTGAAGAAGCCATGGAAGTCGCGGTAGTCGGAATTCGGGTCAAAGTGCGACACTCGGCTGGCGAACTCTATGGTCGGGAAGATCCTCCGCCGCTGCTCGGCGCGGGCCTGCCTGCGGGCGCTCGACAGGACCTTGACTGACGGTAGGGCATCGGCTGGGACGGGCGTCGATCGGCCGCTGTTCGAGGGGTCCTCTGGTTAGCTTTGACGTCGCAATGCCACGAGGAGGGGACGAATGGTGTCTGTGGTCTATATAGCTGGGGTCGGGGGCGGGCTGCGTGCACACCTTGTCTGGCCGGTGGTTGTACCGGTTTCATTGTGATCCAAATATCCGCTGGTGCTCGCCGAGGTACTCGTCGTCAGCTGTGAAAGCTGCGAGTGGACTGGCTTGCGAGGCCGTGGTCGCAAGATGCCGTCGTTGGGGTCGTGGATCTCTGCTGAGGAAGCCATGTTCAGCCAGGGCCACGGCCAGCGTACCAAGAGAGTGGCTGATCGCCGCCAGGTCTCGGGCAGCAAGTAAGGGAGCTTCGAGCTGTCAACACGGCCGTGAAACCGGGAAGATCATGCGCAGGGCGTGGGAGAGGAGTATAGCAGCAACAACAGGAGCAAATAAGGGGCAGGTTGAGGCTTCCACCGAGGAACCTTGATAATAGCCCGAGTCAATAGACTTTGTAGATTATGCAGAAGAATGACGATGCTGTACGCCCCAAGAGTAGAGAGACAGAAGAAAGCCAAGTGTTTGAATCATCCCACTCTTGGCACGAAATGCAGAGCCGTCCAAGATAATAAGGAGAGGCGACTCCTTTCTGTTTTATTAATGTTGGGTTATGTGTCGAAAGTGGCCAGAAATAGGATAAGCTCTCCAGTGCACCCTCTAGAGTCCAGACGACAGCGAGATTGATGTAACCTCGCCTCTCCCTATTACATGGGCGGACCTGGTCATCTTGCAGCAGCTGTCCCTCGGCTCGACCACTCTCGAGCCCCCGGCCGGCAGCGCTACAGCTGTCATCTGGCCCCGACTTGCGTCACCTCGGGTACCTGCCGGGGTCCGGTAGTGGGCTTTCCACTGCATGCAGCTCGTCGCATTGCTGCACCGTTATTAGGCGTTTTCGTACCAACCGTATAAGCTGGCGCCGTATACGTATACACAGACGTATTGGGTGAAAAGACCGTCTACACGGCGAACGCAATTTCATGTTACTATTGATATTTCATTAACGCCTGTTCCAATGGTACAGGCAGTGCAAAGTATCTGTTCGTTGGGTGGCATGATCGACCTGACAGTGTCGTCAGACTGGCTGGCAGTAGGATTGTTGCTGGTGTGGTGTTGGAACAGTCAGCCAGTTTCGTTGGTTCCGATTGCGACAGGCTACAGCCAAGACACAAATTTATCATGCCGCCCTCCCGTCACCTTGCAAGCAAGTCGCTCGCTGCTGGGTAAAAGAGAGGGGAGGGAGGAGGCTGAGTGCTTGCAGCTGATTTCTCAGGACACCCAAGCTATCACTGGTTGGCAGAACGGGAATCGCTCACATATTCTTCCATAGCCTCCCGCCCCATGGTATTACCACAGTAGGTTGCCTTAAAGACCCTTGCATTCGCATGACCTGGCATGTAGTGCACCAGAACAGGCACGATCGACCATGCACACAGGCCCAAGTCTTTCACGGCAATCACGTCCGAAGCTGCAATGATGTCTTGCAAAGGTGAGGCTTGCCGATGCGGTGAGCAGTGCATGTCTACTCGGCGGTGTAAATCCTGGGCCGTTTTGAAGGACTGGCTTCGGTGGTCACCTTGCACAGCAGCTCTCTTTGATAGGCCAGGTTTCACGGCCAGCAGTGCCCAGGCCATGTGACATGCGGTGCAGCTCATTTTACATGGATCGAGGCCGGTAGAAGTGCTTCACGAGAATGGTCCGATGAGTAAGGGTGTGGTCTGTAAACATGTATTTGCAGTTGCCTAATGCTTGAAGCACCTAAGCAAACCATGTGCAAGGCTCTTTAGTAATAGCCAAAGATCTGCTGCATTACGTTCGGCCGACGCATCGACGCATACGCAACTGTGCCGCCACCGTCCCCAGGTCGGTCCCTGCAGGCCGTTGGAAGTCTCATACTGGGAGACATCTCATGCCTCTGGTGATGACAGCGGCGACGCTAGCCAGGCAGCAGGGCCCTGACCTAGGAACAGGAGCAGAGCTGCGAACTCTCTCCTCTTCAAAGTACTCAAGTTGCGCGGGCATACAGATGTTGGGGCCGACAAAGGCAACTTGCGGGCAGCCAGATGCTTGAATGTCCTACCTCGAGCACTCCCCCGGCCCTACAGGTCGCCCAGATCAGATTCCACAGCGAGATAGTGAGAGAGATGAGAATCTAAAAGCCACAAGTGGGAGAACATAGTGTCTTGCCAAGCGAGCAAGAGACGAGAACCAGACGAAGAGACTGCCCAGATACAAAAGTATCGAGGCCAACACACAGTTTTACATAGACCACACAAATAATCAAAGGTCAAATGAAAGGCAAGACCGCACGATAAGTGGGAAGGTATATAGGATAGAAGTAGAAGCAGCTTTGTGGACTGTGGAATGAAGAGATGTAGAATCAACATGAGAAATAGCCTGCCACCCGGCAGGTTTGTCTGGCCCTCCAGCACCCACCCCTAGAAGGAAACAAAAGAAAAGAAACGGAGAGAGATAAAGACTCGCCGTGTCAGTCCCCAAATAGCCCCCACCTGTGGCACCTGAAGCGAATTATGTCAGTAGGGATGTCTGCGGGTCCCTCCGAACCTGTTGTCGAAGGTCGGTGAAGCCCCGGAATGCTGCTCATAGTAATCGTAATCATGTCCCGACACAGTCGGTCGCGAATCTGTGCCACCTGCCGTGTCCAACGGCACACCTAATGGAGGGCGGTGGCATGGCCGCCCGAGAAGGTTCAGCACCTGGCTGTTGAATGAGAGGAACTGGTTCTGGCGCACCGCGTCCGGTACGAGTGCGAAGACATATTGGAGCAGCTGCCTCAGCATGTCCTGGTGGTTCGGTCGTCTGTATAAGAGCTGGAAAAGTTCGACAACAACGGCGACAAGCTGCGTGGCTTCGGTTTCAGAGACGCTACTTATCGCCTCGTAAGCTGGGTTGAGGATCGCAAACAGCTCGGCGGTATCCTGCCGCGTGATGGCATCAGAAGCCTCCAGGAACCTGTCCTGGATGCTGCCGAGGACAGTAGTTCGAGCTTTCTCGCTAGGTTGCCCGCTTTGTGAGAACCAGGGAGAATAGGAGCCGTCACCATGGAATCGGCCGGCGGTTGCCCACTGCTGGTTGTCGTTAGGCTGCTGCGAAGGCAACATGGACGCAGGAGTGTGATACTCTCTCTGCATGGCTTCTCCAGCAGACGGAGGGCTACCATGCTGGAATTGCTGGGGAAAACCTGAACAAGCCTCGACGTATTGGTTTGTATTCGGAGCATCGACCACAGTGCCCCTGACGCCGGACTGCGAGCCCTTCTGCGTGGCATCCCGCCGTTGTTGTGTCCGGGGTGAGGCGAGAAGCTTGTCAGTTTTCAGGTTCTTGTCAATACCCCAATCCTTTATTCGCTTCTTATACATCTTCGGCCTGCTCATGAAGATTGTTGGCTTGAATTCTCCTGGGGTTTTGACAAGTCTTTGAACTTACGTGGCGAGGAATTGGTGCTCTGTCTCCATGATCCTCATGACCTCCTTCAAGGGCCTGCCTTCGACCTTGTACATCATCGTGATGAGCGAGCGGACGGAGTCCCAATCACCAGATTCGGCCCAGCGCCTGCGTGGGAATTGAATTGACATGACGAAGGACATATAGAACGAAAGGGGTGAGGGAAGGATGAGTATTATTTGGAACATCGGCGCCCTGCTTGGAGAGGCTCGCTTCGATGGTGGTTCACGGCCATGGCATCCTATTGACTTTAGCAGGGGCCATAAATATATATCCATCAGCCTACTCGAAGCAAAACACGCTTGAAGCTCACTACGAGGCAGCCCGTGATATGTAAGAACTAAGTTTAGAGCTCCGGGGGTTTGGGGGTCGACATCAGTGCCGAGGTGGTCACCACGTGTGACGTCGGACCGACATTCTTCTGGAGAGGCTTTGAGCTGCTTGCCGAGGTCCTTCAACATTGGCGATAACGAGAGCAGAAAAGATTGTTTGTTTCCCGAGCAAGAGGCGGTCAATGTGCGAATACCTTCCAATCAGAACTTGTGCTCAGAAAGAGGTTGGGGGCCAGGAAGGAGGCTGTGTGTAAACGACCGATAACGAGCACGACGAAAGACGATGACCAGCCAGGCAGACGGCGGCGGGACGGAGGAGGATTGAGTGCCTGTCATTTGGACAGGGGTCGGGTCTGCGCCCCCTGGCAACTCCGGCGGGCGCGGGTGCAGGATGGCTGCTTAGTGGGAAGGTACGAGGCAATCAGCTTATCCCCGATTGGCTCAATTGGCCTTAATGGAAACCTTTGGCACAACGCGTCCAGGCGCGTCTCCCAACCCGAGGTTCCACCCACGGTCAACTCCCCTCTGAACACCCTTGGAATTACACAAAATTAACGGATCGTGGACACTTTTGTTGCCCTCCTCGCGACCGTCAACATGTTCAGGCAAGACTTCAACAGGATAGACCCCAAACGGCGGCATGTCGACCACCGCAAGCAACAATTCGTCGACCGCGGGTACAAAGAGCAGCAATATCCCCACAGACTCAACTTCTACGCGACGCCACCCACGGCAGACATCACCCTCGAGCAATTCGAGCAATGGGCAATCGACCGTCTCAGAGGTACAATCCAACTAATACAGGGCCGTTTTGAATGCTTGACTAACTCGATCAACATTTCACAGTCCTTGCCGAGCTCGAGGCATGCTCCTTTCGCAACAAATCCCACGATGAGACCGCCGCCCACATGAAACCCCTCCTAGAGAAATACTTGCCGCTGGACTTCAACAGCTCAAAGTCAACACAGCTCGCTTTACAGCGGCAGAAAGATCACTACAGCCACTTCATATTGCGCCTCGCATTCGCGGCTACCGAGGACCTGCGCCGGCGATTCACCCGTGTAGAGACGACGCTCTTCCGATTGCGTCTGAACCAGGAGGATACGAGAGACCGGAATGAGTTCGTGAGGAGTTTGACTCTGGACTGGGAGATGGTATCGGACGAGGAGAGGCGGGAACTGGAGGTGGAGCTGGCTGCTACGAGCGGCTACGCGCGCAAGGGCGCCCCGGCGGAGGAGACATGGTGCAAGGTCGACTGGGAGCGGGTGCCAGACCTGGTGGAGGGCAGGAGGGTATTCCTGAAGGCTGGAAAGGCATACGTGCCCTCGAGGGAACAGACGAGCATGGTCGTCACCGAGTTCACCTCCAGGCTGGAGCGCGCCCTCGAGCTCACCGCGCGCGCGCTGCCGCGGCTCGACGAGGACGACCGCCTGTCGCCCATACTCGACCACCTCTCCAAGAATTTCATCACCCCGGACGCCTCCTACCAGAGCAGCTCGGGCGACCTCCCCGCCGGCGCCGAGATCTCGGCGCGCAACATCGACAAGCTCTCGCAGCACTTCCCGGCCTGCATGTCGCACCTGCACCGCTCGCTCCGCCGCGACGCGCACCTGAAGCACTACGGCCGCCTGCAGTACACGCTCTTCCTCAAAGGGCTGGGGCTGAACCTGGAGGAGGCCCTGGCGTTCTGGCGGCAGGCGTTCCACAAGGTGACCGACGACCAGTTCAACAAGGACTACCGGTACAACGTGCGGCACGCGTACGGCGACGTCGGCGGCGACTCGAACAGGAGGGGCGGCGGCTACAGCCCCTTCAGCTGCCAGAAGATCCTCACGGAGCACCCGCCCGGCCCCGGCGAGGCGCACGGGTGCCCGTACCGCCACTTCAACATGGAGAACCTGTCGAACCTGGTGCAGGCCATGGGCGTCAACGACAGGAGTGTGCTGAATGGTGTGAAGGAGGACAAGGAGAAGCAGAAGTACCACATGGCTTGCAACCGGTAAGTGACGATCCCACTCCGCCTAGGTTCAATGGTGTTGAGATACTAACCACGTCGTCAGTGTCTTCGAGTACGTACACAAGAACGAGATCAAGAGGGCCAAGGACGAGGGCGTCATGAGCGCCAATCAGCTGGAGACTATTGTTCACCCCAACGAGTACTTCAAGCGGAGTTACGTGCTGAAGAATCTGGGCAAGGGGAATCCGGCGGCGAGGACGTCAAGATGGAAGGCTAAACGGTGGTAATGGGTTTATGTTTTTCTCATACGAGTCCACGACTCAAAGCTTTGTTTTCCTCTATTTTTTTGCGCATGGCATTGTCCGGATTGGGGTTTGCGGGACGGGTTTGTTCTACAAGTAGATATGTAGCTTCGACGGTATTGGACGTCATGATGATCACAGCCTGCTTGCGAAAACACTCCCCCAATTATATTGGGAACGTGTGGCTACGATGTACATTGAAGAACCAGAGTGCGCCACATACTTTCGTTTCGTGTATCATCCGCACTCAATGTGATGGTGGAGTCCTGATCAATCCTTGCAGTCTACAACCTCAATTATGACACAAAATCTTCACACGTTCCTAGCCAAATCTCTGCTTCTCTTCAGACTATACCCTTTTCAAGACCTTTCTTCATGATACAAGCCGGTATCCAATGCTCTGTCGTTTATGTCTATGCGGTCTTTCGTGCAACAATAGTTATAATTATTGTTTGTCCGTCCCGCCTTCCCCCTTAACCAGGCAGAGGGCTCATAAAGATTCCAAGTTGTTCTCATTCCAATCCCGGAGGCCTTGCCATTAAAAATTGGCATGGGAAAATCCTGGCAATTGGAATTAAGCCCAGGATTTATAAGTCCCACAAGACACAGCTCAAGCTAGAGGTCATCCACTGTTGTTCACATCTCAGGTCTTCCTTCAGACAAGATTCGAAGTGGAGAACTTATGTTAGTTCTAGAGCATGTATCACGGAAGAAGTCTGCAGAGTCGTAGACTCGCGATGTAAAGATCTCAAGTGGCCTGAGACAGTTGTGTGGTTTGGGACGGTTTGAATTCTCTAACAGGCCAGTAAAGGCGTGAGATGGGCCCTTATTCCAAGTGGCCTCGAATCAAGCGGTCCAAATTTCTCCTCCGCACTCCCAACGTTTATTTCGCCTTGCAGACGGCAGAGCCGCTGACGACGGTGCAGACCTGGTTGGGACCGCAGGCCGCGCCCTTGATGGGCTTACCGCCAGAGCAAGTGGCGGGTGTGTTTCCCTCGCTGTATGACTTGTGTTAGATCATGGTCTATTATAGTAAAGAGCTCCAGGGCAGAGAAATATACTATACATACCAGGAGTACTCGCCGTCCTTGCAGGCAGCAGCCGCGAAGGCGACGAAGAGGGCAGACACGAGAGCGGAGAACTTCATTTTGTCGGTTGGTTTGATGGTGAACAGAAATGAGTCTGTGTTTTGATGCGAGTTGCTCTGTGCTTTGGAGGGTTTGAGATGAGGATGGAGGATGAGGATGGATAGAAGCAGAGACGGTGCAGACCTGAAAGTCAAGAGGCCTTATATACACAGAAATACGAGCGTCCACTAGCAACGATATCATAACATGACAGCGCCGCGCCTGCTGGCGGTCTGGTAGGGTTATCCATTTGGCATTGATCTTCAGGAGACGGGCGGGACACCTGGAGATGCGGGTCCATCAGAAGATCCCCCAGAATAGATACCCACAGCATTGGACGGCCTGACCGCACCCGGGATTCCGTATGATACGAGGAGACCACAACAAAGGTAAACGTTTCTAAAGCCACGTACAACTTTACTATCGAGACAACAGGGTTGACACTTCGAATACGGGTCAAAAAGGGGGTCCAGGAGTGGGAGAGCAATCGATGGGTTTGGTCGCGCAGCGACTAATGTATTTGCATGATACAGCCAACTGACTCACCTGTCTCACTCTATTAATTCGACCTGGCCTAAATCCGCCCCCGGAGATCCACCACCGACTTCCGGGGCGTCGTCGGGCGTCTCGGTCTCCCTGAGCTGCCTCAGAGCCTCCTCGGTCATCGCCATCATGTCCGTGAAGACCTCCAGCGCGCCTTCGCCCTCGACTTCACACTCCATCATTGCCAGACCTAATTGATACAGCGCGTGCTGGTGCATATTTGTCAGATTTATGAATTTCTCCCGGTCTTCGGGGCTGCAGGACCCCTGCATGTTGTAGTTGCTGAAGTCGACCAATTCGTCGTCCGAGAGGTAGGTTGCGAGCACTTCGAGCGCTTTGTCCTTGCCCTCTTCGAACCCTTTTGCGGAAGACATGCTTGAGATTGGTAGTAAGTGGTTCAATGGGGGATTTCTGTATGAAATGCGAAACTTTTGGATGTTTAATGATGCAAAGCCTCCAAGATGCTCTTCGTCTACAGTTTACAATGAGAAATGGGGTGGCCGATGAGAGTCTTGGTATGAGAACGTTTCGACAAAGACGACTTCAACTGCTCATATACACTCACTCGTCACAAATTACATCAAAGAGCTCTGACGCCGCCATTCTAAGAATAGATGATAACTTCAGAGCTCGGGAAGAAGAGACAAAGAAACAATTTCATTATCTGCTGGCGTCTCCTGCTGACATCCCGCTCGTCACTTTTGACACCAGCTAAATATAGTCTCAGCGGCAAGTTTTTTGAGGGCACGTTTGAGAAGGGGAATTTGCAAGCTGCAGTCTCGGATCGCCATGGCAGGTCTTTCAGGTTCGACGTAGAGCATCAAGAGTGCAGTGTAGCCAACGGTGTCCAGAGGCTTAGTGGTGCGTGCTGCTCATCAGCATTAAGTAGTCATTGCAAGCAAGAAACGGAGAGAAACTCTTTTAAAGGCCACCTAGCAGGGTAAAACTCCCCTGGTGATATTGTTAAGACCGAGGAAGATGCCGAGGATCAAACAGACTTTCCACCTCGTCGACCGAACCTGCCCTACGTTGACGCCATATCAAATCAATTAAATACTCATCGGTATGAACGAACTTGGCATTGAAACTGCATTTAGTCAGTTAAATCTTATTTCTTAAGAGTTGCAGCGATAATGCAGGTTCTAGGTTACTCTCGTCTTTAGGCGCAGTAACTAGCAAGCAACAGCCACCTGCAAGGGGATATTTACGATAGGCACTAACACACCACCCATTTGAGCGATTTACGCTATAGCGAGTATATAAAAAGTAGCACTGCTGATGAATTGATGATGAGGACAGCTAGTTATGGCAGTACAAGAGTTGATTGACCGCGTACGTACAATTTTGGTGGTGGGCATTAATTGTGCACTGGGAGCAGCATGTACCTCTGTAATCTGTTTTTTGCTCTGCGAATATCCGTCTTCTCTTTTTTTTTGTGCGTCTTTAATGGCTTCTGCACTCCTCTCTTCTCTCCCTGCAGTACAAAAGAGCGTGTTGGTTCGAGCAAGACGAGCGACAGATGATTAGAACATCGCAAGTATTTGAGGGCCTAAGCATCTGAAGATGCTAGGAGGAAGTGAAGCGATGAGGTAGACCAAAGCAGAAAACGAGCAGCAACTTTTCGGACAAGGACAACGGATTTCATATTGGAAAGCGATACCGACAATCTCTTGAGCGCACCGATCGCGGCCGGTAGCGTAGCCTAGTAGACCTGCTAAAGGCAGGACCAGACAAGGTCAGCTATTCCTCTCATCCATGATTTCAATCGTACTCCTCATAGACCGGGAGGTCCTCATTCGAGTCGCGTGTGGGGAGAGGGGCGATCTCGTGTGCCTCACGGACATGGTCTGCCGTCATCAAACCGTGGCTAGGGAGGAGTGCACTTACCGAGAGGAAGCCCTGGTTGCGGGTGGAGCCCTGGTGCTCGTCGTACATTTGGAATCTGGACGGCTTCCTAGCGGACAGCCCAGTGCGGATGCTCTCGGGTGCAGACTCCTGCCCTGAACCCTGGACGGCCTTGATGACGGCGGGGAGCACGTTGTTGAGGATAACCGGCGCGACGGTCTTGACGACGCCGCCAATCGTCTGCACGGAGGTGTTGAAGAAGTCACCGATGGGCTCCTCGTGGGCGGATCCGCCCTCGGAAGGGACGGTGAGGCTGTTGAGCTCGCGGGAGTCGAGCTTGCGAAGTGCCTGGAGTGCAGACTCGCCCATGACGGCCCTCTGGACAACTAGCTTGGCGGCCTGGCTCTCGCCGCTCGACTCGTCCCTGTCCAGGGCGCTCTCCTGCTCGCGCGACGCAGCGAGACGGGTCGCAATGGCCTTGAGCCCAGCAACGGCGTCTTTCCGGAGGAGGGGCTTGGCAACCTGGAGGCCCTCGGCGAGGAAGTTGCCGACATTCTCGAAGAATGCCTCCTCGCCGTTGACGACCTTTGTGTCTCCCAAGATACACTCCTCAAAGTCGCTCAACCCGCGTGCCGACTCCGCCCCCAGGATCGTGCTCTGGATGGGCAGTCTTTGCCCACCAGTGCTGCGAGGAAACTTGTTCTTGGGAATATAGTCGGTTTGGCCAACGATGGCGGCGCCCTTTATCAAAGCTGGCTTCAGCTGCTCAGCCAGTTGCGGAATGGCTGGAGCGACCTGCCCGTACGACTGGGCCATGTCTGCGTGGATCTTTTGCAACACGGGGTGGCTGGGGTTGTGCTTTTGGAGCTTCACAACGGCCTGCAGAGCTGATTCTGCCAGGGCACCACGCTCTGGAGCGCCTTCCATGACTTTGGAGGAATCAGTATCCTGAGTCGACTCGCAGGCGTTTCCGAGGGCACCCAGAGCTGCGTGGGCAATGGCGGCAACAGGTGCTCCAGCTTGGCCCAGCATGGCAGTCTCAACAATGGGGAAAACGACTTCGCCCACGTTGCTTATAACGCTGCTGATGTTTTTGAAGACATCGGAAAAGCTCTGTTCTTGCTCACTGGCATTGTTGTTGCGCAGGGTGTATTGGTCAGAGTTGCCCTCTGAGTCAACGTTTATTCCGAGAAGGCTTTTGCCGACGGGTTGAGCAATGTTGAAGGAATCACCAAGAATGCTCTCAGCTCCAACCCTTCCGATCGTCTTGTGCAAGGTAATGCCATCAACCTCGCCAGCCTGGGGCAAGTTCTGCTTGAAGGCACTGAAGAAGTTGTCGTAGTCGGTGATAGGGCTAGCCTGGTTCTTGTCGCCAAGACCGTAGACGTGAGTGGCAATGCCAGTCTGCGTGCCCTCTCGGATCACTGGGGACCCTGACTGTCCACCATAAGTCGATATTCGATAGGTCAACATGCCCAGGGGATTGGCTTTGCTTGTTGTGAGGTCGTACTGCACCTTGTCGAACTCCTTGTACATCTCCGCACCCCTCTCAGCGCGACCATAAGAATCCTTAATACTCTGATCTCCGGGATACCCCACGACGCCTAACATCTCATAACCATGCGGCGGAGTCTTTCCGTATGAAAAGAGTCGCAAATTGCCGGTGAAGGGCTTGTCAACCTGGATGAAGGCAAAATCACGGTGGCGGTTGTCCTTGGAGGCCAGCCATTCAGCGGAAGTAACACAGCGCTTGGCGTGCCGGGTTTGGACTCCAGGACTTCCGATGGATTCCTTTCCTTTATAACCAATGTGGCACTTGATGATTGTTGCTTTGCCTAGCCCATCACTGGCCCAGTTGTAGACGTTGTGGCCAGCAGTAACCATGATATCAGGGCTGATGAGCCAGCCAGTACCCATGTACCAGCCAGTGCTGTCCTTGCCCTGTCCATCGTAGCGCATCTGTAGCTTGACTATGGCTGGAGTGAATTCCGCTGTCAGCTTATCAAAAGACTTTGGAGCTAGAAGGCCTGCATTATACTCACATCGATAGATTCCACCGTCCTGGTACTGGCTCGGGTCCACAGCAACACGAAAATCCGGATCGAACACGGACTCTTCTGTCGATTCTTGAAGGATGCTTCCGCCGACAGGCATATTCTCGCCTCCCATGGCCAGGTCGAACATGCCAATGAGGCCGGTCATGGAGGAAGGAGCGGCCATCGCGACGCTTGCTTTCGGAAGTGATGAGAATTGTTGGAAGATTGAGATTTGAAAATTGCGAGACAGCTAGCGATGGCGATCAAGTGTATGGAAGTAAAGATGAATGAGCTGAGAGCAACTGGTAGACAGTGTTTTCGAAGCTGGCACCAGGACTCACGTGTGCATGCTTTGTCTGGTGAGGGTGACCAGACGAGATCCACACTGGGCATCAAGGGACGGATGCTTTGTACACCTTCGATGTCGACTCCAAATCCAACAAGGAGTCATGTCTATAGATGCTTAAGTAGCAGATGAGGAAAGGTTGCGACGTGCACGACCAATTTGAGCTGAAACCTGAACAGCTCCTTCTTTGTCCTGTGGTTCCAACAAAGAAATTCCAGACTGCTTGCCACCATTCCCAAGATCTACTAGTACCTGTATCCTAGACTACGACAGAAGGCAATCTATGCGTGCCAAATGAAGTCGACAGCAGCTGGCTTCTCATAAAGCAGCCCTAAAATCAACAAGAGACAGCCACCGACACAAGATCGTCAGTGCGGTTGTATCCATCCGTGCGATGCATTACTGTATCAATCTGCCCATTTCATTGTCTTGGTTGGTCAGATTTACCGATTCTGGGCCTAGATACGGAATGCATCACGTGCTAGTTTCTTTTGGAGTGTTGCACCCAAGGTAACACGGTAGCTCAGCTCTGATCTCTGCTTTCATGAAGAGGGACTGCGCACGGAGAATGAATATAAGGCTGTCAGGGAGCAAACATGAGCATCAGAAAAGGCCACAGAATGATTCAAAGCAGTCGAGGGAACCACGGAAGAAGGAATCGTTGGCAAAACTGCTAGTAGACCTCACATCAGTCCACAGTCAAGAAAGACAATTGAAAAGTCTGGCAAGGGTTGAAAATAGATCAGTAATATTGAAAGCATGACCTCTGGCCGTAAATACCATGCAATCCTCCTGCTGGTACTGTAACCGGTGGCATGGATGTTTATATTGCAATTCTGTAGTTTTTCGCTTGTCTCTATCAAATCAAATGGAAGGCCGTGTATGAAGTGTTGGTACATTGGGTTGAAGAAGTTTGATACCACAATAAAATTTGAAATTCACACCCAACCTCGGATCATGTGAGTACCCGGAAGATTCATTGGTGGACATACAAACAAGCTATCCCACTTTCATCCGAATTTCGTTTGCCCTTGCCACTTCCGCAATTCAGATCTCATCACTCAATCACGAATTAGCTGTGGGATGGAAGACGAATCCGAGAGATGAGCCAACACCCCACTAGGCTTTGTCCAGCTTTGGCATCCTGTCATTTCCAGCCTGGTCAAGTAGTTCCGCATAGTTATCTTCATGCGTACTACCCTGCCGCTGGATTAAGTCGCGAGCCCATGGGCCCCTAGGGCGGAAGACCGTTTTGAACGGCGTCGGGATAAAGACAAAGCCTTCCGAGCCAGCTAGGTCGTCAACCACTTCCTTCTCGCCAGTCACCTCCGAGATCCCGACTTCAATGTCGAAAGCCCACAGCAGCTTTGCCATGTGGATGAACAGGCCGTTGCGGGCAATGTTCCGGCCGCTGCATATCCTCCTGCCGAAGCCGAAGCCGGTCAGGGGAAGATCTTTCAGGCTGCCGTCTTCGGCCAGCCAGCGCTCAGGGATGAAGTCGTTCGGCCTGTCGCCGAACACAGACTCGTCTCGGGTGATAGCGAAGTGATTCCCCATCACGATCGAGCCGGCCGGGATCTTGTGTCCCATATATGTGTCCTCGGTCTTGGTGGCGTGCGGAACGCCAGCAACAACCACCGGTCGCCAGCGCAATGTCTCATTAACTGCGAAAGAGCGTCAACGGATTTAGTTAATAATGGACTGAGGGTCTGGGAACAGCCTACCAGTAGCTTCAATATATGCCAGTCTATCACGATCCTCAAACTGTGGCATCCGACTTCTCCCGACCACATTGTCGAGTAACTCTTGAGCTTTGGCTACCCATTTCCCACCACTCGTGACCCACGCAACGACGAACCATTCCATCGTAACCGTCGAGGTATCCAAGGCGGCATCCGCCAGAATACCCAGGTCAAAAGCGACCTCAACCTCGGGCATCCCCCTTGCCTCGGGACAGTTATTGAAGTAATGCTTCGTGAAGTTCCAGCCCAGACTTTCCAACCCTCTTCGCATGTTTTCGACATGTAGGTTCTCCTCCAACAGGTAGAGCTCCTCGGCCTCCTTCTTCCAGGGCGCGAGGAAGGCAGGGAGCTTGTTCAGCACAGGTAAAGTATCGACGACATACGCGCCTACGACACCAGTCCTTGCAAACTCGGCCTGGACACGCTTTGCAGCCTCGAACGACTCCTCACGGCCCGTCTCAAGGCGATACCCGTAAGCCAATCCGTAAATGAAGCTCGCCATGGCGCGCTCGAGGTGGTGGGAGGCGTCGATGCCCTCCTCTCCGGCTGCGTCCGACTCCTTCAGCACATCGAACAGCAGTTGTCTGGCCTCGAGGTCCTGCAACGGGGTGTAACTCTTTGCTGCGCGGACGCTCAGCAGCGGGGCTTCCATGCGCTGGTGGAGCTTGTAGGCGGCGTCGTACGGCCTCAGCAGCATGTGCATGCCTTTCGTCACCAGCTCGCCGCACATGACCCTCCTGGGCCGGTCAGAGTATCGGGCGCTCCTGCGCGAGAGCAGGTCCTGTGCGGCCTGTTGCGAGGAGAGGACGATGAAGGGCTGTCCTGCCATGTCGAGATACATGATGGGCCCGTATTGCTTGCTCCATCGGTAGAACTCCTCAAACTGCCGGCGCTTGGGAAGATGATGCAGGTTGCCGATCAGAGGCAACGCCTTTGGTCCTGGGGGTAGTCTCCTTGCCTTGGTCGACTTGTTCCACGCGTGCTGGATCAGTGGGACTAGGAAAGCCAGCGCAGCTAGCCAGACAGCTGCTGTGCTTAGGCTGGGCGTCGACAACATGGTGGGCGTTGCAGAAAAAGTCCATCGATGGGTGCCAGCGTCGAACAGCCCTTCCACATCTTAAATATACACAGTAGTCGAGGATAGAAAAACAGTCCCGCTCACCCCCAGATATCCCCTCAATATGTCCTGGCCTGGCGTGCCTGGCCTATTGACTGGTGAAGAATTCCGTGCCCCAGCACAAAAAAGTGGTCGGCTACTACCTTAAGCATCCACAAAAAGTGATCGATCACTAATAGGACATCACTGATAGGGACCGCTGTCCCAGAATTGTAACCCCATGAGATTTGAAAGACTGATATAAGCAGATAGCCCACCAAGCATCTTGGCAAGAGATCCGCCTCGCACACAACAAGCAAATAAACAAGCCTCTACAGCAGCAACCTGTCCGATTTGTATGCCATCACTCTGCTCGAGCTTCCTGCTTATGATGCTTTCTTGCACTGCGGCGAGCAGCTTTCTCACTGGATACAGGAGCCTTGTGTGTGGCATTTCAACAGGAGAGTACATTGAATACAGGGCAATTGCGAGGGCAGAAGCGGTTGCTGCTGCCACCTCGCTGCTCTAGCTGGACCTTGTCTGGTCCTCAAGGTCCACCTCCTATCTCGTTTGGCACCTACAAGTTTTGCGTAGAAATTGAGCGAGTCATACTCACCATATCCATCAAGATCTCACGACGGTGCTTGCAGCACATTCACCACGTTTCACATCACGAGCGCGAACCCTAAATCTACGAACACTTAATTCAGCCAGCCTCCGAGACACTTGTGGAATATCTCGAGGCTCTCTAGGTGTAAGATTTCCAAAGGCGCAAGTTGCTATTATTACTTTCCAAGTACGTTTCTTCTGCTCCCTTTCTACAAGTCAAATCGACTCCGTCTTCAACCCCAGCTTTTCCAATCAGGGAAATTGTGCTCAAGCTCTTGAGGAAATGCCTTGGGGCCGAATCGTAGGGCAGCTTTGATCTATCCACCTCTCCTTTAGCCAAGATCGGAATCATACTGTCTGTTTCAAGGCTGATATTTCGGGGCTGGACGTGTGCTTGAGCATGAACACATCTCAGTGGCGTCGAACACATAATGCCAATGCGGAAAACCCGGTCTCGTCACTAAAGGACAGTAGGCGCTAGGTGCTGAGCGACCACTTCTCGGACGAGAGATGGGCACCAGGCCAGGATAAGGGCGGCAGTGACATATTTTCGGACGGACAGGTCGGTCGCGGGGATTGTGTCCCTGGTGACATGATTTGATGTACTACTAGGTAGCAACTTGGTCGTGATGCAGACTTGCGCTTTTCAAACCTCAGTCTTGTGTGACCGTCCTTTGTTGAACACGGAAGCATCAAATATGGAGCCCGTGAAGTCATCAAAGGCTCCTGCACTCTAAACCCAGTCTCTTTTCATCGGGATTTTGAGTTGGGAGCTGGCAGCAGCTAGATCAAGGTGAAGATAGGGCTGTGAGTGGAAATATACTACCGTCAAGACTAGACCGACTCAAGTTTGCAAATCAAACATATCGAGCTATGATTTTTGACTTTGCTCCTCAAGGAGTGTAATATCAGGGGGTTGAGAAGACTCAAAACAATGGTGCTCTATATGGCAGAACTGGCCACTCTGCCCTTATATGCAACGTTAAGTTCTGTTGTTATTGGGCTTCACCACCCAGCATCTATGTGAATGTTCTCTACTTTCAACACATCGTTATTGGTTCATGTGGACATCAATGTCGTGAAACATAATCATAGCTGAACAAGTCCACACTCGGACACAGCCTGGGCGCCTGCCTCATCAAGATCCACTCACAGCAGACCAGGTCTCGTTGGTTGAGACAGAACGGAGCTCATAACGGACAGGCACAAAACGGCGGGGAAACCAACAGCGGGAATATTCGAGACACAACTGAGTGTGACACTTGCAATATGCAGATAGGGTACGTAGCGCACGTCACACAAAATTTGGGGGGGGGGGAGGTGTCAGATCTCGAGGGGAGGGCCCATTGGCACGCAAAGCACGGCGTCAGTGGGCCGGGCTCCCAGAAGATGGAACCCACCCCTTCTCGATGGTACGACAGCATGACATCAGGACCCAACAGTGATGAGTGTGCTATGGAATTAACGGGTCGGCGCGGCGGCTTCCACCTACAGCATCTGGCTTGTCAAACATGGGGGCTCCTCCCAAGGTGGGGAGGGGGAAGGGGGGCAGGTGGGAATACAATGGTCGACACGACAACGACAGCGGGATAAACCACGAGCAGCCAGCATCTCGAAATGGGGTTCGCCAGGGCCGCGGGACTCGGCTGGCTGCGAACGAAGCGGCAGCACCGTCCAGGGCTTGGGCGGAGGGGGAGGGGCCAAGTTGCTGTACTGCACACTACACTGGAGCGCACTGCACCTGCATGCTCGCTCCCTCCGCAGAGGAGCAGCTCTGCAGGAAATAAGGTATGATGATGGATACCGGAATTAGCATCCGACTGCAACTCCCCGGGGTGGCTGTGGGACTTCTCCTGTGAGCTGTGGTGCAGCTAGCTACCTAGGTAACAGCATATGCAGTGTCTTGCTGGCCGTCCTCGCTTGGCTCATTTGGGATGGCGGAGGGGCGACCCGGCCGAGAATGATTTGGCGGCCAAGGCTCCCACTGCCCCGAGTGCAATGCGCGCCGATGGGGTCGCGCTGGATGGAGATGATGTCCGCCTGCACGCCAGCAGCACAGTATGCAGCAATCAATCATCTGCCAGCGGGAATAAACGAAGGCCAAAAGACCAAAGCCCGGGCGGGCTCGGCGCAATGGCCGGGAACAGGCGACCGAGAAATGAGATGCGGATGCGACGTGATGTGAATGCCCTCACTTTTCGCAGAAGCCTTGTGTGGGTTCTGAAACGGTCGTTGACATGCAAGTGAGGTCGTGGTTACTAATAAAACTAGGTTCTGGCAATCGACGATTTCTGAGCAGATCGGTTCGAGCCGAGTGCCAGGAAACTCTGCGGAGCACCGTTGATTTGCATACCCAGCACGTGGATGGCGGACATATTTCTCCGCTATCCGCCAATCACTAGTTCGTCCTTTCATTGTTCTGCTGGGTGCAGAAACTACCAGAATCGATGCCACCGCCCATTATCGACTTATTAGGTCACATGAGGGCATACCCATCTGGCGCCGTCGAGGTCTGGAACCTTTGTCCGCGTCGGCAGCCGGGGGTCCGCTCAAAGAATGTGCAATTATCCAGTCTAGCCCAGCGTGACAGACAAGCCCTGGTCTGCAGCCAGACGACGAACAGCACAGCACACCGTAGACCGCCTTTGATCAACGACGGCACTATGACGGGCGCTGTCTCTCTCGCCCGTCCGCTAGCACAAGCCACCTCACCTCACCAGCGTTGGACCCTGCGTCATTAGCATTGGCCCGATCGAAGCAGGCAGGGTCTCGACGGCTAGACCCTGATTCCCGGGGATCGAAGCTGTCGTGCTGGAATTCATCAGCGACGCCCATCGTAATGGGGCTGGTCATCAGGGTGGGTGTCGTCCAGCCTGCCGTGTTGCTGCATCACCATCGTGGCTCTGCCATCCGTCCGTCCGTCGTGGTGGTGCGCGCCTTCGAGACATGCCAACCCGAAGCCTCGAGCCTGATTAAGCTTGGAAATAAAAGGCACGCATGCATCAAAGAGGACCCCAAGCTGCCAAAGATAGAAGTTCTCTTCTCTCTCACCCTCTCGGGTTTTTACTTGGTTGCGCAGCCTCCCAAGGGGCCCAGAAACTTGGCAGTAGACGGCTTCGCTCTGCTTACGTATAGTGCCTTCGTCCCCGTTCTTGTCCCCCCGTCTGATCTTTTTCGGGAGGGCTTGAAGCCATCGCGGTGCCACGGCCACTAGCTCGCTGCACGATGAGGTCAGAGTGCCCTCCACCACAGCACTGCTGCCACCTGCCAGTCAGGAATGGAAAACGGATGTTGCCGCGCTAGGAGAGCCTAGCGCCCCGGTCCCTCATTCGCAGGCTGGGAATGGCCTCATATCATGTCTGTCGTGCTCCGCCGGTCGTCTCGTCGTTGGTCTGGCGGCAGTGGTGTCGTTCCTGGTTGCCAGCGGCGATGTGGTCACGGCGGTGTCGCTCACGGTGACGAAGGGTGGTCAATAAGGTTTGACGATCGGGACGATCCCGTCGCCCAGACCCAATGAGGCCGGGTACCAGGCGTCGGGTGCTGGCTGAAACCTGCCCTCGACCACCAGATTCTTGCCCAAGCCGTATCCATGCCGGTGGCCTCGTGAAGGCGCACGGCGAGTCGAGGATGACGGAGGCTCAACCATCTGCCGGCGCGGCCATCGTGGTGTACCGTTGCACGACTGACCGCCGGCAAGAGAGAAAGTGCAACGACGGGACCGAAGAGACGCTACAGAACAGGACACGCAACCATCAGGGCGCCAGGGGCAACTTGAATCTGGACCCCTTGGGGTCCCCAGACTATGATGTCGTCGTGCGCCAGTTCGACTCAGAGACGTGCAGGGCCTTGGAAACGAAGAGAGATTAAGAGCCAGCAGGTGTTCGAACGTGGGAGGGGTGTGGACGTTGTGTGGTACAACTTCCAAGTTTCTGGGTGCATGTGCTGAAATGTGTACCGTACGTGTTGCAGAGGTGTGTGTGCAGGCTGCGTTTTGGCGTCCAAAAATGAATGAAGTGTTGAACTGATTCGGCCACCACCTCCTCGGCAGATTGCATAACCGTAGGGCGAGGCTGTCGTGTGCCTTGTTTGGGGGATGGGAGGGACGGATGCAGTACTTACAGTACGTACAAGGCTCCTCTGATACAGAGGGGTCTGGACTCCCAAGCTTGGCTCCGCCCAAGAAGCCCTGCCTCAGCTCTTGTTGTGTGATTTTGTGCGTGCATCGAGTGACCGGAAAGTCGCAAGGCACAGGATGCCGACCTGGGCCCGAGCAGATTGTAGATAACCTCGTGCCTCTCTCGGCGCAAACAGAATGGCGAGGGTCCGAACGATGGCTGTGCTTTCGAACCTGCCGGGACAGCCGGGAGGACGGCGACAGACGCCGAGCGAGCGTGGAGCGGACCCTCCCTCTGATTTCCGCAGCGGCCGGAGGGGGCTGGGGAAAAGAGGACGAGCGTGTGAGCGAGCAGTTCGAATCCGTCCTCTCGCATGACCTCCACATGCAGCCCAGCCCAGCACTGCACCTGCACTCTGCACCACACGCGACCACCACCAGGCTGCAAAAAGGGCAAGAGCCGGTGCTGCTGCACGCTCTTGCTATTTGAGTAATGCCGCTGCAGACACGAAAGGAAGGAGCCACAGCTTGCCACCCGGGGACCCGTACCAGCAACATGCAGTCAGTCCCTTGCTGTCTGGCTGTACAGTTGGAAGATGGATGGATGAGATATGGGGCTCTGCAAGCCACACGAGAGCCCCCGCCTGCATGCACCTAAACCGTTGCAACTTCCTCGCGCCCGGGCAGGTTTCGTCTGACCCTCGTCGCCGCCGCCGTCCCTCGTCGATGGATTCGGACACATCAACGGGAATCTGGACCAGCCCACCGGAGTCCACCTAAACTCTGAGCGTCGCATTGCGCGTTCCCAATCCAACTCTTTTCTGATACCCCTTCCCGCCGCCTCCATGGCCTTTTTTTCCTTCCCGGTGGGTTACCTACCTGGCTGGCTGCCTGGCTGGCTGGCTCCCTCTCCCCACAGTGGGCACACCCGAAGCATGATCACCGACAGACGGGTCTAGACCGTTCGTCGCTCGGGCTGCAGGGCTGGGGGCCCTGCCTGCTGCCCCAGACTTAACTTCCTTCCTGGCCTGACGGGGTTTTTCTTGACCCCTTCCCTCGGTGCCTCTTTTGGGAGACAGACAGGGAAGACGACAGGACGCCCAGCCGGGCATGGAAACGGCAGATCACACACGCGACGCACGAACCGGAGGAGCGCATGCTTCTGGTCGACGAGAGGGGTGAATCCCCCCGGAGGATATCCTGTATCTAGTAGTCTATTTGCCGAGGCAGACCCGAGGGTCCAGGGTGACCGTGACAAGAAGACATCGTGATCAAAATCCAGTCTCGCTCTTCAAACAGCTCCCCGTGCGTTCGTCCCTCACCCCCCTCCCTCCCCCGGTTCGAATTCCGGGCGATCCAGCTCGAGGCGGTCGATCACCAAAAAACCCGCCCAGGCCGCCCATGTGGGTTTCTTCCCACCTCGCGTGGTTGTCAAAAAAAGAAATTGCCCGCCAGCCCGCCGGGCCTGGGCCCTACGGGAGGGCCCATTGGGCATGACAGGTTTTCCTTCCTGATCGCGCTAGCATTCCCTCGATCCCTCGATCAAGACGTCGCCGGGGAGGGAGGACGGGTGTCATGATCTTCCTTCACATGTTGTGGGCGATCATCACGCACATGTGTCGGTCAACAGGTGAGAGGGAGTATAGCAAGTGCTTGTAATAATGGTCAGAGACGGGGAAAGGAAAACAACACGCATAACTCCCTCGACCGGGTGGCGGCGTAGCTTTCCCCGATCAAGCCACCGGTCGCCCGAACCGCACCCCGTTGTGTAACTCGCCTCACGCATGCAAGTCGCAGTCTTGCAGTGCCGATAGGGGCCTGACGGCCGGCGCGGCGCGGCCTGACGGTGTCACCGCATGAATTGACTTGAGTTGAGTGGAGTTGGAGATTTGTTTTGTTGATGATGTTGTTGTTGGGAGCCGCCGCCTCGCATAATGTCCTCCCCCACCGCCACGCAAGCCCCATCCATCTTGTCTCAGACAGGCAGAAAGATAGTTGAGCAGGTAAGAGGTTGAAACAAAAACAGGGCTTCCTTCATTCGCCCGTGCATTTCTCCGGGGCGCGGGAGATGGAAAGGGAATATTCCTCATTCCGAACCGATAGAAGGTTCTTGGCAACGCCCTGCCCGCCGCGTCGTACAGCCAGCCCTGCCGTATTCTATGCGTATGCGAGTACGGAAGAAGAGAATTCTTCGGGCAATTTGAGACACAAATATGGCGCCCAAATGTCTTGGATCGATCTTTTGTTTTAGTCCCGATGACGCTCGGATGGCTTTTCGTAATTCTACAACGGCCACTCGCTCATGGGTGCCTGGGTTCGAGGCTGACGAGTGCAGTCCACTCAATGTATTCACTCGTGTCACATTGCGTATCTCGCTCATAGATTCTCAGGGTTGATGTTGATGCTTGTGCATGTATTATTTTGTCGCCTGGGCAATTCGTATTCTATGCCTGATCCTTCTCGTGTACTCCATATGCTATGACTGTGGGACAAAATGACAAATGCTGTGCTTCAAGACATGTGGGGTCGAAGCCGCTAGTGTGTGTGAACGACTTCAGAAAAAGGCCAAGTGTATTCAAAGCTTGTTCCTCCGCTCCCAAAGCAAATGCAGAACGCCTTGCTCGCTACAGTCTGTCCGTAGGTTTCTCCGCTGGAGTCCCGTCGCTCTGCGCAACGCAATGAGTGGGTATTCGCAAAAGACAAAACATCTGCGTCAAGAGAAGTAAAGTGAAAGATACAAGACCCGCTGTGAATATGAACAATTTTATGTCTTCCACCACGAACCACAAGTTGCAAATGAGATCCAGCCCGGCAATTGAATTTGTGAGTGTGATGAATGATACATGTGTGGGCGGGCCCACCAGCACGTCGATCGTGCAAGTCCGCCCGCATCTGCCAGCGACGATGTCATGCTAACGTCAGCGGCTTGCCTTTGGTTGGACAGCCACCAGACAAGACAGGACCAGGAACGGAAAACCGAATGAGGTTGTGGGCTCTTTGATCCTGACGGGGGAGCTCCAGTGGAGCTGCAGTGTACCGACCCCTCGGGCGGAGTGGAGGCCGGAATTGGCTGCTTGGCAGGAAGAGGCGTGTGATTTGTCGAGCCAGCCGCCGGGTGTCTTGCTCCATCTATGGTGTGATGACAGAATGATGGCCAAGGTACTGCAAGCCAAGAGGAAGGTTCTTCGACTGGAATATTAGGCCACGTCAAGAGAGTTGCTTTTGATCCGAGTCGGGGTGTGCTATGGCTGAAGTAGAGTTCCAGCCCAAGCAGGACACGGAGAACCGGGGGTGATGCTAAGAAGTTGTGAGAAGTCGACGGCTTTGGACACTCCAGGGTGCGATAATGCAAGATCCAAGATGCAGGGCGCGCTGATCAATTCTGGGCATGGAGACGCCGCGACTCAGCCAGCCTGTGTGGGAATGAATCAGGGCTGGTTTCCCATTGGATAGTTCCACTCATGCTATCGGGCGCGGCCCGATGCACCCAATTTTGGTGTACACCAGCAGTGCAGATAGGATGAGTGCTAAGGCTTTCCAGAAGAACTCAGTCGTGGTCCAATGCGTGGCAGTTGAGTCGAAGCTGCAGGCTGTTGTCTCGTCGCAGTCATGCAGCGAAAAATGGCGGGCGGATGGCAGCACGGGCACTGACCGAGGCAGTTGCCAGCTATTCGTCGATCCCTTTCAGGCCTCCAAGTCCATCCATGATTGACAGTGGTATAGCAGAGGGGTCAAACTTTTCGGGGGTCGTCGGCATCGTCGACACACTTTGGTATGCTTCCATCTCCTCGTCGGCGAGGGTAGGTTTGGTGTGGTTGTGGTCCGTGGCCATTGGGTAAATCTTCCATTGTCTGTCGGCAGATCCGCGATCGACTAGGCGAACCTTATCCGCAGGCTCCCTCCTGACAGCCGAGGCCTACTGTGTTCCGAAGAGCACCACAGAGCGCCGATCAGCATCAGCAATTGATGGTGAATGCGTGGCGGCCTCCTCGTTGAGATTTTCCATCGCCGAGATGCTGCTCACAGGCCGAGGATCCCACAGTCGTGTCTGGGGCATTGGCCTTGGCGACCTGACCATTGATCCTTCAACTCCACACGCACGGGCCTGGAGTCTTCAGCGGAGGGGTCGTTGACCAGGTGTGTAGTGGGGCACCAGGAGGGCGGAGGGGCGATCCTGCCAAAGCTGAAGCTGGAGGATGGAGATGCTTCTCAAGCTTTGATATCGTATGTGTGGTGTGCAGTGCTGGTGGTCCGGTCCGACATGTCGTCTGGGCAGAGTAGCAGTGGTGGCAGCGGCGGCGGAGCAGTGCTCACAGCTGCTTTCATTCCGTCGCTCACTTTCCGTATCCTGTCATTCTGGCGCACCTGTCGCAGTAGTAGATGCCAGTCCCCACCCGGATCATGCCGTACATGCTGGCATCGTCCGTTGTTGTCATCTCCACGCAGCGGGCACAGCGGAGACAGCGGATGACCTCGATTGATGCGACGGGGCGCTCCATGCTGGCTCGTACGGAGCTTGCTGAGACATCAGAGTCTGATGATGAGAAGGAGCCGTATGAGGACGATGATGAGGAGCTGTCGTAGTGCTTCTTTGACGGCCGTACTGGGGACACCATCATGGCGGCTGTTGCTGGAAAATAGGCTCTCTGCCTGTTGGCTCTGTTCGTGGTGTCTGACAACTGTAGTGCAAGCAGCTGTCAGGTCGATGCGATGGGCGATTGTCGAGGTTGTCGTCTGAAGACACGGGTTGCTTGTGGTGCAAAGTTTGCTTGTTCGTACTGGATTGTCGAAGTTTCGCTTGTTTGGATGTTGAAGGGTGGGAGGGCCAAGTGATAAGGTGGTCAAAGAAGGAAGGGGGCCGTGGGAGGGTCTTATGGATCGAGAAATCTGGTGTACATCCGCGCTCAGGATTAGCACATGGGAGATCGGCACAGCAGGAACTGGATGGGGAGGTGGGCAGGGGGACGCCAGCTACGTACCTTTTCGACGCCGGTCCAGACACCATCTTGGCGGTACGTACCGCGTGCTGCGCGCCCGGCTCGCCAGGGCGACGAGGGGCGGTGCCAGGGTTCTCCTGGCAGTGTGCAGTGAGACAGTCGCATCCCAGACACACGGACGGGTGGGTCGGAGGCTTGAGATGCAATTATCGGGTCTACCCTGTGTTACCAGGGGGTTTACCTCTGGCAGCGGGGTCTTTTGCTCAATCCCGACTGCCTGATTGTGACTGCGACTGCGCAAAGAGGATTGTACTGCAGGGCGGGCAGTGCTATGCGCTAAATCTGAGTACGTACCGCGTATACTGCGTACCCGTACTTTCTCAAGGGGGGGGGGGGGGCTCTTCTCGCTGTCTGGACCCAAACGGACCATCTCAAAACGGACATTGCAGGTGGGCCCGTTCGCTGGTCCAGCCCGTTGAATTCCCACAGTTTCATGAACATTCAGTACTGTAACTGTAGACACCAGTTCCTCACACAAATTGCTCTTGTGAAGGATGATGCCTGTCTGTCTCTGCACAACACTGCGGCCAGACTCATGTCTCCCGACTACATGCGATGGAAATTAGCTGCAGCAACGTGCAGATGGTATAATTATTATGGGCCGTGGTTAACACAAGGCCACGTAACCGTGGACAAACATCCCACAAGTTTCACGTTTTGACAAGAGACTGCGTGTCCGTGACGAAGTTTCTGTGTGAGGGTGAGGCCGCGGCGCAAGCTTTGCACTTGGCTGTGTAAAGGCCGGAACATCCAATGGTGGGGAGTTTCTTCGCTGGGCAAGATAACCCCGAGACTTGGCCCCGAGGTCGTGCCAATGTGCCGAGACACTAACGTCTTGTGGTTTTGTAAGCTGACAGACAGGCCCCCTCCTCCCAGCGGCTTTTAGAGTCACGCCGTGCGCTGGGCTGCTGGCTGGGTGACCGTGCAGTCACTTGCCCAGCAGGCCCAGGCGTTGCAGCCTGGGCTGGGCCAGAGATGGGAATAAACCGCAGCATGTCAAGGTACACGTACAGCCGTGCTAGGGATGGTTGCTGTGTCAGCCATCAGCGCCGCGTCCGAAAGCGAAAAATTGGACCACTCTATTTGACGCTGGAGCCTTCTCCCCATCCGGCCCATCCAATCTGAGGTGATGCGGCAGTAGCACTAACACGCCGAGTCTCCTCCCTTTCCCCGTGGAAATTGCGGCCCTGCCCCGGGGAAGCTCGTCGTTGTGCTTCCTTACATAGTGCTCCCCTATTTTCCGAATTTGCGGGCGACAGCAGAGGTCACAGCTTGATCTTGCCGTCAGGGGGGGCCAGGCGGTCCAGACGGGTGACGGGCCAGCCGGGGGGCGCTCTTTATTGTCGGGGCTGGGTGTGTGATGGCCTGATGGTGGGCAAGAGCCCACAGTAAATGGGAGAGGTGACTGAGCAGCCAGCGGCCCCGAGGGGACTCGAGGGAGTGAAACGGTGGGGAAACCGGAGAAAGCCAGCGAAGCGACACGGGCGAGTCGAGAGTCCAGACTCAGATCCGCACCCAATCTTAGATCCACGGGCCCCTTTTCGGGCTGCACGTCCTGCAAAGTTGCTGCACGCTGCTGGGTCACACAGGGCAAACCCCGTGGAGAAGCAGGGCTCCAAACGGTCCACAGGCTTCCTGTCCAGGCTGGCAGGTTCTGGCACGCCCTGACGGTCTCAGAGAGTCTGGGTCTGCGTTGTACGGAGTCCGCTGCCGTCTGGGCACTGAGTCTTCGGCTTGGCGACTCCTCTCCTGCATGCAGGCCGACAGAAGCCATTCTGGCATACGAGCACGCTCCGTACAGCTTGCTGCCCTGACTATTAAACTGTGTACAATATCCCGGCTGGCTACTACTTTGGCCTCGATGCAGGCGCCAACAGTGGGCCCCAAGTGCCAACGTCTGCCCTCCTCAGCCGTTGGGCCGGTGGGAAGGCGGATGGGGGCATATAGGCACTTGCGTGGGGGGGGGGGGGTTTGGGCAGCCAAGGGCAAGACCGTTTCGAACGGCCCGTCGAACCTCGATATTAGGATGCAGCTCAATGCAAGCTTGAAAGAAAGGAGCAGGAGGTTGAGCCGTACTCGCCAGCTGGCCGGCTCGAATCATCGAGATGGCAGCCTCACGCCAATCCGGGCGCGGCACGTAAGCCACGTCGACAACGACGCGTCGTTGAGCCAACGCTCCTGAATGGCGAACGGTCGGCCTGTTGATGGTCGGCGCATCTCGATGATGAGCGTCGGGAAATGACCAGCGTCCTTCGTCCGACAGCGGTGTGGGAGTTGCCGTTGTCAAGTCGAGTTAGTTGTCGAGAGGCTTGCACGTGGCTTGCCATAAATTCGCCACCCATCGAAGCCAACGACCGTAGACTGCCACAGTGACAGTACTGACATCAGCCACAGGCGGTAATTGTGGGCGGCAGCACGCAGTAACATGTGGTCGTTCCAAAATGTGGATTCAAGCTCCTGTTTTCTTCCAAGAACCCGGTGACTTGGTTGCTTGTCTGTGAAGATCACCTGGAGGATCACCAGCTACGATCGATTCCATGCATACGAATTGTGGTTTTGTGATTTCCATGTTGATCACGATGATTTCCATGACCACGACCACGATGTGCACAGACGGAACATGAGATCCGACGACTGACAAGCTGCAGCCACAACAACCTGATTAGACGTGCGACTCTGTGCTGCAGGTCACCGGCACATTTCGGCCGAGAGGGAAGGTCGCGCAGTAGGGACCCCGGACCAAATATCCCCCACACCTGTTGAAGCCCTTAGCGGGCGGCAGATCATACTGATAATGGCCGTGGGCTTCGTGATATATCAGGTGAAATTGGCATGACAAGGCGCGTCGCTGGAGAGGTCGGGCTGCAATACACGACGCGAAAACCTCAATAAGTAAATATGTGCTTGACCAGACCGCCGTCGGTCATGCGCGACGGCATTTTCACCTGGGTATAGCAAAGCAAGCGTGGTGATATCTGCAGGCGTCTCGTGGCCTCTGGTGGTGGATGCTCTCGGAAGCTAAAAATTGGCAACGTGAAAAAATGGCATGCGGAGGATTCTGTTTTCGCAGATCCCTTGCAGAAGGCACGATGCTGCCAGATTCTTATGCCTCCACCGTCAATGCCTGTGGCCATTGCCCGTTTGGCCAATGGCGGCCTACTGATCCACACTGGGGACATGCTGCCCAGGATCTACATGACAGTGTCTTTGCAGTAGGCTACAGTACAGTAGTGGTGAAGATGGAGTCACGGCGTGTGGAGAGAGGCCTCGCGAGGAGAGGTTGATGTCAACATCGTCAGTTTTCAACCGCCCATATTTTCTCAGTCGCTACGGCCCCAACCAAATCTGGTCGCGAATCTGCCCACGGTCACGGCCGAAATCTGTGACAGACAACCTCGTCACAGGCTGAGTCTCTCCATTCCAGCCACTCGAAACCACCGCGAGCCTCCCGTCCTACACCAAGCCTACGCGCCAGACACGTTTCTTGGCACCTAGCCCCCCGTTACAGTCTCCTATGTGCATATCTTGATACGCTAGCCGTGGAACTGTCGCCGTCTTTAGCGCCCTTCACGTCAGACCGGACTTAGCAAGCGGTCCGCGCCTTTGTCGATGCGCCTGTGTGAATCAGATCCATTGCTCGCAGTCGTCCATCATGGAAGATTCGACAATGCAGACGCGCGCTGCTGGCCACCACCGGGTCAGAATCGGCTCAAACGGCGCGTCGCGAGTGGATGCCGGGTTTTCTGGCGTTCAACTGTATTCTGCCAGTTGCTAAAAAGCCGTTCGGTCTCATTTAATCGGGATCGATGTTTTGGAGTACGGTATTCTGTGGCTCCTGTGGCGGTGCTGACATCACTCGCTCGCTCGTGGCAGGTTTTCCACACAGTAGAATCTCGATCCCAAGCTGACTGACCCCAGTTGAAACACGCCCACGACGCCGTAGCAAGAGGAAAGGATCGTGACCACCTGAGCAACTTCTGGCACCTCGTTTCCGCCAGCAGCCAATGAGCCAAGCCTTTGCCAATGACTCCGAGGCCCTAAACAGGCAAATCGATACGGCGGGTCAGACGAGGGCCTTCACCTGCCATCCCGAGCTGCTTCGGATCCAAGAAACGTCGTTGGATCGCGAGGGCGCCCGGCTTCACGGCACCCACCAACCCATCACCAGCTGCCTAGTGGCCGATTGTTTGACGGTCACTAACTGTTCGTGGACGGCCGTGGCTTGACAACAGGAATTCATCAAACGACACACATTCTTTGGCCGAGGACTTTTACCGAGCCTGTGTCTCTAGCTGCCCGTCATGTGGAACTGCACGGACTTGATGCACCCCTCCTCCCACTGCCGCCGTCCCAGCTGGGCGGTATTGCATCTGCAAAGCACCGGTCTAGCCTAGCGGCTTTCGGTCAGATCTCGATGACTCTCTCGGAGCCGATCATCGATGACTCCCTCCCGGAGCTGACCTCCGTCTATGATGAAGCATTCTGCTCTCTTGCGATCCTGCATATGAATGCACCCGACACCACCGATCGCAAACTCCGATGGTGTTCTCGTCCGACTCCACGCGCATCTGGCTCCGGACCGAGGAGGCAGCCCGACGGCTTGGGATTCGTCCACCCCTTGCTCCTCCCAGGCCCCTGTTCGTCGCAACATGACATGCATATTCTGCAGCATTGTTATTCTTTTCTTCCTTCGAAACATTTGTGGGTCGTTTAGCTGAGTTCACCTTTGCAATGCCACGACACGGCTGACTTGGCGAACCCTATTCGGCGTGTTCGTTGCATTCCACTGGAACAAACCCAGGAGCTGTCTCGCATGGCTCATGGTTCGCTCAGCCCTGCGATCCGCTTATTATGGTTTCGTGCCAGGGGACCGCGCCGCCCGGGGACTGCCTGGATCATGCCCGCCAAACGTGTTGGACCCCTAGAATTCTTTATCTCAAAGGTTCAGGTGTCCATTCAAACACGTTAGTTCCAGGGGCTTAAGCTTCCTCAGTAATTTATATGGCTGGTGTAATAATGTAAAATAAATGCATTTAATAAATATTTAAAATTAAAATATAAGCTAGTTATAATAAATACCCTTATTTATATAAGTATTAATAAACATTCTTTAAATATTTTTTAATTATATTTTCTTTTTAATTAATTATTTTAATATAAATAAAATATTAAATAAAAGAATTAATTAAAGTTTTTTATATAAATTTATTTTTTTTATTATCTTTTATTTTATAAATTATAATATATTTATTATTTAATTAATAAAATATATAAAAATTATTTAAAATAATTTAATTAATAATTTTATTTTAATTTTTTAAATTTTTATAAAAAATAAATATAATTAAAAAAATTAAGATTAATAAATATTTTTAAATTTTAAAAAATATTTATATAAATTAAAAAAATAATAAAAAAGAAATAAAGTTTAAAAAGCGTTAAGCTATTAAAGGGGCATTAATCCTTACATATACTGCAATTTAATTATAAACTACTTATATGCCCTTAATCTCCTTACCTTCAACTTCGCCACACTTAGATAATCGCTCTTGAATACGGAGTTAACCCCAAAACAATCAAGGGTCTGCAGGTGTTCTGTGTGTTAGAGATAAAGAATTCTCTCGAAGTTGTCAATCTCGCGGGACTGAGTCATTCTGAAAAATGCCGGGATGGTGCCAGCTGGCGGTGTCACATCGAGGAACAGCGAGGTCGCCTGTTCGTCGGGCAACATGTTCTTCAGCTGGTGTTATTTCAGGAGAAGCCCGGAGAGCCCTTCGGTGGGGCCTCGGCGGGCGGGACGAGGAACCAACATCAACACGAAACCTCCCGTCAACAAAGCGGCGGGACGAGTTCCTGCGACCCCCGAACGGGTCTGCGAGATGCCACCCTGAACGCTCGCTTCGGCCTAGGCTGCCACTATTTACAGTGCTCTTTGCAGGCCTTGCCATCCTCCACGCCAGGGCCCTTGAAACCTGCTCTACCACGCCGCATCAAGCCTCTCTGTTGGAAACCCACCAACGTCCAGCAATCCTGCGGCAGATGGCCTGTCAAGCGCGATCTATAAGCGCGTACCGGCCCCTGCTGTAGCGACAAATAAAGATCCAGGTGCCTGAGATGCCACATTGGCGCAGGAGAAACGTGTCAAATATGGTGCGCGGCCACCAAAATCCCACCACCACCCGTTGGCGGTCACGCTGGCCGCGCACCATCGCGAAGTCCATCGAGACGTGTGGATTGACTGGACCGTTTCGGCATTTCCAGGATAGGTCCACATACGGTCCCAAAGCGAGCCACGCCAGCAGCACCTGGGACAAGACCAAAAACGCTCGCTGCACCGCCCGCGGGATTCGTGGCCCGCTTCGCAGTCCGGCATGAGCTTATTGCTGACTGGGTGAGGCTTTTTCTTTGCTTGTTTGCTTGTTTTGCTCGTTCCCTTCCTATTCCCGCTGGGTCGGAAAGACAAAGCCACCCGACCGATGCGTCCTTTGTCCCCGGACCATCCTAAAATCTCACACTTTGCTTCGGCCTCGGGCTGCACGGCGTCATGCGCGAGGAGGGCGTGGGTTGTCAGACCATAGGACCGCCGAGGCTGCCGTTCCCTCGGTTACAGCGGCCGGCCAACCCTTATTTTCTTTCTGCTTATGTGGCAGCCTGCGAGCGAACCTCATGCACCAACCGGTTTGATATTACAGTTTTTGTGCGGTTCGCTCGGGCTGCTGGCGTCTTGTCGTGGTTCGCTTACCTGAATATCTTGGGGGGGGGGTATTCATTTAACCACCCCCCATGAAACCTTAAGTCGGGTGTTGACTCGGGGAGTTTTTGCTGCTTGTGATCCGCTGTGATCATCCGTCCAACCCCGCGCAGAGCGTCTATTATGCGGTTGCGGAAGGACATTCGGCCTCCTTGGTGAAGCCGGTTGCCATGTGAGATTCTCATCCAACCGGATCGTGGTGTCTGTATGCCAACATCCTCGCCTTCGCTGCAGATCTGTTTTGCAGGACAGATCTCCCTGGATCTACGAATCGGTTGCCCTGTGACAAGAGAGATTCGCGATGTCGGCAATAACACTGTCTGTGTATTAGTCCTTCACGTGAAAGGAGTGAGTCACTTCATGCCGCCAGCCGTTGGGTCGTCGTATTCGATTTGGGCATGCACCATGTGATGCGAGAGCCACTTTTGTTCACAAGTCCCGGTCCATACTACATAAAATTTCATCGGATCTTTGAGTCTGACTTTTCTCATGCGGCAGTGCGATGGTCTCCTGGCTGTTCGACAAACATCTCCGCCCCCAACGTAAAAGCATGATGCCCGAGGAGGGCAGATAAGATTAATGCTATGTGGAGTAGCATAGTCAGTGATCAAACGGTCTCCGATGTCACATGCTGAGTTGAGTTGGATTCATGTGACTGGTTTGGAAAGCCCCCAATTTTCCAAAGTTCGGATTATGCTTCTCGAGTGCCGAGTAGGTTCCTTTGCCGAGCTCTTGTGAATGGGTTCAAGTCCCATGAAGGAAAAGAGATGCTTTCCCATGTCTCACGTGTCCTTAATGAACCTGTGAAACCTTCGATATTTGCATCCAGCCCCTCGACGGCACAATTTCGCGATTATTTATCGTTGATGTTGTTGCCTGCCGTAAGCCAATGTACGCTTCTTGTGACGCAGTGAGAGTGTTGGTGACAGTCACGTTCAGAATCCAAACAGATAACACTGGTAACTGATAAAAAATAGTTTCACATTGATTGTCTGAAATAAGACAATATTCTTTGATTACATAAGTAATTTCAAGAATGCGGGTCTGCAAGTCCCCACATTATCTTCAGTCATGTACATGCGCCTTGAGTTCCGTTGGTTCCATGGCCAATCTCCTCATGCGTTAATTATCAGACTCCCCACGGCGTGGAAGTAGATGCAATTCCTGGGCTCGGAAGCTTCAATGTTAAGACGACAATGAGGCATTTTCATCTACACTACATCCTGGCGAGTCAAGCAGCCATGACCCTTAGGTGACTTCAGGAGGGAAAATGTCTGTCCCACAAAAGCAATTCGCAATCGGTTTCCCGGAACACATTGTATGCCACAGGTGGTGTGACAGCTTAGGACTTTCATCTCCTGTGCATGAATTTCGCGTCTTCACATTCATTCTGGTCGTGTGCAATATACGCTGTGTCGAGATTGATGCATTTGAGCATTTTTTTCCGCCGGAACAGCGGTTCCATGTTGGCCCCAATGTTAGTGGTGAGAGAAACGGTAACATGCTGGTTGGATGCAGCTGCCGCTGATTATGATCGTGACGGTGCATGTTGCCTATTTGCCATAGTGGGAAGATTTCATCATGGAATTCTCCAAGAGTAACGTCATCAGGATTGATATTCTCGCAGACTGCGAAGCTTGAGATTCAGCAAGCAAGAGTTTTAACGACCTCGACTTCCATTCTTGAAAGCTGCATAGTAGGACAATGATTCTGTTCAAATGCATCAATTTCAAATGTACGCGGTTTCAAGCGTTGACACCGGTCTGTAAAACTTGTATCTCATCTAAGTATAAGAGCCATGTCATGGGTACGTCGCCAGGGTCTGATTCACAACCCCAACACCTATCATGTAGATGAACCTGCTCAATAGTACTTCACCGAGTTGCCGCGGTTTCGAAGAGAATTCTACGAGCAGTATACAAAACGCTATGGCACCGTAATCTAGATAAACAAAAGTCTTACTTTAGCTGCAACAGGTCCTGACCCATCATAGAATTCAGGCTTGACTTCTTTACGCGAGGGGAGCTTACAATAGTGAAATCTGAGTCTCCAGACACGAATAGAAGCGATGCGCCTGAGGTAAACATGAAATGGAAATTAGATTATCAGCGTAGCCTAACGTTCCGCACGGAGGGGACCCTATGTGATCGCACTGTTGCAGTATGTTGCCTGACCCAGCACATCTGCGCGGCTTTCGAATTACAAACTTGCACACCTATGACCAGACGTGATATGTCCAGAACAACTTGAAGGCCTTTCTCAGAGCTCCATCGGCCCCTCATGACACGTCTGGGGCCCACCCCGGGTCGGCAAGCTCAACTCCACTCGGGATAAAGCCAGGAGCGACTGCGTAAGGTTAGCCAGATTTCTCACTGTGAATATTATCTGGGGAGCAATCTCCTACCTGTCGTCCCAACAAGCGTCCACTCGCCCAGACTCCTCGCCGACTGCCACTCCCCCCTCTGGATCGCCACCTGCGGCGCCTGATCGTCAAACACATCCGGGCCGAGCGTCGCCTTCCGCAGGGGCTGCCCGTCGTCGTAGGACAGCGACAGGACAAGCGGCGCCCCGGCGTAATAGTGCCACACCTCGGCCGCGTCCACACGGTGCCAGATCGAATCTCCAGCTGTGCCCTCGAGGAGGTAGTAGATGGCGGTGCTAGCGGAGCGGTTCAGGCTGGTTATGGTGAAGGGGTCCTCAAAGGTCTGGATGTAGTAGCCCTTCTCATCGTTCGGGACGAGGCTCAGCTTCTCGACGACTTCCTGTGCTGTGCGCTCGTTGATGGGTGTGTGCTGGCTGCTTCCGGGTGTTGTGGGGTTTGGCCTGCCGAGGACGCCAGTGGGCGTGCTTATGAGCGTGAGGAGACCCAGGAACACAGCAGAGTACTTTAATGAAGCCATGATGCTGATGGGTGGTGATCTCGGGTAGTTTCCAGCGGAAGCTCCTGTCTGCCCAAAGCTGACGTGGGGGAAGTGATCGATTACTAAAATGGTCTTGACGTGGCTCAGTCTATGGAGAGGCGTGAGACAACGAGAGAAAGAGTCAAGCGAACTCGTTGCTCGAACCCAGTAGTGGCCTGTGGATCATTTATTGATGTTTGGATATTGTCCTATGAAGGCTTGCACTAGTGCTGACAACGTTGCGCGTTGGCCGGCAGTTCCGTGGATGTTAGTGAGGCTGGAGATGGCGCGATTACAAAACGCCCCCTGCAATATCCCCTGCCAAGGTGTGATTTGTCGAAAGATCGGCAAGACTCCAGCAATCCGTCCGTAAATATCAAGTACCAAAGGGCTATCCTCCCTCGGCCGTCTCCCATGACGGACCGCTGTGCAACCACCTCAGTCTCACAGTCTCAGCCACGTAGTAGGAGCAATTCATGACGAGGCCCTACATACTTCTTGGTAGCTGAACAATTCAGTAAGCAGATATTCAGCACATTTCATGGTGGAGATCCTGGAAGTATGCTGAAAGTGATTTAGAGTAAGGTCGTGAACACGATCTCGCATTGGTTTGCATCTTGTACAACCTGGACCATTCTCCGAGCCAGACATCGGATGTATGATATCCCCCACAGAATCTTGGTCAGCCGGCACAGACGGTCAGCTGTTTTCGGGCCGTACGAAACCGCAGAGCGTCACAAGCCCGCCTCGTAACTGGGATGCTAGCGAATAACGTATGAGGCATTTCAGCAGTGGGCTCCGCAAAGTGTGGCCGTGACATAGGTCCCGAATGACCTGTCTGTCCAGAAAAGATGTCGATGCTCGCCCTGAATCTTGGTACGTTACTAAAGCTATTGGTAAACTATTTACGCATCTCTCTTAGTCACATAGACAGGCCATCCGTGAGGAACAACAGTGAAATAAGCTGCATTGGAAACATTAGTTTATGCCTGTGGGTTTTGTGTTTTAAGACTAGCACCAACCTTTGTACTCCCACTCCTCCTCTGGATTCATCTGCCGGAAATCATAGTCCCTCACCAAGGTTGCCTGAGGAACGCATGTCAGTATCTTCTGCCGCGTTTACCGCATGAGACGAGCAGAACTTACAGCCATCTTGGACATTTGAATTCGCGCGATATGTTGTCCTGGACACGACGCCCATCCGGCCCCCCACGGACAGAAAAACCTCTCCAAGCTCGCCGCATTCGGGCCGAGCCAACGATCTGGGTTGTACTCAGCCGCATCTGGGCCCCAGAGATCCTTGGATGTATGAAGCACATATGGATTACATGAGAGCACGGTCCCTTCGGTGAAGGAGATATCGCCAAACTTGATACCGCCTTTAGGGACGACACGTGGCAAGCCCACTAGAAACATGTAAGCCATAACGTGGAAATGGAAATTGATGGCGCCAGTTGCTTACTTGGTATGGGAGCGAAAATTCGCAGAGCCTCCTTGATATTTGCTTGCAGGAATGGAAGTTTTGCAGCATCATCGTAAGTAATAATCTGGTCCTGACAGCGACCCTCCTTCCGTGCAGCGTCAATCTCGTCTCTCATGCGTTGCCACGCATTGGAGTGGCGAATGAGATGGTACACGAAGCTTCTAATTTATTGAGGTCAAGTCAGTCATCAGCAAGACTTCACCGACCTGGCCGTTGAGACGTACTGCATGGCACAAGAGATAGTATCCGAGCCGGCACCAAGGTTCGAGATGGCAGCAGCAACCACCATATCGTCGTTCCAAATCTTGGATGGGCCGTTCTTTTCTAGAGCGCGGAACCAATGAGCAGCAATGTCAAATCGGGCATCTGGGTTCTTCTTCCGTTCTGCCAGAGCGCTCTTGGCCTTTTCTCCCATGTACCCAAGGGGCAGGACTTCCAACCAGGTCGTTAGGGGGTTGCAGAAGATGTAACTGACGTAGCGGATAAAGCCGAACAGGACGAAAAACAACTCCATGGCTTCGTTCACCGCGATTGCTCCCCCGATATCTTCACCTTTCTCGGTAAATCCAAAAGACTGTGAGAAGGTGACTTCGCCGGTGACATCGTAAGCCGCGTACGAGAAGAAGTCGCCCAGCTTCAGGGAAGTCTTCTCTTCCGATGATTTGTCCAGCCAAGAGAGGAGCTTGACAAGGACCTCATCCATGTAGGGCTCCGAGCGGATAACATGTTTGGCATCGAACCCCTGCCTGAAGCTCATGTTCAGTCTGAGCTTTTCTTTCGGGTCTCTGAATCCGAGCGGCCCGGGCGTCCTGTAGTCGGGCAACACAAAGATCTTGTACCATTTACTCTACGCATGTCTGTCAGTGTAGGGCCCCTTGCTCATTGCCCAGGTCCTGTTCACCCCTAAAGGACTAACCTTGTGTAGTGGCGCAATCAAGAGCGACTTCACGGCGTTTTCGTGGCACACGCTGACTTCGTCGTGTGCAATTCGCACGAACTGGCCATACTTCTCATGTGCCTTCGCAAGGACCATCTGTTGGTCGCCTCTTATGATGTAGCGCATGTGCCAGAGACGGGAGAGGGAAGCCAGAAAAGGCCCGGGGATATGGCTAATTGGAGAGAAGTAGCGGCGCCGGATAATTGTCACGAAGACTAATGTCAAGAACAACACCAGAAGCTGAACCGTGATGTACTGGCGGCTCCATACTGCAGGCTCCTGTGCCATATCTTGCCCGCTCGAGTTGTTTGGCAAGTGTTCGAGTGCCGTAGCCCCAACTTCGGGGCTAGTCTGGTGAAGCTGGCCCATTTCGAAGAGGAACGATGAGCTGTGCGATAAACGGGAAAGAGAGAGTGTGAGAGAAGGTATTCACAAGTCGATATGACTCATGTGGAACAGAGAACAGCGACAGTCTGCTTTTTGTTTCGAACTCCCGAGTGCTGTTACACTGGACCACCATCCACGTGGTGCGTCCGCTCCTATCAAACCTTCCTCCATTCAGCCATCAGGATGGATCCACGAGGGTGGTCAGCGAACATATCAGGCCATACGTTTCGTCTTTAAATGTCATAGATAGCCATTGAAAATACTGGAAATGCAACTCCCATGTCAGCTTGTTCTGAAGTGCAAGCATCCACTGCGACTGGCCCAATCAGCATCCATATCCCCACTTTGATCCCACAACCGAGACGTTACACCGGAGAGGGGACCAACTGCTGTTGACAATGAGGGTGGGGTAACGCACTGGATGTGATAAAATTTCCTCGCTTGTGATCAAGGCAGGAAGACGTGGCTTGGATTTGACTATGTCGCTGACGGTAGGACCCGTATCTGTCCAGGAATGGGCTCTCATCTGATGAGACTTGCCTTGGCTCCGCCATTGCACATATCACGTAAGAACTCTTATGTATCGAAGTGCCACGTTCTGTGGTCGCGTGCACAAATGGACAAGAGAGTCCCGAAGATGCGTATGGCCCCGCTCGGGGAAAGTATAAATTTTACTTGACTCTTTGTCCTTTAGATTTTTTCCGGTAACTACCATTCTAGAAGACTGGCAAAATATGTATGCTGGCTATTCCGCACCCCTTCCTCGTGATTAACATAAGACTTCTCTATGTTGTTTGCCGAGGCAATTCTAGGTGTAGTATAGTATATCTCGAGGCCAAGGTAAAGGACCTAGTATATGGCAAAGTCGGCAAAGAGAACAAAGCAGAGAAGAACATAGGAGTTCTGTTAGTGTCTGTCACTAACTATACAAATCGCATCACAGAGCAAGCGTCACCGGGCCCACCGGTCTAACTATGCTAGGTCTCGCCAAAGTGAAGTTGATTCTGAGAGCACATTGCATATAAATTACCGTTATTCGAGTGCCGATGAGGTGCTTTGTAGACTCTTCATTGCATTGACGCGACTGCAGCCCACCAGAAGAGGCAATTAGAACTAGATGAGACATCATCAACTATACTGTCAGCACCAAACGGTTTGAAATTCAGCAGCATCTATGTAGGTGGGCTTATCCTTACGCCACATGTAGAACAGGAAATCGCAAGTGTGCTCAAGCAGACATCACGCGTTCGTCAGATTATGGAGCATTTGTGTTGGTTTCAATTTGTTGTAATCCATCGCAGTGTAATCCATCGCAGTGTAATCCATCGCAGTAAAATCCATCATTGTCTGTCTGCACCTCTTATCATCCACTGAACAGGTTCACATCTTGGTGAACAGAGATCGACCACAACATCACTTTCTCCGCTTCCCCCCACTAAAAAATTGTTTCCATAGACCCTGTTTATTCTGCTTACCAGAAGAACTCGATGAGGAGCCGTGCTGCTGACTGTGATGATGAGATCGCGATGAAGACCCGGGTTGGCCGCCGGAATGGCTCTGAGAACCAGATGCCTCCTCCATTGGGAAGTCATCTTCTGAATCCTCTGGCAAGTCCACCCGTGATGCTTCTAGCTGTGTTAGTTGGCCAGGGGCGTAGATCGGTGTCTCCAAAGCGTCTGATATCCGGCTGTCCAGGCGTGCTTGTCTGTACATCTCCTCTTCTTGCCTCCGTTGCGTTTCCTGTTGCTCTGCCTGCAACTTGTTGTTGACATAATCTTCCCAGTACGCTGTGTACCCATACAAATTCTCTTGGAGAACCCAGTATGAGTTGTTCCAGGGTCCTCGCCTTGTCTCAGCCTCATACTGACCTCGTGATGTCTCTATGTTCTCCTGGATCAACTGGGTCTCCTGTTGCGAAAGTCTGCCCCTGTACTCCCACTGATCCTTTTTAGTGTCAAAATCGGTCATCATGAAGGTAGCGGAGCTGATCGTGTCACCGTGGCTTCCTTTCTCGCATTTGGCACAGAAGGGGCTAAGGCTCTCGTCGATGTTCGCCTTCCACGGCCGGTGCCTGCAGTAAATCTCTTCTGGCCTCCGTGCGTGCCTTGCCGCGCGCTCGCTATCTTCACATGGTATTAACTGGATGTACTGAGTCCAGTATTCGCCTGGTGGTGTGGCCTGGTTTGGGTGCTTGCATAATGAATGTGCTGGGTATCTATTGTGTTTTGCACAGTATTGGTTAATGGACCTACTGGCCAAATCCCTTGCTGAATCAAAAGCAGAGGGAATAAGCACCAGTAAGACCACTCACTCCTTGTGACACATAATTACGGTTGATAAGTGTGTTGAAAGTAGGTTCTAATGTTTCTGAATTGCTTCACGTCTTGTCTGCTCGGAAGGTCATGTAGACTTGCAGAGGGTGTCTATTGTCTGGAAATTCTGTCGAAATATGGTGCTATTTATACAGTAGGAATGAGACGAACAACACAACGTAGGCAGTGAGTTGCTTCTTGGTCATGACATTCCAATGTGCTGGTGTAATAGTGGCTTACGATGTTCTGTGACTGGAGATCTAGATAAATTGTACTGAATTAGAGCATAAAGTGATACAAGGGACCATACTTGCAATCCTTCCATCGTAACATGAGGCATAATCGAAGTCTTATTCAAGCCTTGACCTAAGCAACATGTTCCCCCTGTTCACGCCACGAGTCTAACTCACGGATCCTAAGAAGAAAGCTGCTGAAGAGACGTGAGGCTCTGCTCAATAGAGTTGATGACATCTCTCATCGACTCTATAATCGAGTCATAACCTTTTCATCTCAAATTGCCTTCTCTATTGAAATTGTTGCCGTGATTGTTGGGCAATAGGCACACACAGGCCGTAGTCAGAACCAGCCAGCTTTGTGACCCAGCCTAGCCGAAGTCACTAGCACGCTTCTCACACCCTTCGTCGAACATTTAATCACTGGGTCATACGAGAATTCAGTCATTCATGTGTATTACTATGGGTTAATCGCATTACTATCTACACCGTTCATCATTATAAGAGTTACTGTCAAGAATATTATCGTCTTCAGATATTACACTTCAGCACCTGCGAGTGAGAGCTTCCCTGTCTCTCCGGCATAGAGCTACGGCAGCGTCCCGTATCGAGTAATCAACCAGCTTCCCTCGTCCAGGTTGTAGGGCTTCAGTAAAGTTGAAGTCATCTGGCACGCTGCTAAAACCCCCAAAGCTCGATCTGACCATAACATCATTCAGAAGGCCCTCCTCATTGAACTTGAAGTTGCCTCCAGGCGAGATCTCACCCGACACGGGGTTCGTCACCGACGCGTACTCCTTCCTGGCAACCTCCAAGCTCACGCCCAGCTGGCTGGCGATAGCCTTCACTGAGCACTTCGCGTTGGCGGGGTTCAGCAGGAACCTGCTGGCGGCGTACATGGAGGCCAGGAACCGGGCCAGGAGGGCAGACTTGGCCTTGTCGGACAGGGACGACTGCCGGACCGTGAAGGCGGAAGATGTGATTGGCGCGATGTAATCTGATACACGCGCCAGGACGTTCGGTGCTTGTCCCGCCGGTAGGGACTGGCTCTCGACCGTGAATGGGTAGGTCAGGAGGGTCGCGTACACCGCGGTGCCATTGGGCAGGGTGCCGTTGAGTAGATCAGCATAGCGAATGTTGGTACTACCGACGGCCTAAGCGGAGCCTGGTGTCAGCAGGATTTACTTGTTAAATACAGCTGAATAATGATAAGGACTGACCGGGAATGAATAGTCTCCGTTGGCAATTGTCAAGCCAGCCTTTGCTAGGACATATTGGATCAGGAAAGAGTATCCACTCGAAGGTGAGTCGACAATGATGTCTTTGCCCTTCAACTGAGATAAGTTTGTGATGGATGGAACCGAAGCGATCACTAGGTCTGGGCCTTGGTCAAGTTGCCCAAGAACTGTGACATTTTGGTTCTGGTTGAATCTGTAATTCAAGGCATTGTCGACGGTGGCAGTGAGGATGTCGTACGTCCCGTTCAAGATCGCGTTGAACGCATCCGTGCTGCTGGCAACCTGGTTGTAGGTGACGTTGAGGCCATTGGCTGTGAAGAATCCAAGTTGATTCGCGACCGAATATGTCGCGGTCGGAGTACTGGCGTCTCCTCAGTCAGTGCCTGGGTAGGTAACTACCTTCGCGGGAAGGGAAAGGTTGCTCGGGGTCATACAAAGCTCCGTATTGCACAGTCTGCAGTGCAGCAACAGCGTTAGCGAGCAGCGAAACCGGGACAGCGGAAAGTCTCATTGTCGCAACCAAAATCTGTGTGCCGGGGCAAAATAGATGTGTTGTGAAGGACAAAGTGCTACATTTCCGGTCAAGAATGGGATTCTCTAGGAGAAATCAACATGTTCGGTCCAATGCCCCTTGGGTGCGCTATACATGCAGAAAGGGTGGACCGCGGCATCAGATAGACAGGGGTGGCAAGACGATGTCACACAATGCGGAGACTACTAGGCGTTCCCCTTCGACCGACCAGACGGGCTCGACCGGCTGGTGTTCTGGAGATATGAGCGTGGCAAGCTAACCGTATAGTGTGACCGATGGACTTTTGAAAACGGATCGTCCAATAGGTAAACCGTAGCTGATGTTCAAATTCAGAGCAGTTGTGGCCGCCGTTGAAAAGCAGGAGTCATCCCCACCTCCCAGTGCCTTATGCTGGCCAGCATTTTCTCGCTTGCAGAGTATCCATAGTTATCAAGCCTTTCAGGGCTCATCCATCAGCGAGGGGACGGCAAATTTAGAAGGATTCCAGCCCCTGGTTAAGCCTTCCTTGATCCGGCGCCACGCATACACTCCACCACAAATCCAGGTCTCTCAACCACGACGATCAAGCCAAACAGCTTCGATGTGACTTTGTCAATTCCTTCATACACAGTGAGGTTCCATCTCTCCGGAATCATCGGTCTGTCGTGATTGGGTCGGGTGTCCCTGTAACCCAAGCGCAAAAATGGAGAGATCATGGGAGATGTGATATATCGCACAAGGCGCGAGTCTTGGCCCTGGGGGCAAATCTCATTGCGGGTCGGCCCCTGATCCCTACTTCGGCCACTACAGTAGAATGCTTCATCTTCAAGGATCGTAGATAGCGTTCGTCAACGACAAGCTTCTGCCCTCCCAGGAGGATGGTAGAGCCAGTACTCTGCTTCCTAGTTAGGGCAAGCGGATCCAGCAACATGCCCAATATCAAGGCATTGAAACAGGTAGTCGAACTTTAGAGATCGGCACACCACTTGAAAGGGTTGCAGCTTGGGACGAGGTTCGTCTGAGGGAGAGAGCTGAGCGGTGGAAGAAGTTCCGCAGGATATTGGGACCACGTGGAGTTACTACGAAGGCAGGGGAGGGCTTCCTAGCCCCCTGGGACAGTTCGCGATGACTCGTTCGAGGATTTTAACCCAGATGGCACTAACGAGGGGGACGTATGAGAGGTCGACCACCGTTGGACTTTGTCTGGTGCACAAGTATTCTGCTGCTGATCACGCCTACAGCAGCGATGGCTGCAATTCAAAGAGATGATGTAAACGCAACGACTTGAAGTGGCCTGGAGTTGGACGGGAGAGTAGCGCACTTTAGTAGTTGACGTTGGCTTGCTCCTCCTTCAAGTCACATTCGCTCGAGAATTGTGGCTTGCGACCTGTGAAGTGACCTGGGGTCGACTACTGGAGGGCTCGCCATTGTGCAGGTCTCGCGGGTTTCACCGTTTTCCGACGCAGGGGCTAATTCCTGCAGCTTGCAGGTGGTGGCTGATGCAGTCCGTCTAAATGTCCGTTGTGACGAACTCAGAAATGTGGCCCCTGGACGATGAATCCATACACGTTGTCGGGCCCCAGGCGCCCCAGACACTAGGCTCTGAGGAACATATTAACCGCCCCTCCCGCATTCGGCTCCACGGACGGCCCCGTCTGCGATGCTTGTTTAGCTTACCCTCGTTGTCCATCATAATGACGCCTTTTATCAGCTCGAAGGGAGATGCCATTGACGACGGCGTGCCGAATCCAAGAGGCGAGATCAATGCCATTCTCTCCATTGCGTTTGCCTGCCTTTCGTTTATCCTCGTTTCGCTTAGGCTTCTTGTGAGGTGCCTTGTCAATAAGTTGGCTGGTCCAGACGATTATCTGATTGTGGGATCACTGGTAATGAAAGCATTTTCAGAGGTGTCATACAGAATCTTACCAGCTGTTTAGATATTGGCAATCGGCTTGGCTGTGACTTATAACGAAGGTGTGTATATACCTGGCATTATCATTACGGATGTATACTACCGGATTACTCCTCTTCATATGTCTGACAAGCATCTAGAAGCAAAGAACGGATTCGGCCTACACACTGACCAAGTCAATCAGCGACACAAGATCGAGGCCTTCAAGGCAAGTCAACGAGAATGGCCTTCGAGCTCTTGCTCTGGAATAAGCTGACCAGTACAGTGGTTCTTCGCTGCTCAAATCATTTACAAGGTCGCCACTTGCCTGACGAAGCTCTCAATTCTTGCGCTATATCTTCGAATATTTCCGAACCGCAACTTTCGAATATCCACATGGATCATTGGCGCCATTGTTGTCGCCTACACTCTGGCAGCTTGTCTTGTCACAGTCTTTGGGTGTCATCCGATATATAAAGCTTGGGATAAGAAGGCCGAAGGGAAATGTGTGGACATAATCCAAGTCTGGTACTGTAAGTTATGTCCTTACCTTGCCCTTAGTCTTCTAACTCATCATGGTTTATTGACCTGCTATATTGTCAGCTACTTCGATCATGATCATCATCACGGATGTGATGATCATATTGCTTCCTCTGAATCAAATTCGACATCTTCAACTACCACTGTTCCGAAAAGTACTCCTCTCTGGGGTCTTCAGTCTCGGGATTTTCGTGATCGTGTGTACAATCGTGCGCATGTGCACTGTATCACCTACAACTACAGCTCAAGATCAGATCTGTAAGCCTCGTGGACCCTCTACCCCTTCCATGGGCAATACTGATGTGTGTGCCAGATTACCAAGCAACCTCGAACAGTTGGACCTTCCTCGAAGTGAACGTTGGCATTATATGTGCTTGTGAGTTACGATCACGTTTCCAATTATTTGTTTGTCAGGGCATTCACAATTAAGATTATCTGTCTATGCCGCCCCCTCTACCTTATCAACCTCCAACCTTTGATCAGACTACGCGTCATGCTGACTTCGACCAACTGCCAGGTCTCCCTGTCCTAAGAATGCCCATCAGGAAACTTCTCTCTCCCCTCAGGAGCAAGAAAACAACAGTAACAGGCAGCAGAACACATGACCACCAGCTCAGGACCATCGGCAAGATGACTTCCAGAGGGACAACGAAGAACACGCGGCATGATGATGACAGTTATGAAGAGCTTATCATACAAACTAACAGCTCGCAGAAGTTTAGCGACTTCAATCGTGTATAGCAGCATGTATTTTGTACTATATGATTTGGGATATGTTTCCCTGGGTATTACAGTAGCGGTATTGACCAAAATGGAGCCTAAAGTCCTCCATTCCAAGCATATTCATGTTCTGTTCATTCTACTTCAACACTTGTAGGAACATTGTTACTTCAACGTGAGAGAATTCAAGCACTCAGAAAGGCTGCACTCAGGAAGTTCACACACAGCAAGCCATGCTTAGTCTGGAGGAGAGGCCAGAGGGGACATGCCAAGAACATCTTCTGCACACAGTGAAGAAGACATTGTGCCTGCAAACATCTGAGGCCACCAATCACTACCAATTCACTTCTGCAAGGTCTCAAGCCGTATCTGACTCTCAGCAGCAATGTCCCTCACGTGCTGCAAGCAACACTGGATCTACAAGTTAATTGCTACTATCACTTGGATGTAGGCATTGCAGAGCACCAGTTTATTCTGATCTGCCCAAATCTTGAGGTGGCAATGTGAAATGAGTTATGTACATCAGGATGTGCTCTACTTGCAATGATAACCTAACACAAACTGAAGAGATAAGTCTAATATCAAGTGAATTATTTTAGTCTCCACAGGACAAGAATCTATTCAAGCTGATATACTCTTCACAGAGTAATGATGTTCCCCATTAAGCTGAAGTATTCACCTTATTCAATGGTCTTGTTGTGAGTCTCTCCTGACCTCCAGTTGTGAACTTATGCCTTAGAAAGCCAGATTCAGCATTCACAGGGACTGCCACAGGGACGCATGCAGTGAGTTGATCATGTACTTACATTCACTACGGACTAAACATGTTAATTAGAGCCATAGGTCATACATTTGAGAAATCGAGCCACCAGAATGAATTGACCAGCAAGTTATAAGCTTATGGAGGCCGAAAATCGTCTGAAGTCACAAGGGCTTTTGCCGAACCAGGCGTTGCCAGCTGTAAGGGTTTGTGGACACTCCCCAAAGTGACTCTTCGATCAGCACAGCCATGGGTCCAAAGTGAATGGCATTGCAACTGCCCATTCACTTTGCGAACTTCGAAATGCGATGAAGGCCAACTTATAAGAACCTGCTTCCATCGAACTTTGAAAAGCCAACTGAAGACTTGTCAACTCGTCACACCATCACGCAGATCTGAAGACCATATCAAGATTCTGCCTCCACGATGGTCATCATGAGACACACCAATTTGCTCTTCACAGCTGTCAAGAATACCTACCAGAAGCAAGAATCTGGTTCCTCAGGTCCAAGCGACATGAGCAACAGGTACCACAGAATCGGCTCCTGCTCCAGCAGTCATCGTGAAGCTATGCTGCTCGACGCAACTACAAACGGCAACAACATGCCTAACATCGGCCTCGCCAAGCGCATCCCTACAATCACACTCAACGATGATGAGGTACCCCTCGTATCATTCGACTCAGCAAATTCAGACCCTTTCATCGACCCACCAGACACGGCAGATTCAAACCCTTTCGTCGACCCACCAGACAGTGTCCCAGCGTTGGATCTCAGCACCCTCAAGTCAAACCCAGCAGCCCTCAGGACGGCCATGGATACCCAAGCTCAAGGACAACCGTGTTTGCAAGCTGAATCTGACCAACACCATCCCTTCCGTGTGATCATAGTTGGAGGTGGTCCCAACGGCCTGGCCCTGGCCCACGCCCTCCACCAAGCAGGCATAGACTACACCCTCCTCGACGGCTCGCCAATCACTCCCATCCCAAACAACAATGACCAAGACGGCACCAGCCTCGTCCTCTGGCCCCACTCTGCCCGAATCCTCGACCAGCTGGGCCTGCTGCGCCGGGTACAGAGGCTCTCCTGCCCCATACGCACCAGACAAACCCACCGCGCAGATGGTACCCCGTGCCCCCCCTCGGACGACAACGCCTTGGCCCGCTCGCGGCACGACCACGGCCGCCCCTGCATGCTGATCAGCCGCGCCGCGCTTCTGAACCTGCTATGGGAGGCGCTCCCCGAGCGGGCGGCACATGTGCGCACGGGAAAGGAGGTGGTCGACGTCGAGACGCACGCGGCGGGCGTGCGGGTCACGTGTACGGACGGGAGCGTCGAGGAGGGGTCCGTCGTGGTTGCGTGCGATGGGGTGCACGGCGAGGTGCGGCAGCTTGTGAGGTATCTGCGGGCGGAGAAGAAGAGGCAGGCGAGGAGGAGGCTCAGCCTTGGACCCGGCGGTGGTTCCGACAGGGACGGCAAGGCGGACAGGGTCGTGGAGGCAAGGTACTACGGCCTGGTGGGCTCGGCGCCGTTGCTGGATGGACTTGAGCCTGGTGTGTGCTATGAGACACACGGCGATGCCACGGGCAAGACGTTTCAGGTTCTTGCGGGCCAGGACACAGCGTAAGTGATGCCCCGGAAGACACCCTCTGCCATGTGTGGTATTATCATAGCATGTGCTGCTGGGGCAGTACGAACAGTCGTACCTCGGCCTTCATCACTTCACATTACTAACTCACCAGACACAGATACTTCCTCGTCTACATCCCGCTGCGCAGGCCAACACGCCAGCGAACGATATACCCAGCCCAGAACGCCGAGTACCTCGCCAGCGCGCTGGCCCAGCACCCGATCACGGACAAGATCAAGTTCGGCGATCTATGGCGAGCTCGACGATCCGGAAAGATGGTAGACTTCCACGAGGGCATCGCGGAGAAATGGTACCACGAGCGGGTGGTCCTGGTGGGAGACGCCGCGCACACCATGACGCCGTCCCTAGGCCTCGGGGTCAACACAGGTTTCCAGGGCGTGGCAGAGCTGACCAACGGGCTGCGGCGGCTTCTCCGTTCTCAGCTCAGCGGCACCGAGGGGGGCGGCGGCCAGGTCCCGGACACGGCCAGCATCAAGAGGGTGTTCAAGGCGTACCAGAACGATTGCGACAGCATGGCCAGGAGCGCGATGCTGGTCTCGTCCTTCTACAACCGGGCCATTGCCCACCGGAGCCACCGGACCCCGCGGGATAATTTTTACGGATTGGCTACGCCGGCCGTCGCGGATGTCGCGCTGCTGGAGAGGCAGGTTGGGTGGGCGGTCAGGCTGGGCATCACCCTGGACTTTGTGGAGGAGAAGCACTTCAAGGAGGGCAGGATGAAGTGGGCCAACGCACGACGCAGGGTCGACACTGCCTCTGCCGAGGAGGAGGAGGAGCGACGGACTGTGTTCGTGTACCCAGGCATCCCGATGCGTGTCCGTGCTACCTGAGCATCAACAACTCGGGTTCTTCTACGGATGGATAGGGCAGCGTGTAGGGAGAAGGGTTTACGGGTCGCCAGGGCCGTCAGCTGCGACAGGAGACGACTGATGGAGTGACAGTCACCGCATTAGACCATATTGTTTATAGAGCTTGGCAGAAATTACATTCCTCCACAGGTCTCAGAGAGCAGGCAGGACGATAAACCTCAGCCCCATCGTACTTGCTGCGCTTCACAGGAAACGTTGGATGTGGCTTGCTTACTCATTGCAGACCACCTCCCACCCAACCTGGGCTCAGCACTTCTGACATGTCAGCGACAATCACCAGACATGCTGCGATCGCCCTGAGCCACATCCAACATCAATGATACCGATGACGTTAGAATGGCCAAGAATAGGCCGTGTCAGTTACCTGCTGTTAGTCTCCAAGATCAAGAAAGGAAGGAAAGAAAAGGCGAGTTGAGGGTCTGAAAACGGCCCCTGCTGGGGTCTGTGGCTCCAGCCAATGGGCGGGCAGGGCTGGAAAACATGTCCGGTCGACAGGCCCAGCGAGTCTCCAAGAGACGCAAGATGACTCGCAAAATGCTGGCTTCAGACGTCAGGATGCGGGATTGCGTTCCTGTGCAACCACCAATACAGGATCGCCCTTTGGGATGTTGGGATGAACCGGCCGGGGGGGGGGGAGGAGGAGGAGACGTGTGGCTTTTTTTATTATGAAATGAAACGTTGGTGGTTCCGGCGTGCCGTGTGCCGCGTGTCGCGAACCCGTGTGCATTGGGCACTTGGGGGCATTGGGCTGGATGGATATGGTCGGACATGTGTAATTATGGCCATTTCCGCGAGCCTGGCCGACTGACAAAGCAGGAGATGGCCAGCCTGACCGATGTGGTGCTCGTATCCGGCGGGCGGGCGCTGGTTATGGTTATCTGTTGGGGCATGAGGTTGGTGCAATTTTAAGGGGAGGATTCCTGGGAGAATTTAGAGTTGATTGCTTGAAAAGTGGCCTCGCAATTGGGCGGGTAAGCGAACGGATAACTCACAAGAGGAGCCCGGGAGCCCGGGACCCCACAACGGCGGCATGTCACCCTTGACAGCCATGTGTCAATTGGCATGGGTGGGACTTGGTTGATGTGGATGTGGATCTGTGGATTCTGGATTTGGATTTGTACGTGTCTGGATGTGGGTGTTGGAGTGGATGAGGGTGGGAGTGGGAGTGGGCAGGAGTCTTGAGGGCGAGTGCGAGTGTGGGTGAGGCTCATCACGAGAGGCTGGTCCAGACGAGTGAAGCCGAGTGAGAATGGAATTTGGTGGATATGACTACAGGATAATAGAGCATTGCCATAGTCTAGTTTACCTAGGAAGCTGTAGGATGGATGCTGTATACGAGAACAATTTAGATTAAATTGCCGTCAGGCTGTCACGCGTGCATTGGGTCGGCTGTCAACCGAGGGCCCAGGCCAGGCTAGGCAGGGCAGTAGGGCGACAAGGCGACAGGGCGACAGAGCGAGAACAGGCTATCCGGCGCGTGATGGGATGTGACGGGTGTGTGCAATCTCTTGTGGTGTTTTGCCAGATATGGGTCTGATCGAGAGGCTGCATCGTGTCGAGACAGGACGGAATGCTTTGAGAATGGCCCAGGAGAACCAGTCTGTTCCCCCAGATCTGCATTGAACAGGGTGAGACACGTGAGACGGGCACTTGCCGTGTGGTCAGGCGGTTGGAGACGTCTGAGGACGAGTCTCAGACTCCCCCAGACAGTGGGCTGTCGTAGGACAGAGGATGAAATGAAGTGATTTAACTCAACCAGCGAGGAAGTTAGCAGCAGCAGAGTCCATGGTCTCCGGCGACAGCGACCCCCACCATGCAGACATGGGCATGGCCCAAATCAGCACCACAAGGCGCGAGATAGCCATGATAGCAATGGTAGCCCGGGCTCGAGACCAATCAGCCAAGGCGCCTTCTCATGCAAGACATTCCAACGAAGCGGAAGTCAGTTTTTAGCGCGTGCTGCACTATGAGAGTCGACAGCCTACACGCAGAAACGTACATGCACAGTGAGGTGTGCTATATATACACAGGTATCTCTGTACCTGCCTCGCTCCTGCCTGCAATGGGGTAATTGCAATACTAGCAACCACAACTGCAACCGCACTGCAGCACGGAAGGCACCAAGGCACGACGGTAGCCCACATTAGCGTTTGGGCCCATTCCCTGTCTGGCAGCCCTGGCAGCCTGGCAAAACGTTACCTTCAAGTCCCGCTGCACACAAGGTCCGCCCTCCCTGCTCCTGCTCGTCCACCTGCAGCTGCACCTAACCTCCCTTTCTCCTTCCACGCTTCACTCGTCGCCCAACACTCAATTCACTCCCTCACTCAACAACACTTCACCTCATACTCCACTCGGATGCATATACCTTCACTCGTCTCTCCTCACCACGCCTGAGATGCTTGCACCGTCAAGAACAACCGCGACAACGACAACAACAAGCTGACGAGAACAGAGTGACACCTGACGTCGTCATCACCACCGCCTCTCTGTTTAGCCTGCCTTGCCTGCTCTGCGCAGGGACTCGGGCCTTCCCACCACCGCCGTGTCCGGCCGGCCCACCCTCCCGGGTCACCACCAGTTCCCACTTCTTACTCGTCCAGGTCGCCCAGCCCCGACTTCCGAGTCCAAAAATCCACGAGGCCGCTTACGCTGCACTACACGCTGCACTACGTCTGCGCCCGCTCTGGTTGCCACCTGGGTCCTGTCACGTTGCTCGCCTATTAGTACGGTCGAGTCCGTGCAGCCAGCCAAAAAGAAGCTCACTTGGCTTACTGCTTGTGCAGTTCGCCTTTTTTTGTGGTGGTGGCAGTCGTCATAATATTCTACCTACGTACCTACTACCATAGCCCGGTGCCAACACGCACGCGCGTCTCTCGGCTCACAGTAAGCTCTCGTCTTGTTCAGTCCGGGTTGCACCTCGTCTCTCGGCTGCCTGTCGAGCTTGACCTGCATGCGGCCCTTGAATCGTGGGCATGCGCCCATATGCACGCCCATAATCATGCGCCAGTCCAGTCCCGATGCCTGCCTCGCCCGCTCACACAATCTGTGACTGGCCTGCCGCTAGGGCGATGCAGTGTCACTCTTGCTGATACGGACCTCCCATCTCTGACATAACCCTTTCTCTGCGTAGGAAATCCCCCCTCGCTCGCGCCCGCTTCCCTCCCTCCCGCACACTCACCATCCCTCCCTCACCCGCGGACCCGACCCGACTCGACTTGACACGACACGACACACCTCCAGAGCCATGTCATCGAGGGATCCTCAGCCCCTGCACCCTGACTCCGGAGCCGCACCTTCAATTCACGTCGATCCCAAGGCCCAGAACCATGCCTTCTCCTCTCAACCTCAACTTTCCACCCTGGGAGACTCCCGCTCCTTGACCTCGCCTCCGGCAACAGACGCCGCCACCCATGAATTTAAACTTCGAAACAACCGCAGCGCGATGCTGAACTCAGACATTGGCTCCATCCGCTTCCCCTCAGAACCTTACAACTCGTCTGCTTTTTCCATGCAGACATCTGCGGCTTCGAATCCCCCAGAAAATCCGTCAAAATCCCCCTCTCCCTTCCCAACTGTCAATCTGCCGTCCGGAGACTCGGGCCCACCACCGGTCGACTCGGATTTTCAACACCAGCCCGACCACCCACCCTCCTTCGGTTCCACCAACCCGCTTCGAATACATACAGACATCCACTCGACTTCTGTGCCCACAGCCGACATCACCCACGGTGCCTCGTCTCTCCACCGCGGCCCGGAGAGGTCGAACCCGACTACGACCTTGCCCCTGTCTCGCAAGTCGTCTCCGCCAGGACTGAAACCAGTATCGCGGACTCCCAGCTTCAAGTCTGCTGCCTTCGGCCGCGGCTTTGGCTCTGCCACCAGCTCCAGAGTCTCGAGTCCCGTCATAACCGCCATGGGCGATCTGACGCCGCTGCCGTCCCCATTACTCTCCGGCGACTCACCTGGACCTTGGAAGCGCCTCAACGCCCGACCCCCTTCGAGGGAACTCGCCCAGCCACTGCCTACGACAATGCCCGAATCAGTACTGGTGTCGAGAAATGGCGAGTCAATAGCTGCCGCCATGGCACACCAATCCAAGCGAAAGGCTCTTTCCGGCACAGACAAGGCTCCTGGGGAGGAATCCAGTAGCAGTTCAGAAAAAGATGCCTCAACCAAGGCCAAAATACACACTCGCAACAGGAGCGTCAGCGAATACCATCCAGATTCACTGAACATCCCAAAGCGCATGGTCACAGTCTCCGGATCTCATGTGGCCAACTCAGGCAGCACGCCGATGCGACGGGAAGCCCACCTTTCAGAGGCCCGGGGTTTGACGCCGATAGAGAAACCCCCGAGTCCGCCGCCGAGTGAATCCTCCCTCACAGCTGCAGATATTTCCGCAACGCCTGTCAAGGAGAATCCACGATACGAGTACTTTGACGCCCAGGGGCGGAAGGATGGCAAGCTTCGTAGATGGAGGGCTGTCAAGTCACTAGGCCAAGGCACATTCAGCCGAGTTGTGCTAGCGACTAGTCAACTGGCTGCGACAGAGGAGGAAATAGAGCTGGAGGGCAAAGTAGACACCGGCCTTCTGACCCCCGAACCACCCTCGAGTCTTGATCGAAAGTCACTGGTTGCTGTCAAGGTCTGCGAACACGGCCCGAAGGGTGGGGCTTCCGAAGACCGAGTCGAGATGAGCTTGAAACGTGAACTGGAGATCATGCAGAGCATACATCACCCGTGCCTTGTGGACCTGAAAGCCTTCAGCATCGAGCCGACCCGAGCAATCCTGGTCCTCAGCTATTGTATTGGCGGCGATCTATTCGACGTAGCTACACGGCACCGATCACTTCTTGTGCCCTCGCTCCTGCGACGCATCTTCTCCGAGCTCGTTGGTGCGGTCCGCTACCTTCACGAAAGGCACATCGTGCACCGGGACATCAAGCTGGAGAATGTGCTTGTCAACCTCACCCCGCAAGAGCTCTCAGACCGGACCGTCGACTGGCAGAGTTACCCGTACAGCGTGATTACTCTGACAGACCTCGGCTTGTCACGGAGGGTCGCGGATGATGAAAAGCTCACAACCCGCTGCGGCAGTGAGGACTACGCCGCCCCCGAGGTCATCATGGGCCTACAGTACAACGGCCACGCGACTGATGCTTGGTCGTTGGGCGTACTTCTCTACGCTCTGCTCGAGAGCAGATTACCGTTCGACCCACCCCCGGGTATGAGTGACGCGCTTCGCATGCGCAGCCGGACAAGCCACCGGATCGCCCGCGTGGAGTGGCAGTGGATCAGATACGCGGGCGCTGACGGCGACCACGAGGGCGACATGCAGAAGTTCGAGAAGGAAGGCCTGCTGGGGTCGATGGAGGTCACCGAAGGCCTGCTACAACGATCCCGAAGTCGATGGTCGCTCGAGAAAGTGGCGGAGAAGCCGTGGGTGAAGGGAGGCATAGCTGTTGAGGGCGGAATTAAGTTCAGGGAGGAGAAAGAGGGCAAGATCGTATGACATTTGTGAGGAGACAAGGCCTATTCCATCGAATCGCGGGAGGAAAGGCCACCGAGGTTTTGAATCCGATTTTCCCGGTCGCTTCCGCATTGGCTACGACGCTCGATCCAGACACATTTACTGCTCTACACGGGACAAAGATTCGACGATTCCACGACAGACGGGACAAGAGAGGCAGTGGTCGGTCCTAGGTTTACAGGAAGACAAGGGGATGGCAAGCTTACCCACCTTCGTTTCTCCCAAGACGTGTTGCTTCTTAGACCTTTTTGAATTAGAAATCAGAATAGGGGGAAGTTGCTATCCAAAATTTCGAGATACCTTAACTGGGTTTCCGAGTGTATCAGATATTTGCTTCATGTGTTTTTTACATTTTTGTACACTGGCCACTTTCGAGTTGGAAAAGGGAAAATAGGTGTTTTTGGTCGGGCCAAGCGATGGTGTCGGCGTTCTACATGCTGAGTCGGCTCAGTTGTGTTATCGAGACGGTCGATTTGAACAGCAACGTGATGCTTGAACACTCGTTTGTTGCTGTTAGTTAGGTCGTTACTAGCATTTACTCTAGCGAGGTCATTATCAACACAATTCGAGACCGTCCATCGCGCTATCACCACGCCATAGTTTTCTTATATTTATTGGGAATTTTCATTCACTCATGGCGTAAGTAGCAGGCCAATGATGATGAACTTTATACCGTCTCTGATTCCAATGTCACCCGCAAAATTCTTGATATCTACCGTTTCTGCGCTCTATTACTACTACTCGCCTTACAACCGCCTCTTGAGTAGTGTGTCGATCCCCTTGTCTGAGTGATTCTGATTTTCTTGCGTAAGTGGCATATCAGCCCTCTTGCCTGCTAGCATTCCTGTAACTTCATCAAGGTCTGCAGTAATGGATGATAAGACGAGCTGGGACCATCTGCCCAAAGAGATCCGGCTGGCGATTCTGGAGGCCCTACTGCAGGACGCCTGCAGCCTCGCCAGCCTCGCCACGGTTTCGCGAGAGTGGCAGACGACCATCGAGCGGCACAACTTCGCCCGGATCAGACTGACACCGTCACGGCTTCCCTACTTCGGCTCCATGATCCGCCGCAACCGTGCCCTCGTGCGCTATATATGGGTCTGCTTGGAACTTGAGAAATACGACCGCCCCTATTTCGACTCCCAAGGAGCTATTATGTGGGGGGACAAGATGATGGACAGCCTTGTTTTCACAATTGCGCTCTACGATCTCTTCTTGGCCCTCAGCGCGTGGGAACCACACGGCGAGCTACTACTCGATATCAGCATATACTCGCCCAGCGATTCGGAGTATTGGTTCAAAGAGCTAACCTTTGTACCGGATTTCCCATCCTCGGAGGAGTGTGACCGGGCTCTTTGCGGCACAGTGAAGGCGAGGCGTGCCAGGATCGACGACGACGAGGAGCACGGCTGGACAGGCGCCCCGCCCAGGATTGCCGTCAGCGCGGCCTTTGATCTGCTCATGATTGGGGAGTCGTTCGAGGATTCAAGGCCGCAGATGAACTGGTGGGAGCGGCTGCCTGGAGCCCCTGCAGTGACAGGTTTGCTACTTCGGCAGCAGAACCGCCGGCGATGGAACCCGCTCTCGGTCTCAAGAATGCTCGAGAGTCTCCCCAGGGTCCGAGAGGTACATTACGAACTGTGGAGGGAATGGCACCCCAACCGTCAGCGAGTTGTGGACACTAGTGAGTCCTGTTATTGTGGAAGGCTACAAGTGTCGTAAGGGGTTTAAAAGCATAATTGTAAAAGCATCTATCTCCTAAGAGTAATTTAAAAAAAGGAAATAAAAGAAATTTAATTATTTAAGCATTTTAAAAAGTAATTATAAACTAAGGTTAAGAATATATATATAATATACCCCTTAATTAAAAGGCAATTCCTGCCTTATTAATTACCTTACTTTTTTAAGCAGCTAATTTATACTTAAAAATATTAACTATAATTCATTAAGTAATTAACTATTTAACCTTTCTTATAATATATATATTTTATTACTTAAACTTTAACTATTTATAGCCTTATAATATAGCTTATAATTAATAATTAAAGCTTTTTTTTAAATTTTTTAATTAAATTTATATTTAAAAATACTTATTTTTATTAATTTTAAATATTTTTTTAATTATATTAAAAATAATTAAAAATAATAAAAAATAAGCTTTTAAGCTATAAGCTATTTTACTTTTTTATATTTTTAAAGTTTAAAAAAAGAAATATAAATATAATTAAATTAATAAAAAGCTTATTAATAAAAATAATAAAAGCTTTAATGCTTTTATTAAAATATTATTAAATAATATACTTAAAAGTAAGTTTTTTAATTAATTTAAAAATTAATTTTAAAGCATATATTAATTCTTAATATAGCTTTAAAAAACCTTTAAATATATATAAATAGCTTAAAGCTTAAAATAAAATGCCTTTTTAAAGAAAAAGTTAAAATAAAATATAAAAAAAAAAGAAAAATATAAAGAAGCTTAAGAAAATTAATAAGCATTATATTTCTTATCTTTCTTATATTAAAAGCTTTATATATAGTTATAATAATAATTTTTATATAAATTATAATAATAAAGATAATTATTATTATTATTATACTTAAGGTAATTTTTATAAGCTACTTTTAATATTTCTTTTATTATTTATACTTTATCTTTATTATGCTTAATTTAATAATTTTTTAATATTTAAGAAATTTTAATATGCTTAAAAAAAGGCTTTAAATATATATAAATATAAAAAGTTTAATTTAATTTATATTAATTATATTCTTATAATTCCTTTTAATATTTAAAAAATCTTTATTTTATAATAATAATTTTTAAAAATTATAAAAAATAAATATAAGGATATAATAAAGCGCCTTAAAGTTTAAATTATAATTACTTTAAAGTAATATAATAAGATTAATATAAAGACTTAAAAGCTTTAAAATTAAATTATTAATAACTTAAAAATTATAAAATAATATTAAAATTATATTATTATTTTAATTAAGCTTATTAATTTTAAAGATAATATTAAGGAATAAATATTATTAAATTTTAATTTAAAATTATAATTAAGAATTTAATTAAAAATTAAAAAAGTTTTTTAAAAAAGTTAAAAGGTTATTATAATAATTAAAAAAAGGTTTTAAATTAATTAATATATTATTATAAAGATTAAAAGGTAGTTTTTAATTATAAAATAATTTTTATATAAGAGTTATATTATAATTTTTAAAAAGTATAATTTTTAAAATTTTTAATAAAAACTTAATAATAAGAATAATTAATAAATAAATTAATTTCTTTTTATTACTTCCTTTATATTTTAAAGATTTAAAAAAGCTTTAAAATATTTAAATTAAATATATAATAAAACTTTAATAAGTTTATTTATAAATATTTTCTAATTTTTTAAATATATAATATTAAAAGTATTCTTTTTAAATTCTTATTTTAATTATATTTATTAAATATTTATATATTTAAGCTTTATTTTTAATTATTTATATTTATTAATAATTAAATATATAATTATTTAATTATTATAATAAATAATTTAAGGCTTATTTAAATTTAAAGTTATATTTTTAAATAAGTATTTTAAAGTTATTATTTTTTTAATTATAAACTTTAAAGCTAATAATTTAATTTTAATAATTAAAATAAAAATAATTGCTTATTTATATACTTTTTAATATATAAAGCTCTTAAAAAGAATTATTATATACTTTTAAAAAAATCTTTAATTCTCTTTATTATTAATAAATAAAACATTTTTAATTATTAAAAATACTTAAGCTTTTTAATTCTCTTTAAATTATAATTTAAGAAATTAAATAATATATAAATATTAAATTATATAATTTATTATCTTAAGGTAACTTAAACTTAAGTTTATAAAGAATTTTAATAATATAAAGTAAGGAAATATTATATTTAAGTATATTATAATTATTATATAAAGAATAAAATTAAATTTTTTTTAAAATTTTTAAATTTCTTATTTTAAGGCTTATTTAAAAAAAAGTTTAAGCTTTTCTTTAAATATTAAAATAAATAATAAAAAGTTTTTATTTCTTAATAAATTATATTTATTTATTATTTTTTTAATATATAAGTTATAAAAAAGTATTATAATATGCTTTTCTTAATTTTTAAAAATTTATATACTTAAAAATTATTAAGCTTTCCTTTAATTTTTTATTTTATATATAAATTAAATCTTATTTTTAATTTTTATAAAGAATTTATATTTATCTTTAAGATATATAATTAAAATATTATTTATATAAAAAAGAATTATTACTTTATAAGCTAAGTTAATAAAAAGATATAGCTTTTTTAAAAAGAGTTTTAAGCTTAAATTTTATAATATATAATTAAAATCTTTATATTAAAAAAATAAAAAGTTTTTTAATTTATAAAGTATTTTTAAAAGCATTTTATATTTCCTTAACTTTTTAAATTTATTAAATAATTTGCAATAAATTTAATTTAACTCTTCTTAATTAATATTTAAAAATATAATTATAATATTAAATTATTAAATCTTTAAATTAAAATATATAATAATTATTATTATTATATAAAATGATTTTATAGTTAAAGTTGTAATATATATATTTTTTATAATAAAATAAAGTTATAAATTTCCTTAAATATAAATTTATATCTTAAAAAATTTAATTATTTTATTTTTATTAAGCTTATATTTATATATTTATTTTAAAAATAGCAATATTAATTTTACTTTTTAATATTTAATAATTCTTTAAATACTAAGCTTAATAAAGCTTTATATTTCTTAATATATTATTTTAAGTTATTTATTTTAAAAAAAGCTTTTTTAAGCCTTTCTTTATATAATTAATTTTAAAAAAAAATTTATAATATTATTATATTAAATAAAGCTTAAATTTAATTTTAAAAGCTTAAATATTAATTATTATTATATTATTTAAGATTAAAAAATATAAGTTTTTAAATATTTTTTATTTTTATTTTTTAAGTTAATTAAATAAAAAAGTAATTATAAAATTACTTTAAAAAATTATATTAAAGTAAAATATAATTATATTTATTAAATATAATAATTAATTAAAAAATTCTTAAAAATATTTATCTTAATTATATATTTAAGAAAATCTTTTTATAAGTTTAAACTCTTAAATTTACTTTTATATTCTTCTTATTTATATTAATTAAAAAAATTCTTAATTTTTTATAATTTTAAATATATATAATTTTTAAAAAAAGGTTTAAGTTTATTAACCCTTATTTTATTAATAAAAATATATTTTTCTTTATAAAAGCCTTATTTTAATATATTTAAGGTTCTTTTAAAAGTTAAAAGTTCTTATTTTTAATTTCTTAAGCTTTTTAAAAAAATAATATATAATAAACTTTACTTTTTAAATTTAAAAATCCTTATTTTTAAATTTTAATTAAAAGTATTAATTTTATTTTTTTTTAATATAAAATAAGTATTAAATTTATTATTTAAATTAATTAAATTATTTTTTATATAAAATATTAAAAATATAATATAAATATAATTTTAAATCTCCTTAATATTAATAATCTTAATATTTAAAAATTTTACTTTAAAAGTTAAAAGCTTATTTTTTATTTTATTTATTATTAATTTATAAAATATATTTTTATTAAATTATATATTTTTTATAAAAATTATTTATTTAAGTAACAAAATTTAAATTTAAAAGATATTAAATGCTATATAATTAATTAAATACTTAATATAAGCTTTTAATTTCCTTTTTATAAAATATTTTTTTATATTATTTTTATATTCCTTTTTATATATATATACTTTATATTTATAAATATAAATCTTATCTTAATAAAGTAATAAATAAGTTATAAAATAATAAATTTAAGTTAATTTAAATTATTAAAAATAATAAGAAAACTATATATATAAAAAAATATTTAAAATGCGCTTTCTTTTCCTTAAAATAAGCAATATATTATATAATTAAGCTATAGCTTATATTGCTTTTAGTTAAAGATTAAAAGGTAAATTAATTCTTAATAGCATAATTAAGATATATTTAATTATTACTTTATTAACCTTTTTTATAATATTATTTATTTTTAAGATTTAAAGGGGAGTAAGTTTTAAATTAATATTTTTTTTATTTTACTTATTTAATATATTTAATATTTATAAATTAATTAATTATTATAACCTTAATATTTTATTTAATTTTATAAATATTTAAATTATATTATTATTTTACTTAACTCTTATAAATATAAAAAATATTAAATATTTATTTTTAAATTTTTAATATAAAGAGAAAAATATAAATAAATCTTAAAAACTTATTTATTATTATAAACTTATAATTTAACTTATTTAATGCTTATAAATAATAAAATAAATTTTATAAAATTTAAAAAAAAAATCTTAAGCTTTTACCTTTTAATAACTTATATTAAATTACTTTTTTAATAAAAGCTTTAAAATAATTTTTATAATTAATTTATTTAATTTCCTTAAATTTTATACCTTAAGTATATTTAATTAATAATTTAAAAGCATTAGCTTTTAAGTATTTAAATTAAAAATATTAAAGGGTTATTAAGTTTTCTTAATTTTTATTTAAATATTAAAAAAGCTTAAAAGGTTTTATTAAATTTATTAAAAAAATTATAAGCTTATATATATTTATAATACTTATAAATATTTATAATAAAAGGTAAAAATAAGGAAAATATAATAATATA